ACTGCGATACAAAAAAAAAAAAAAAAAAGCAACTGTGTCTTCCAATCAAACCACTTAGAGATTATTAACAAACCTAGCCCATATCGCCCTGGAGAGCATTATTATATAGCCAATTACAAAGCAACTAATGTTGCAGAATTGGAAAAAATTACAAAATTCCCAACAAGTATCACTCCACCAAATGGCACAAAACCAACCTCAAAAAAACTCATATCTACAACCAAATATTTGGTAGAAAAATTCAAAAAACAACAAGAAAACGAAGTGACTGGTGCAACCAATAATTTCCAATTCAATAATGACCTCTCAGCATTAGAAAAGAATCACAAATCACTTCAAGTAGAATGTACTGAAAACTCAATCAAACTGGAATCACATTCTAAACAAATACAAAACATCACCAATACACTAACAGACCACACAAAATCCATACAGACCATTTTTGAAAAACTCAACGAAATAGCTTCCAAAATGGAAAATATTGAATTACATTTGACAAAACCGTACCATCAATTAATTCATGAATCCAAGGATGATGTAGAAGATGAAGATGATGAATCTTATCACCCAAAACCAAATGAAAATAGTGATGATGAAATGGAATATGACGAAGAAGAAGATATAGTAGAACCTAGAAGAGGTGATAAACCTCTTGGAAATAAGAACAATTAAGTCACCAAAATGTAATTTGAAAATTGGCTGTTTTAACTGCAACGGGCTCATAAAGACAGCCACAAAAGAAATATTGACAAATGAAATCAAAGGGATGTGCTACAATCATAACATCCAAATCATGTCAATTACTGAAACACACTTAAAAACATATGAAGATCAAAAAGAAGCCTATAACAAAGGGAATGGAAGTATCTTCTTTAATTCACTATTTGGAGCAAGAAAAGCTCAAAAGGGAACAGCTCTCTTCCATATTCTTAACAACAAAAGAAAACGATTCATATCCAACGAAAATCTAATACAAGGAAAACTTCAATGGACAAGGTTTTTCTCTAGAAACAAACCTATTAACATCATTACGGTTTATGCTTCATCTGATGGTGAAGATGATGATGAAATAATCAACATTATTATTCACCTTCTACTAAAATGTGAAAATGAATTCAACATTGTGCTAGGAGATTTCAATATCAACACAAGGAAACCACAAAATTCGAGAGAAAAAGAATGGAAAGAACTTATTGAGTGTTTCCAACTCAAAGAACTAATCATCCCAGAGAATTACACATACGTCAGAAAAGTCATCAACTCAGTTCAAAAATCACGACCTGATCATATCTTCGTTTCTAACAACATCAGAATAATCAGAGAAGTTATTTTGCCACCAATATCCAAAAATGATCATCTACCGTTCTATATTGACATTGAGTTCGAAACAGACTATTGTTGGAGAAACTTCATCTCTAGGAAAGATATGAATCAAATCTCAACAACATTGAACGAATCACACTATGATTCATTTGATGCACTTCAGAAAGACATATCAGAAATGGTTAACAAATTTTCTTTCAAAGACGATAAGACCAATCTCAAATACATTAACACAATCAATAAGAAAGAAATCAAAACCAAAGAAATAGAACTCCTCCATCTTGTAACACAAGGAAAAGGTCAAAATATCGAGGAAATTGAAAAACTAAGAAATAATATCAAAGTACTATACAAGGAAACTGGAGCTGATATCAAAGCAAAACTAAGTGAAAATTTCAACAAACATGACAGCTCAATGATTTACCAGTTTGACAAACATCTAAAAGAAAAAATCAATAGATTGGAAAAATATCCAATTCTCTGAAGAAGAAATTGTGCATCATTTTGAAACAAAATTTACCTCAGTATCCAAATCATCAGACTTTGAAAATCCACCATCAACCGTCAAGAAAGGACCGAAAATACCACAAATAAGCCTTAAAACAATTAAAGAGGCGATATCGAGAATGAAATCCAACACACCCGGTCTAGACTCAATATCCTTCCAAATTATACGTAATCTCAAAGACGAACATCTACAACTTATTGCTGACCAATTTGAAAACTGCATTCAACAAGGTAATATCCCTGAAGAATGGAAATCTGGTTGGGTTAAATTACTCCCTAAAAGAGACATTCAAAAACTAAATGATATTAGACCCATAACCATTCTCCCAATATATTACAGAATACTTTTCAACATAATTGCATACGAATTAAGACAATGGGCTTCCAAACACATCAACTTAAGGCAACAAGCATTTATTTCACACAGAAACACAATGAATCACGGATTATTACTTTCATCTCTAGCCAAAAAGAACAAGTCGTCATTCCTTTTGGTAAACTTAGACATCGAAGGCGCCTATGATTCCGTTGAAGATCATATCATTGAAAAAGCTCTCACTCATTGTAAGTTTCCAGATGAGTTGAAAACTTTTATACTAAACTCATACAAGAGTCAAATATTACAGCTAGAAATTGATCACCATCTCTCTAGACCATTCACAAAAACAAGAGGAATACCACAAGGATGCCCTTTAGCTCCTCTTATATATGATTGTATTACTCAACTCATCATTGACAAATGCATACAACAATGGAAAATTTCAATCAAACCAACCAAGCTTAATATTAACGATATTGGTTTGCTCTGCTTTGCTGATGACATTAATTTAGTTTCAAACAGATACTGCAATTATAACGAAAGACTTGATAATATCTCTAAATGGCTCGGCCAATTAAGTCTAAAAATTAATCCTTCAAAATCCATGGCAACCACTCTCCCAACTAAAAGCAAAATGAAGCCAATGATAGACGGTACTATTATACCAAGATTCAAAAACCTTCGAGTACTTGGACACTATCCTTGGGATGACTCTACTTTAAATGAAGATATTGAAAAAAGAATCCTCCAATTTCAACTCTCACTCAAATATATTCCACTGAAAAGAATGGAGATAACAAACATTAAGAAAGTAATTTTTGCCAAATGCACTAGCTTATTTACACACATTTTACGAACAAATTACATTCCTGAATCACTTGTTGATAGAATTAACATTGAAGTAAGAAAAGCAATAAGAAAGAAAATTTTCATGCATAATGCTAGTCCAACAAACTATTTTCACCTCCCAATCACCTATGGCGGACTTGGTATTCCAAGATTCGATATCTTTGCAGATGAAATTCGAATCAAAACAGCCCTGTATCTTATTAACAATGATAATGAACTTCTTAGAGAAGTATATTCAGAAGGAATCAAACACGAAAATTCGATTTTTAAGGAAATGAACAGATCAATGAAGAAATACAAGATCAGACCTCAACAATTTAACAATGACGAAATCTTTCCAAAACTCAAAGGAAAGAATTTTACTATTTACACTGACGGATCAAATCTCAACAACTCAACAGGTTTCGGCTTTACCGCCAAAGTTAACAATTCCCAAGAAACCCAAGATTTCTCATACAAAATTAACAGCGAATACTCACATAACGTTGCTGAATTATCAGCAATACTCACATCACTAAAGATACTTCCACCTAAATCTAAGGCAAAAATTCACACAGATAGTGAAATATCCATCCACGTTTTGAAAAACAAAGCCTATAACGGAATTTTTAACTGCTTCAAGCATGAATATCAACAGGTCATTCAACAATCCAATCTAAATATTCAACTAATCAAAGTTAAAGGTCATGTCAACAAAGGAAACATCAAAGCTGACGAATTAGCTAAGAAAGGAGCTCAAGAGCACAACTATTTTGACATTAAGAAGCTATTTTCGAACCAAACCATCCTTGCCACATCTAATACCATTATTTTCGACATCAAAAAATCCATACAAAAGAAAAAGATATGATGTAATGTTTAGCCAATTTGATAGAGATAATTCCAGTCTACACCTTACCAAGAACTGGTCATCTATCAATCTAAAATTCATCAAATCTAAAATTGACACAAATACTAAGTGGTCAATCTGGAGAAACTTAACAAGCAACCATATCAAACAACATAAGGAAAGACAATGCGCTCACTGTAAATGCCCCGGAACTCTAAAACATTTCATATACTATTGCCCTAATACTCAATGCTTTAGGGATTTTTTCTACACTAAATTCCTAGATATTACATCAATGCAATGTATCCTCAACGATTATCAAGAATCAAGATACTGTGAAAGAAGGAAAGTTTTCATTATTGACGGAGTAATGATTCGAGATACTCAAATGCCCAACTTTAAAAATTTACCAAATATTTACCAAAATTGGCCTGAAATCCAAACAATTCTCACCCTACTAGTTGGTAAATGTCACACCAAGTATTATGAAAACTCAAGGTTTAAAAAACCAATTCAAAAACAAACCCCAATCCTCACGGATTTACCAGCACCAGTGGTGCTAACAATAAACTAATTAGATTTTTTTCAAGTGTTGATCTAATGCAAAACAAGTTCATCAACACTTGAAATCGAAATCGGAAAATATTTGGTGGTGGTCAAGAAGAAGAATATGGAACTCGATGATGTGCGGGTGGAGATGATACAGAGAAGAGCTGTGACCCTGCGTGGGCTGCTTTTTAAAATGTGTGTTGTTGAATGGAGAAATGGAATGGTGCAAATTAAGATTGCACTTGTTTGGCAACGGTAGCTTGGCCGAGTGGTCAAGGCGTCAATCAATGATTACTGTCAAGCAATCACCCAGCAACTATCGATGGGGAATCCCGCATAGGTTCGAATCCTATAGCTACCGTTGCTTTTTAGGTTTGCGTTACATATTCATTCCGTTGAGTATACACGGTTGAGAGGGAATAAGCAAAGTTAGTGGTACCTCAACAAGCTTTGTCGAGACAGTTTCCTTCATCGAATTCGGGTTCAATAAGAACTCTCTCACTTGATATCGAATATCGAACGAACAAAAAATGTCTTGCTCTGATCTTTCAGCTGCCCAACACAGAAAGAGAAGTGAAAAATTGGATGATGATGAACAGAGAAATGAAGAAGAATGTAATCACAAAAAAAGAAAATTGAAACTGTGGCATCTCCAAGCATGAATTCTCATCCAAATTATTCAATTATTCAGAGTTATTGTTGTGTGATGATCATATTTTCTGTATTTTTCAATTTTTAAATTCAGAATTCATTCTCAGAGTTGGTAGGAGAATTTCAAAGCAATGGTTGAGAATTTCACAAAAGATGCCCATTTGTTGGACATTCCATAAAACGACGACGTCTCTTCATCATGTGCATCTCCTTGCAACAAGTTCCATGAAAATCAATTTGATTGAATTGAATATTCATGTAGATTTTGTGGGATATGATCATCTGAAAGTATTGGTCAATAATCATTGATAGCCAATTTATTGAAATTTGAATGTTGCAGTAATGATATTGGATTCAAGGCTACTAAATTAATTGCTAACAGTCCGTACTTGTCAAATTTGACATCATTAAGTTTTACTTCAAATTTCGTCCAAACCCACGATGTGAAAGCAATAGTATCAAGTTACAATATGAGAAATTTGGTGACATTGAAATTAATGAACAACAATATTGGGAATGACAGCGTAAAGGTCATTACTTCAAGCACATACATGAATAATTTAAAGGAATTGTGTCTTTACAACAATCATATTGGAGAGGAAGGAGCCAAATATATTTCAAATAGTGACAACAATATTGGGGATCGAGGTGTTCAATTTATCGCAACTAGTGAAATATTAACACGACTTATTGAGTTATGTTTAAATGGAAGTAATGTGACCCATTTTGGTGCTTTGTTGATTGCCTCGAGTGAGTGTATGCAAAACTTAACACGATTGGAACTTTCATCCAACAATATTGATGCTACAATAGCAACAGCAGCTATCACAGAGTAAAATATTGAGAGCATTACGACATTTAGATATTGATAGAGAAGAGGTTGTGGTGTATTCGCCATTTAACCCAACTTTTAAAACGACTTTAAAAGTCAATCCATCCATTAACTTGAACTAACTTGAAAAATAAGGTAATACATCGCGTGTGATCATCAGATAACCCACACTCACACTTAAAATCACATTCATCAACATTCCAACAGGAAATCCAAGTGCTCGCAACGCATAATGTTTCAAGTATCCAATTGCAAACAATGTTCTGCTGATGATGAAGGTAGCACTAGCAAATATTAATACTCTCATATTTCTTCTTTCTAAATACAAGGACAAAACCACAATATTCACTGCAAAGATTAGAAATTGCTCCAAGCTGTTTTGTAAGATTCTTTGCCAAATTTGAATTTGCTCAAACTTCTTTCTCAAATCATCACTAATTTTGGTTGAATTGCTTTGAGCCAATTGTTCCAAGAGCAATGGATTGATCGTTTCATTACTCAACCTTTTGGAAGCAATGGATTGAATAATAACCGGAAAGATCAACATGCAACAAAATAAACACTTGCTTGCAAAGGCTAATCTCGTCGCAAGATCAATCGATTCCGAGAAGACTGCAGATGATGATGCAGTTGTTGGTAAAAGGATATCTGAGAGAAAACTCGAATGAAATACCAAAAGATACCACACGAGACCAAACACAATCATGCCTGCCAAACGCATTGCAAAAGAAGAGGAGAAAGAGAACTTTTCTGAATTTCAAAATAATAGCCTCCTTTCAGACAGCTCTGAACTGGAGTTTTCATACTTTCCACGAGACGTAGGACTGTCTTTCGATCGGAGGCAACATTGGGATTTGATGATTGCATATTTTTGTGTGTGGAGGTTGGCGAATTGTTTATTCTCTCTCACTTGCTATTTGGAAATTAAGAATTTTGCGACTGTCCTCAGGATGAACTAATGAAAAAGTCCGTCTTGTACTTTTGGGATAATAAAGTGTTGCGTTATTATGGTTGTTTGAGATGGAATGGGGAGTGTCTCCAATTTTTGTAAATTCAGTGGTTATTTTTGTTGTTTCAATAAAAAAAACGTTAGAATTGTAAACTTTTCGACTCGCAAATTTAAAATCTAGCCGTTACACATTTAAAATTTACATCATAAAACATTAAAAAAATTTACAACACTTGAAGACCCTTCAAGCCCATCTCCCTATATTTACGATTGGCCCGAATCATCACACCTCCGTTGGGTCTCTCAATATTTTTCTCTTTTGAAACCAAAGCAAAACATCACCATAATCATCCACCAGCAGAATGAGTACTCTCACACTCAACCCCCAAACACATCTATTACAACAACAACAACAGATGCAAGCCATGAATAATCAAAATCTCTTTAAAGGACTTGCCAGGTACGACAGACAGGACAAGCTCGGAGAAGGTACCTATGGTGTTGTTTATAGAGCCATTGATTTGACGAATAATTCAGTGGTCGCTTTAAAGAAGATTCGTCTTGAGCACGAAGATGAAGGAGTACCAAGTACCTCGATTCGAGAAATCTCTTTACTGAAGGAGATGCACCATCCAAATGTTGTAAATCTAATTGAAGTGATCCATGGAGATGATAATTTGCATCTCGTCTTTGAATTTATTGAATTGGATTTAAAGAAGTTTATGAACGAATATAAGAGAACTGAAGGCGAAAAGAAGAAGAGAATTCCAATTCCTATGAGCTTGATCAAGTCATGTCTCTATCAAATTTTAAAGGGAATTGCTTTTTGCCATTCAGCTCGAATCATCCACAGAGATTTGAAGCCACAAAACATTCTCGTCCAAAAAACAAGAGACAATGATTTGATGCTCAAGCTTGCTGACTTTGGATTGGCTCGTGCATTCCAATTACCTTGTGGTAAACTTACCCATGAAGTTGTGACCTTGTGGTACAGAGCTCCTGAAATCTTATTAGGAAGTGAAAGATATTCAACACCTGTAGATATTTGGTCGATTGGTTGTATCTTTGCAGAATTGGTGAATGGTACACCTCTCTTCCCAGCAGACTCTGAAATTGACATGTTGTTCAAGATCTTCCAAACTTTGGGAACTCCAAACGAAGAGATGTGGCCTGGTGTCAGCCAATTGAAGAACTTTGCTAGCTTCAACAACAAGTTCCCCAAGTGGAAAGGTAATCACTTGCAAGCAATTTGCAACAGATTAGATGACACTGGTGTAGATCTATTGACGAGAATGCTCGAATATCAACCAAGCAAGAGAATTTCAGCAAAGGAAGCTCTCAAACATCCTTTTTTTGACGATTTGGATAAGTCCAAGTATTAACACCTAACTTTTCATTTTGTCACAATTCAGTTTGTTTGTAACAAATTGATTTGGAACACAATAAAATAACATGTAAATTTAATTTTAATCAAGAGTATTGTCAATTAAATTTGAAAGGTGATTGTTTACAACTTGGAAATCCTGTTGTAAGGAATGCTAGCTCCATAAACATCCAAAAAGTTTTCTTTTGGCTTGTATTTGCCGTAGAGAGAAACCATTGTCCACCAATCAATAAGCTCATTAGGTTGGTTTGCATAGTGAGATCGTATTTGGATGGTGTGGATGTTGTTGATCAACACTCGTTGCAAAATATTCCACGTAACGTATCTCGAAACAGCATTTTTGATGGTCAGCACTGAGACGCTTTCACAATAAGGAATTGCTGTTTCTTTGTGAAGTTTGATTAAAAACTCTTGAATTTTCTTCACAAATTCATTTGTTGGAAAGGTGTGAGTGTTGGTTCTTGAAGCAACCATGCAACAATAAGCGATCACCATTGAGTAAGTATCAATAGATGGCCAAATGAGTGAGCAAACAAACTCATGAAATCTCAAATCCATAATTTTCACATTCACCTTCGTTGAAATTGTTCTTTCACTTGTTGAAGTTTCTTCCACTGAAATGATTCCTCTTCCACTCGAGTACAAAAGAGTCTGCTCAAATTTGTCACTCGTATCAAGCATATCATATGGATGAATTTCCAAGCTAATCAACTCACTGAGAACAGAACTTCTCTCTTTCCACTCTTCTTTATCAATTCCAATAATTTCCATGGTCTCTTGTTCGCAAAAATTCACATCCTCAACCAAGAAAGAATGGAGAGCACATAACAAAATTGATTCTTTTGTGAACACTGATGCAAGAGAATTCTTGTAAATTGATAGCAGCAAACATTCACGATCTTCTCTAATGAATATAGAATTCTCTCTTAAATCTATTTGATCTTTAAACACGGTTAAACATCTTTCAACCACAGCTCTAGGACTCATTTCCTTACTGTTGAGATAAATAGGCACCTTTCGTGTTTTTAGCTCATTCATTAGCCAATCAACATTGTCAACGAGAGATTCTAATGGCATACTCGTTCTTCTGTCACAAAGTCTTACATCTCCAACGGTTTGCAAGAGTAGAGCTGAAACCATATGCGAAGACAGAGCAATATAATTATTGTTCAATTGTTTGGTTATGGTAAATCCAAGTGCAGAAGATAGATCTCTTCTATTGTTCTTCGCATTGGCATTTTCAGGGTTATTGTAAAAATCGTTCAAACTGATTGGCTCTCCAATTTTACCAGCAACATCTCCAAAATTCTCTGACATTAATTGCATCATGCTTGAAAACATATTGATGGTTGTTTCCTTTGCTTTGGTTTCTCCTAACATTTCTCTAACATGTGAATTCGATTCCACCATGTATTCATAGCTAAAATAAACAGGTACAAATATAACATTTTCTATTCTCTTCTTTAAGAAAGCATCTAGAATGATGTTAAGAATGCCAAACTTTGGATGATGAGTTTTTCCATTTCTTGATCTTGTACCTTCCACGAAAAATTCTAAATAATTCCCTTCTTCAAGTAAGGTTGTAACATATTCATTAAATATTGCCTTATACACAGGTTGGTCATTAAATTGTCTCTTCATAAATAGAGCTCCGCATTGTCTCATAATGTCACTAACAAGCATCATTTGTAAGAAATCCTCTCCTGCAATAATATTTGGTAAAGGATAAATTTTGCAACAAACGCAAAAATAGCTTAAAAGTAAAAAGTCCATATAGCTTCTATGATTGGGAACATAAATCACAGGATGGTGTGGATATTTGTCTTTCACAGATTTCATCGTAGCTGCCATTCCACACTCCACAATATCTCTAAATCGAGTAGCCCATAGTTTCTTAAATCCATAAGTGACCAATTTAAGACTAATCGGATGAGGTCTTGCAAACATAGTGTCCATGATTTGATACATTTCTCTTTTTTTAGGAATCATTATTTCTTTCAAATTATTTGAAGAGTCTTCTTGGTTATCTCCTTGTCTCAACTTGAGCATGTCCTTTTTCACTTTCTCATAAATTTTTCTTTTCATTCTTCGATGTTCTGTTTTAAACATTGATTTTTCATCTTGGTCTTGAAGATGGTCTTGAAGAGGAGATTTAACACTCTCGAACACTCGACTCGATTGGGTATGATAAAAAAATTTTAAAAAATCGGAAAACAAGCCTTGCGAGGGTTGATTCATTTGATGTTGCATCAATGTTTGGGAAGGTTCTGTCATTATTATGGCTTCGGAATTCCGAAGAGTAAAATTGTCGACGATATGAGCACTAGGACTACTAGTACTTGTTAGATTTCTTTCTATAAAATTGATCATTCCGAGAGTTGAATGATGATGAAGGTGATGAATATATACTTCGCCGTCCCTCATATTACGAGACATGCTTGTATATGAGCTTTCAGTGAATCCTCACAGTTGAAGATCTTCCCAACAAACAAATGATGAACCACGCATGTGGTTGTTGTTGGAAGGTTCTTTTTTTCAATGTCTTCGCTCGATTTTTTTTTGAAACTTCAAAAGTCCCGACATCTTAGTAACACAAAGGTGTGAATATTGATTGTCTTATGGTCACCAGTGTCTCATTCACCAAGCGCATGTAGAATGTAATTATGAATCATAATAGACATGAGGTGATTGTTGTGTAAATACGAAATTTATTGGTGACGAGGATTCCTTAACTGTCTGGGTTTATACTTGTCTTCAAATTCTTTTAGATGTGTTTGGAATTCTTCTGGAGATGGCTTTTCAGTAGATTTGAGGGGAATGAAATGTTGAAATCTTGTCACATAATTAGCGATACTAATTGGAAGGTGATTATTCCTGAATAATTGTCTACAAATAGAGGGGTCAATGGTACGATCACCCAACTCTGAAGGAGCAGTGTACTTATTGTCCAACAAGTTATTGAAAATAATTTGCTTGTTGATTTGTAACTTTAAAAGTTTTTGATCGATAGAATTCTCGCAAACAATTCTAAATACTCGAACAGTTTTTGTTTGACCTTTTCTGAGCAATCTGCCGAGACATTGGTCATCCTTATAATAATTGAAATCTAATTGGTAGAGAATGACATTATTGGCATGTGTTAAATCAATTCCAACACCTCCTGAATTCTTTGACACGAGCAATGTATTAATCTCGCCCCTCTTAAAACTTTTCAATACTTGTTTTCTTTGTTCAATGTCAAGCTTTCCTGAAAAACTTACAACTTTAGCTTTAGTATTGGTGCGAAGGAAAGCCATAATGTCATTTTCATAGCAAATTAGTCCAGTAAATATGATAACAGACTCGTCTTTTCTAATTATCTGTTCAACCAAGGCTCCCAACACTTTCAAACGTGTTGGTTTCAGCTCATCTTTTTTGTTAACCACCAATTTCTTGACTTCATTAAAGAGAGACATATATTCATTATCGTCTTCTTCTTCGTCATCAGCCAATCTTGCTTCAAGTCTTGCTGTTGTGAGTGTTGATGCCTCCTTATCACAAATATATGAAGCACAGTCAAGACATAATCTCAAATAAAAGTAAAAGGCAAAGAAGGAATTGGAAAATTGATCTTTAAGACTCTCAATTCCATCGTAAATCTCCTTCTCAGTTTTAGAGAGCTTGTACTCGATAATGAAATCTGATTTTTTGGATTCTATTTCACTGAGCTCTTGAGCCTCCACTTCTCTGTGAATGAGATGTCTAAAGTAGTGGTTGAAAAGTTGAATTCTCAGTTGTGAAGATTTTTCATAGGGTTTGTTTTTGACATATTCTACAAATTGTTCTTGAAAGTACGGTTTGATCCATTCAATATCCTTATTGTTGGGTTCAATAAATCTTATTAAAGTGAAGATTTCATTCATGTTGTTCTGAAAAGGTGTTCCTGCACGATCGAATTAAACACAAGACATCAAGAGTGAGAGAAAACATTGCTCGTTTCTACATACCTGTCATCAGTACTCTTCTTTTGGTATTAATTTGTGAGAATAGATTGTATTTTACAGAATCAGGGTTCTTAATAACATGCGCCTCGTCTATAATCAAAATTTTTGTGTTCTGTTCGAGGATGTACGCATAATCTTGTTTTTCCCTGTCACCTAACAATCGTGCACATCTATTGTGAGTCATGATAATCATTCCTCCAGTTCTTTCATACTCTTCAATATAGGCTTCTTCTTCTGCACTGGTGATCACATAAATGTTGGAAATAAAACCTTCCAATTGATATTTGAAATGATTGTCATATTCTTCTTTAAAGTGCATTAAATTTGATTTGGGAACTAACACAAGATAGGACAAGGTAATACCTTTTTCTACCACACTGTTGCTTCGATTGTAGTTGTAAAGACTGATCAAGGTTGTTAAAGTTTTACCCAATCCCATTTGATGTGCTATTTAAACAAATAGAATGCATGCAGTTGGTGTGTAGAATGACATGTATCACGGTGGGTCATCACTTGAAACAATTCATAAACACTTACCAATCAAGAATGATTTTTCATTTTCCAGCTTCTCCACTGCAAATGTTGCACATGATATTTGATGCTTCATAGCGTAGGGAGGGGTTTTGATAGATCCTTCAGTATTAAACTCATAGACGATATCGAATTCTTCATGTTCTTCTTTGCGTTTCTTTCTTTCTTCGCTCTCTCTTTGCTGAATTTTCAAATTTCGTACAAGTCTAATATAGTACGCAAGTTTACTCTCCAAAAGAACAGCACAAGAGAGCTTTCCTGTTAAGAACTTTTTGTGGTATTCTGTCAACTCTTCATGCTTGTTCTGCTGAATGAGCTTTTTAATTTTCTCAACCTCTTGTTTCTCCTCCTCAGTCAATGTAATACGTGTTCGAGTACGAGAAGGTTGTGAAAAAGTGGTGGTAATGGCTGCTACACGACTTTCCTGACTTGTGGTTGGTTGGTCACTTCTACTTGGTCTGAACTCTGAGAAGGATCTCTTCTTGGATGAGCTCTGATCAGTAGTAACACTCTCAGAGAATACAGTGCGTGATGATGATGCTACAGGAGTGGTAATCAGAAACCGACCTGGAGTAGATGTTGACTCTCTAGAGGATGTTGTTGGTGGTTTACGTTGTTGAGAACGTGGAGGTTGTTGTGGAATCATTTTTTTTGTTCTTGTTTTTCATCGACCAGGTTGGGAAGTCTAAACTTGCGACATTTGACAGAGCGCCTTCAAATTTTTTTGAATGAGCAGAATCATTTCGAAATTTTTCAAACTGCCAATCATGATTGCAAGCACTACAGGTATCGTGAAGGTTTGTCATCCTCTTCTCGGCTTGAGGTAAATAGGGAGGGTAGAGAACTAGATAGATTGATGAATTTTTTTTGTTTCCTATTTCGGGCAGTTTCCTTATTGTTGAGGGCTCGTGTTGACAAGAAGGTGAATGTATGCTCGATCATTCGAGATAAATCGTCTTCCTCTGTATCAATACTTGTGTCTTGAATATAGATTTGATAATTATCTAACGGTATTGCTATGAACTCATCAATTAATTGTTCAATGGTGTCTCTGATGCATGCAGATATTTCTGATTCTTGTCCATCTGTCTCAAAATGGTTTTCTGATGTGGCTAAAATATTTTCAAACGAATCATTTTGTGAAGATTTTGACTCAGAGCTTAATTCCTTGTCTCTTAAATGATACAATGATTCGTTGAGATGGCACAAAAAAGTGACTGGTTCTTCGAATGATTGTTGCAATCCTTTTTGCTTTTTAAACAACTCTTTCGTAATTCCATTAATGACATCTGATGCAACCTTAAATTGTTCTTCAATAGATTTTAACAGTTGTGGTGATGAAAGATCCTCGGCTTCCATCCATTCAGAAATGTCAATTAAAAATACAAAACCTTCAGTATCTGACATTCTATACTGATTATGTGATATGGACATGTCTATCCATTCGACAGAGACTAAATTAAATGAATTGTTCTCTACATTTAACACTGGCCTCGTAGTAATTAAGCTATCCATTGTGGGATCAATTTTGACAGAATTCGTAGATTTAAAATTGTTCCACACTTCAGACCATTTAGTTTTTAAACGTAAAACAAATAATATCGTCATCAATGCAGAATTTCTGCCAAATATTCCAATTTGAAATCGTTCAGGAGGTTGCCCATTTTGGAGGGATAACAAAGATTCTAAATTTGCTATTCTTTCGAGGTGAACCAAGGCAGAATTATCTTGTTCTTCCTCTTCGTTGGGTGTTGGTGTTTGTGGAACCGATTCTTGTTGTTCTAAATGTTTTGCAGCTACTATTGATGCATTACTGCTGTTGTTACTGCAAACACTGTTGCTTCTTGACATTCCAGAAACAACGCTTGTTCCTATTGAATGAATTTCTTGCTGTTGTTGTCGTAATGATGAGGAGTTTGATGAAGATGGTAGGATTCTTAGATTTTTGTGATCTTGATGGTACGGTTTCTCGATGCTGCTCACAACTGAAGATATTGCATTGATTGAAAATCCTTCTCCTCTTCCATCTCCAGTACTGACGCTTTCAAAATTGAGAGTTTCATTATTGTTGCTTGCAGAAGCATGAATATAGGAGCTTTCGCTGACTGAATTTTGTTGAAGCATGTTGTACGGAGATGGTGATGAAGCATGAAACATGGTATTTCTCCTCAGCCGATGCTTTCGTGCAATTTTAATGGATGATGAATTTGTTTCGTTATTTCGTTTGGATGATGATGAATTATTGTTGTTGTTGTTTCTCCGAGTTTTGGTTTTATACTCGACATATTTTCGAGTTGGATTTCTACCTTCATATTGTGATGATTGATCATTGTTGCTGATCGAAGTAGTAGTTGGTACAAACAACTGCTCCTCTTCAGACTCCATCAACAAACTTCGCAACGTTTTGTCCGACCTCGAAATGGAAAACATTTTTTGTGCTCGAGTTTTGCAATCATTGTGGCAGATGACACACCTTTATTACAATCATCCCTCTCTATTAGATGACCACCCTTTCCTTTTGAGATTTATCAGGAAAGACATTGGCTGTAATTAAATCCCACCTTGATGAAAGGGAATCCAACAAAGGACATGTTTCGATCCATTTGAGACAGTACTGGGGCGGTCAAAATCGATCTCAAGCTTGTCAACAGTAATAGAATGCCAACGCCTGTTCCGTGAGCTATCCAACCACTGGGAGCTCTGGACGATATGTCCATGTAAGGTGACACATACTTGTCCCTAAATCAAATTAACCTCATATATTCATCCATTTTGTTTGTAACAAACTTACCAAATATAGAAAACTCCAAGCCAGGAAAACACACATCCAATTCCTGCGATATAAACAAAAACTTTTTCGAAAATCCACAACAAGCCTAAGAGAATCAAACTTAAAAATTTGGAGAAAAACGAATTTGATTTCTTTGAGTCTGGTTTTTTGCTAACACATTTTTTCCACGCGTCTTTCAACTTTTTCGACAGATTGGCTTGCTTGGCAACTAGTCCACCAATGTGAACAAAAAAACATATTGTTAATCCGCAAGCTAGATAAAACCATGATAATTGAGTGCTGCTTATGGGAGAAGAATCATTGAATACTACATAAGTTTCAATTAAAACCCAAGTTCTGTTTACAGTGTTATCAGGCGTCTTATGAAGAATGAATGGTACATACCCCCTCCAAAAAGATGCAACAGCAAAATTGATAATGGATATGGTGAAAACAATCTCAAATAGAGCAAGTAAATAATGGGAAAGATGAATGAAGCGATTCCGCACTGTTAATTTCGTTTTCTTAGCTGCTTGTTTTAATTCCTTAAGTCGTTGGGTGTGATAATCAATTTGTTGTTCCAACGACATGTCTCCTACCATTTTGTCAACAACTTTTGTTTCACGAGTCTCGCTCTTACACAAAGGAATGGAAATGTCGATGGCTTTGAAGTCATTGTGTTGTTGAAGTTCTTGAGGTTGTTGAATTGTTGTGGAGTGGACTGGATCAACAATGATAGGTTGCCGAGGAAGATCCGTCTTTTCGAAATCTGAAGCATGTTGATAATTCATGAGTGATGGAGAAGACTTAACCAGTGGATTGTTAGTTGGAGTTTTCGGAGAGGAGAGGTTTCTTGATTTTGTTTGCAAATCCAATTGATGAGGGGAAACATGAGCAAAGGTTCGATTTGCTTCTTCGTAAGGAGGTGGATCTAAAATCATCTGGTTGTCCAATTTTGGAATTTGGTTGTCTTGGGAGTTTTGAACAAATTCTTCATGAAAGGCAATTCGTTTAGGAGTTGTTGGGGAGGATTGATAATATTGCTCCAAATCATTCATCATAAGACACAAGTGGGTATAGACTTTTCCTCGAGGCGAAGTATTCATCAACGATGAGCTGGAAGATGCTCGATCTAAGGCTTTCGTTTTCAACACCTGGTGATGATGGTTCAAGGGCATTTCCGCTGCACTAGTTGTTGTCGGTTGAAACAATGGATACTCTGAATAAGGTGGTGGGGGTAGAGGTAGTGATGATGATAAGGCTGTTGTGGTACTGGATGATTCCTGATACTGAGGAAGAGGTAATTCTGAGAAGATTCGGTTTACTGTAAAGACTCTCTGCGGTTGGGTTTGCGTTGTAATGGCGGACGAAAGACTTGAAATATTTTCTTTTGAGCCTCTTTGGGGAGAATGAGTCCATGAGAAATGTTGTGGCAATTCATCTTCTTCGCCATGAAGAAAACCTCCTCCTCCTCTACCACTCATTAAGAATTGGGTATTTGGACTTTCATGATTATTGAGATGAGATGGTGATTCATGGCGAGGTTGAGGGATATTAAATAAATAATGATTGTTATTACTATTATTATAAGAGGAATTGCGCCTTGGTGGATGGGTGAGATTGTGTATGATCATTGGACTTCTGATAAAGGAAGGTTGTTGTCGTATGATTGGCTCGGAATGGATATTCTGAAAGGATGGTGTTATTTGTTGTTGCTCGTTGTAAATGACGTTAAAACTATGGCTTAGATGTATAGCTTGAGGTGACGAAAGAGTTTGAGCGCTTTTTGAGAGCTGCCGATGATGATGACATTTGGAGCTTGCTGACGAGGGTATTGGAGAAAGGGTCTTGAGGGGTGTTGTATTGAACGAGGACATTTTTATTTGAAGATCATTTTGTATTTCAATACTGTCAGTTGTCAAGAATCCAGCTGTTACTTTTAATAAAACTGTTCTTCATCTTTCAAATCCTTCGAGCTTAACGTTATTCTCAGAAATGGGTTTTAGTGTATTAATCATTGATTCGGATTATCTCTCGTTGTACTACTCACAAAAACGACACAGCTATCATCATCCCTCTCATATACCGTTTTCATGAAAAGGATGAAGATGAGGAAGACACAACGAAAAAATGAGAGCGAACGCCACATCAGCCCTCCCGAAAGAGGTGGTGTTCAACCGTTCACCGAACAACAACAACAACAACAGCAATCGAACCACGACAGACTCAACAACAACAAGACTCCTCCATGTGACCTCTCCCACTCACTCTCCAAATACATTTAAACAACCCATCACTACAGTCACCGCCACCACTTCCATTCCTCCTTCTGAAAAAGTGATGAGTCATACCTTTCATTCAACAACAACAACAACAACCAATACTATCACATCTTCTGCAAATTCCGAAAATCAACCACCTGTCATTGTCTTGTTAGGATGTTCAGACTCTGGAAAGAGTACAATCTTTAAATCGTGTCGATCCATGTACGGCAATGTTCAATTCAGTAATTTTCATTTATCACAAGAGAATCGAGTATTGATCAAGAAAACACTTCGATACGACATTATCAATCATTTAAAAAGGGCTTTGAATTTTATTCATCAACAACAAGAACAACAACAACAATTCACAACATCACCGGAAGTGGTGGGAACTCCCGAGATGGAAACCAGTCACCACAACAACAATAGCTCATCAAATATCATCTCTCAAAGTTTACCAACCATACAATCATCATCATTTCTATCATTGAATACTCCCACCACATTACAACAACACCTCGCACAAACATCCATAAACCATGAAAATGATCGATTATTCATCAACACCAACACCACTAAGAATGCGAAACCATCGAGACATGGAAGAAGACTCTCCGATCACTTGATGGAAATTTGTGAAAAAAAGTATTCTCCCAATATTGTTATTTCCAACCAGACCTTTGACAAACCAACAGAAAGTTTACCTGACAGTGTTGAGGATGATTTGATTGGAGGAAGTGGAATAATGGCAGCAATGAGACATGGATTATTATTGAGTCCAAATGTGAAAGAGAATCATGAAATGTTTGAGAGTAAAAATTCCTTACGAAGAAATAGTGAATCGTTGGTAACATGGATGGATGCTGCCATGATGTCTGTCATGCAAACTCAACCACGGAAAAGATCTTCTACAGCAAACCTCTTTTTCACAGAGTGGAGCAAAACAGAGGAAAAAATTGTAAACAAAATTAATGACATTTCTACAAAAACAATGAATGAAAGATCTTGGGAAACTGATTATGAAGGAGGATTAAAGGCATTGAAAGAAGACATCAAAGTGTTATGGAAAAATCAATCTTTGAGGACTCTATTTTATAATGCGAATGATTTTGGATTTTCTATTCATGAAAACATTATTTACTTTTTGAAGAATATCAACCGAATTTTTAGAGAAGATTACAAGCGTAAGTATTGCAAAGTGAAATTTCACACTTTTTGGGATTATTTTTCAACCTTTAGCAACTGAGGATGACTACTTGAAAATGAGATGTGTGACAACAGGAATCACCTCTGTAGATATCAAAATTAACAAATCAAGCGTAATCAAATTGTATGATACTGGTGGAGAGAGATGTGAGCGAAGAAAGTGGAACACTCTTCTCGACATTAATCCCAACGCAATTATTTATGTGATCTCTCTATCAGATTTTGACATGTATTCGACCGATCAAAAAGACAAAAACAAGATGCAAGATACGATAGATGAATTGAAAAATCTCTGCCAAGAAATGAATATGAGAGGTTTATCAAAGGCAGATTTTTTAATCGTCCTAAACAAGTCAGATGTGTTTAAAGAAAAAATTGAAGAAAAAGGAAAATGCATTTCGACATTGTTCCCAGAGTTTAAGACCAATCAAGAAATGACAATATCAGCATTTACAGCACTTTCTTCTGTTAATTACACTTCTTCAAGAAATGAAAATAATGATGATACAAAACACTATGAAAAAAGTTTAAAATTCATTGGAAGATTACTACACAATATTGTAAAGAGTGCATTACCTTCACAAAAAGGCATTCACTTGTATGAAACTTGTGCTCTAAATAAGGACGATATTAAGTATATTTTTGAAGACGGATTGGAGCCACTATTGAGACCAGCAACTGATGTGAATCGACCATCAGCACGAAACGATAATATTAGAATTCTGGTCGAGTATGTATTATTATTACTGTTTATGTTGTTAACTTTGATTTTTTTTGATAATTGTTCATTTTGATTATTTATCTTTTTTGGTGTTGTTAACTTTGATAATTGCTATTTTATGATTTATTTTTTTGGTTCCTTTTGATTTCACACTCACACCACCTATACTCTCTTTTCAAACAGTGAAAAACGATCGATCAATATTGGAGAATTTGCAAGCAATGCCTCGTTATCTAAACATGCAGGTAACAGAGGAAACACAATGCCTTCAAAGAAACCAACAAAACGACGTCCATTCAATTCATTCTTGTCCATGTTGAAACATTTAGTTCCACCTCCACCACCTCCACCACCATTTTTGAACAGTGTTTCAGAAGCCTACGAGGTTGGCCCACCAAAACCCTATCACAAGAATATTTCAAATCCAAAATTGACTCCTGAAGAGGAAGAAAAAGTGAACAGTGCTCTTCAAGATGATATTGTCCAAGGAAAAGGGGATGACTACAGTGAAAAGTATTCCATTAAGAAACAAATTGGCAAAGGTGGACAAGCATGTACATATATTGTGGCTGAAAAAGATGCGGTTTCTGACAAGAAATTTTATGTCATGAAAAGAATCAAAATGAAAACAATTCAAGAGCTAAATCAGAATTTCAACGAAATCAAATCTCTCTATTCATTACGACATGAGTATATCAATTCGATTTACGACTTTTTCGTTGAACAAAAAGAATCAACGATCATTGCAGATAATATTGAAGGCGATGAGAAACAAAACCAACTGTCAGGAAAGCAAGAATATGTTCTTTGCATCATTTTAGAGTTTTGCAAAGGAGGTGATATGAGGATGTATTTGGACCGATTCAAAAAGAAGGGAATTACGACTTATGTGAGCCAGACACAAATTGTGAAATGGTTGAAAAAGTTAACCATTGCTCTTGTTTTCATTCACTCGAAAGGATATCTCCACAGAGATTTGAAGGTAGGTTTCATATCATTTTCACTTTAACAACAATTTTGAATGTTTCAGCCTGAAAATATTTTCTTCAATGATTTAGAACGAGAAGAACTTCGGTTGGGAGATTTTGGATTGAGTTGTCTTGTTAAATCGACAAAAGATGCATCTGTTGGAACCATCAATTACATGTCTCCAGAACAATGTAAAGGAGAAGGATACAGTGCGTCATCAGATATATGGTCTCTGGGAGCAATTATATTGGAAATTCTCACACAACGAACGGTGAACGTGAGAGAAGAATTAGAGAAGGATCCTCATTATGTGAACAACGTATGCAATGAGCTCAAAGATATATACAGCGAGGAATTGTTAGATTTTGTGTGCATGACCCTCCAATTAGATCCACAAGCAAGACCTTCCACACCTGAACAGTTGTTGGCCCTTGTTGAAAATATCGAGTAGTGTATAGGTGTTGACAATTTTTGGACCCTTTATTTCTTTTTCTGAGTCAAGGTACTTGGTGAGGTAGTGTTGTTGGTTGGTGCTGTGCCTGCAACTGCGCGAGTTAGGTGAAGCAATAAGGATGGATTTTTCATTTTGATAATGGTTGAGACTTCTTGTAATCTGGCGTTCAAAATAGCAACTCTTGACCTCATGCTATTGTATCTAAATGAAATATGTTGTCGAATAATGTGCTCAGGACTCTCTTGGATTTCAAGGCTCAATAGCTCCACAAATTTGTATTCCATATTTTGGACAAAATTTAAATGTCCCTTTCCATCTCTTTCCATAATCAAAATACAAAGAAAAGATTCTGGCTCTTTTATGCAGGCATTTAACATTTTGCTGAGCATCTTTGGATAGTTTGGAAAATCGACCATCAATTTTTGAGATTGTTGTAGTGCCAAAAAGTCTCTTCTTCCCATTGAATGCGTAAAATGGAAGAACAGATCAGCCTCGGAGGTTAGTTCCAACTTTACAGAAGCATCATCCTCTACCTCTCCTTCAAGAATTAAAATTTTTACTCTGATGGCCTCAAGCGTTCCAAGATCCGACTCAGATTCATTCTGATCTTGTGTACGTAATTCAATGGGTATTTCTTTATCAAATATCACTCGATGCCCTTCAGCGAGAGAAGGATCCATATCTTCAATGGCTTTGAAATCAATCCCGGTGAGCAAGGTGTTCACGTTTCCACTTCCTGGTGATGATGATGTAGGTTGTACCACTTGAGCAGATGGTGAAACTCCTGTTACATTTGAAGAAGAGCTGGCAGTGCTGTACAAGGATGGTGTCGATGAGGTGACTCCAGGCTTCTTAGGGGTTGAGAAACTGCTCATTTTTTTTGTTGGCCTGTAGTATGAATGGCGCCAAGAAAAATAAAAAACAGTTTCTTTCTCCAAATCATCTATCAAAAAAATAATGAAAAGTAGTTCAATCAGATGATGCTGTTGCTTTTAAGATTAAAGATCTATTTCTGAATCTGAACTGTTTTTTCAAAAAAATTGATTTTTCGCCCTCTAAAGACAAACAACAGTCACCAAATCGCTCTAGGTCAGAGGTCTATCTCGTTCGCTGCCAATCAAAGATTGGACAAACCATTTCAGACATTCCGTGTCTGCAGAACAATTTGAAACTGAATTTTAGTTATTCTGCCACGAGGAAAATGATGCGGAACACTTCCGACCTGAGTCGAAGGAGCTGCTGGGAGACGAAGGGCGGGAGGTTTCGCATAAGTTTTCGAGTGGATAGAAGAATTTTTTTTCCGGGAAAACAAGAAGAAACCATGAAATCAAGCAAAAACAAGGGATAGTTATTCTGCACCGAGGAACTGAAGTGGAACTGTTTCGCTGAAGTTTCGAGGTGATAGAAGCAATTTTTTACTGTGTTCCTGCAAACACTCTCTCAAAATAACAAACCGAAAAAAATGGATCCACAGCCAATTACACCACCCGCTACAAAGAAGAGAAAGGTAACAGAAGCGGACAAGATCATGGAACCAATAGAGAATGATCAACAAGCAGATTCAAGCGTTACAAACAATAAGAATGCTATCCGTCATTGATCACTTGGTCCCACTACACTCCCTTCAGAGAGTTCCAAACACAGTAAAAAAATTAATTCAACATCGATGTGCGAATTTGATCCAAGTCATGTGTTTTTTCGTGTTTGTTTCATTTTTGTCCTTTCATTCAACAGAGCAAAACTCAAAACTTGAAGAATTTGAAAACATCAAAGCTTTTGGAATTTTAATGCACAGGCCCAAGTGATCAATGACGGATTTACACAATTTTTGGAGAATCGATCAAAAAAGAAAAAGAGTTGTTTCCGAAATACAAGATCATGAAATATAGAGCACATTCATTTTCAACAAGCATTCATCAAAACTTGTAAATTTGTAGATGGATCCTCATAATTACTCATAGATCTTATCGTAGGCCATCATTTCTACAAGTTTTGGACCCATTGGCACATTGGTAAGGATATCCTCTGGAAAGTTAAAACTCTTGATCAGCATTGGAATGAGAGGTGTCAACGATTCACAAATTGAATTCATCATTTCATCCAATTGACCATACTGCTCACCAGAAATTAATCCATGTCGCAAGAAAAATCCGTATGTTGAATCCAAGTAAAGACAAGCAACAGCGCAAGTCGTTCTAAAACTTGTCCAAGGTTTTTGTGTTCTTCTGGAAGTGATCACTTCCAATGCTTCTCTCATGAATACTTTGATAGCATGATTCTCCACGTAGGCATTGCAAAGTTTGAGAGCAATATCTTGAGAACGAACGTTAAAATTGAAGGCATTTCCAATTGACTTTGTGGACCTGCACATCATTACAGAAACTCAACGAAAAATATGAAAAATCTTGGGATGATTTCACGACACATCATCGATGTTGTTTGATGAAAAAGGAAATTCATGCATCGTACGACGTATTGAGGCAATTTAATTAGCTCGGCTTTTGAGATTGGATCGGACCGGCCTTTGTAATCTGTTGTAAACAGGTTGTTTACAATAAAGCAAAATAGTAAATATTTATCGATCTATTGTTTTTCTTGATCAATTTTTTTTCTCGTGCAGCTATATTTTTGAAAAAAATTTACGATGTCCGAACCGCTATCATCATCACCAGAAGATTCATCGGAATCATCACCAGCATCACCACCTCCAGCATCATCTTCATCCCCAAAAAAACGAAAAGAGTATAAGAATTCTATCCCATACATACCAAAGAAAATGAAATATCAACTGAAAGAAAAAACAAAACGCGAAATAGAAATAGAAAAAGAAAAAACAAAACGTGAACAAGAAAAAACTAAACAATTACAATTAACTCTCAAACCTACATCCAACCTATCAACTCATATGCTAGTATTTATATTTCAGAAAAAAACCAACAACACATTACTGTTGTCGATGAAATGGAGCTCACGAACTGGATTACCCATAGCCAGGTTAATGATGGTATATTAAACCTTTTCACGCCTATAAACAGTTCAGTGGAGAGTGAGGACCATAACGCAATGAGTACAATCCTCGAAAAAATGGCACAAAATGATTTGAAGGTAAAGGACATAAGCCAAAAACAATATTTATCAACCCAACTTGATAGCAGCACATCTCAAGCACCAGATTTTACGTTCTACTTCAAAAACTATACCTTACTAGAAACATCTAATCACTCATTACTAACTAAAATTGCAAATATTGTTGGTGACATAAAAGCTCGTTGTAAAAGTATCGAAAACGCAAACAGTTTGGGCCAAATGATTTCATATTTACAAACACTTCTCATTGCTCAAAAACATTACAGAAAGTGTAATTACGGATTCATCACAAATTACACATCAATTATATTCCTAAAAGCTGAGATTAATGATGATGATATTGTTACTTTTCAACATTCAAAACCGATAGATTTCGCACCCACCAATAATATGGTAACTCTTGGTATACAAACACTTTATTCATTACTTAACACTTCCATTGACAAGGTGGATAGTATTGGGTTTTATCCATCAACAGCAATCAATTTAACTTCCTTTCCGAAGGTTATACTTCTTTGGTTTTTGAAGTACCTGATGGAAGAGTTGCTAAAATATGTAAAACGTTTGATTATATCATCTTGTTTGAAAACGAATATCAAACTTTGAATACTCTCAAAAATCATAATATTGATATCCCTCTAGTAGAAAAACTATCTAAAGGAGTTTTACAAATGAAAAAATTTAATCGCATAGAAAATACAGAACCTCCAACCAAACAAGAATGTATGGATTTAATAGACTTATTGCAGAAGGTTCATTCAAGAGGATATTGTCACAGAGATATCATATCAGGTCTATGGAAATGACGGAAAATTAATATTTATTGATTGGGGTTTTGCTTGTAAAGCTGACGAATTGACACAGTTTGCCGGAACAGTTTCATTTTGCGCAGATGAATATTTAGAATGTATTTTTTATCCCCGTAGTTTCAAATCTTACAAAACAAAATATGATTGTGAAGCGTTATTGAAGACATTTTGTTATTGGGCTTCTTGCAACAAATTTCAATCCTCTTCAAGAAATGAATTAGACAAAGCAAGGGAAGCAAGAAAGTTTTGGCAACGGTTTGATGAGCTTAATTTCAAGACCATTGTTTATCAGATACGGAACAGTACTGATCCATATGCTGCACTAAAGTCATTCCTGGAAAATAACACTGTCCTTTTTCCTTCTGACCTTTGAAACACCTCTCTTAATTTTTTAATGGAATGTGGAGTCGAATTTGTTTGAAGATTGAAGACCCTCATGAAAATAAATCGATAACAACTCATCATTAGCCTCCAGATTTGAAGTGTTAATGCCTTTCACACCTGGCATTGTAAAGCAGACTTGACTTTTCGTGAAAGGACACACTTACTTCCTATCCACATAGTCAGAATTTGGTTTCATGTTGGAGTTTGCATCAGAAGATTGGATAGGGACATTGTTGTGAATGATGTGAAAAGTTATGGCGCTTCGATTCTATTCGCCTCTTCTGAATTGCAGAATGGTAGAGAAATTGCACTTCATGCGATCAAACAAAATGGCTTTGCATTGGACCTTGTTTCGAAAGAGTTGAGGGGAACTAAATTTGTTGTATTGACTGCTGTCAACCAAAATGGTAAAGCCTTAAATTATGCATCAAGTGATTTGAAGATAGAGAAGTAGTATTGACTGCTGTGAATCAAAACGAATTTGTACTTGGCTACACATCAGGTGAGTTGAAAAATGAACGACAAGTGGTATTAACAGCTGTCAGACAAGATGGGTCTGTACCGAAAGAAGTGGTTGACGACCGAGAATTTGTGTTAAAAGTCATCAAACTCAATAGTCTTGCTGTTATTGGATCCAATGACTCACCATTTTGCAATGACAAGGAAATCATGTTGAAAGCAGTCTGCTTTACAATGCCAGAAATAATGGATATGCATTATATTTTGCGAGTGATGAAAAATGGATTGAACGGTGACATGAAAGGATGAAATCTTGTTATTTTGGAGCTTCTTTAGGGTGCTGTTGATGACGATGCTGAGTGTTAGGTTCAACAACGAAATTTTTGCTTGGAAAACGTCTCTGAATTCATTACAACCTACGACCAAAAAAATGCAACAACAATCACAAGATCAGTGGTTGGACATGTTTTTGCCAAAACAAATTTCGGATTTTTTACATCATCACGGGTTTTATAATCATCCAAAGATATATCATGATGAAAAAAAAGACAATTTCCAAGAATTAAATTTAGAGCTGATCCAATGGTTGGAATATTATTTTGTTGTCTCGTTACAGGCAGAAGCAATTCGTAATCGATTGCAATCGACATTAATTAACTCTCTTGTAGAAAAGGAAAATTATTCAGCAAGCCGAATGAATTCAATTCTAAAAGAATTTGAAAGAGCTAAACTTTTCATATATGACATGATCCAACACAAGAATGATTTCTATCATTCTACGGAATATTTAGAGTCTTCCAATTCTTGTGAAAAGATTCCACGAATTATTAGACTTTGTGATCAATTAGAGCTTTCAAACAAAGAATTTATGGCATTTGCCTATGTTTTAGTTTGCCAGTCGAGCAGTCTTTTAGCAGAATCTCTCATTGATCATGGCACAATAGCTTCCATGAATTTATCAGCCATGACACGTGCTGCGAACATGAACACAAAAGAAGCTCTCAAATTTATTGGTCAAGATCGACTTCACATTCAACAAGGGCTTGTTGTTATTGATTCAAGTTATAAGGATACTATTTCTTCCTATTGTGTCAAGATGCCAACAGAGTGTATCAATGCTCTCATTGGTATTACCTTAACAGCAGAAGAGTTCTTAAAAATTGACAAGACCAAATTATCTGAAATTTTGTTGGAAGAGGAAAGCTTTGTATTGCCAGGTATAACAACGAAATGTCCTCCTACGCAGAAATCATTACCACTTGATGAAGAGATTAAACTGGATGAACTTGACGATGAGCTTTTGAAATTACAAGCTGAAATAGGTGATCAGGAGTTTGACGTGTACGAATTTATGCAAAAAGAGAAAAATGTCGACACTGGTACCATTCCAATTAAGGAAACTCATACGTCCAAGAGCGATGAAGATTTCCTGGCACCATACAATAATGACATTGAATATCTAGATGACAGGTTCCAATATATTTGTGCCAAAATCCGTTTAAGAAATGCTGAGATTGAAAAAATCACAGAAGAGAATGACGAAACTTACAAAGTCTCTAGAACAAGAAGTCATGAAAGTGTGATTCGTGAGCTAAAAAGCAAATGTCGATTATTATTGGGAAAATGTGAGAAGAGGATGAAACAAACAACAATCATTCCAAGGTTAGAGAAGCTTGCACAAATGAGAGGACTTGATGACTTTGAAAAATGGGTTCTCATTATGTGTACAAGTTCAATCATTTGTTTGGAAGTTGTCATGGCTGCAAATTCGTCACATCGTATGAATTACACAACGAGCTTTAATGTTGGTTATATTTTATGGGTGTTATGTGACGACTTACAAAGTAGAATTTCTCATCGATCCTATTTTTACAAACAATCGAAGCTTATTTCAGACTGCATGATACGGCTTTCAGACAAACTGAGTGATGATTTGATGGAATGTTCTGTAGATATTGATCGAAGAATGTTGGATTATTTGTGTGGTCTTGATTTAGAATTTTCACATGTTGTAGAAGGCTCTCATTTGTTTTATCCAAAAATCAAATTGGAGAATGTAGTGCTACCTGACTCACAAAAACAATTAATTGTGGAAACAGTGTCAAATTTTGAAAAATTCAAAAAGGTCAGAAAACAATTAGGATTTGAAGATATCATTACCTATGGTAATTCAATTGTCATGCTTTTTTATGGAGCTTCAGGAACTGGAAAAACGTTAACTTCGAACGCACTTGCGAATTATATTGGAAAGAAAATGTTACTTGTTAATTTTTCAAACATGACGGAACAAAAGGGAGACATTCTCAAGTATGTTTTTAGAGAAGCCAAGATCAACGATGCTCTTTTGTTTTTCGATGAATGTGATCAATTCTTTGAGTCTCGCAAAAAATCAAATTCAGATGTCACTGCCTTATTAACAGAAATTGAGAAATTTGACGGTCTAATTATTTTGGCCACTAATAGACAATACGAACTTGATGAGGCCATGTACCGAAGAATTACTCTTGCTGTGGAATTTAAATCACCAGACTCATTGTTAAGAAAACAGATTTGGAGAAAACATATCCCTTCTGGAGCACGACTTGCCAATGACGTTGATTTTGATCAATTATCACTTGATTTTGAGATTACAGGAGGTCTTATCAAGAATGCAATTATTACTGCACTCTCGTTTGCAGTTTCAAGAGACTCACAAAATCCAATCATTTGTCACTCTGATCTTCACAAAGCATGTCAATTCCAATTGAAAGGATACTTGAAATTGAATGACTTTGAACGTAAAATTATTCCAAAAAGAGGTCTTTCTGATTTGATTATTTCTGAAAATTTAAAGAACCAAGTGAAACAAGTGATATCCTTCGAGAAATCGAGAAAAATTTTGTTCAATCAATGGGGATTTGAGAATTCTATTGTTAAAAAGCAAGGAACTACTGTTCTCATTGTAGGTCCAGCAGGAGTTGGAAAATCATTAGCAGCTGAAGTCATTAGTTATGAAATTGGACAACCCATGAAAGTTATTGATATTAATGAATTAATGACCAAGTATAGTTTCAACACAACCAAAAATATTGAAACTCTTTTTAAGGAATGTAAGGAAACAGGAGCGTTGTTAGTGTTAGAGTGTGTCTCAGATTCTGATTCTCATGGCTCTCAATTGGATAAATCTGTGAGAATCATTTTAAATCATTTGGAACATTTTGAAGGAGCAGTAGTCATGATAGCTTCGTCATTGTCATCTCTAGACAGCTCACTGATTCGAAGATTCAAATTTGTGCTGGAATTTTCTCACCCTTCCGCCAATGAAAGAAAACAATTATGGAGAAATTTAATACCTCAAAAAGTTCCAAAATCTATTTCAGAAACAGATTTCGAAGAGTTGTCTGAACGATATGCAGAATTCAGTGGAAGTAACATTGAAAATTGTATTTTTAGAGCTTGCTCCAGGGCTGTCATGGAAAGCTCAAAGGATGAGAACAAAATATTGACTTCACGACTTTTATTTGAGGCAGCCGAAGAGGAATTGAAGAATTGTGGACTGTTCATGACTCAATCAACAAAATCATCTCTTTATTTCTAGGATCAGTGTGACATGACAATGAGATGGATCAACATTAAATCTTTGTATATTCCAATTCACCAACCATTCAAAAATTATCAAAGAAAGGAAAGCACAATTTGGTAGTGAACTGTGTATTCTTTTTTTGGATGCAGATAAAAGACAACCATCAAAAAACACTCGAAAACTCCAAAGGATGAAATCTTCTCTATTTCTCTATTATTCGTGGTAAACACACTTATCTAGCATTGCCCTCTCCAACATCTACAGTCAATACACAATACACACTCAAAGTGTTTGCTCTTCGAGCATTCTTTCACAGATCACCAGAGAACCAAATTTTCTTTGGAATGAAAGAAGGACCCGAGAGTTCCGTCACGAAGTGAAAATATTGTTTCTCATTCGGTCAACAGGATGGAAAGCAAGCATCTTCCCGAGTACTCGAAATTTCTTTTTTTAATGAAATCAGTCAATGAAAATAATATTTACTGATTTGACGAATTTACTGATTTCCAAAAAAGGTGAAAGCCGTTTATTTAACCAATGTATATTCACTCATGCTCTTCTCTATAGTGATTGTGATGAAAAACTCTTCCATCAAGAGTATGCTTTCCGAATTATTTGCGAGTGTTGAAGAGGTTACTCCATTGGCGAGCACATTGATAAAGTTATCTGGTCTGAACAATTGACCTTGACTGCTGTGTTTGAAAACTTCATGTTTCGAAAGAGTAAACAATAAAATTCGTTTGTTAATTAAAGGAAGGACTAATGGGTTTGTGGTCTCTCCAAACACCCGACCTTAATAAAGGTCCGGTGTTTGTGGGATTTTCTGCATATTTTGTCAATTGACTTTATTCAGCAACTTATCAGACTTCACTTCTCGTAGTTCATCATCGATAGTAATTTCAGTTCTATTGGACATGGAGGTTATTATATTTCCAATCTCAACATAAACCTTACACAAATTGTCATGAGTGTTTTTCATCCTATCTGACTTCTGTTGTTGGTCAAGAATTGATTGCAACTTTTGCTTCTCTTTCTCCAGTTCCTTTTCGAGTGTTTTGATTTGAAATTGTAGATGTTGATTAAGCATGGTGACCTTTTCATATCTTTTTAAATGTCATCCTGTACATTGTTTGCACTAATGGACAATTGTGATTGGGTTGTCCCAGAGAGGGGAATCATATTATCTTTTTGAGAGAAGTTGAACGGATCTCTCTCAAAAGATGAAGAGGTCAAAGGGTGACATTGCATAGGTTGAGATTGAAAGGGTTGAGATTTTACAAGTGGAGACTGTATTGGTTGAGATTGCATTGGTTGAGAAGATTTCTCCACAGGATCCTTTTGAGTGGAGAATATAGGCACTACAATTTCTTTTTGAGGCATGACGTTTCTGGATAAAGGATCCTTTTGATGGGTTGAAGAATTCAACGAGTCCATATTACAGGCTGGGGAAGTATCGTTGCTGAACAAATCATTTTCCACTGAAGGCATTACCAATTGGTTCGTGTTTGAATTGATAAAATTTTGAGAAGTGATTAAAGGTTCACTTTTGTCCCATACCATGCAGTCCATCCTCCAGTTCTTCTGATTCTTATGCGTAGAGGATGGTTCTCCCTCTAATTGATTCTTCTTTGAATGCAAAAGCTCCAGAATTTGTTTTACAGAGTTATAATGCTCTGCTTGAAGAGCTTCCTTCTCGGTTTTTGAAGAATGTTTCTTCTTCTTGCTCTTACCAGTTTCGTCTGTACAAGAAGGTGTAGAGGAGAGTAACCGTTTCTTCTCGAGAGAAGAAGAGCCTTGTTCATTTGAAATTTGAGACATGTTGTAAAGCAGCACAGAGAATTGCAGATGTTTTTTTTTGATTTGAAAATGTAAAAAAAAACCGCTCCTGGCATTTTGAAGGGTCGACCTTTTCCCAAAAGAGTATACTGGCTTCTGCTCGTGCTTTTGGTAGAACAATCCATTCCACATTTTGAACAGCAATGATTGGGAGATTCAAACCAACAATAACAGTTTGGAGGAGAAGAACGAAGGTTGATTGGTTGTTGTTGGAGTTGGAGGAAAAAGTATTCTCTTGAATCTCTTTGTGTCGAAATGTTTTCGGAAGGTGGTGAGAATGATTGGTTCAATTATTCAAGGAACCTCACCGTAGATGAGGAGATTTGAATTAGGGCATCCAACGAATACCAGGCCAAGCTTTTAGTTTAATATTTTTTTTTTGATCATGTCTCCAATTACACAAAAAGCTCATTCACAATCAGTATTAACAATGATCAAGACAATGAAGATGCCATTTTCGTTGATGTCAGGGCTAAATTTGGTGAAAAGTGTGACACTTTCTAATAAACGCGTGTTGGGACAATGGCCATTGTTTGCTTGACCGGAATTGTTATCTCTCAAGCGTAGAAAGGTGTAAATTTCCCAGCGAAAAATCGACCGTTTTATTGGGGAGAAAAGTTTGGCTTGCAAATGGATGCCCTAATTTGAATGGTGACACCATGATTCCTCACATCTATCCGTATTCTTTGCTTACTGTCATCCTAGAGCAAGAAAGGCAATAACGAAATTATCGTTGCCATCAACGACAAGAAGGTGCCAACGGCTCGTAATACGAAATGATGTGGATATCTTGAAAACGATGGGAGCGCCTGCCTCTTCGAATCTTTTCGGTTCCTAACATTTGACATTTGTAAAATACCGCATTTTGCTAATAGGCTCAAAAAAATTGTTCTCTTTCTCTCTCACCGTGTTTGTTGCGAGTGCACTCTGACACACAACGTCGGTGTTGATACTCAAAACAGAACTCTTCGTTCACTAGTGACAGTTCGATCCCATTAGGCTCCTTTATGACTAGCATCAACAACAGCATCAACAATATGCTTCTCGATTCGTTTCTCTCCACTTTTCTCAATCTTCTCAACACGCTATGGAATCCTCCTCCACTTTTACCCATCACTGTCAACAGCAGCAGCATGGCATCATCATTTACTGGTGGTAGGATTGATGACCAAACGCCACCACAACTTGTCTATCAATTTCTCTCCAATGCTTCCTTCTTTCCGAATTCATGGATGGATACCATGTTCTCATCATACCATCAGGACCTCTCTCCAAGTCATCATGGACTCTCTCACATCATCATGATGCCATTTCTGAATGCTCTCTACTCTGTGACTGCTGAATTGAATTCAACCAATGTACCAACGAATTCTTCTCCTATTTGTGACTATCGATTGTTCAAATTAGGACCTCTCTCGAGAGAAGGTTATAACGCAAGTGTCATTAATAATATATGTCCTGATTCGATATTCACACCCATTGTATCAGGAGTGTTTTTATTGATCTATTTGAGTGTGGTTTTGATGGGATTGTTGGGAGTGATGTGGAAACGAAAAAGTGGACATGTGAAAGCGAGAAATCCGGTGTGTATGATTTTGACCATTTTGGCCAGTTTGTTTTTTGTGACGTTTAATTGTTTGCGATTTATTGTGGGTATGTATTGATGATGAAGGTGTGTGAGTGGAGTGTTGGAGTCTTTGGATCTTGGCCATGTGATGAATTTAACAACCCTAATAATATTCAATTCAAATATTAATATTCAAACACAATAATATTGAAAATGATGCATGGATTTCATTCGAAATATTCCAATATTTGGTGTGGGTAAAACAACATTTCTTTGAAAATTCACACCATTGAACAACAACAACATCAGGTCGAAAAATCTTTCCTTGTATTCTATATACCATATCTTTCTTTGTTATTCCTCCAGCGATTGGATTACCAATGATCGTGAGATGCATTCGAATATTCTTCATGTACAAGGTATGTTAACTTGTAATAGTACTAAGCGAAGAAAGCATCATCATTACTCTGAACGAACATGATGAATCAATTCTTTCACGTTTTAAATTGTTGTTTTTGAAAATGTGAAAAAATACGAAACTGTGACAATATTTAACATTCTCATCAGTTGAGTACTCAAAAAACGACCATCTACGAAGGAAAGAGAAAATCTTCCAAGCCACCGATCGATGCATCCACAAGTCAGACCGACTCACGCACACAAATGAATTCCCTCAAACCAACAACCATCGCAGCAACAACATCTTCATTGACCACGCCCACAATGATCAATGGTCTTAATTCCATTCTAACCATGGAGAATTCATTAGAGAAAACTACTTGTAACAACAATGATGGAGAAACAGCAACACTCTCTGAGAAATCCTCTCAAATCCAACATGAGCAAAACTATCCTCATGTCGTTGTAGCCGCAACACCAACCAGTGATGTCATGATGAGCGTGATGACCAACTCGAACAATTTTGATACTACGACGACGACGACGACTAGTACCACTGCCACAACCACGACGACGACGAATATGATTCATGTGGAAATGAAAGACATTTCCATCGATCATCATCCTAATGACACATCCTCTAATAAGGATACTAACAGAGATACTGCAGAAACAAAATATGAGGATACTGAACCCATGGATGAAGACTCTCGTTCATGGTTTACCGCCGAACTCGAATCAGAAATTTCACAGAATAATGTTGAAATGAAAAAATTGAAATTCTATAGAGCATTAGTGAGCTACAAGTTTATACTCGCCCTTTATGCCATTCTATTTTTTGTTCATTTGGCTATTTGGGCAATTTTTGGAGCAGCTGATGAAGCAGTTTATCAACAAAGTGGAAAGCATGTATTCTTATGGAATGTTGGAATGTTTGTTTTTGACACAGGATGCGTCACAAACACAAATACTGTATTCTTGTTAGCTGCAGAAGCTTTCTTTTATATTATTGTTGAAATTGTTTTTATTATCATGTTATTCTTTGCAGATAGAGATACATGGGGAATCAAGAAAGAGACTTTTGTTTTATTAATCATTCAAATTTGCACTGCATTGGCTTATTTAATTTGTGGACAAATTGAAGGAATACGTTTCTTGACAGATTACTTTGTTCCATATGGATTTACTTTATTAACCTATTCACTTGTTGAAGTTTTCATATCTGTGGTGTTGCCAGTGTGTTATGCAATTTCACATGACAGAAAGGAAAAAGCGACCTATGCCGAGAGTGAAGTGGAATTACTCTTGAAGAATAAGAAGGCTTTTGCTTTATTACTCGATTTTGGTATGTAACTCTTGAAAAAGTATGCATGAATAGGTTCATTTATTACTTTTATCATTATTGTTTATGCTCTCATTAACTTTTCTCATGGTCTTACGATACAAAATTCGAACAGCCACACGAAGTTATTGTTCTGAAGATATCTTGGCTTATCAAGATTTTGAAAAATACAAAAAGATGTCCAGTAGAAACCGAAAGAAACTTGCTCTCACCCTGTTGAACAAGTACTTGAAATCAGGAGCTCCTCTTGAATTGAACATTTCTGGTTTGGATCAAAAACGTGCCATTTTAGAAAAAATAATTTCTGATCTTCCAGTACCTCCACGAGATTTATTTGAGGAAATTAAGATATTATGTCTGAATAATATGATTGATGTTTTTGAGAGGCTGAAAGCTAGTAATATGGAAGTACGAGAAATGGTTTCGAATTACAAGAGAGTCTCTCGAACCGAACCCAAAGTACAGAACTCAGATTAATCTTGTGGACTTCAATCATGCTCGTGTCTAACTATGCAACCGAACAATTTCGAAATTCCAAATTTCATCACCAACAATTGGATCAACCACAGATCATCTAATCTTGATTTCTTTCATTGACTCGAGTATTGTACGATTTAACAATTTTGTCAACAAAAATAAAAAGCAGACAAAACCATCCAAAGGTCATGCATGACCCGAACCTCAAGGACTCGCAACACAAGAACGAAACCAAGAGATTCTTCCGCATCCTCCGCCTTCCAAATGCAGGTCCCATTCGCTCACCTTTTTTTCAATCTTCAAAAAAAAATGTTGCGTCACTCCATCTCCAAAGTTTCCAAGACATCGACTACCGCTCTCTCCAAGAACACAACCACTGCAACTTCCATGAGAATGTATAGTGAGTTGAAGGGAACCAAGACTCATAATAACTTGAAGGAAGCTTTTGCTGGTGAATCCCAAGCAAACAGAAGATATCTTTTCTTTGCTGATAGGTAAGTGTGTACAAACGGTTAGAAGGAGTCGGAATGTGGATATATCTCACCATCCTCCCAGAGCTGATGTTGAAGGACATAGTGATATTGCCAGTTTGTTCAGATCAACTGCTGACGGTGAAACTGCTCATGCTTTTGGACATCTTGGTACGTGCTTTTCCCTTTTGAGAAGAAGTGAAACATCACATTTATTGTTATTGTTATTATTATTACCACCATCATTTAATTGTTGCAAATGATTTTTCTATCTGTGATGGATGACAAATGATGATTTAAATATGTGGATGAAATCATGTTATTAATCAAAACAACTCAATAATATTATGGCCAATAATCAATGAACACATCGTTGCAATAATGGGGAATATATTGAAATGCGGATTAACTCTCTCGCTTTATTGAATGATACTCCGAAAACAGAATTTTTGGAAGAAGTCGGAGATCCAGCCACAGGAGAACCAATCGGCGATACTGAAAGCAACTTGATCTCAGCTATTGCTGGAGAGACCCACGAATACACTTCAATGGTGAGTACTTTTTGTTAGCAATATTATACGACCAATCATTTTAATGTTATCCAATGACCAAAATGTTCATATTTGATTCAATATTAGTATCCTGGATTTGCAAAGACTGCTAGAAATGAAGGCTTTGATGATGTTGCTGAGTGGTTCGAGACTCTTGCTAAGGCTGAAAAGTCACATGCCAACAAGTTTACCAATGCCCTCAATAACCTCAGACATGGTCAATAAATAATTATTTAATTAATCCAAAGACATTCATAATAATTGGATCAAACAGTTTGATTCAAAAAATTACCTCATTCCATCATTCAGCGACTCATGAGGAAATTAACTTTTTGTGCAAGAAGAGCTCTTGCCTTCTCAGAATGTAAAAACTCTTTTTATGTCGATTCATGGCTGAAGAGAAACTTATTTGAATTTTCAGGATCTTCCTCGAGGTTTTTTAGCATCCAGTCCAAATCACATGATGATCCGAAAGGTTCGTTTGGAAGCTATTATATTGCTTATAATTCCTTCAATTGAACTTTCATCATGACATTTTCAATCTGTCTCATAATTTCCATCTTCATCATGATGATTCTTTCACCTTACAATATTAATTACAAAAAAATGGAACAATACTACACACAATGTCCGTCAGAACTTGCCTTCTCTATTCCCAGATTTCAAGAATTACTCAAAACTAAAAACATTGGCCGATGTTTCATTTATCGGGAACAAGTGGAGTCAACCATGGATGTTGCAAAAGCACAAGCCGAAGAGAAATGTCCCACTGGTACTCTCATTCTTGCAGAAGAACAAACAAAAGGAAGAGGAAGAAAAGGAAGAGCATGGAGCAGTGAAGGACAAGGGAAGAGTTTATATTTCACCATTGTATTTCATTTGAATATGGAGAAGGCTTCGGAATTGATCAAGCTTAATTTGGCTATTCCATTGGCTGTTGCTCTTACATTGAAAGATGAAGGACTAAAAACGTGTGGCATCAAGTGGCCCAATGATGTGTGGGTCATTCCGGAGCAATCAACAACCAGCAATGCAAAAAAGATCAGTGGAATGCTGATCGATAGTGTACAAACAGGAGAGTCTCTATTTGGATTAGCTGGAGTTGGTATCAATCTTAACCAGTCTTTCATGAGCAGCAATAACACACGTCAAGCAGTCGAAGAGAAGAATGAACTTTTAAATATTGCAACTTCTTACTTTGATGAAACCAACAAGACAGTCGAAAGAGAAAAGTTTTTAGCTCATTTCTGTAATACTTTGGAAGCCTTGTTAGGGCTCAGTCAAAAAGAAGTTTTAGTGTTGTACAAGTCTAATGACATTCTTCTTGGAAAGGACGTGACTGTCATTCCAGCTGATTCAAAATCTGCTCCTTATTCTGCTAAGGCTGTGGGTATTTCAAAGTTTGGAAATTTATTGGTAGAACTAAATGATGGATCAGGAGTTAAGGAGTTGGTAGCCGAAGAAGTTTCTATTCGTCCCATATTTTGAACTAATTTGATCCACTGATTGGAAATTCATTTCACAGCGCTGGAAGTATTTACATTATTAAATATTCTTGGTATACACTTTAACGATAACTTGAGAATGACAGTAAATTATTTCCTTCATGACTACCACTAGTAACATTCAATTGATGCACTTGTGGATCTGAGGAATTAGCCAAACGTCAAAACGGGCCATTCAGTCCCGACTCAAGATCGTCTCGTGAGCGAAAGTTCGTTGAGTGGCGAGGTTTGAGAGGCTTTATCGTTCTAAAAAAAAATGGCTTCTGAACACGACGACGCTTCTGCTTCTTCCTCTGCTCCTGCACAAGTTGATAACAACAAGATGGATGATGAAGTGCAAAGCCATCCAGAGACAAACAACCATCAAGATTTGCAGAGTGTTGGAAAAACGGGAAATTCTGATCATTCGGATGCCATGATTACCGACGAAGATGATCAAGCATCATCATCAGCACCAACCACTTCCTTCTCTCTTGAAAAGTTTTACAGCGAATTCCAAAGATTAATACAACAACATTCCATGCCAACAAGTGAGGGCGAAACTTGGTACATTGTAGAGGGAAAGTGGATGGGTGCTTTGGCCAATATGGAATCTTCTCACTGCTCTCCCGGACCTATCGATAATAGTCTCTTGATTTCTCCAGAGAGTGATCCACAAAACCCTCGGCTCAAAGATGGTCTACAAGAACAATCAGATTATGATCTTGTTCCAGAAGAAATCTGGAATTTATTTATTAGATAGTAAGTTCATATCTCTTTGATCTTTTGTGAACATAGTGTTGTAATGACACCCCTACAGCTTTGGAGGTGGCCCAGCTATTCCCAGAAAGACAGTCATTGTCAACAAGGATTCCATCAGAAAGACATATACAGTGGAAGTTTATCCATACGAAATTTCAGTTGCTGTAGTTACAAACGAAAATGTCAACGAACTAGATTGGGTTGACTATGAATTCTCAAAGAATGACACCATTGATGAGGTGTTTGAAAAAGTGAAGAGAGACTTCAATTTGCAAAACAAGGAGTGTAAACTATGGAAGGCAATTATGGATTCTCCATCTGAAGAAGTTAATGTATCTATTCTCAGAGATGAAACGTTAGAAAACTTGTTGGAACGCAAAGTCGGCCAGAGATTCATTATTGAAGTTGGACCGAAATGGTCAATCGATACATCTTCACTCGAAGAATCACATGCCAATGCTATGAGAACAGCCAGTAACTCCCGTATTCAAATTACTGGAAAAACTGCCCAAGAAAGAAGAAAAATGAGTTATGAAACTCCAGGAGTTTGTGGCCTAGCAAATCTTGGTAACACTTGCTTTATGAACAGCGGTTTGCAATGTCTTACACATACACCAGTTTTCTACGAGTATTTTGTTAATGATCACTATGTGAAAGAAATTAACAAAACAAATGTTTTGGGTATGGGAGGAGCCATGGCAATCGCTTTTGGAAATTTAATGAAGGAAATGTGGTCTGGTGAACATTCCTATGTTTCTCCTGTTGAATTTAAACGTGTTATTGGAAAGTATGCCCCTCAGTTTGCAGGCTATCAACAACAAGACTCCCAAGAGTTGATTTCCTTCTTACTGGATGGACTTCATGAAGATTTGAACAGAGTTAAGGATAAGCCATCAACAACTCCAGTTGAAGCAAAAGGAAGAGAGGATGCCATTGTTGCAAAAGAGTCATGGGAGACTCACAAACTCCGTAATAATTCAATCATTGTGGACAAATTCCAAGGCCAATTGAAATCAACTCTTCACTGTCCAAAGTGTGACAATGTATCGATTACATTTGATCCCTTCATGTATTTAACATTGCCCATTCCAGTAGAAAAAAACAGAAAGATTTCATTTTTAATGTTTCTAAATAACACTTACCCAGATGAAATCGAGCAATCGGTAGAAAATGATAACACCAAGATAAGCAACATGCCAATCAAAATATCATGCATTGTTAACAAACATGGATCTGTTTCAGAGCTTAGAGACGCTGTTTTAGATCAATTAAGCCTCAATCCCAAAGAAGATCATGATAGATGTCTTATTTACGAAATATTTAATAATAGGGTCTACAAATTCCTTTCCGATCATGATCCAATTAGTGGAATTTTGGACAATGATACATTACATTGCCAAATTATGCCAAAGATTTCAGATTTGAAATATAACGAATGGGTTTTTACTGGAAAATCTTTTGAAAGATTGCTCTCTCTACCACCTAACGTCCATGCACTATATTCTAGTAGACAATCATATGGATCTTCCAGCTCCTCTCAGCAATTACCATTCTTACAAGTTAAGCTTACTTCTTATGACAGACAATTCGAGCAAATTGGTTGTCCTTTTGTAATTCCTTTGGGAAAAATATACGAGAGTAAGACACAAGAAGGACAAGAAGTGGACCTTCCAACTAATGCAGACATTTATGAGTACTGCTTCTATTACATGCTTCGCTATTTCTCAAAGGATTTTCTTAACACCACTATGGAATATATCAAGCAGAACAATTTTAACATTTATGATCTATTTCCAACCAAACAAAAGATTGAAGAAATCAAAAAACGTGCCTTTGACAGAACAGCAACTGTTGATGACTCCTTGAACTCAATCTTTTATATATCCGACGGAGAGAATCATACTCGTTTTAATGAGGAAACTCTTGATGGTGTCATTCCATGTGATGATTCCATATTTGTTCCACCAGTTGAGCGACCAAATATTTATGGAAAGACGTCTAAAAAAACCATTTTCATGCACATTCCTGCTCAACACAAGAAACAGTTACTTGACTACAATGCTCTGACACAATTCAAAGAGCATCCATCTTTAAGCCAAAAAGTAAGCAGTGGCGAGGGTTGCTCAATTTATCAATGTTTAGAATCCTTTACAAGCATGGAAAAACTCAGCGCAAACGATACATGGTATTGTCCAACTTGCAAAGATCACGTTCAAGCAACTAAAAAGTTTGACATTTGGAAAGTGCCAGACGTATTGGTTGTGCACTTGAAACGGTTCTCGTTCACTAGTTACAGTAGAGATAAGATTGACCGTTTCATTGATTTCCCAATCCAAGATTTTGATTTGTCCAGTTATGTGAAATGCAAGGAAAACACAGATCCCAAGTATGACTTGTTCGCAATTTCTGATCACTTTGGGGGCTTGGGTGGTGGCCATTACACTGCATGTGCAAAGAATCATTTAAATGGAAAATGGTACAAATTCGATGACAGTCGCACTGCTGAAATTAGCAACGCAGAGTCTATGAAGTCTCACAGCAACTATGTATTGTTCTATGTTCGAAAAGAGTAAACTTTTTCATATTTATGCAAAATAAACTTTACCAATTTTGAATTCTTAACACTTCTATCATTCGAGATTATTGGCAGCTTTACAAATCCTCAAAGCCAACTCTTCCAAAGAATAAAATTCTTTCACTCCTTTCTTTGAAAAAAAGTACATGGCACATCGTTTTTCACAAATTTTGAATGCTTCTGAAATTCCCTCTGCAATGGTATTCAAGTACGATTCATGAGCCTTATTGATCACTTCTTGCTCGAATGTGCTTGTCGTAAAAGTAATAATTGGACAACCATCTTCAGGATGAAAGCCAATTAACATGATGTTCCCATACCACGTATCAAATAATTTAAATTCTCCAGTTTCTCGCAATTTAGAAATGATGTTTTCGTAATAATCATCTAATTGCTGTTGAATATGATTTCTACCTTCAAGTTTGCAATTAATACCTCCATTTTCTTGAGAAACAACATCCACAAATTGGCTCCACATAATTTTGTGTATTCTACCCAATACATGATTGGTATGCGAATTAAAATCATCATTTTCCGTTATGACACAATTGCAAACATTCTCATTAGATTTCTTTTTACAAATACAATTTTGCAAACCATTATAAACATCATCACCACAAATAAAAGGAGCATCTCGATGATTTTTCTTAATAAAACAAACTCCTCCTCCATGCCACGTTCTAGAAACTCTTGAAAATATCATTTGATATTCTTCTAATAGAATAGGTTGTGATTTCAAAGGAGATGATGAAACCCGACATCCACTCATGCTCGGAGCATTCAAAGAACTTCCGATCGGTTTTCCACCATTCAAATAGACTGAAAAACGTTGCATATTACAATTTGATCCATACGAGCAGTACCAAACATGGTGTTCTTGTTGTTGGGGCCACAGGTTGGAGGCAGACATTTTTTTGTAAATTAAATTATTAACGAGAATTACAATTTGTGGATGATAAAAAATCAATTTTTTCGTAATTGGACGTTTTTTAAAAAACGGATCATCAATCGTCTTCACCACTTTTTCATTCACAACGTTCCCTAATATTCCGTTTGATTCTAATCGTTAATTGTTGTGGCAATCTTTATCCCAATAAAAAATGTCCACCTCCAAACTGACACCACCGTCATCATCCTCCTCTTCCACTGTTGGGACAGACTCTTCTTCCATTCCTTCTTTTAAAGATGAAAGTTTCAGACAAGCAACCGTTCGTGAATATGAAAGAGTTAAATTGATGAGATTGTTTGATTTGGTGGACTACCATGCTGGCTCGGGCAAGGGGTCAAAATTTGTGCTCCGAGAGTTTAATACGAATGAAGATGTAACTTGGAAACAATTACAACAATCTTCTGTTGCTTTTAGTGCCAAATTATTGGAATGTGGAGTTCAGAAAGGAGATATCATTGCCACTTCATTGCCCTTTCTGAAAGAACATATCTATTTAATCTTTGCTTGCATGAGACTTGGAGCTGTCATTGCTCCCCTTGATCTTAGATTGAAGGAACATGAAATTGCAAAATGTTTTGAGGCTATCAAACCCAAAATGTATTTCTTTTTGGGAAATATTCCAGTGTCAGACTTTCGTCCAATGGTTAAAAATTTAATGAAACAATTTAAAAAGGATGAAGATGACACTACTGACAATTCACAGAGATGTGTCACTCATTGGATCCAATTTCAAAAGGAAAGTGATCAAATTATTGATGGAGCTATTGGAATTTTAGATTTTGTTGCCAATGTTAAAAAATTATATATTATGAACATGTTGAAATCAGTGTTCGGATATGGTGTTTCATGGTATGAACAAAACGTTTCACCAAAGGATCCTTGTGTTATTATTTTCACAACTGGAAGTACCGGTAGGTATTTATTGCATTCAAAGCGAATTAACTATTTATCAAACTTTTCGAACAGGCAACCCAAAGGTTTGTAACTCGGTTGTGATGTTTCAAAAATATTTACCTTGTTTAAGGCTGCAAAACTCTCACATGAGAACATTCTCATTCAAAACATTGGTATCAAGCGAGCATTCTTTGATACCTGGGCTGATCCTGATCGTGAAGACCTGATCATGATGTGTAATCTTCCACCTTCCCATGTTGGATGTTTCACTGAACAATTCTTTACAACTATTTACTTTGGAGGTGTTTGTGTCATTTTGCACATTTTCGATGCTGAAAAGAGTTTGCAAGCAATCGAAAAGTACAAGTAAGTTTTTACCTTGTTAATTGCTTGTAAATATAATATTCTTTCCATTTAATTTGGGACAGAGTTAATGCATTAGGACAAATTCCTGCTCTTTTCCAATTGCAATGGCGTCTTCCAAACTACTCAAAATACGACTTGAGTAGCTTAAAGCTCGCAATCTATGGTGGCCAGGCTGTCACTTCTCAATTTTTAGAAAAGATGCAAACAATGGCTCCCTATATTTCATCTGGGCTTGGTCTTACAGAGACCGCTGGATTCTGTACTTACACAAGGATAGGTTTGTAGAATGATAATTTTGGGAAATATTCATTCCAGTTTTCTTTTGCTCATCATTGTGTAACATGAACAGGGGCAAGCGTTCAAGACATCATGGCCAGCATTGGATATGATTCTCCTCTTTGTCCAATTTCCATTCGAGAGCCACCAAAACAGGTGAACGGAATTTGGGTGGCAGGTGATGAAAAACCAGCATCTCAAGTTGGAGAAGTTTGTTTTTCAGGACCTCAAGTCTTTGTTGGTTATCATGGAGCTGACTCTAACAAGGAAATTGAGGAGATTATGAAGCAAACAGTAATGCCAAAATCGATTGAACTGAAAGACAGCAAAAATCCCTTTGACTTTGTTTTATATACTGGAGATGTAGGATCCTACGATGAATTAGGACTACATTTTGCCTCAAGAAGAAAATTCATCATCAAACCTAAGGGTTATCAAGGTATGTACATGACCATCTTGTCAATGCCAATATTCACATCTCTTCAATTTTAGTATTCCCGTCTGAGGTTGAAGAATTTATTGAATCTTCTTTTAAGGATCAAATTCTCAGGGTTGGAGTTGTTGGAGTGGAGCATGAAATATTTTCTGAAGGAATTGTTGCCTTTGTTGAGTTGAAACCAGAAGTAACGTTGACAGCCAAAGAAATTTTGAGTGCTTGTCATGAAATGGCTGCTTACAAGAGACCTTCACATATTGTATTTCTTAAAGAACCAATGCCATTGAATCGTGTTGCAAAGATTGATTACATTCAACTCAAGACAATGGCAGAACAAGAAGTCAAGACATTGCGAGACCAAGGAAAATGGGACAGACAATAAATGATAGGACACAAGGAGTCCTTCGAAAGGTGTTTGACGAATTTGAAGGTTCTCTAACATTGTTATTTTTATCAGTTCAGAAAATGGCGACAGATAGATTGGAAAGAATTAAAATTCTTTAAAAAAACACTTGTTGTGTGAAAGATCCTTTCACTCCCATGACGAGAAGCTACAAGAAAACAGGAAGTGTTGAGTTTATTTGCTGTTGGAAATGTGATCGAGATTCATTACCTCTTCGTCTCGTTCATCAAAACAGATCCTATCGGAAACAAGCCCGAGACGCGGTCTCTCAAACTTGCAAAACCATCGATGAGAAAGTCTTGCAACAACTTGAACCCCAAAAAACCAAACAAAACCATCAAGGAAAATATTACCGTTTTTATGGTGAGCCAAGAGAAGATCAGGTTGGAGCTGAAGATTATCAAGACCTTCTCATGTTGTAAAAAGGTGATTGAGAGAGAATTTCACTTGTGCCTTTATAGTCGTTATTGAAGTCATTATACACTCTTTACCAATGGCAAAACGTGTGAAGAAAAAAGAAACAATTAAAACGAGAGGATTGTGAAAGTATCTTTGACCAAGACAGTACTGACAGTGAGACCGAGAAGGAGCTTGAACAGTGGAGGAATAAGAATTTCTCGTATCAAGCTGCTAACTATTACAAAACAGGAAGGATGAGTGTATTTATTAAGGGAATATCGATCTTTGAAATACAAATAGAAAATGTATCAATTTGTATACAATCCATTCTCATATATGTGTACATGATCCTTCTCACTCTTTTTATCACATTTGATCTCAAACATGCATGTTGTAAAGTGAAGGTCAATCACTATGAGAAGTGAGGGGAATTTCGCAGTGTTTCGGAAAGAAAAAAATGTCGCAACAACACACTTCACAAGTTGTCTCATCTTCTTCCTTCCCAGAGCAACAACAACAACCCACTCGTTCCGTGGTCGTTTACTGTGCGAGCAGTTCCAAGCTGGACAGGAAATATTTTCTTGCGGCAGAGCAAGTTGGAAAGGTTTGTGCTGAGAATGGTTTTTCAGTACGTTATGGAGGAGGAAATTCTGGTTTAATGGTACGTAGAGTGGTTTTTGAAAAAGTATTCTTAGTGAATATTCAAATACTTTTTGAAATTTTTAAATAATATTTTTAAATTCTATGATGCATGCACAATTGTGATGAAATGTACAATTCATTAGGGAACTGTTGCTAGTGAATGTATGAAGCATGGAGGACACGTCGTTGGTGTCATTCCAAAATTCATGATTGACAAACAATGGAATATGGAAAAGCACTTTATTTCCGAATTGATTGTTACTGATAGTATGCACGAAAGAAAGGCCAAAATGGTAGAGGATACTGATGCATGTATTGCATTGCCAGGAGGTGTTGGAACTTTTGAAGAATTATTGGAAGGTATGTCCTACTGAATTTTAAATTCGAAAAATAATTTTCAATTTCTTATTTCCGTTATCCTTCTAATATTCAGTCATCACATGGAAGAAGCTTGGTATTTATTGCAAACCTATTGTGATTGTTAACATTGATGGATATTACGATCCTCTTATTCAATTGTTCAAGAATGCAGTCCAAGAACAGTTTATGAATCCAAAGCATTTGGACCTCTTCTCAGTGGTGACCTCCGGTGATGACGTGATCCGTGCCATTACTACTGCTCCCTCATGGTCTTCGTCTAACATTGATTTTGTTGCTGAATTGCTCTAATAAATTCCAAACTTCAAATTTGAAAATCAAAATTCTTTAAAGTCAGACTTCATTCTTACAGGTTCTGCTACCATTGATTATTAAGAACGGAATTTTACTATCATGAGGATAATCTTTGGTGAGAGCTTTAGTGGCTCTCTGCCTGGATAAAATTGTCTTCGAAGAAAAGATTAAGGAATTTCTTCCTCCATCAGATCCAAATATCTTCTTTAAAATCTCGATGGACAAAGCTGAAATGACCTCTCTAAACTAGTGTTATGGAGTCGTTGCAAATCTTTTATATTCACATCCAATCTAGATGTAATCGCGAAATGTGACATGCGTCGTAGAATAAATAATCCGTTCTATCAACCAATTGATTTTACAACAAACACTCCATGTAATGTGCTCGATGAAGTATATTTAAAACATGTTTGATTTTAATGTGCTGGTAACACATATGGTTGTGTGCGCCTGAATTGATGCATACTCTCCAATATGACTTTTTAATAATATTATTAAATAGTTGTTTCTGATTTGATTTGTCTTAAAATTTCCTGAACTCTTTCCTCAGGATTCATGTCCAATAATTTTGATGATCCTGCCTCCATCTTCAGCTGGTAGTAAGGCATATCCGTACTCTTTCTGGGATTTCCAGAATTGTAGTGATGAGATGTATGCAAATGTGTGGTTGAAAGCTGAGAAATTATTTCACTGTGTTCTTGATAAATGTTTGCCTCTCCTGAAGATTCCTCACAAGTATTATCATTATTATTATTTACCTCAGTTGAGGTGTATTCATTGTCATGGTTGGTGGTTGTAATTTGTGGCTCTTCAGGTTGAGAGGTTAGAGTGATGGTGGATTGGTTTGCCTCAACTACTACTTGATCCACTGCTTGATCATTGTTATTGACTTCAATTTGGCTTGAAATGACTGTCACAGTTGGTGATGTTTCATCGCTTAAATGACTCGAAGAGGCATTGTTAGGAGTTACAGTATTTGTTGTTGTTGGAGGTGCTCCTCGTGGAGAGGTAATAGTTGTCCTTCTTCGTGACACATAAGAATTAATACAAAAGTTAGAAGGAAATATGTTGACATTAAGAGGGACCTCAACAAATTTTCGAAAAGATGGGTTAATCACAACTTGATGATAATCTGCCATTTCTCTCAAAATTATTTCGAAACTTAAACGTCTCTCCTCAACAACATCCTCATCAAATTCTACAATTTGTAGGATAATTAATTGCATACAATTTCCAGTTCAGAATTACTATAACTTGTTTGAAAACATACTCTTTAACTTTTTCTTTGGAAAAGCAGATAAATTAACTCCTCTTAATTTTGTCACCTCTTCGAATAATTTTTTAAATTCCTTGTATCTTCGACGTACACAATAAGTTTTCTTGATGGCCTATATATTCAATGATTTTCGTGTTCACGGTTCAATTGAATTGAATGAAATCTAACACTTACAACAACGGTTGTCGTGACAAGGTATGTGGTTCTTGCCGAAAGTCCAGATCCTAACACGCAATATAATGATTATTAACATCAATTTTTCATCCAAATTATAATAATTTTCGCGAGGTGAATATGATGATGCACACTCGATTTCTCTTACCTTCTTTCAAAGGATCGGAAACATAAACCACTAACAATGGAGGATCCGTTGGATTGTAATATTTATCCCCAAACAAATGATGATTTCTCCATTTTGAGCTCGAGCTCTCCATATCCTCCGTAGTAGTAGTAGTCGTTGTTGGTGAAGAGGATGAGGATGCTTGTGCCATATTTCTCTTTATTATATAATTATATAATTCCAACCAATAATTGATTGTTGTTCTGATTCAAAAGAAAGCCTCCGATGAAAATTCTCACTCTTCGAGCCACTCCAACAACACTTATGTGAACCGAAAAAAAGCCTTTCTCTGTTGATGATTTGCGGCGATTTTTTTCAACGTTGCGGATCATTAAAAAAGGAAATACGAGAGAGGATGTAAATTGCGAGTTGGAATTTATGAGAGGAAATCCTTCATGCAGGCTGGCAAGCAACAGGATGTTGTTGTTGTTGGAGACCAAGTGTTGTTTCATATTTATAGAAAGAGGACTTGCATTCCATTGACAATACTAGACAGAGAGAGAATTTGAAATTTGTTTTTGGTTGTTTAAAAATCATCCCAAATTTGTGTGTTTATTGTTGGGTCCATCACTTTCTAACATAAAATTACAACAACAACAAACATCACACGATCATTCTCATGTCCATTCATTGGAAACATGACCGCACCACAATGTCATCTTAACTCATGTTATGAGTGGGAGGATTCTCAGGGTCAATTTCACAAGGAGTAGTATCTGGTGTAATGTAGGCATTCGTAGTGAACTTCAAAGGAGCCATGGCCACACCAGGAACACTTGAAGTCACATAATTTTCATAAACCAATTCCACAGTGGCAGCAGTATATCCCTTTGGTGGATTTCGAATAAAGACTTGCCAATGGAATGGCTTGGTTTCTTGAATGACAGTCGAATTCCAAACATTAGCACCAATCACATAGGTTCTGAAATCACGAGCATTTGGATTTGTGGCTGACCATACATTGACACGGGTTGGTAATTTACCATTGGTGACCCTGAGTTTGATGATGAGACCTTCCTCGACGAATTCATGAGAGAATTTGTATTTGGGTAATTCGAGATTCTTCAAACGAGCGACTTGATAGGACAAGATGACTTGGAAAACATCGGAATTGGACAAGGAATGGCCAGTGTTTGGAATGTATCGAATATAGTCATCTCCTTCAATGGAGTCATAACCAACATCATTCAAATTTCTTTTTTGTTTCATCCATTTCGTGATTATACCAAATCAGATAAAATTGGGATTAATCGTTTCATCATTGGCATCCAATATATATCGATTGAAACAATAAATGAAACAATGTTAGTATCATCATCTCAAAAAAGACAATCATGACACTTACGGAGCAAAGAATTCATCACCCAAACCAAAGATTTGATACTTTTGAATGGATCCCAATCGAGGATAATTGGCTGGATCAATAATCTTGGCCAACTTGTTAAAAGCAGGAGTGTACAAAAAGTCAACCACATTGGCCAACACATAATCCTTCATGACCATAGGCCAAGCACACAAACCATTATAAACCGATTCGAATACTTTCTTAATTTCAAAGACTGGAATGACTGCTGGAATAATGGACTTGACACGTGAATCGACACCAGCAAGCAACAAGGTGGTCCATCTGTGTGTGTATGAGTGCATGAGTGTCAGCATCGTACGTTATCGTATTATCATGATAATGGTGGATGAGAACGCACATTATGGTTCGATTGGAAAGGTTGTTTCGTGGATGAAATAAAACATTTCCAATCATCATGACCATTCATCATTCACTCCTCTACATTCACAAAATAAAACAACAACCACTTACCCTCTCTTGGAAGCTCCAATCACAGTAAAATATTGAATCTCATAATTCACAGTCTTCTTTACAAAATCAACCACAGCGTCCATTGCAAGCTTACTCGCCTTAACCATTGGTAATTGAGTCACATACGAAGTTTGAGTAGTATCATTCAAGAAACGTGCCCAACCAAATGCAATAATCGCATCTTCACTTCTCACTGCTTGAGTTGGATCAGAGGCATAAGTCATGGGTTGATTTGGAATGTCGTACAAAGTAATACCAACACTGGCAGAGGCAAAAGCGAATGGAGTCAACACTGGGTCAGGTCCAGGAGGAGCTTGAAGATTGTTTCCACCAGTAATGTAGATGGTTGCTTGATTCTTGGTACGATCCAAAGTGGCAGGAACAGCCACAGTGGCATATTGGAAATAGGTGTTTCTAATTCCAACTTCTGAAGGTGTTAACCAACTCAAAGTGGTGATATTCAAGACATAGACGGTAGCGACTGGAGTTGGAACAGTGGCGAGTAATGAGTATGAAAAGACACTCTCTGGAGTTTGAACATAATTCTTCAAGACTTGGGAATAATCAATGGCTTGTGTGGAGGAGACAAACAAGAAGAAGGTAACGACCAAGGAAAGCACGAAAAAGAATGATATTGCTGTTGTTGGTCTCATCATTCTGGTGGTGTGTGAAATTTTTTTATGGCTGTGGAGTTATAACGCACGTCAACATTTTTGAATCGTTGTTGGTGTTGTCAGATTTGCTTCTTTGAGCAATTTTATATTTTTCATATTGGAAAGTGAAACAAGGTGACAGCTCAGGAAAAGGAAGGATTTTGATATTTGGAGAGATGGTGCGAAATGAAAAGTGTTTAAAGAGTGAACCATTAGGATTGGTGATTTGATGAATTCCTTATCAACAACCTGACTCAGGTTAAAACCAGTGTGTGTGTTTGTGGTTATAAAGACGGATGACATTACAGTTGTTCCTCTAGTTCAACAAGTTTACAAACCCATCCAATAGGTGAACTCCATTTACAGTTTTTATTTAAAAAATTGTAATCCCGTTTTCCATTCCGCTTTTTGTGTTCATTTCCGTTTTGCGTTGTGTTGTTCTTATTATTAGTGATGTTGACCTCCCAAAAATCTTGGACGAACTTGGGAAAGTGCAATTTCAAGTTTCCATCTGAAAATCTTTATAAATAAAATTCTCTAAAAAAATATATCGAGTTCATCATCTTTATTCAGAATTGAAACAAGCGCAAGTGAGTTTAAACCACAGCAACACCAACAACAACTCGAGAACCATCCTCAGACATCATCATGGAGATCACAGGATTATTTGGTTGCCATATCACCGTTAAAAACGAAGGAAATAGAAAAGAACCCTCATCGGAACAGGTTCAAAAGTTTTCAGACTTGTGCAGACAAGTTTTAAAGTGTAAGCCTGTATTGGTCTTGTATCCGAGTGAAGAATATTATCCGATTGAGTCTATAAAAAACAGACCTCAAGAATTGATGAGTTCCAGCTACCATTCAGGAAAGAAATCAGATGTTTTAACTACCATCCTCAAAATGGCAGAAATAATCAAAGAGAATGGTTTTGAACTATTGAGGGTCAAGTTGGAGGCTATGGCTAATTGTAAGAATATTGAAAGTGATGCTTCATCAAATAATAATAACAGTGGAGATAACGTCAAATACTTTGAATATCATACCAAAATTTACTTGAGAGGTGATGATTATGTACAACAATTGAAACATTTAGATGAATTATTAATTCAAGAAAAGGTTGCCAGAAGTCAAAATCTACTCGGAAAACACTATGACCCTTGTGGACACTTGTTGACCTTCAGATGGTTTAGTCAAATCCCAAAGAGCGAATGTGACAGACAACACAAAGAATTTCTTGACAAATTGAACAAGCATTTCAATGGAGGAGTTGGCATTGAGAGTGCTGAAACTGAAAAAGAGTATGCTGTATATGATTCAAATATCTATGTTGACCAAGGTTGGGCTCCAATTTCTCCAACTGAGTAGCATCCGATGAGGGAGATCTCTTTGGTAAATAGAGTTATCTCCATGTTCAATGGCTGCTGAACGGAAAATCGAATGATGAGTCTCAGGACTTTCCGAAAAAGGGATATGTCTGTTTGATCTTTGCACTTCTGTAACTCATTTATCCCACATCTTTTACTGGTCACTCAATATTTATTATTAATAAATAATAATTTGAAAAGTCACTCCATTTATTCAGATTCAGAGAGCTTTCTGTAATTCATTTCTAAACATCTCCGTAGCTCTTTCGCTTTGGCCATCGAGCTGATTTGCTGGAAGTTAATCTTTTTCATTGCGCTCAACGAGTCACGAAAGAATATTTCTCTGCTTGCGTCCCTTACGAGCGGTTGTTGGTGTTGAAACACAAAAGGTTCACTTGCGAGATTTTCTCCAAAATTGTAGTGCAGTAAACACTCGTCGTTGGGAGTGGAAAGTACCTCCAAGATGGGAAATATTGAGGCGTGAGCAATGCGTTGGTGGAGAGAGGCAAAAAACAAGAAAACTCCATTCATGGTGAAATAGACCTCGCCTTGATTTGTAAATCCACATCCAATAGTATCTCCACAATGCGCCACAATTTCCAATTCCTTGTAGAGTATCTCTTTTTGATCTGCAGCAATAAACACAAAACCATCTTGGGCATGATAAATATATTTTCTCTCAATAGAGGTCTTCTCATTGATGGAAGATCGTGCAAGGATTCCAATAGCAATTTTAGAAGATACTAATCTATGAATTTGCACCTCATAATAGAAAATAGTAGAAGTTGAGCTTCTTGCCATGTCTTTCATACCAAAATTCTTTGGAGATTGGCCAAATTTGATCTTTTGCTCGACTGCTTGTGGTTGGAAGAAAAACAGAGGATCTTTGGTACAAATGGCCATCTTGGTCGTTCGATTGGAATGAAAATAAAAGGTGCGATTATTGTCAACCATTGTCAGCGGCGAGCCTGGTAAATTCAATAAATGTGAAAAATCAACAGGATTTAACGAAACAGGAGAGAAACATCCAAGAAAGTCATTCACAATTTCCTTATCGTTGCTGAGAAGGTTTGAAGGAGGTTGATCGAAATGGCAAATCTTAATTTCTTGAGGATTCAAGTCATTGCAAACTAATTGATAGATTAAAGTTTGACGATCGACATGGGCATAATTTTTCACAAGTCCAAACGTTGAAGTTCCGTTCGGAATTAAATAGTACGTTGAGTTGGGCAGCCCGCAAATATTTGAATCTCCTGTAATGGCTGCAAACTTGGTGTTGCTGACACCGCTATAGGTTGTAATTCTTTCTAATTGGTGATAATCATAGAGGAAATTGTTCATAACTCCAAGTACTGTTTCAGCAGTTTTCTCATCACCTCTATCAAGTGACAATGTCAACAATTGTCCAAGTTTCTTCCATATTTGTTTGATGTGTGGTCTACGATGGTGGAATGGTATTTCATTAAATGCCTCAACAAACATGGGATCCACAAAATTGTTCAATGATAACAATGTTGAGTATCCTGGTTCGATTAAAGATATGTAGGTTGAGATACCTCGAAGTAGTTCAGTTTTCTTTTCAGGGAGTGGTTCGTCAATTTTACCAATCTTTGATTTGTGTCGCTCAAGCCAAATGCAATAACCAACTCTGGCCGATTTGTCATATTTACATAACATAAATACTACTCTCAAGCAAGGTAGTGTGTAGAAAAAGTTAGGGTTAGTGGAGATTTTGACATGAATAAAACTTAATATACAAGTGGTAGAATATCGTCCTAAATCATCAACGAGTAATAATGACGTTTCATTTCTCATCTCTCGTATGATTCGTTTGATACGTTCCTTGTTTGGCTGTCCATCATAATAGATCATAACTTTTGCAATGATATTAAGGGTATTTTTGAAAATTTCATCAAACATCTCAGCAGGAGTCTTTTGTTGTTCTGAAAGGATCTTATGATCAGAAAATAACTTTCTCGAGACATAGAATAAAAGAACGGGAAGCACTTTGTACTCTGAAATGAGTTCACAACATTTGGGTCTTAATTTTTCATTGGAAATTAAATCTTTCATGCCCAGAATGGATCTTGTCAGGTAGGCATTACTAGAATCGAGCCCACTTAAAAATCCCAAAATGGATTCTGGTTTGCTCAAAATATTTAACAGTTTCGAAGAGTCATTATCAAAGATAAATCTCCAAGTTTGGATGATGGTGTGATCTAGAATTTCTGCAGCACTTTTTCGTTCCTCTCTTGAGCAAACCATCATTTGGACGATGCGTTTGGTTCCTATATCAAAAACGTGATCATGGATAAAGTCAAAATAGTAACTTGACCTCATGAATGACCAGAAATCAGTGTTGTGTCTTCGTGCTCGTTGATCAATTAATTGCTGGAAATCTTTCACATTCAAACCAGCTGATAATTGCATGAATATTATGCCCAAACTGTATACATCCACTTTATAGTCGTACTCTGCTCCGGGTTTAATCTCAGGTGCAACATAGGCTCTATACAGAATTGTTGTATATTTAAAAAGGCAAGAAGCATGTACAGTATGAATACATACCTTGTTCCACATATGGTGGATGTCGAGTTTTTGTGCACCAACTGTTTGGCCAGTCCAAAGTCAATAATTTTCAAAGTGATTTTTCGAATTTCTTGTTCAAAATTGTTTCTTAAATGTTCCGAGTTGTATTGGACAATAATATTCTGAGGTTTAAGATCTAGCATGTAGTACATGATATATATTGTTGTTAAGAATAATAGAGTGATGAAAATATATTATTATTGATTATATAATAGAATAATTATAGATCATCATTGGTAAGAACAATAGATCATCATTGTTAAGAATAATGAGTGAAAAGGACCACTTGTGATACGAACCTCTATGAATGACCTTATTTTGGTGAAGATAATGCAATACCTCAAGAAGTTTAACAAACCATAAAAATCGGACGTCCATCGATAAGGTTTTTAAACCCTTGCTCTCATTGCTAATTTCTTTCAACTCTGCCAAGAAATGATCTAAATGTTTTCCACTGCAGTATTCCATTAATATACAATAATATCTCTTGTTGCTGTCCATAAATGAGTCATAATACTTTACAATGTTTTCATGGTCTAACATCATCATTAATTTAACTTCTTTCTCTTGATAATCATTGATAGTAATTCGTTTCAAAGCATACTGTACATTGGAACCCAAATGGACCACTCGAAATACAGCTCCGAAGGATCCTTCACCTAATTGTTCCAAAAGTTTGAAAGATTTTGAATTTTTGATGTCCGTAATAACATCTCCGACGCTCCAGTTATAATCATAGTAGGATTGACCAATATTGCCATTAATGATTACATTCGTGTGATGTGAATAATTGTTTGGAGAAATAACAGGCAGATAATGATTTTCAGGACTTGCTGATGATTTCTTTCCTATTTCAGAAAGTCCCATCAGATCATACTCTTCGTCATTGTTGGGGGTTGGTTGTTTCGTATTTTGAATTTCAGAATTTGAGTAATCCAATTGACCAAAAGAGTCAACATAATTATTACCATGTTGACCTGTATCTATTTTCTGATGAGGAAGAACTCGTTCATTAATAGGATCCAAAATTGACCGTTTCACATTTGCATTCTGAGTGGATAGAATCGGCCTCCTTTGAAACAGATAAGATGAACCAAAATCCAACTCTACATCGGAATCTGTCATTGCATTTTGTGTAGTGATTGTATTCACATTGTTTTTCATTATTAATTCAACGTTGTGTTGGAGAGGAGGCGAAAAGTTTTGGTCAATATCATAATTTTCTTCATCATCATTTTCCAAAACTCCAAAAGACGAGACCATATCTCTTTGATTTGATAAATTATTTCTTGAATAGGGGTTATAGGTTTGTTGTTGTTGTTGGGGTGGTGGTGTTTGTTGAGGAATACTTTGCAGTCGACCTTCGTGATGACTTTCAACATCATCTTCTGTGATCACAAAGGAATCAACCATTTGGTTGGAATTTTGTTGGTTTGTTGAGAATGTGCTACTAGTCGTCGTTGAATTCGTTGTGGTGGTGGTGTTGTTGTTGTTATTTGCATGGACCGAATAATTGCTTGGAGTTGGGGTGAATTGTTGTTGTTGTTGAACCATTCCATTATTTTGAATAAACGGTTGCATGTGAGTACTACTACTGCTGGTGATGGCAAGCCTTCTTTGTCTGTTGTGGACGACTCTTCCCTCTTCACGGCCCAGAGAAGGAGAACTCGATGCAGAATCGGAAGAAGAGGACCCACCCATTGCAATGGGAGAGGCAGTGTTATTGGTATTATTCATGAAGACCATGGTGGTCGTGGGTGTGGTGGTGCGTTGATGATTCATCGTGAGGTGATTATTCCGAGCGTGTAATGATAATGGTATGGGAGAAGAGGATGAAGAGGATGATGGCCTTGAGGAAGGATTGTAAAAGGGTGATGAAAATTGTTGTTGGAGTGGATGCTGATGGAACTGGGAAGGAGATGATGGTTGTTGTGGTGATGGATGGTTCGGTTGCGTCATCGTTATGACATTTGTTTTGATTACGATATTCTAATTGGTGACAGACACAAAATGATCCAATGTTGATTCAATGATCAAAGCGAATTTGTGTGAACACCTGATGGCCAAGTTTTGAAATGCAGTGTTGTTGACGAGTGAAACGATCAATCACAATGGACAATTTTGGTGTTCTTTTTTTGTTGTGGAGCACTCTAGTGATCATTGGAGAAAAGGAAGTACAAATCCGAGTGTGAACACTATTTATTCTTTTTTCAAAACATACAGCACCATGTTCTTGTTGCGTGATTGATGGTTTCTCTTTGGTTTTTCGTTGGTCGTAGGTGAGCTCACATGGTTTGAGGAAGAAGTCACCACTTCAATTGCAACATCCATCACAGCCTCCTTATTACTATTTGTGACCTGAGGCTCTTGATTTTGTTCTGTTGATGTAGATTGTTGCTGTTTCTTTTTGTTCGATTTTTTGGACTTCTTTTTTGCTTGATTTTCAGAATTTTCTCCAAATTCTTTCTCAATAAAGGCCAATATTTCCCTTGAGAACTTTGACCACTCCTTGTCTCCACAATCTAGTTCTTTTCTCAGTGCCTCTTCGTTTGACAAAGGTAGGCCTCTTTGTTTCATCTTTAAGACAGCATCTCTTACTTGACCTTTTTTCATTTCATCAAATTGTTCCCAATGTACTTCTGTAATGAAAGGCATGTTAACAATGAAAAGTTGTGAACTCACTTCAACTTACCCTCAACATCCCTAGGTTTCACTTTGTAAATGCTGTTTCTACTCACAACAAATCCTTGCTCGTCTAACAAATACAAGACGTGTCCTTCCACCGCAAAGTGTTCATACTCGTATTTGTGTTTTAAATTGTGTTCTTTTCGATAATTTTCGTTTCTTTCCAAGCTATCTTTTTGAAGCATTTTGCACAATCTAATACAAGAATTATGAGATTCAAATGGAGTGTATGGAATTGGTCCAAATTCTTCCATACCACGAACTTTAAGGCATGGTCTAATCTTTCCACCTTTGTGAATAAAGAACAGTGGTTTCAAATCCAAAGCAAAATCGTATTTGACCAAGTGAGGTAAAGAGTTACCACAAATTTCTAAGGAAATCGCTTGAATGTCCTTGTTATTCAAAAATTCATGCAAATGAGGCATATAGTTTGGATGGTTAGGATCGTTGTGTATTTTCATCAATTCATCTCTCAAACACAAGTTTTCATACTTTCCAATAAAATCTTGCAAATGCAATGCAGTTAAGGTGCAGCTCAAGAAGTTACCAAAGTTAGAATCGGTGAGAGTGGGCATGCCCTTAGTTTTTCCCGAAATAAATTCATTGCCTTCTGCATCGTGATATTTGAACAGCAAAATGTTTGTTCCGTTCCATTTCTCACTCAGATAGTACGAAGCAATTCGCTCTTCATGATCAAATTTATCCACAAAATCGGTAAACTCCCTATTGTATGCATATCGAAGTTTTGGGGTGCAAAAGATGAATTCTCTCGCATCCTTTACGTTGGAATTATTTTCATCATAAAGGCTTTTTCCTGCAACATTAACAATGTAAAGGCTTCCTCCGATAGGTCCATCTCTTTTACAAATAAAACCAAAAACTCCTTGATTCTTGTTCATTTTGTCCAGTATGCTGAACGATCGAACGTCGAATTTGATGCTCTTGCATTTGAAAACTTCGTAACACGCATGTTTAGTCTCGCTAAAGGATGGCTGAAATCTTGTCTTTTTTAAATGTCCAGAGTATTCTTCAGAGTGTTCTTCGGAGTGTTCTTCTTCTTCATGGGAAGAAGCTTGTTGTTGATCAATTTTCAATTCGGAATCTTGTGAGGATGACATCACGGATGACGAACAAGAAGAGGATCTAGTGAGGTTTTTTTGCGAATTTGTTGTTGAATGACGAAAACATGTTCATGTACTGATGAAGGAGTGCAGCTTCAACCTCGAAAGTGCATTTCCTCTTGAATTGAACCATTTTTCTGTGTCCATGTTTCAATTTTTGATTCTTCCACATTTCCATTCCATCTCTTCCTTGCTTCTCAGAAAGAGACTGTGTTTGAATATATGGTAGTTGTGACCTGCCAGAAATTCTAATCATATGTAAAGGATTCAGTTTGTGGCACTGTTTGCTTGTCCTTTAATATTCCCTCACATTTTTTACAATTTCAAAAGCATCTCATCCCATCATCGATATTCTTTCAAAAAAGATGTCGAATAACAACAACAACAACCACCTCAATAACCCTGAGGAAGACTCGAAGAACCCCAATTCAGCCCTCCTCCTCATTAACGACACGAAAGCATCGCATCAAATTGAACTTGTGCTTGATGATCCTCCGCATGAACACCTGAACTCTCAACCCGAAAAATATTCCCAAAACTGCAGACCATCCCATCTCTTCAACGGAAAGAATTTAAAGCAATCGTTTCATCATCAAGAGAGAGGTGATTTTGAACATTCTCTAGAGGTACCATCGGGTGAGGAGAAGAGCTTGTTTGAGTTTGTAAGCAATTTGTGTTGCTCTGCGTTCAAGTTGTGCGATTGTCATCTATTGGGAGATCTCATGCTGTCGTTTTTAAGGAATATTGTTTGTTTTCAGTCTCTCTCAAAGACACGAAATGAGAGTTTGCAAGGTGTTCATGATCGCAACAGAAATCATAAAGTTTTTAAGGAATCATTAATTGTTGTGCTTGAAAGAGAGGCAAAGCACAGCGAAGCTGGTCAGTCCGGCATCAGTCTTGACAATAATTTTCATAATCGAGTGCCATCCATTGCAGAGGAGTGCTTGAAAATGCTCGAAGAAAATGCTTCTAAAGAGGGAATATTCCGAATACCAGGGCACGCCCTTGAAATTGAGAAGATTGTCACTGCTGCTAATTCTAATCAAAAGCTTAATCTACGTCTTTTTTCAGTGCACACCGTGGCAAGTGTGTTGAAACGTTTTGTTCGAGAATTACCTGAACCTCTCCTACCCAGCCACATGTACAAAGAATGGACCGCTCTTTCCACCTTGCACGACGTTCATGAAGAAAAAGAGAATCTTCTTAATTTATTTAAACAATTGCCAATCCCAAATAGAACTTTATTTATTAGAATTTTAAAGCTATTGAGAAAGATTTCACAGCCTCCTTGTTTGGAATCCTCAAGGATGAACGATTCCAATCTTGCATTCATATGGGGAATGAACTTCTTGCGTCCCTCAGACTCTGAAATTAGAACGGACATTGGAAAAGTGAGTCATGCCATCATTCTCTGCATACGAGAGTACGAGAATTTGCAACAATGTCATGATGAAATGTTAGTGAATGAAAGCCCCAGCCATAGTAATAAACGAACGTTCCAATAAACCTTTTTTTCCTCGCTGAACAAAACCACTTCCAGCACACGCATGAATGTTCAACAAAAAAAATGCTCGATGCTAATGATCACAACAACATGTTACTAGTTGACAATACCCGTTCATCATCGGAAGCAGACTTATTCAAGAGCAACCGCTTTCCGTTTTTGAAGCAATTGCAAGAATATTTTTCGAATTATGTAAATGATGATGAGACGAAGAGCATAACAGCGGCAAATCAAATACTCTCGTGCATCAAACTCTCGGAATGTCTGATCGAACAGTTGCAACAAGAGGATGTGGAGTCCATATCGATAGTGATTGAAATCATTAATAATATTTTGGACGTTAAAGGAAAGGATTTAGTTTCTCGGCGTTTGCTGCAAGCACCAATGATGATAATTTTAGTTGCAGATTCGTTCCGATTACTTGCTCATACTCATCAAATTGAAGAGATATCAAAACAACTATTGGATCTTTTGGTAGCGCTTCAAGAATTTCTGTTTCAACACTTTCCTTCTGTTCACTCGGAATACATTGGAGATTTATGCAAAATGATTTCTCAACTCTATGACATTAATTTGTTTTTTTGTCACAATAATGCTGAGTTGGCCGATACTTCAGGTCTCTCAATCTTATTTCTACCGACACTATTCAAGAAATTTTACAAAAAGCTGGATAGAATTTGTATGATTCCTATTCCCTTCGAGAAAACATGTACAGATATACAAAAATTTATACTTTATTTGCTGAAAGTATCACTCGAAAAGCACCCAATATTGTTTTCACAGCAAAGACAGATATTTACCATTGCATGCCAGCAAGTACGATTTTCGAGCAATGAAATCAAAATAAGGGCATTAGATCTAATCTATCTGCTTTGTTTATCCCAAAATTTCGAGCCCACCATTCACAAATTTCTTATCAACTTACTTGTAACTATATTCAACGTTGAGTCAAACTTTCCCTTGTATAGAACCACAGAATTTGACGACCTTTTGGCTAAAATTTTAAAAAACTTTAGACCACATTTACTCAATGTTTTAGAGAGTTTTGGTGTGGAACGAATGGATATGTTGGGAATTCTGTCAAAAAATTTATTTGCAAACATTTCTCAATCCAAAAGCGACTCTCTCAAAAAGGAAATTATTCACACCATATGCTGGTTTATGGACTACTCTATCAATAACTCAAATTTTGAACTTGTTTTTTCGCAGTCACTAGTGAAAGACATTAATGATTGTTTTAAATTTCAGGCTTATCATGATGAACTTGTCTACTTACTGCGAAAAATTCTTTCAATACACTATGTTGACGGAACACCAACCCACAAAAGAAAAGAATCACAAGCAGATACGACAGAAGATAATTCTGCTAAAAAAAGAAAGTCTGAGAACGGAGAAGATACTCAAATAAGTGAAGACACCACAAACATCAGTATGACCTGTACTCCGTATTCTGCTGAGTTTGGATCAAGATTTTTTGTTCTTGATTACTTGGAACAAAGTGAACAATTTTTCGAAACACTGAAAAGAGCCACTTCTAATTTATCTCATAACGAAATTCACCCTTTGTATATTCTAATAATGAGTGTTGCTCCTTTCAATCATAACAAGGATAACACAATTCTTGTTGAATTGATTAACATTTTTTCATCATATTTGAAGAATACCTTAGAGGTATGTATTTCAATGCAAAACTGCTTTCTTACATTCGTACTACCAGTATTCTGAAAAATGTATTAGAATTATTGACACATTACTTGAAAATGAAGCACTCAGTAATGTCTCAAGTGAGATTGTCAATGATATCACTTCATTTTCGATTACAATGCTCGAGCTCTATGCAAAGCAGATGGATCAAGATATATTAGATATGACCACAAAAAACTTAAACAGACTTTCTTCCATAACAGGTCGTCAGGACGTATCATTGATTTTGAAAGAAATGCTTATTAGAGAGGAAAAATGTAAACGGGCATTCATCAATAACTTGCCACTCATGATTAAGCTAAAAAATACCACTTTCGAGGAAGTCTACTCATCTATGAGAGTTTTGTTCAACGACGAGTCAAAGACTCTACAAGAATGTATCTACAATGTTTTACCATTTGTTACGGAAGAGTTGGCCAAGATGGGTTTTAAGTTTGAAATGGCAAATTGGGATTTTATATTACATGGACAGAAGTCGTCAAGTACAGATTTAAGAATATTATCGTTAGATTCTATCCTGCTTCTTTTTCATTTTATGACAAAAGAAGACTTTGAAAAATATAGCAAACGTTTGGATTTCTGCATGTTCGCTTTTGATGAAAATATAGAGATAGCTTCCCATGCAGCATCAAAATTTTCAAATTGGATCTCTCCAAATTCAAATGGTATCGTTCCAATAGAAGTTTTACATGGATGTGAGGGCTCTATTTCCACGCTTTTTAATAATATTAAGGAGTTTCTAAAAACTCATGCATCTACTCACTCAAGATTTTTAGTTCCTGTACTTAGAATGATATTTGAAAGCTACAGCACACACGCTACATTAATATCAGACATTATTAAGTTTTTGTTGGATTTGGCTATTGATTTCAAGCAATGCCCGTATGTCTATATTGCATTTAAAAAGCTTTCAACAAAAGAAGAACTAACTGTTATGAAGTTCATGCAAAACAAGATTGGGAACGAATTTTTTGATATTTTGTTCCAAAAATGGGAGAATCCCTCAACTTCTACCTATTTACAAAATGTCGCGCCCTCTCTATTTGATCTAGATTTTACAACAATATCCAAAAGAATATTAAGAAAAGTTCTTCCTGAAATTGTTGTTTCTGGAGAGCTACACTCAAAGTCTGCAAAGTTGGTGTCTATGACAAATAACCAAATAAGGGACTTACTTGTGGATCATATGGAGAAAATTTTGTCTGCTTACCTGAAATGCAGCAATAACCCCATCAAAGATCTTCATATGTTAACAAAGGAATGGAGTGTGCCATTAGAGAATCATTGGGGCAAATTTTCTCTTGGAGCCATTAAGCATTTAGTGATGGAACTTGGATTCAACAAAGAAATAGACACTAAGGTAATTAATTGCATCGATCAACTGGCCCAAGTTCAAAGGAAATCAGTACCCTCGCTATTATCATCCAGCATTTCTGGAGTTACAATAATGATTGCAAAATGTTTCAAGAAATCCAATACTGAAAAACAGAAGAGAAGAGTTTCTATAATTCCAAGTTTATTGAAGCTTTTAGATAAGGAAATTATTGTTTGTCACAAGGCATTACTCGAGCTTTTTTATAATGTGTTGTTTACATGCTCCTTTAGAGAAGATATTTTCCCAGTTTTTGATGAATTGACAGCCCAGCTAGAAAAACATTGTCCAGACCAACTTCTCACCGCTTTTACTCATCTATGCGAATTAGTGGATGACTCTAACTTTGGAAAACAGTTGAAAGACAATCTTGTTAAAATGTTGAAAACTGAAAAAGTAGATCCATCAAAAGTACAAATTCCTAGCTCACCACTACTATCAGAGTTGCATGACATAATTAACAAAGCTCTTGGTGGCTCTTTTGAGAAGAGAATAGAGTCTCTTATTGAGGGAATTGAACAACCGGAAGTGACAATTAAGCGAAACTCTTTGCTTTCTCTAACAAAGGTTCTAAGAGAAACCAAACCCAAGATTCAAAAGATCATTCTTTCGATGTTTGACCAAGAATATAATAGTTCAAACATTATTAACAGGATGGTAACGTCGCTCCTTGCTAACTGTAGCCACATCGATGACAAAATTAAGAATTTCAGTGCAATTGCTCTTAGCGAGCTTGGAGCCATAGATCCCTCTGTATTGAATATTGAACCTGCAAAAATTGGAAATCCAGAAAAGGGTGATGTTGAACTTTTAGATTTTTTAATTAGATATATAGAAAATTGTCCTGCAACTCCTAATCAAGCAAACTATGCAAGGCAAGAGTTGATGAAAGTGCTTTTCGAAGTTGATTCAAAATATTTGAAAGAAAACTTTAAGGACTATTTGTCTCTAAAAGAGCAAGGCCTTTCTTTGAAGAATCAAAAAGTTCAACCAAATACGACAAAAAGCCTCCCAATATTTAAGGAAAATATGCAACACCATACTTGGCTTAAAAATTGGTCAAAGTATTTAGTGACAAGATCGAATATAAGCTCCTTTAGAGGTAGAACCTTCTTAGCTGTACGACCTCTTTTCAACATTGACAAAGAACTTGTGAAAATTGTATTTCCATATTTGGTTCACAACGTTTTAATGACAGGAGATGATAAAGATAGAGAGGATATTAAGCAAGAAATTATGAATGTAATTAGCTACGACGTTTCAAAGTCACATATTGGAGAACAATATAGAACATCTGAACATGCACAAACTATTTTTTGCTTAATTGACGATCTTAAGCGATGGTTTGAATCCAACAAACACTTTTCAGAAAAGTATAAAGAGATGGCAAACAAAGCAGAGGCTATAATTAATGATATTCCACTTGACTCATTAGCCTCCACAGCTTATAACCATTCTGCATTTTCTAGATCATTAATGTACTTTGAGTCATTTATTCGGAAAATGAATAAGCCCATCAGCGAGCTTCCATCCGAGGTTTTGCATAATTTGCAACGAATTTATTCTGAACTCAAAGACAGAGATAGCATGGCAGGAATTGCTGCATTAAGAACTGAGACAAATATTAATGAAAGTATTTTAGATAAGGAAGTCGAAGGTAGATGGGAAGAAGCTAGAGATTTATATGGAATTATGTTAGAGCAAAATTTGGACAATGTAGACATTCTATCAAACCTCATGAAATGCTATATCAACTTGTCACAATATACGACACTCTTACACATTATTCAAGGTAGTTCGTTAGATAAGAATTCCAAAGCTTCCTTTGCTATACAAGCTTTTTGGAGATTGTGTTCCTGGAATAATGTTGACAGTGTGTTTGAAGATGCAAATCCATCTTTCGAAGTGTATCTAGCAAAAGCGTTATCTTCATATGTAAGAAAAGAAAAAGAGCAATTTGAAATGTGTATACAAGCTGCAAGGAAAGAAATACTTCCATCTCTATCTGCAGCATCCACTGAAAGTTACCTCAGATGCTATCCTGATATCATCAAACTTCAGGCGCTTTCAGAGTTGGAAAGAGGTTTCAAAATTTTCTTGAATGATGATGGAAACAGAAATATTGCCACTGAACTCAGTGAGTTTGTTGGTATTTTAGACAAAAATTTGAAAATCACTACCAGCTCCTCTGCAAATAAGGAACTTTTATTTGCTGTGAGAAGGTGTATGTTCACAATTCACAATCTCAATGATCAAGTTTACAAGACTTGGGTTCACATATCAAAACAAGCAAGAAAAGAAAAGCAATATGGAATGGCACTACATGCTATTACACACGCCATTGATTACCATGTTCCTCAAAAGAAAATTGAGCAAGCCAAATTGTTATATGAAATGGGAGAGTCACAGAGAGCTCTTTCATTACTTTCCACATTCAGTTTTGATGCTCCAAGTATGAGCCTCACACAAACAAAGAGAGATTCACTAATGAAGGCAAAGATCAAGCTCATGAATGTCAACTGGGAGAAGGAACATAAGCCCAAAGATGTGGTTATTGAAGGTTACAACCAAGTGATCAAACAAGATCAATATTGGGAAGAAGGCTACTTTTATTTAGCTTCATATCTTGATAACATCTTCATCGCCAGACGAGAGAAAGAGAAAGATGCTCAATATGTAAAATCCGAACTTCCAATGATTATTCAAAACTACGGCACGTCATTGCAATATGGTGTGAAAAACATCTATAATGCTCTTCCCAGATTAATCACGCTCTGGTTGGACTTTTCAGGTGCTTCAGGAGATGACAAGAAGAATGTTGTTTATAAGAAAGTTCAAAATATTATTGATAAGTTGATTAATGATCTTCCTGTGTTTGAATGGACAATAGCATTGCCTCAACTCATCTCTAGAATGGTTAGTAAGAATGAAATGGTCACCAGTAGCATAAAGAACATTCTCGTAAAGGTACTGATAGCATTTCCAGAAGAAAGTATTTGGAGCATTGGATGCAAAACTGATAACAAAGAGCGGCAAGATGTTATTGACAGCATCATTCAAATGGCTAAATCACAAATAGCAAACTCTGGATCATCTTCCAAAGCAGTCAAGTGTATCCTAGATCAGCAAGAATCCACATTAGAAGGATTCAGAGAACTTTGTATGATATATCTTGGAACAGGTGGAAAAACATACAATTTGAGCTCAATCACAAAAAAGAAAGGTCATGAAGGTCATCTTATGGTCAAAAATAATGAGCAACCTATCACACATGTATTTTCACATTTAGCAAAGCTTATTAACAAACCGAATACCAATTTTATAGTACCTCTCCAACGCCTCACTACTGTAGAATTGCAAAAAGCAAATCTATTTACCGAAGATGGAGGACTTAGATCAGATTATTCACCTTACTCTTCTTCAAAAGTTTACATCAAAAACTTTAAAGATGAGGTTGCGGTCATGTCATCTTTGCAAAAACCGAAAAAGGTTGGAATCTATGGAAACGATGGTCGTTTATACAACTTTTTATTCAAAGCTCATGATGATTTGAGAAAGGACAGTAGAATGATGGATTTCAATAGTGTCATCAACAGACTACTGAAGCGTGACGAATTGACAAGAAACAAAAGACTTTATTTGCGGTTGTTCTCAGCTATTCCTCTTTCCAACAAGACAGGTCTTGTCGAATGGGTTGAAAATACTAATGTATTGAGAAGCATTTTGGATAATGAATTTAACAACATGGGCATCACAAGCAATGTTCAACTCCTGGTGACTAGCCTACTCCCTAAAAATCCCAAGAATGCTCAAGACTATGCAGAGATGGTTTACAAAACTATGACTAAAAAGTATCCTCCAGTATTTCATAACTTTTTCCTCCATCAATTCCTGGAGCCTAATCAATGGTATCAATCAAGATTGAACTTTGCTAGAACAACTGCTGTTTGGAGCATGGTTGGTTATATTGTTGGACTTGGAGATAGGCACTGTGAAAACATTCTTATTGATTTGAGATGTGGTGATGTTGTTCATGTTGATTTAGCCATGCTTTTCGAAACTGCCAAATATTTAACTGTGGGTGAACGAGTTCCATTTAGACTCACTCGAAACATTGTTGATGGAATGGGAGTGACTGGTCATGAAGGAGTATTTCGCTTTACATGTGAAGCAACACTTGAAATCTTACGAAAGAATTACCAGACACTCATGAACGTACTTGATTCATTCATACATGATCCTTTGCTGGATTGGAATCAATTGGCTCAGAAAAAAGAAGCTGCAAAGATTAGAAGCGAACACGACGTGGAAGGAAATTACAAAGTTATTGAGATGAAATTGAAAGGGTTAATTGGAGACAATGTTCTACCTTTGAGTGTACAAGGTCAAGTGGATCATCTTATCAAAGAAGCTACCAATGAAGCTAATCTTATGGCCATGTATATTTGGTGGATGCCTTATCTGTAAACATTAATAATTGGGGATGAAGCTCAACAATAATTATTGTAATAACAAAGTAATCCAAGCCAATAATTGTTTCCATACATAGCAATAATAATGCTTAAATATACTCTAATTTATTAGTCCTCCATAATAAGTTATTGGTGTTGTTATTGTTGAACGACTAGCATTCTTGATGATGAATCGTGAGATTTGGTTACTTTCTTTCATGTTCTCTGATTCTCTCATTGACTGTATATTTCCAAGATTGAATTAAATTCAGAATGATGAAAATTGATGTTTCCGAAGATATTTTACCATCGTTTTAAATTAATGATGATCATCATACGAAATCGAGCAATTATCAACATCACCAAAACATCTAATCCGATGATCATCATTCTTCATCAAACTTACGTTCTTCAATTGTCATTACACTATTGTTGCTCTTGTTTTGTGTTTTAGCTTTTTCAGCTTTGGAAGACCGTCTGCTCTTTATGATTGGACTCGCTAACAATGAACCAATAAAAGCAGAAAAAAGAATAACCTGAACAGGTGGCAACTTTTGCATCAGTGAAGCAGCAAATCCTGGGAGTTTCATTTTTTGTTTCTGGGCATCCTCATCAAGTGTTTTCTTTTAAGGAAGACAAAGCTGAATGAAAGTTAGAATGAATCATCAAAGTCTTGCAAGTGTTTCTGATGGTGGTGGACGGAAAATCGTAATGGCGGATTCAAAGGAGAGAACTACCTACCTTGATGGAGGAGCTTTGTGTTCTCACAATACGTGCGCATGATATTTCAAACCTTTCTGGGTACCACTTTCCAGGTCTCCGCATGTTGATGTCAGAGTACATTCACCACATAATATCCATACGGCTCTCACAGATAGAAAAGGCTTCCTTTCTTCCGTCATCTAGGAGCATAATTGGGCAGAAGTATTTGTTTTGATTACGTGAGAAAAATTTTGAACCTCATCCTCTCGCGAGAGGTTACAATAAGAACAACAACAACAACAACAACTTCAAAAAACAATCGCGTAGTTGATGATTAGTTTCGTGAAGAAGAACTCTGCTGCCAGCGGCTCGAGTGTGAGTCCAACAGTAGAGAGCTTTCCTCTCTGTGAGTGGAATCACAAGATGGTCATGCAGTGGATGAAAGCTTCATGTATTCATTCGGATGTTGTCAAGGGTAGGTTTGATTACAATCATGATGGGAGTGGATGATGAGATTTTTTGGTTGACCCTTCTTGTGTCGGTTCATCATTATATTCTTTTAATAATGATTGTGATGACACGATAACAATGTGTATCTATCTATCCAACAAACTATTGTACAATATCAACAATGGATGATGGTAAATTGTTTAAACATCCGTATCTTTGATGTACCCTCAAAATATTATTTCAATATCCGACGATATCGAAATTTCAAACACACAACAACAACAACCACATACATTCTCGCACAATAGCCATTGAAAAGAGGACTGATTTTGGAGGCATTCAGTTATATACACTCACATTGGATAAATGTATCAATGAATTCAAAATTAAGGAGCGACAAGCGAGTGTCTTTATGTTATTCGTTGATAAATTGAGAATTGATAACGTATTGGAACACGGAGAGCCTCCTGCTGATAAGCTCGGAGGAGAGGAACCTCCTGTTCTCAAACAATTACCAACTCAGATTGGAACCATTCAGAATCCATACATTTTGAGAGCCCCTACCCGAGCCAATTCCATCATGAGAGATTTGAGTGAATCGGCAACAAGCTCCAACAAGGAGTCATCCAATCCCATCAGTAACAACAACACTGAAATTAACTTCTCACCTTCTAACAGCATTGATATTGGTGGAGCAACGAGTCCGAATCGAAATAACAGAACTTCGACGATTATAATTGGCTCGGAATCACTACAGAACTCGTCATCAGCTTCTGATTCCTCGTCACCTCGCATTGCAGGATCAACATCCACAACTGTTGCGTCGTCAGCATGTTCAGGACAAACAGCCAACACAACCACTCCCATCGAATCTCCGAATATTCATTCACATGTAGTGGGTGGTGTGAATGACGATGAAAGAAGACCTTCTCGAGATGATGTCGAGTTGGCCATGGATCTGCTCTATACCGTGGGAGAGGAAGAAGAGGAGGCAAGATATAGAAGTTTACAATCTGGTAACAGTCTCGATGTCAACAACATGGATATTCACTACAAAGCAATGATGAGTGCAGACAGTAGTGGTGGCGGTGGAATTGACATTCCAAATTCAAAGCTTAGTTTTTATATGCAAACAGATGCTAGCTTACAACCAACCAGTTATCTGTCCACATCGTATGATCCAATGTTCGCTAAAATTAGTTTTGGATCTGTACCAAACCAGCCTGCAACAGATCGATATTTTGCCTCAAAAGGAGATGACTTTAAATCTATTTCAATGATGCCTACAAGTACATCGACCTCAATGGATGATGATAAAAGAAAAAAGAGAAAACCAAGAAGATGCTCTCCTTTCCCTGAAAAGAAACTCACAATCGAAGAAAGAGAGAGACGAGACTTTTGTCTGAAAAAAATCCAACAACTACGATCTCCAATTGCTCCAAAATTACATGAATTGGTTGCACAGGATTGTGTAATTCCAGAGAGATTTCGATACAAGTATTTCAATCCAGATAGAGTTGACAGGCCTGTTCACCCAAGCAAGCTCAACCTGAAAATTAAATTGGTCATTACAGAGATGAGTACTTCAACTGCTCACAGAATTTTACGAAAGCTTGGAAGCTCAGTTGGAGCTCTTAAGGACCAACAATTTGGAATGTACCACTCTGCTCTAATTATTGGAGAGTTTTATGTGGAGTTTTGTGACAGTAGCATTGCCACTGTAAGGAAAAAGAGTAGCAGTAAGGCTGTTTTTGTTGTTGACATTCATACATACAAGGATCAAGAAGAAATTAACAATGCTTTCAAGGTGATTTCTGAGGTAATTTGTGAATGGAACGGAACTAAAATGTATGATAATAGAAAAGCAAACTGTCAACATTTTGCCTTGGATATTTTGAACAGATTACAACTTGCAGAACCATTTTTCGATAAAATTTCAGGATCAGTTAAAAGGTATTTGGATAGATTAAGAAACGATGGAGTTTGTGAGATGAACTACACTGTAGATGAAAAGAAACGAAAAATAATTTTAAACTCCAAAATTGCAAGTAAGGAGCTGAAAGATCTCGTAAAGCAAAAAGGAGATATTTCTTTCCCTTCACACAGATTACTTGATGAATTTGTATATGTGATAGAAAAGGAAGCAGGTATCATGTACTTTGATCAGAATATTCAAGAACAAACAGACCACATGTTGTTGAAGGCCTTTGACAGAGCTTTTTGGCTTAGAAATGAGGCCTCTTCACATAACAAGGATTTAACGAAACCTCTGGACAACGAAAGAGGAGAACCTAACTGTCCATTTTCTCAAGTTGACAAGAACGGAAAGCTTATTGATCACACCATTCATAATACTTATTTATTTACGGGAAAATATTCTCCAGATTTTCCAGAAAGATAATCCAGAGATTACTTGTTGTCTTTCATTTTGTAAATTAAAACTCTTTGAATGTAAACAAAACCCACATTCTTCCCAAGTAGTTCGATAACACTTGAGAGTGACGTGTTTCTTGGCTTCATTTTGTAAGTATGACTGTTTGATCAAAAGAAAGGCACACGAAAAAAATGGCCCAAAATCAAGAGGAGAGAATTAAACAATTAGAAGAAGAAGTTGCTCAATTACGGAAACAGTTGAGCGAGCAGCAATCACCATCATCAGGTGGTACCAAAGTTGTCCGAGAGAAAATTACTAAAATTTCTTCGGAAGTCAAGGATGATAATCCATACTCAAGACTCATGGCTCTTTCATCGATGGGTATTGTCAAGAATTATGAAAGAATAAGAGATTTTACTGTTGCAGTTGTTGGTCTCGGAGGTGTTGGAGCAGTCGTTTGTGAGATGTTAACCCGATGTGGTATTGGTAAATTAATTCTATTTGATTTTGATATTGTTTCTTTGGCAAATATGAATAGATTATTCTTTACACCAGAACAAGTAGGAATGACAAAGGTTGATGCATCAAAAGAAACTCTCTCTAAAATTAATCCCGATGTCGTTTTTGAAACATGTTCCTATAATATAACATCCATTGAAAATTTTGATAAATTTATGCACACCATCAACACTGGAAATTTATTGACTAATGGAAAAGTTGATTTGGTATTGTCATGTGTTGACAATTTTGAAGCAAGAGTAGCAATCAATAGAGCCTGTAACGAATTAAATATTAGATGGATGGAGAGTGGTGTGAGTGAGGATGCAGTGAGTGGTCACATCCAATTCATGGTTCCTGGATTGACTGCAGTAAGTAGATGTCAAGTGATTCTTTTTTTCAATCGTTCTGTATCAATATTTAATTGATGATCATAATTCATCATTCCGATTGATCTCTCAAATTCTTCAAAGTGTTATGAATGTGCTCCTCCCTTGGTGGTTGCAAGTGGTGTCAAACAAGTCAAACGTGAGGGTGTTTGTGCAGCAAGTTTACCCACTACTATGGGTATCACAGCTGGATTATTAGTTCAGGGAGTCTTGAAATATTTATTGAGGTTTGGTAAAATTTCCTATTATTTGGGTTACAGTGCCATGAATGATTATTTCCCAACCATGAAAGTTCGTCCAAATCCAACCTGTTCAAATCCAATGTGTGTGAAAAGACAAGAAGAAATCAAAATGCTGAAAGAACAAGGAGCACTTGATTTGGATCTTGACGAAGACGAGAAGGAACAAGTGGAGGAGACTAAAGTTGTGCACACTGACAACACATGGGGCATTGAAGTGGTCGATGATGAACAAGACAACACGATCGATTATCACTCTCACTCCCATAAACATGAACATCTTTCTGAGGGTTTGGAATATCAATATGAAAAGGAGAAGAAACTAGTTCATGAACATGAATTAGTGAATGTGGAAAATCAAGATCTTGATGAACTCATGAAACAATTAAGAGATACCATGATGGATTAAATTCTTGACAATTCACAACTCAGTTTTTATTGAATCGATCATCACAGATTGAGCAGCCTTGTATCTTTGCTTTTATTGTGGAATTATCACCACCACCTATGAAATTGCTTGTCAAAACTTTGAAATTGCTTTCTATTAAGCATCCATTCCAACAAACACATCACCATTATCCAAATAAATGTTCAACCCAGAATCGGTGCTTTTACCTCTCAATCGAGAGGTCTTTCCCACTCGGTTGCTGTCAAAAAATTGAAAATAATAATAATGAGCAGCAGGTTGACCATTCCTTGCATTGTCATAGGCCACCACACACGTTGCAACTCTTCCATCGTTTTGATTGAGAATTCGGAACCATCCTTGATACGCATTGGAAACTTCCACTTTCCACTTTGCTCCAGATTGTTCTTGATAGAAGGCTTTGATGGTGGAGACAGGTCCCGAAGCAAGATTTTCAGCATTTGAAGGACGAGAAGTATAGGTCTTTCCATTATAATGTGACACATTTTCAAGATGCAAAAAGGAAGGTTGAAAATAAACTTTTCAAGAATAACACTTACGTAATTGACATTCGATGTGGTCATCATTCGTTCACAAGAATAGTAAGGTCCAAACTCACTGGTTCGAATATCACTAATTTTCAAAAATTATCAATTGACAATTCTCGTTTCCCAATTAATTGCAACAACACTTTGAGACTTACAAATTTTGTATCCAAACCATTCGTTGAAAAACATCAGACAAATTTCCATTGTACAAGTACACAAATTTACACAACACATTATCATTGGCATGAATCAAACCCAAACTGCACACTCCTTGCCATGTCTCTCCATCTTTGGCAGTCAAGTAAAAGTTACTGAACGATGTGGAGATTGTATTGAAGGTTTTTTGATCAACGTCTCTCTTGACAGTACCGGTGAAGGTGGTTTGAGCGAGTGGATAGGACATTTTTATTTGCAATTAATTCAGAATGGTAAGAGAGTGAGATCCATTGTTTTCATGCAAGACTGAATTAAAATGTCGTTATTGGTTAAAAAAGATTGATATCCATTTTTGGACAATAAGTAAAGATTCGACATGTCAAGAGCTCTTTAGACTACTTTCCAAAGACAATGAAAAATTCTTTTCGAGAGTTAAGAATCAAATGATTTAAGAATTTTCTTAACAAAAGTGAACTCAGGATTGTTTACAATTACCAACCGAGTGTGTTTCTTTCTTCACATTTATTGTAAATAAGAATGGTCGTCCTGTTCATTACATAAATTTCGTTTCACCCATTGAACAACAAGTTTTGCAACAAAATATTCATCATGAAGAGATTTTGACATTTCTTGAATGGCATGTGACTCTCCATGTTCTTTCAAATCCATCATGATCATGTCCAACATATTTCCGTAAATTTTCAAATTTTTCAATTGTTGAGAATGCAAACCAACTCCTCCCTTCTTCTTTGGAGTGATCAACACTTGATGAATTACTTCCAAAGGCCAGTCACATACTTCACTTTTTTGCAATAAAATGGAATCTCCAATTTTTAACAAACCTCGAAAAGGAATTTTCACTTTTGGATTTCCCAAAAGGTTTAAATCACCAGTTTGATTCCATTCACAATAATCTTGTTGTTGCTGATTTTGTAAACTTTCGTGTCCATTCAACAACAACAGTGAGGACGGATCTGGTCCTTCCCAAACATCTCCATTATCCAAATACAAGGTCAAGAGAAGAGTTGATTTTGCACGAAGTAAGGATTGTAATTGTCCATTAGGCCAATAAAACTTCATGTACAAATACAAGTAACCATCAGTTTCGAAAGCAATGTACATGATGCAAATTCTTCCATCTTGTCGATTTACGCAATAAATAGATGGCACAGAGTAAGTAAAGTTGATATTGTCCCAAACTTTGCCACTTCTTTCGACATAGTAACGAGCAGGACCAAATTGGACTCTTCTTCCTTCCTTATCTTGTTTGTAAAAACTGTTTTCCTTATTTGGTTGCATGTCACTTGCCAACAACATTGGATGGGAGAGAGACTGTAAAGAAGCGTCCATACTTGACACACACTCTTCTTGTGGTATACTTGATGGAGCCTTCCACTGAAAAATCAATGCTGGTAAATATTTACTTTCCATTTTCACAATTTGATAAAAAGTGCCTCCAGTTCCAGTCCGTGGATCATACTCCACTGGATAATTATAATAATAAGTACTGAAATCAATGCATCGTTTCATCATGACCATGAGTCATTCAAATGTCATCAAAATCCCTTTTTACAACTTGTAACTTACGTCAACATGTTATGTACTCTCAAATAAGGATCTGATTCTGAAATGTCATAGACAAACACTTCACGAAATGCATTAAAATTATTTGGTCCTGAATAACCGAATTGAATGAGACCTTGATAATTTCTTCCATTACTACTATTCAAGTAAAAGATGGAATATGGTTGTGAACTATTGACAGTGACCGTGTAGGGAGATTGACCCCATGGATCGTTTGAGGTTCTTTCAAAGTAGGATCTTATTCTTGTTGAAAAGTCTTTTTCCATTCCGATGTGTTTGATCTTAATGTCGACAGCAATTTGGAATTGATCGAAGAAAAAGAAGAGTCTGAGAGTGATTGCCTGTGTTTTTTTTTGAGTGTGAAAATCTCACCTTGATGAGGTTAAAAAAAGGAAAGAGAGAAAAAACCTAACTTATTAAATTGATTTCAAGACTCGTTTGAATTTAATTTGACAAAATTGTAAATTTTGAATATTTATGAAAGGCCTTTTCTCACTTTGGTAGGCCATTAAAAAAGGAAAGATGACGTTCATTCTTCAAACAGCAATAGTCTCGTGTTCTTTGAAAAGACACGACTCCTCCTGTTGTATAAAATATTGTAAACACAATCAATAAATGGTGAGCCAGAAAACTGTATTTTCAACAGAAAGATGTTTCTTTGCATGAAGTAATTCACAACAACAATGGTTCAATTCATTGGTTACTTTAATTCCTGATCGTTCACTTGAGAATGGGCAAATCCTGTCAGTGGTTGTTGGGAGAGGATGATATTTTACCAAACTTCAAGGCAGATAATACCATCAGAAATCAAACGCAGTTGAAGTGACAACACTGACAGGTTTTATTAAGGAAGAAAAGACTTTTCAAATATGAACTTGAATTATTTTTAGAATTTCAAAAAAAAATTAAAGTGTTTTGTTCTCACATAAAATCATCTCCCTTCTCTGATCAACAAGAATGAGCGAAGAAGAAAGCATTTCATTTGAAGGATTGTCAGAACTTGCCCTGAATTCAACAACAGAATCAAGTACCACCGATGAACAAAAACAATCATATACACCATTATTTAAACATGAAGGACGAAAATTTAAAACCTTGTTGTTCTCCACGAGTGCTTCCGATGCGTTCCATACAGTAACATTGAACCGATTGCAACAATACACGGATCTATTGATCGTAAAAGATGCCAGTAATTTTGATCAAAATGATGAATCTTTGATGCGGAGGGAAATTTTGGATACGGATCTCATTTGCTTTGATCCCTATTCAACGATAAAAGATATTTACGTGCCATTAATCAATGATCGGGTTGAAAGAGGAGAGTTGGCACTTGTTTTTTTCCGAGGAATTGACTGTAACAGCGCACCTTACATGTTACAATATGTAAATGTACCATACGTTGATTGGGCAAATAGCTCATCCTTCTCTCTTGATATTGATGGCATTCGAAAAGTTGACAGTCAACATTTGAATCGATTTTTACGAAAATATCATTCATTAACACTCAAATTTTCAGCAAATAGAGAGAAATTAATTGATTTTGATGAAAATGGAGTCAAAATTCTTAAGGAACTTACTGCAAATATATATGAACATTTTTTCAAGTTAGATCTTTCTGGTAGCTATATTTGTGGGCAATCTTTTAACAAAATGGAGAAGGAAAACGATTGGTTAACCTTTGGATACGGAAAAGGCGAGCATGATCATGTCGGACGAAGTATTCTAGTACACAAGACATACAAAGTGATGTTTCCTCATTTCTATGGATTTTCAGAACAGGATTCCCAATTCAGCAAGGATCTCTTACGATGTTTGTTCGAATATCTTTTATTGGAGCACGGAAAGAGGAAGGGATCATTGTTCTTTAGTCGACTTCTCAAATCCAGTCAGCAAGGTCAATTGAGCGACATTCTCATTACCAGTAAAGGAGATTAACAAGTGTCATTTCTTTTGAGTGTTCTTCAATCTCCTCACTACTCAATATATCAACAGACCTCATTAGATAGACATGAACATTCACATTCATAATGAATTATGACAATGAGAGACGTCCGATGATGATGACCATTCCACTTGTGTGTTGTGGACACTACCCACAGTTCAGAGCTCTCCAAAATCTCGCGCTCATTTTCATAAATCTACAAAAAAATAATGATGGTTTTTTCTCCTCCGACGACGGCAGTTGGAATGATCAATGCACCATCATCGTCGACACATACAGGAGGAGGAGGAATGCATATGATGAGCTCAATGAATCATCATTACAACAACAATTATCAACCTCAATATCGTGAACACCCTTCAGAGGTTCCATTGCTCTCTCGGAGCATAAAAATATCAACAGCCAACAGTAGCAGAAACAACAACAAACAAAATGATCACCCATCATCAACACTTAGAGGATCAGTGGAAAGTATAAAAAGGATCGCAACACGTGGTCAACGAGAAGTACGATTTATGGAAAGTCAAGAAGACCCATCATCGAGGTTGAGACATTCCGTTGGGAAATACAAATCAACAGATTCACTTGTGATTGATTTGTCTTTAATTGGAGAGGATACGGAGAGCTCAGCATCATCACCATCAACAGAGCATCAAGCTGATTCAACGTTTTCTCCGTCCACAAATGCTCCAACATCAGGTGCCCATTTTACAACAGGCTTGAAATCAGTAACATCGTCAGATTTTTCTACATTCAATACAAATTTTCATGACTACAGCGCAGGATCCGAACATTCTTCATTGATGGATTTTACTTTTGTAAGTTTGGCCTGCTGATTATAGGATTGAAATATTTATTAATATTGATTGTAAATAATTTTGATGGAATCAATGATGTCAACCATACTTTGATTTTAAAAATTGGTAAAATTGATTAGGATCTTGAAACAGACGCTGAAGAGCGATTAAAAGGATTGATAAATCAATTGGATGCAAAATTATATGGATTAAAGCATGAGCCAACACGGCAGCATTCACCTCTAAAATCTACCAAACGAAAACCAAAAAGATTTCAAGATAATGTAAAAACAGAAAAGAAAACTTTGGAAAAAATAGCATCTCAATGGTCATCAACATTCCCACATTTAGCAGTTGTTGCAGTTTCTTTTGGTGAGTTTACTGACCAAGATTCTTTAAACACAAGTGTAGACCTATCTCGCACGTTTGAATACGACGAAGTGAATGGAGAGTCACAAAAATACATGCCCCTTAGTCCTTTTGGTGGTGTGGTTGAGGAAATTATTGCTGAGGACGGGGAATATGAAGAGGTTATAGTCATCGACCAAGGAAATAAGAGGGCTTTGCCATCTCCTCTGGATTCTGATTCTTTTCTTAATAGATCCACACCAAATTTTACAGCTCACCAAAGAAAACCTAAGGAATCACCTCAGAGCCCTTTGTCGACTCAGTTTGCAGAAAGAATTAGAGTTCAACTCAACCGAGGATTTCCACCCTTAGAACCTCACTCTGCATTGTTTTATGAAGCCCAGTGGGAAGTTTTTGATAGTATTTGGAAAAAAGTTGTTCCCAAAATTGTCGAGTGTTTTAGATCTTACCTTAACGACTCTTCTCCAAAGAAGAAATCTATCGAAACGATAGATAGCTCACAAAGTAATACCGTGGATGTCATTTATATCAACGATAATTACAGTACCAAGTTTATTGAAGAGCTGGAAAATATTGATGACGATGATTCATTCGAACGATCTATGACACCTTTTTCAGCCATAACGACCATTAGCTCCGCATCTTCGTCAAAAAATTTAAAATTTTCACCTGGATCTAAAGAGCGAGCTGACAAGAACAAGTCTGATTTAAATAATGCTGTTCTAATCAGCTCGTTACTTCCTAAACCAAGAAGAAATAGTAGCTTTGGGCTTTTATCGATTATCAAAGGCAATGAAAAATATATTGGAAACCACGAGATTCAAAAAATGTCAAGAGAAAGCAGCCAGCGTAATATGGAAGTGAATCAAAAACAATTTCCAGTAAGACACCATCAGCACTTTACTGGTGGATTTCGCCCAAATAATCATACAACCAATCCATCCATAACCCCTAAGCCTCCTCTTCCTCACAACAGTATTAAGTCTTCCCTGAAACCAGAACCGATTTCTAATGGTGACAGAGCTCAGTCAGCCATGCCCTCCTCCTTTAACAAACTAATTATTCTTGAAAACGACAACAAAATCAACAACTCTTCTATCAAGCTTAACAACCTGGTGTCTCTCACTCAAAACAATCCAACTAATGGAAGTAGTATGAGTAGACCTCAAACACAGTCTCAGTTTTCGAAGAAAAATCCCTCCCTTGCCAATATTTTCAATCCTGATGTAAATATTAATAGAATGGAACAATACTCCAATGATCAGGGTATTAGGAGATCAGACCTCTCTTCCCCTTCGATTGGAAATTCAACTGTGACATATCAAATAACGAAACGAAAAAATCCAAAGCAGACCAAGCCAACTCGAGAAAAGGTTCGATAACAACAATTATAAATTATTTAGACCCTTATTTAAATATTTCGGTCAAACCCCAATAATAAATTATTGCGTTGTTAAAAGGAGAAATTGAGCATGAGTCGGTATTATTTTAACCTTAGTTTAGTTTGTTGTAATCTCAAGGTCAGTACCAAACCTTCTCACACAATCAAAAAAATGAATCAACAGCTCCTCCAAAAATCGCTCCAATCCATTTCAGCATCGAGCGCACTTAAACAACAATTTCTCAAGTCGTTAACCACAACAGCCAGAAGCTACTCAACCAACAAAAAGTCTATCTTTGCTGAAAATGACTTTCTCTCAAGACTCGGACTCGTAGAAGAAGGCAATCCAGGTATTTCTATTGGTTCTGAGTGGAAAGGTTCCGGTCAGGTCGTTCAGTCCATCAATCCATCTGATAATTCCGTTATTGCCAGCACTGTTACTCCAACTCTTGCCGAATACGAGCAAGCCGTTCATCTTGCAAAACAAGCTGAAATTGAATGGCGTAATAAGCCTGCCCCATACAGAGGAGAAATCGTTAGACAAATCGGAGTAGCTTTACGTGAAAAGATCCAAGATTTGGGCAAATTGGTGAGTTTGGAAATGGGTAAAATCCTTCCCGAAGGAGTTGGAGAAGTACAAGAATTTGTAGATATTTGTGATTATGCTACTGGATTATCAAGAATGATCAATGGAAGTGTTTTACCAAGCGAGAGACCCAATCACATGATGTATGAAATGTGGAATCCAATTGGTACAGTCGGTGTCATTTCAGCATTCAATTTGTAAGTATTGATTTTAATAGTTAAGACGAAATATTAATTTTCGTATTTCAATATTCAATATTACTATTTAATTTTTCAATCCATCCCTTCGGAATTGAAAATTATGTACATCTCCCGAATTACAAATTTCCACTATGGTCATGTCAGCCCTGTTGCCGTCTATGGTTGGAATGCCGCTTTGGGTCTTGTTTGTGGTAACACAATGGTTTGGAAGGGAGCACCAACGACCTCCTTGTCCACCATTGCCACCGGAAAGATTATCCAACAAGTTCTGAAGGATAACAAGTTAAATCCTGCAATTTGTACAACCATGACTGGCGGAGCTGATATTGGAGAAGCAATTGCCAAAGATAAAAGAATTGGTCTTGTATCATTCACTGGAAGCACCAAGGTTGGAAAGAAGGTGAGAGAAATTGTCAATGATCGATGGGGCAATTGTTTATTGGAATTGGGTGGTAACAATGCCATCATTGTTTGTGAGGATGCTGATTTGGAGATTGCTTTTAGAAGCGTTTTGTTTGCATGTGTTGGAACTGCTGGCCAACGTTGCACTACCACTCGTCGTCTTGTTATTCATGAAAATGTGTATGACCAATTCATTGAAAAGTTGAAGAAAGGATATGCTAATGTTAAGATTGGAGATCCTTTGAAAGAAAGAGGTGTATTGTGTGGCCCACTTCACACAAAGAATGCTGTTGAGCAATACAAGAATGCTTTGGAGCAAGCTAAAAAGCAAGGAGGAAAGATTCTCTATGGTGGCAATGTTCTCAATAGAAGCGGTAATTTTGTTGAGCCAACGATTGTTGAAATTTCTTACGATGCTCCAATTGTTCAACACGAGACATTTGTTCCAATTGTTTATGTCATGAAATTCAAGAACTTGGATGAAGCTATCATGGTTAACAATTCTGTAGAGCAAGGTTTGAGCAGTAGTTTGTTCTCGAGAAACCCAACAAGCATTTTCACATGGCTTGGACCAAACGGTTCTGATTGTGGTATTGTCAATGTCAACATTCCAACCAATGGTGCAGAAATTGGTGGAGCCTTTGGTGGTAACAAAGCCACTGGTGGAGGACGAGAGAGTGGATCTGATTCTTGGAAGTTGTACATGAGAAGATCTACTGTCACACTCAACTATGGAAACACCCTTCCTCTTGCACAAGGAATCAAATTTGATTAATTTTTTAGCAACTTCAATAAATATTAAAAGAGAACAAGCCCAATCCTTGTCACACTTAGAAATTAAGTGAAGGTCATTCTAAGGTTCTTAATTTACTAACCCAACATATATATTTGTCATTATGTTGTTATTGTTTAGCATGTCGGATGCTATTCGGAAAATTCGCAACACGCGGCAACGCAACAAGGATAATAAAAATCATTTCAAATCTCACTCCATTTAAAGAGTCTTGTCTTGAAGATTGCAATTTAATCAACACAGGTGAACCACACAACACCAACAAAAAACAGACTCCTCACATCACTCACTTCCACCACTATCATCATGAACAAGCAAGAAATCAAACAAAAGTGGGAAAAGGCTCTCGCTCTCACCAAGACCTACACTCCAGACAAGTTCAAGTTTTATGGCATGAATGAAAAAGTCTCGATCAGCTCTGCGGAAGCTTCAGAAGGCACTGTGGTGAAGGGAGAGATTATTGTTGAACAGTGCAAGGCTAGAGAGTACATGGATGTAATTTGTGCAACCGATATGCCAACAAGACTCAAGCTAGATCCCAAGACAAAGGCTTTTTCTGAGTTGGATACTTTTGAAGATGGAGATGGGCGTTGGTCCATTCGGTATTACCTTGTTGCTTCTCCAAGTAGGTTGTTTTTTAATGTCATGGCAACGATGTCATGTTTATTCATCATTGATCTACTCTATTTTCATCATCACGAATTCAAATAATTATTTCATAATATCATCCCATTTGATGATGAATTTAAATCGTTCTATTCAAATGACACATAACAATTTCAATGTTCAATTCACATGAATATTTACCTATTGAAATGCACTACAAATTAATTCATTAACCATGTTTGATCATTCCTACAATTTATCATGACATTCAATGTGCATTTCCATGAACGTGTTGCTTGGATCACCATGTAATATCACTCTTTGTGTTTGTCAATCGACTGCACCCTCACTCAGGCATGATGGTCAGCGATCGTGATTTTCTCTATTGTGAACGTGAATTCCAAGAAGGCAACAAGCTCACCTTGTTAACCACCTCTATTGATGGCTCCTACACTTGTGATAAGGCATCTGGAGTGAGAGGAACAAACATCTTTACCTTGTACGAACTCGTTGAATTGGAGAATGGAGATTTGAGAGTCACTTTCATGGGTCAGGCCAATCCTAATGGTTGGATTCCAACTGCAGTCGCCAATCAAGTCGTGTACGAACGTCCTTTGGTTGTTTCTGCTGCTGCCAAGATTTTGAACAAGAACATTAAGAGTGTCCAATAAAAGAACATGAAGTTTAAAAAACGAATAGGCTTGTCTTTGTTTGAAGCAAGGGATTGTTGAAGAACAAAACATTCAAGTGAAAATAAACATGCATCCTTTCTTAATGAAATCGGTGACGATAACAAAGAGGAGATCCACATGTTTCATTTCTAGAACAATTCCAAAAGTCGCAAGGACCAACCCCTGTCGCAATAGTCGCATAACGAATTGGTGGATATACAATTCAGGAATTGTTGAGCGACAAATCCGGAACGCTTAAATGCGCATGTCCTTCTCCGCAAACATTTCAAGTCCTAACAAAAATAATCAAAACACAATCACCTTTTTATTCTGTTGTTGCCTCTTCTCTAGAGAACAAACGAATTCCCATTCAACATTCATTATTGACCAGCATCTTTATGTAGTTTACGGACTGAAAAATTCAAACTCTTTGCAATGAATTCCTCTCCTCTTCTTCTCTTGCAACATCTCTCTGCATGGATCTATTACATTCCTTTGGCTGTTCTCTCCTTGATGGGTGTGTGGTTTGTTTGGCATTTCATCACCTTCCTCATTACTTTTCTGAAATATAGACACATCCCGGGACATGTGAGTTTTCTTCCCGCTGTCATTGACTCCATGCTCCACAAGCGAGTCTACATTTATCATCAATACATTTGCACGTTAGAGGCCTACAAACGGCATCCCGAAGCTTCCATCATTAAATTACAATTCGGATCGGTCTGCACTCTCATTGTGGCTCGAGATAAGACACTTCTGAAGGAATTACTCGTGAAAAATTATAAAAGCATTAGTAAGGGAGATGTATTGGCTCCGGTTGGTCTTTTTGGTAATAACATGTTCTCTGCTGATAGTAGTGACCCATTGTGGAAGAAACATCGAACATTGAGCAATCCAATTTTCACAGGTGCAGCTCACTTGAGAAATGTGTTCCGAGTGACCATTGAGGAAACGAACAAGATGCTCGAATTTTGGAAACGAATTTATCGAGTGAATGAAAAGAGTGGAGCCATTGAGAAGGTCAATGTAACCAATGAGTTCAAATCAGTGACCTTGTCGATCATTAACCGAGTGGCCTTTGATTATGACATTCATATCTTTGATAATGATGTCAAACATAGAGATGCTCTTCATGAATGGGTCAATGACTTGCTAAAAGGTCTTCTCTACAACTTTGTTTTCCCAAAGGCATGTTTTGAATATTTACCATTTGGAATTTTCAAACGTTTTAGAGAGGCTAAGGAAAGATTTAAAGAAGCAGCCATGTCCATGATTGAGAGGAAACAACTCGAAAAGAGTCATGAACTTAAGGACGACGAAGATTTGTTAAGTTTGTTATTGAGTTCATCAGAAGCTGCAAAAGAACAAGATCAAAAACTGTCCAAAGGAGAATTACTTTCTGCTCTCTTCATCATCTTCTTTGCAGGCTTTGAAACTTCGTCAGTCTCACTCAACTTTATGCTTCGAATGCTTGCCAAGTATCCAGATGTCCAACAACGAATTTATGAAGAAATTACAAGTGAAATTTCCTCACAAGAAGAAATCACCTATGAATTAATTACTGAAAAGTTACATTTTCTCTCTTCATTCATGAAAGAAGTTCTCCGAACAAAGACTCCAGTGGGTGGTGGTGCGAGAATTGTCATGAAGAAGGGTGGAGAGACATTGGGTGGAGTCAAGTATCCAGCTGGAACACAATTCCTTGCATCGTACTTTAGTATGCATTATTTTGCAAAGAATGGATTGGACGAATTTAAACCAGATCGATTCATGCCAACCAAATCTGACTCCAATCAGGTGACTCCAGACTATTTGAACATTGATTTTAACACGGATGAAATTCTTCCATTCAGTATTGGACCAAGAGATTGTATTGGAAAGAGAATGGCATTGCTTGAGATGAAGTTAATTCTTGTCATGTTGCTCTTACAATTTAGACTTGAAGTGCCAAAAGGTTCGGAAGAACAACAGGATCGCATTGAAGAAACTTATATTGTGACTCGAACAGTGATGGATCCATACTTGATTGACTTTATTCCAAGACAACAATAAAAATTGAGTACGAGTGATGATTTACTTTTTTCAAAACCTTATCGATGAGGTTTTTGATCAAGTCACACCCTTCGGTTCTGTAACGTTGGGCGGGTAGACAACTGATGTTCTTCCCGAAAAGTTTCTGTCCATTCCTTCTTTCAAGTGTTGTACTGTTGGTGATTGATTGGTCGAGTGAGAGTCACTTGTCATAAAAAAATCAAAAAAAAATTCACACAATCTCTCCGTCAATCATCCTCTCGCAATAGTGGAACAAAAAGCCAGCTATTAAAATGAACCAACTCTTCGCTCAATGGGACTCTATTCAAGAAGCCATCAATGATGTGAGATCCGATCAAACCCCAACCAATTGGATGGTTTGTGGTTATGTCAATGGTGGAATCAAAGAATTAGAGCTTAAAGGAAAGGGAGAAGGAGGCGTCAATGAAATGCGTGAGCAATTTAAAGCCAACAATGGTTACTACGGATTGGCTCGTATTGAAGAAATGATTGATTCCTCTCTCACCATTAAATTTGCATTTGTAAAATTTGTTGGAAATGAAATGAAACCCATGTTACGTGCTGGTATTACTCCACAAGTTGGAGAAATCACCACTCGTTTCAAACCCTATCACGTCGATATGTACATTACTGAAGTAGATGAAATTTCACAAGACATTGTTGAAGATTTAGTTGGAAAGGCATCCATGTCACGTACCAAAGTGATGGAAAAACATGAAGGAGAAAAGATTCAACGAGACAATGAAGAGAGACAAGCAAGAAGAAATGTTTCTTCTTCAGGATTGAGTCCTACAGCCACCAGTAGTAGTGCCACCACTACCACCACTACATCAACTGCCACAACAACAACAAGCTCACCAAAACCAGTGAGATCTCAAAGTACAATTCCTCGCTCCCCTGCTACTCAAAGCTCTTCTCCAAGCGCTGGAGGTGAACTTGAATTTGAAAACTTGGAAGAAATTCAACAAGCCATTCGTGATGTGAGATCGGATCAAACAGATACCAATTGGATGGCAGTCACCTATGTTCCAAACTCAAAGACCAAGATGCATCTATTGGGATCTGGAAATGGTGGTGTTGAAGAAATGAAATCTCAATGGAGTTCGAATGGAGTTTATTTCGGATTGGTTCGTGTGACTGAAATTATTGATGAATCAGAGACTGTGAAATTTGTGTTGGTTCACATGTTAGGAGATTCCACACCAATGATGTTGAAAGCTCGTGTTTCTACTCATAAGGGACAAGTGGAGGCCTTGTTGCAACCTTATCACGTGACCTTATTTGCAACCAATGTGGATGAAATTACACAAGATGAAATTTCTACTCTTGTTGCAAAGGCCTCTCAATCCTACAAGTGGGAAATTAAAAAGTAAAAGGTGACATACGTAATGTTCAGTAGTAAAACGTGCCGATTAGTTCCTTCGCACGACGGACACGCTTCTCACAATGCCCCATTTCTACGCGCCATCAAAAATGCAAGTTCCGACATCTTGATGATGCCCTTAAATGGTCAAACGAAAAATTGTTTTTTGTTCACCGCGTTTGTTCAAATTTGTCTTCTTTCAGCACACACAGAACAGAAAGATACGGAAGAACCAACAACAACAAGCTCAAGATTCTCATTAACATTTCATTAAAAACAATATCCTTCTCAATCGCTCTTCTTCTTGTTCCTTCCTCATTGGTAGGGTTTGCTTTTTATTTTGGAAAATTTTTCGTCTTGAACTCTGCTGTAGCTTCTGCTCGACGACTTCCACTCTGAATGCTTCTTTTTCGGAAGAGATATAAACACTCTCTCCGTCTACATCAGTAAATCATCATAAAACGCCATCATTAGGGCGTACCTTGATACCGGCAACAATTGAGAACATACGCATAGTATTATTACAGTAACAAAAACAACAACATTCCTTCATTATCATCATCACTATTATTATTCTTCCGATGGTATCACTCTCACCCAGAGTTTCTTCGGAGAACAACAATTCTTCTGAATCCGCAGCAAATGCTTCACCACCAACCTCCTCAAGTAAGAGGCCTCTCACTTTGGAAACAAGCAAGACTTGTTCTTCCTCCTTCCCATCATCATCATCCAGCAGTGATGATACAATACTGAATCAGGATCTACCATCTTCCACATCCACACCGACGACAATATCAAATTGCAACAACAATAGCATGTATATAGTTCCAAATGACAACACCGACGAAAACAATTTAACTTCATCCTCTCTTCCTGAACCATCACAAGATGGCCTTTTTACCGAAAAAGGCTTTTTTCATTCTTCCTCATCTCAAGAGGATCATCATAGCGATCACAATACATCCACGAATACGAACAAGAGCCCTTCTTTAACAGTTATGGATCGAATGTTTCGATATTTCAACTATGAAGACGATAAATTTGAATACAGGAGAAGAAGTATCGGAGATCGGCTGAAATTTGTCTATGTGTTTTATTTAACCATGATTGGTCTTTTAGGTTATTTGTATATTGATCAACCTACACAAGGAAGATTGGTGTTTTATGCACTTGTCAGCTTGGAGACTCTTGTTAATGTATTCGTCATTAAGTTAATTCAAGGAAATGCCACAATGGCAAAGAAGGAAGCATTGAATTTGTTCATGACCTTATTTTCTTGTGCCAATAGAGTTGTGTTACAGGTATGTGTGAATTCTTTCTTGAAACACTTAGCAAAGATACTTATGCATGATTGCTCGCTTTTGTGCGTCAAGGTGTATTATGGGCCTAGCTTTCCCACATGGATCATTAACACCTACCTGATTGTTATCACTTCAAACTCATTGTACTTTAAAAAGTGGACAACATTGCTGAATTGCATTCTCATTCTGACCACAACGCAGGTCTCGTTATACTTTTCTTATCAATTGATGGAGTTTAGAGCAGATGAAGGGGAGCTCTTTTCGAAATCATCGGAGAGACAATCTCCAATTCTTCTTGGATTTCAGTGTTTGAATAAGAGAAAGTTTATCAAAATGGCCGAAATATGTATCATGCAGGTTGTGGTCACCATGTCTGGATTTCTATTTTCTGACATTTCAGAAAAACAATATGAGAAAATTTTTGAACAACAAATGGAAATCATGAAAGAAAAGGTTCTTAACCACTCTAAGACTAAATTCATTGGAAACTTATCACATGAGGTCAGAAACCCCTTGCATGGTGTTGTAAGTATTGTAATTATAATAACGATTTTTCTAAATAATTGTCAACAATGACACTGCAACAGGTGGGCTCAATACAAATTTTGCGGCATGAAGCAGAGAGGTTGAACCGATATGCAAATAGCACAGGAAAGAAAAACGTGGCTAGAGCACGAAGGAGAAAAAACTCTTTACCTACAGGTCAATTAGATCCTATGGAAACATTCCACAATGAAAATGGAGGATCAGAGGCCGAAGAAAACGTGATCATAGCTTCAAATCAATCGTCTATGGAACTTATCGATGACATTTACAACAATTCAATATTACTGTTGAACATTTTCTCTAGATCACTACAACTCTCTAATTTAGAGTTAGGAAAGCTTAAATTGAGTATTCAAAGCTTCAATTTTCTTGAATTATTGGAATCAATGACCTCTGTATTTTACACTCTTGCTAACGACAAGCAGATTTCACTCCAATCATTTTTCAATTTTATGAAAGTTCCCACTACTTTCAAGGGGGATAATGTTAAAATTTCTCAAGTTTTAATGAATATTATTTCGAATGGCATCAAGTACACAAAGAAAGGATATGTGCTAGTCACATGCGATCTGTGCTCGGATGAAGACTTTAAAAAGTTTAATTTGGACTCCAAAGCTATCGAAGAAATCAAGAGTAAGACAACACAGGGAGATAAGCTCGAAGAAGTTTACTTTCTTCATTTACAGTGCCATGACTCTGGTGTTGGCATTTCAGAAGAAAATATGAAAACTTTATTCAAACCATTCCAAACCATCGAACAAGTTGGCAATTGCCCTAATTTCGAACAATACTTTTCGAAATATTCTGCATCCCAGTCTCGGTCGAAGAAGAATGAGATTGCCTCCTCTACTTTCTCTGACAGAAATGGGCTTGGGTTAAGCATATCCAAGAGCTTTGTCGATGCCATGCATGGAAAAATTGGAGTTCAAAGCCAGCTTAACAAAGGAACGACAATCTCTGTTTTGCTACCATTAGTTAAATCTAACGATATTACAGCAGCTTTTTCAAATCAGAGCATTAATGATCAGCTTCAAATAATTTCAGATCTTAAAGTGGAAAGTTTGAATATTTTCATAATAGATCAAAATATCACCTCAAAGAAGGTCTTACATGATTACCTCCAAATGATTTTCCTTAATGCTTCTTTCCATCAATTCGATAATTCAAATATCACGCTAGATTCAAGCAACTCATCCGGAAAAGTAATACTAGTATTCTATGGGGATGAAATGCATGAAAATGTTCAACAAACCTTTCGATCTCTTCGTAAGAAAAGTCTTCGGACTATATTTATCCCAATATCCAACAGGGGTTTTTCTAACCGTTCTTCCTCACTAAGATATCTAACTAGACCTCTCAGAGTGGGAGATTTGCTAGATGTACTTATTCAATCACTAACAGAAATGAGTGACAGTGATAGGAGCTTCTTAGAAAAAGATGACAGCTTCACCCTTCAAAGAAAATTTTCAACTAAAAAACACGTCTCCATTAAGGAGGAAAAGAAGGATTTGACGTTCAAATATGCCTTAGTTGTTGATGACAATGCCATCAATAGGAAAGTATTAACAAAATTGTTAAAAATGGTTGGCTTTGAAGAGATTGACCAAGCAGAGAATGGATTAGAAGCTTTTGAAAAATACAAGCAAAATATTGATAGATATGATGTTATATTTATGGACTTACTTATGCCATATGTATCAGGTAAAGAATCATGTGAAATGATAAGAAATCACTCCGTAAAATCAAATACCTTAATTGTGGCAGTAACAGCTAATACCTGGGAAACAAAGGACATGCTATGTAAATCTGGATTTGATTCGGTAATGTACAAACCAATCCTTTTGGAAAGTTTAAAGAGTGAATTAGAGAATATGAAATCTCTGCGTTTGCCAAAAGTCAATAATCTCAGTCATGCTCCAACATCCTTTCCAAATAACAACACTGCAATAGAGTCCATTAACGACAAATAAACATCGAGATAGTGTGAAGAAAGAATAGCTTGTTACTTTACTGTAGACAACAAGGCAATCGAGCAAACATCTATTTGCATTTTCTTCTCGAATCCAATTTTTGAATAAAGCCCACATCCTTGCTCTGATGCATGTAAAATAACTTTGGATACTCCTCTCTTTTTTGCAAGCTCCAATAACGTTATGACAATCATGGTTGCATATCCCTTTCCTCTAAAATTTTCTCTTGTAGCTATTGAATATATTCCTGCAAAATCATGACTTCCGTTCGAAGGAAATAGGTCATTATGTTGTGTCTTTTCCTTTAATGCTTTCGAATATACAATCATTCCAATACTTGCTGCTTTTCCATTCTCCATAATAATTACATGATCCGAAAGTTTTTGGCATTCTCCTCTTTGTTCCTTCTCGATTTGATTTGTATACACTCGGCTCAATGCTCTCACACTGTCCTCTGTCAAATACATTCCTGTGGCGAACTCTGCCGCAACCGAATAAAAGTGACAATATTCATTGAACGAATCTGTGGCAGTCTTGAGAATTATTTGAGGAGAAATTTGTGCATAAACTCTAAAATTTGTTGTTTGATGATTATTGACATCACAAGCATCCTCAATAATACTCCATCCATACTGTTCTTTCATCACTTGTAATTGCTGTCTATAAAACAAATTGCAGTCGTGTAATTCTTGCTTCTGGGTGAAATTCTCCTGGCATTCAAATTTCAAATTTGAATCATTCATGACATAAATCATTCCAGTTTCTTTTGTGCAATAAAAATCAAATACTGAAGAAAAATTCATTTTCAATCTTTCAATTAAACGTTCATTAAATCGAATGCTATTCCTATTGAATACGGGAAGGAACATGCATACAATTTTGTTAGATTTCACTACTTTCTCAATGAGAGCGAATAGATCTGTACTTGATGTTTCCGTATTTGTAAAAACTCGTTGAACCTCTCTTTCAATTTCCTCTTTTAATTCAGTACAACATTCGTCCTGATCACTATTAGGATCTATTATCTCAAAAGAAGATGATGATAAATTTGTTGTTGATTTGAGCTGCGGAATGTTGTATTTGTGGGAATAGGCGTAGAAAAACAATTCCGAAATTGCTAATGCTTGTTTTTGTCTTGCAAAACAAGATGTATCTTCTTGATTAGTATGGTTATTATTATCATTTCGTAGAATATATTCATAATCATCATCCAAGCAAGAACGAGGACAATTCATTGTTTGCATGCAAGATCTCTTGTGAGTTATGGCTTCATAAAATCGTTGATGAAAGAATTCATTGTAGTCCCAAATTGCTTCAACAATCATCGTGAGCCATTGTTGTTGACAATTACCGCCATACTCTTGGCTGTTCTCTTGCAACATTTTTTGGCAAAGTTCAGATGATTTCTTCAAATGTAACGTTCTTTTCAATTCACCCATGATGAACACACACCTGCAAGGCTTTGAATTTATATTAAATTTTTATTTAGGAGTCAACAACATTTACTTCTTCTTTTGGATCAAGAAGACAATGTGGCACTTTCCGCAGTATTGTCTATCTTCGTGAGCAGCCATTAAAACACCAGGTCCACACTTTGGGCAGGTTCTTCTGTTACAGACAACCTTTCCGTCGTTGGTAACTTCGTAGTACTTCTTTTCAATAGGAAGGAGAGGAATGTTCTTGTGCTTGTGAGCAGCCTTCTTTGGTGACTTGTAGTTCTTCTTTTTTCTCTTCTTCTTCTTACCACCTCTCAATCTCAAGACCAAGTGGAGAGTGGATTCCTTTTGAATGTTGTAGTCAGACAATGTTCTGCCATCCTCCAATTGCTTACCAGCAAAAATCAATCTTTGTTGATCTGGAGGAATACCTTCCTTGTCTTGGATCTTTGACTTCACATTCTCGATGGTGTCGTTAGACTCTAAACATTTTATGACCTTCCGTTAATACTACTTGCCAGCTATCTCCCATCTACTTACCCACTTCGAGAGTGATCGTCTTACCGGTTAAAGTTTTGACGAAGATTTGCATATTTTTTTCAACAACGAAAAATGTTTTTCTTTCGAAAATTCTGGTTGACTAGAAGTTTACAATGAAGAATTTTTCTGTGGGTCTGAGACGGACTCGATTGAGAGTGTGTTTAATTCAAACAAAGCAGAATAGAACAATGAAATCTTGAAATTGAGGGCATGTTGTTGCAATGGACCATTGTCTCTACTGCACATTGTTCCTTTTATCTTTTGAACGACTCACATAATGAAATTATGACTTTTGAATCCATGCAGAGGAAAAAGCTCAAAATTATTCAAAGGGAAAGACAAATCCACAATTTGTTGCTTGCAAAATGTTTTAATGTCACAATTTTTATATGCACGAGATACATGTTGACATTTCTCAACGTTCAAGAGTTGTTCTTCCCAAATAAGTACCATAATAACATTGTTCCATTCTTTCTTGATACAATTTCTCACTATACTCCAACACATAACCATTGCATTGAAGAGCTTCCTTCACAAGTTCAGGATCTCGTCGCAGTTCTTCATTAGCAAACTGTAATGCAAAGCCATTGTGTTTCACTGATGCCAACATGATTTCCTTGTCAGAATTAAAGTAAGAATCATAGGATCCTACTACACCAAGACAATTATGACTGATAGCCTTTAATACAAACTCTCTATCATGAACAAATCTTGACGCACGTTTTAAGACATCTCTACCTCCAAGCTTGATCGCTCCTAACGCGAATTGTTTGTCACGTAAGAGCTCTCTAGAGACGAAATAAACGGAATAGCTGTGATGTTTGATCGATTCAAATGCAATTTCTTGATCTCTTCTCAATGACTGATCGGCATAATGAAGAACATTCCCATCTTTCTGTCTGAGAGCTGTCAGTACAACTTGTCGATCTTTTTTCAGCTCATTGGACGCAAATGCAAGTGCAGATCCACAATGAAGAGCAGCCATTACAATCTCCTTATTTGCTCTCAATTCTTCAGAAACAAATTCCAATGCATAGCCATCTTGTTTCACAGCCAGATAAGCAATTTCTTTGTCGTTCTTTAACTCATCAGAAGCATATTGAATGGAGAGACCATCATTTCTAATTGCATTTAAAACAATGTCTCGATCATTCTTTAGTTCATCAGATGCAAATTGAAGAAAACATCCAAATTCTTTAACAAGTTTCTTCACGACTTCTTTGTTTGAATAATCAATAGATTCTAATTCTGGAAATATTATTTTGAGAACTTTCGACCTGAATTCATAATCTTCACCAAGTAATTGCATTGGAATGTATTTAAGTGCTTTGTTGTTTTGTTTGATTGCTTCAAGTACGAATTCCTTGTCAGTCATGAATGAAGAAAGAACATGCCAAAGACATTTTGGACTTTGTCGAACTGCTTTCAAAATAAATTCCTTGTCATGTTGAAGCTCGTATGAAGCATAGGTTAATGTAAGTTCATCTTGCTTTAGAGCTGCCAATACAACTTCTTTGTCGTTACGGATCTGTAAATGTGCTTGATTCAACCCACGACCATACTTTTGAATGTAATCCAACACAAATTGTTTGTCATTCATAAACTCCACTGGAAAGAAATCTATATATTCCAATTCCCGATTCAATAGCCATTTCTTCTTACCAACTTGTTGTAGTGTGAATTTCTTTTTCAGTAGAAATGCTAATCTCCGAGTGTGATCGGAAGATTTGTCTGAATCATCTTGTTCATGATGACGAAAAGAACAATTTGAAAATTCAACAATAATCACTTTCACTGGTTCATATTGTTTCATCATGTGAAACAAGTGGTTGTTTGACAATTCCGACATTTTTTCGTTCTCTTTTGAATCACAAAAATTGGCGGAAATAAGGACTGAATCAGAAGGCAATACAGTGTTAAAAATATATTGAACATTTTGATGTTTGTTTGGGTCATGTATCAAATTTCAAATAACCTTATCGCTTGAAAGAGGTTAGCTGGTGGCCGGGGCGGAGCAACGTCATGGTTGATTGCATTGTAGAACATCTCATTGATAATAGTTCAATTGAAGTCAATCATCGAATTGGACTTTATTGTAAACGAAAATACCTAATAGAAACAAACAACGATTGGCAAGAGAAACTGAATGATCACAAGATATCTTGAAATCTGTTGTCCGTTTGATTTACTCATAAGATTCATAAATACTTGGCCTTGGGCTAATTGTTTTAAAGATGATATGTGAGTTCTTCTTTTCAAGCTCCTCCCAGGTAAAATATTTCATGTCAGCATGTTGTTCTCTGAATGTTCGAATGTCCTTTTGTTCAACCTTAACATACTCGACTAATTGCAAGTTGGAACATCCATCAAATGGATTTTCATCTTCTTTTTCCTTCATAAACACAACCGTGTCAAGAACTAAATGCTCCAAGCTTGGCAAGTTTTTGATAAACAATTGGAGGTTGGTGGTGTCGTAAGGCATGTAATGTCTAAACTCAACATACTTCAGTTGAGGAGAGTGTTTTGATAGATCATTGGCCAATACAACTGGGTTAGCGATATCGTCAAACGTCAATCTCTTAAGATTCTTAAAGTTTTTGGAGACTATTTCAATTAAGGACGAAAGACCACCACCATAATACGCCGATAGTTTGTATGAAGAATACACAACCAAGTTCTTAGCATAGTTAAGTAAGAGTGGATGTTTCAAAACTCTCTCCAATAGATCAGTAGAAGTAAACGATTGGCGTGGAAGGAACAATCTAATATGCGGTGGGTTATATTGTCATTTTGCAAAACATTTCGTACGAGATAGACTTACTTTTCAATGCTTGATCTAGAGGCCTTTTCTCCTCTTTCAACAAGGCCTTTTGAAATCAAACCATTCAAACAATAATGGATATCATTTTCCAGGAAGAATTTTTGCACCAAACTTCTCCAATACTTATCTGCCGCGCTTGACACAATCAAGTGCCTTGTATCCAAGAAGGAAAATATATGTAGCAATAGATCATCATTCAATAGTCTGTAGTGGAACAGTGATACTGGCTTACATAACAGATTGATGAGTTTCGCTTTGAAATTGTCATCGTCGCGTTTCTTTGTCAGACCTTTTCTTCCATAACAAGCGGCTCTCATGAGATAAACCTGTTCTCGTTGTTTAGTGAGAGGCATTAGGGAGATACTTGTTGTGAAATCTTGAATCGCTTCATCGACTTGCCCGTAAAAGTAAAAGGCAAGTCCTCGATTATAGTAGGTTTGTTCTAATAGAGAACTTTCATACTTTTGGCCCTCTTCCACAGCTTTGTTAAGCCAAGATATGGCATCTGAGTAAAATGCACCTCTATAATAGGCCAAACCTGCTCGAATATACAGCATTTCCATAGAGATGATGCATTTTGGTTTCGATTGAATTAAAGGTTTCTCAACATTGAGTCCCATATCATGATTAATGAAATTTTTCACACTTCCTCCAATATTCGCAAATGAATTGCCCCAATCGTTCCATGATTTTGAAATATTCATTGCTGCTCTTTCCAATGGTTGTTTCGCGTCTAACTGCATTTTAAAGAACTCGTGTTCCAACTCAGCCATATTGTTTTCAACAAGAGTTGTATCATCATGAAGCGCTGAGTGTAGGATTTGTTTGGTTTCCTCCCTGTGGTGGATGGCCTTTACAAACATTTGGGCAGCCTCTCCAAAATTACCCAACCCATCTTCGCAAATTGCAAGTAAATATTCAGATAAATAGAATTGCTTTGAGAAGGTCATCATGACCTGTCCAGGCTTGTGCTCTTTTTCTGTACTCTCATCATTATGGTGAGATTTCATCATTTCCAGAGCTTGTACAAGGTCTTCCTTGGCATCTTTGAACGAGCCTTGTTCCATTCTGGCGACACTTCTTTGAATGAGTAATTTGATCAATTCGTCCCTTTGATGTTCGCTCAAATTGATGGAGTCGGCATTTTGCTTAATTTCTTGAATGGAAAGACTGGTCTTCTCATTCACGTTTCGGCTCGAGGTGGTCTGAATTTCCTTTGACTTTGTTTTAAACAAGTTCATCATTTTGAGATTATTCTCCCGAAGGCGTTCGTCCAGGCCAAGAATGCCATTTCGGACGTTGTTAAAGCCGTCCAGCACCACGATGAGAGGCAAAAGAAAGATAGGAGGAGCATAACTACATGTGAGGAAGCAAACAGTGAATCCATTATGGGTATTATGGGTGGAAAGATCAAGAGATCAAGAAAACAAACTCCACCTACCAACCGTGACACATTTTTTTTGTTGAAACGCCAAGTTCATTTATTCATGGCAGTTCATTGGATACAATTATTTAGAGCTTGCAAGAGTTATGGAATTGATATCCTTTGTAAATCTTGAAGTGGTGTTGTTCTAATTTACAAGTTATTTTAACAATAATTTTAAATCCATCTTTAAAAAAATGTCTCATACCTCATATGCAACACCCAACACCACCCATCGTGAATCATCCATCACGAACGCTGATTTCTCTACTGTGGATGAGAAGAGGATTAAAATATGTTTTGTCATGATTGATGGTATCGGAGAGGTTAATTCAAAACATTTGGATGGAAAAACGGCATTGCAAAGTGCCCATACTCCGAATATGGATTTATTAGCCAGTAAGTTGTTTCATGAAAAGACAAAATAATAATTAAAGGTGATTGATCATTAAACTGCGCTATTTTCCGTACCATTCCCGAATATGGATACAATTCAATACATATTTCCATTTTGGATGATCACTAAATCCAATAATAATTATTATAATTCCAATAATTAAATTAAATTCCGATATATTTTAAAATATTTGTCATGATCCTTTTTGAAGAAACGGGAATGAACGGTCTCATGGATCCTGTTCAACCAGGTTTGGCATGTGGATCTGATACAGCACATATGAGTATTTTCGGTTATGAACCAAGACTGTAAGTGTTGAAGACCAATTCGAGTTTCAAATATACCTTAATGTATACACATTTTTGAACTTGTTGGAACTGACATGCAAAATCATGTGATCAATTGATCAAACTGCATCCGAAATTGTTTGAAAAATTAATTATAGTCACTATAAAGGAAGAGGAAGTTTTGAGACCATTGGAGCAGGTTTAGACATGAATCCTGGAGATATTGCTTTTAAGTCTAATTTTGCTACTTGGAATGCACAAACGAACATTGTTGAGTTGCGAAGAGCAGATCGACATTTTGAAGATATAGGGCCTATACTTTGCGATTACATTGAAAAAAGATGCGAAGAAGGAGGATTCAATGCCAAGCATGATTGTGTTGTCTCTGTCAAATATGCCACAGAGCATCGATGTGGTGTGAAAGTTTCCGGTAAAAACTTGAGTGGAGATATTACAGGAACAGATCCACTTGTTGACAATTTGGCACTTGTAAAATGTGAGCCTGTCAAAGGTCTCAAAGGAAAAGAATTGGAAAATGCAAAAAGAACCAGCGACCTAGTGAATGATTTGTCCTATTTTATTTATGAACAACTTGTACAGCATGACATCAACAAGCAACGAAAAAAAGAAAGAAAGAATGAAGCCAACATTGTACTGTTGAGAGGATGCGGTGTATGTATCGACGTTCCACCTTTTTCAGTGAGGCATCCAGGCTTACGATCTGTTATGGTTGCTCCAACTGCTATTATTGCTGGCCTTGGCAAGAGTATTGGAATGGATCTTAAAAAGGTAGAAGGAGCCACAGGAGATTACAGAACTGACCTCATCAAGAAAGGTTCAGGTTTTTTGAAGTATTTACTTGGAGAGGACGAGCCAGGAAATGAAAACAAATATAATTTTGGTTTTTGTCACATTAAGGCAGTCGATGATACTGGCCATGATGGAAATTACAATCTCAAAAAGGAATTTATTGAAAAATCAGACCTAATGATTGGAATGCTAATGCAAGAATTTGAGAAACGAAAACAGAGAGCTGTTTTTATTGTGACAGGAGATCACACAACACCCTGCTACTATTTAGACCACAGTTTTGAGCCAGTTCCATTGATAATATCGGCTAATTACTTGAATTTGGAAAAGCATCCTGAACTTGCTGACACAGTACAGACCTTTGATGAAGTGTATTCCAAAGGAGGGTTGGGCCGATTTACAGGAAAGCAAGTATTCGATATTATCAGAGAATACATCAATATTACAACAAGCCAAGAAGATTTCTTTAAATTTTAAAATAATATATGCATAATATATACAATATACAATTAATATATAATATTCTTTATTTTAATACAGAGCTCATTGTCTTGTGTTTTAAGTCATGAGAATTTATTTCCATTCAAAATCTCCAGTGAGTCTGTTGAACAAATAGTCTTTTCCTTTCATGTGAACAACACCACTCTTCAAAGTACATTTCCATCTACTTTTATGTCTGGTAACTTTTTCATATTGAGCTAAGATGATGTTAGGAATGTCTTCTGGAACCTTTTCTTCTTCCACGTCGTCTTCAGAGCCCAATTCTTGGTCATCTCCATTTGCATGTTTATCAGCTGATTCGTCATCTTCTTCATCTTCCTCATCCTCACCGTCGTCGTCGTCATCATCTTCTTCATCATCGCCAGCCCCATCATACTGCCTGATATTGGTAGTAGATGAAGTTCCAGCATGATCTTCTTGCTCCAGTCTAATTCTTTTGGTACCTTCTTGTGAGGTTGTTGCAGAAATGCTTGGTGGAGGAGTAAAGTTTTGCAATGCACTCCCCACTGATGGAAGTGTCATCATCGGATTAAAATTAAGGGGAGGCATTTGAGGTGGTTGAGAATTGACATGGAGAGGATTACTGTGAAATGGAAGTGGTGGAGGCCGAGAGAGATTGGGTTGAGCTGATCGATTTCCATAATTAACAGGTGGCATGAAACTCTCTGGTCTTCCAAGAGAATCCAATGAGGGAAGAGATGGAGGTTGATTCAGTAAAAAGTTTGAGGTCGTATGCTGCTGATGGTACTGCGAAGGAGGAGGAGGTCCGGTTCTTCCTGAAGTAGATGATAGAGGTGTTTCAGGTAAGGCATAATAGTTAGAAGATACCCCTCCTGGTGTTGTTGTAGATCCAGAGGAGGAGATTGATGAATGAGGACGAGAAAGTGATGAAAGAGGAGTTGAAGGCATTCCTGGTGTTGTTGCCGGTGACGGTAGTGTTGGTGTGTGAAGTGGCAAACTTGGAGATGACGACGAAAGGTTTTGTTGTGGTTTGAATACGAGAGGAGGCATTATGGGGCTTGGTGAGTAAGCTGAGGAAGGAAGAGTTGGAAAATTACTACTGCCTACTCCTGAGGTCGTATAGGGGCTAATGGTTGGAAGAGTGGGTGTCTGAGGTGGAAATTGATGCAATGGTGTCGTGGCAGAAGGTGGACCCATAAACAAAGGAGTCGAAGCAGGCGGAGGTAACACAGGAGTACCCATCTCACCACCACCTAGAGAAGGTGGATGATAGGAGGATGGTGTGCTTGTTCCTCCAGAAATTGTTGGAAGCATTGGAGGTGGAAGTTGTGGAGGTTGGTGTGATGAGGTAGAATCAAATCGAGGAACGGTGCTCTGACCACTACTCAATGTTGTGGTAGTGGATGGTAATTGTGGAGGTGGTTGATGAGATGAAATGGGCAACGTAGGAATATTATCTTGTGTAGCACTAGGTTGAGAAGCAGCCATGGCGGTAGGGAGAGATGAAGAAGTTTGTTGTTGTTGCTGCTGTTGTCTGGTTCCTCGTGTTGCTCTTGTTGATGATGATCCTCCTTCGGATGCGGCTCTTCTTGAGGAGGCACTACTTGCACGTGATCCTCCTCCTCCTCCACCACCACTACCCACAGAGGTTGAAGTTCCATTATTGACGGTGCCACTCCAAGCTGGAACAGCACCACTCTCCTCAATATTCTGAATCCACAACTTTTTTAATTCTACAATGATGTCGGTGCTGTAGCCTTCCTCAATGAAAATATCTTGAATGTTTTGAGTAACTTCATTGACCACGGAGCGATAGACTTCAGCGACGAGTCGTTCATGATTGATCAGGGCGGACATGTTGATGATGAGGACAAGGACGAGGACGAATAGGTTTTGGTTGTTGTTGTTGGTGTGTTTGGTTGGAAAAGCTTTGGAAAAATCTTGCCGGTTTAGCGTCAGTGTTCCGAGCCAATAAAACAAAGAGATCAAAAATTTGGAATTAGTGGTTGTTGTTGTGTGATGGTCAATTAAAATCTCGAGAATAATAAATCCTGGTTGCACTTTCAAAAAAATTGCGCAGATGTTCTTCTCGTTCCTGCTGTGAGGTTTATCTGCGCTTTTTTTTTTGTAAATTTATTTTTATCACAACACATCCTTTTATTTGTGCTTGCACAACCAAACAAAATGCCAATTAGTGGTTGTCTGAAGAAGACGATGGAGAGAAGTCATTCCAAATGTCAATATTGAGATGAGTAAAGAGTTTAAGAAAGTAAAAACGAGAGGTCAAATTGTAATGAGCTCATTTTCTTTCCTGAACATAATTTGGCCAACAAGGAATCTATTGAGATGTGTTAGCCATACCTGTAAGTGTTTTGATATGATCGTACACTTTGGTTGGGTGGGTCTTCCAGGAATGCTTCATCAGTAAATCATAGGTAACAGTTGTTGGTGAAACAGGATAATTAACAAAAAAGTTTTGGGCCTTCTCTTCTTCTCCATTTTGGAGATAAGAATATAACATGGCATTTCGTAAACAAACAACCTCTCTATCAGTTCCTGCCTTCTTTTCGAGGTAATAATTGTAGACTACTTCGGCATCAGGCACACTACCAAGTTTTCCGAAAGCCACAATGAATTTGGCAACATCATCAATTTCCAATAAATCATTGGCATCAAAGTATTGTTTGAGAGAAACGAGTCTCTTGTAATCTTTGGATTCGGCACATTCCAAAGCTTCATTACCATACGATTTCTTTCCTTCCAATTCCTTCTTAAAGTCAGCAATTTTATCCCAGGCACCATCATAGGCCCAATCAGTGAGTTTCTTTGCGTGTTCGGGCTTGAACATTGTTTGAATTTTTACATCCTCATCCACAAAGCTGAATGCGTTGGATCTATTTGATGTATGAAAGAGAGAGCATTGAATTGTTGTTGCCACTCTGAGTGATGATGATGGTGATGCGAATTTTCTTCCAGCCGTAATGATAGACTTTCTCATTTTTTGGAATTTAATATTTAAATTTCAAAGAAGCAAACTTTGTTCGTATACTGGAGTGTTGAAAAGCCAAGCTTTCACACCGATTATTTTCGGAGGAATAAAGAAAGCATACATTCAATGGTGTTAATGAAAACAAAATAATATTTGAGGTCAAAATCAAAAAGTATAAAAGCAAAATTAAAAAGTTTACAGCGAACGGGAATCGAACCCATGACCTTAAGCGTGTTAGGCTTACGATCTAACCAACTGATCTACCGCTGCTTATTCTTAAGCAGTTTTCATTACTTATTATATAACTTATATCAATTAGACTTTGTCTTGACTTTCGAGATGTCAATTTAATTATTTCGTCTAAGACAATAGTTCGGAATTGGGTGACCTTGTTAACAACGAAATTTAAAAGTAAAAAAGCAATGTGTTATGTTGAGTGTTGGTAGCGCTTTTACTTGTTCTTTGGAGCTACTTTTTGATACAACACAGTGATCAGTTCATTTGGGCTCACTTCCATTGTAGAATTCCAATATTCTTCCCAACAAGGACCATCCATCTCATACTTGATCTCTTCCATTCCTTTCATAAAACATCCCCACACGTTTGGCAACATGTTATAGGGACCCACAAATTTCAATGAAAGATATTCACCACTCTCAATGGAATTCACTTCCATCTTGCTTTGAACATTGCCTTCACGATTCACATGTTCCACTTTTTCTTGTACTTGCTCCAAACTCATTCCCAATTCATTCAAGTCAATAAAGACTGCATTCTCCAAATCAACATCTTCACGGCTTCCGAAGCGATGATAGAATGCGATCGGAATGAATGTTTGTTGGCATTGTTTGAGTTGAGGAATGGCTTGAACGGCTTGACAGAAGGTTTCTCGAATCCATTCTCCGAAATTAGCATTCACTAAACTCACGTTGTATCTCTTGATGCCAAGGTAGAATTTTTGTGGCAAGGTGACGAGAGTGGGTGTTGGTAGGGTAATGTTCTGATCTTGAGACATTTTTTTGCTTGTGTGTGAGGTTTTGATCGCGTTTGACTGGTAGCTCTTAAACGCTTGCAGTGGATGAGTTCTTTTAAATGCTCGAACTGTTTGTCAGATATGTGCGAAGAGATCATGTACGATAATACCGTGAGTGCGGTGGATGAGAATGTCAAGTTCGATAATTATGTGTCAATCAAAAATGTTTTTATTTACATTAGATCTTGTGTGGGTCGTATTGGTGATAAGACAATGCGCGTTTGTTGAATTAATCCTCCTCCTCATTCATATCAGCATTATTCGACGCCGTTGTGTCTGCCTCTAACGAGGAGAACATTAATCCATCCACATTACTTCGTCTTACTAAAAAGTCCATTTCCACTGACGACATGTCACCATTACCATCAAATGACAATGTGTGACTCGTAATGAAAGGAGGCTTATTTAAATATTCCTTAAACATTATTTTTACACCAATTGTGAAATATCCCCACCCATACCTAGTCAATTCAAAAGGGGGAGAGTTAAGTAACAGCCTAGAGGGTTTAAAAGTTGGATGTAATTTCACTTCTACTGATTCAATATAATTGTCAATCTTGTCTTGATCATCCATTCGGACGAAAAATGTCCACTTGTGGATGTTTTGATCGTTTCTGTTGTTCATTAATGCATGTAAATTACCAATATAAATCTTCTTACGTATTGTGACAGTTTGTAAAAAGTGTTGTCGCTCTCGTTCCACTTCCTCTCCTCTACTCTTGTATTCGTCACCAAAAAGGAGAGGTAAAACTTTCTTCAATGCCAACAGAGGCCTAATATTATTCAGTGTCACTAATTGAGTATCATTTGAGGAATCATAAAACGGAGCTCTGCAACATGGGCATGCTCTCATTTCTCCATTCGATGCTAACAAACGTTCAATACAGAATTTACAAAAGGAATGTCCACAGTGAAATCCAACAGGGTCATATAATAATTGCAAGCATAATGGGCATTCAAAATCAGCGTGAGATATTTGGGAGGAATTCAATAGCGACTGCACAGAAGGTGGTTGTTGTTGATGGTGGTTATTGTTGCCATCATTGTTTGGTTGATGGTGAGGATAGCCTTTCATGATCGAAATGTTATTCATCGGGATGATGTGCTTGTCCGAGAGGAGAAGGGAAGATCGGTTGATGATGGAGGAAGCTACTAAAAAATATGATGTATACAAGCTTATTGTTCAATACTACTACTACTACTACTACTATTGTCTAAAGTACACGTTAGCGACGTCGGGAGGGGAATTGATTCAACGGAGGAGGTTCTTGTTGTTGTGAGGTTCCGAAACGAACAATCCAAACTCAACGACAACAATTCAAAAAAAGAGAAGTGATTTTTTTTTCGAGCAAGCGTTTAAAAAAAAGAAATCTTCTAATCCTCACATCTGATTTGTTGTTGGGACAGTGTTCACCATTGGGGTGACCTCTGAGCTGAACCACGTTGAACAATTTGAATTGGGGGAAAACCTTGGTGAATGAATCTTCTGACTTGATTCATTCATGAGGTATTGGAATAGATTGAGGAGGAGGTTGAATTGAAGCGAGAAGTGTTTCTTTTGAATTGAATTTCCAAAATGAGGAATTAAGGAAAGAGTAATTCAAAGAAGTGATCGATTCAGAGAATTTTGGTTAAAGGATTCGCATTAATTATTGTTCAAAATTCTTTCGATTATTCTTCATCAAAACAGAAAAAATTTCATGTCTTGCTCAACAAACGATTGCGGAAGGACAAGTCAGCAAGACCAGACAGAAGAAGAGGAAGAACATAGTTATTCCTTGTATGAATTTTATTTAAATTCTCTAAAAACAAAAAACAACGAATCGGAAAAGAATGAAGAAATTGAAATTTGTTTTTGGAATAAATTACAAGATGATGTAGAGGATGTTTTTGATGAATCGGGATTTGCTACCCGACCTGATAGAAGGTTCAGACACACTGCTGTTTATAGTGCTAAAGAGGATGGTATGTTCAGATGGCAATTGTTGTGATTAAAGGAAGGACGATAGATTTACGGTTATTGCATGATAATTATTTAATAATTGTTGTTAATTTGATACATAATGACGATAATTCATGAATAATTATGTATTGCTAATTTTTTTGAATTCAATTACTTCTCATGCGATATTTATGTCTGAATTAATTAATATATTGGAAATAGCCATGTACGTGTTTGGAGGGTTTGTGGAAGAGGGAAATGAATCACAAAATGATTTTTGGAAATTTGACATCCCGTCACGAACATGGACAGAAATTTATCCAACCAATGCAAATCAGGTGTGGCCATCTCCTCGCATGGAACATTGTGCTGCAATGATTAGCCTTACTCCAACACGATTCAAACTTTTTGAAACACTTATGGGACAAGAAATTATTCCATCTCACCAAGAAAACAGTGCAACCACTTATCTTCACAATCAAATGTATATATTTGGTGGATATAGTTCACAAAAAACGCAATTCAACAATGATCTCTATTGCTTTGATTTTACACATTATAAGTTTTTTAAAATTAATTACAAAGTGACCCAACAATTATTCTATTTAAACGTGAAAAGAGTTGAATATGTAAAAGAACGTTCAAGACACACAATGGTTGCATCAGGAGATGAAAAATTATATATTTTAGGTGGAATGACATTTCTGTCGCATTGTTTGATGGACGTATGGGAGTATGATATCGACACTCAAACCATGACTTGTTTGTGGCAAGATCGAAATGAAGATGAATCTGGAAGCGATTTAACAAAATCGAATGAGGAGGAGCAAGACCATCCAGAACCTAGGTGTTCTCATTCTTGTGTATATTCAAGAAAAGAGAATGCATTGTATGTGTTTGGAGGAATAAGGAGAGGGTAAGTTTTTGGTTTCAAAAGAAGCAATCAAGAATTCCAATCATGAATTGCTCGAACTCTAATTTTGCATGTGATTCAAATCAAAGGATCAAGTCATTTCAAGAATTGTGGAAATTTGACATTTCTCACAAACTATGGATAGCTGTAGATATGCACGGATTTGTTCCAGTTGAGAGATTTGAACACATTTCATTCATGTTAAACGATCTCTCTGATTATTTATTTATTTATGGTGGATACAACTATCGTCACGGATGCCTAGATTATATTTATCAATTCTGCCTTAGTACGAAAACCTGGATTCGACTTCAAAATCGCAACTACACAGTAGGTGGAAAATTTGCAAGCACAGGTTCCATCTTATTTGTTGATTACAATGAAACACCCATCAGTAGAGTTGGAATGTCCTGTATAGTCACCAAAGATTACCACACGATTATCTTTGGAGGAAAATCATGTACCTTACTGAATGATGCGTTTGTTTGTTTTTTACCAGGACATGGAAGATTGCCCTCTGTGACTTTGGAATTTCACAACACTTTATATCGAATGGTTCTTGAGAACACCAATCATCAGGATACCTCTCTCAGTGATTGTTGTATTGTTACTTTCCATCCTCTTTGATCAAGTTCATGCAAATCAAGAAGAATTGAAACGGTGACCATGTGGGGGTCAAGTTCATGCAAAGGTGAATAATTTGATTTTAAAAAAAAATGGCGAACGATGAAGAGGAGAATCAAGCATCTCCAATCTACACCAATCATCATGATCATCAACACGATCAACAAGGCTCATCAACGTCGACGTGGAAAGATTTAGGCGATAGTAGTGTATTTCTAGCTACAAATTTTGAAGCCTCAAGTAAGTGAAGTGTGTGTGGACATGAACTTGGTTCCGAAATGAATTATCAATTCGAAATCTCCAATGAATAATTGTACTCGTATCGTGATTCATATTTTCATTGTTTCGAAACAGATTTTCCATTGAAATCCAGTGGCCAATTTAATCGTTATGTCATTCCCAAACTTCGTTTCAAGAAAGTACTCGCTGGTGATCGATATTTCTTCTTTGTCACACCCGATCATTTCATTGCTGAGGTGTGTGGTCATCCTTCTGTTCCAGGAATGGCAAAACTCAAATGTCAAACGAAAATTTTGGGCTATGGACCTGATGATCTTGCACAGAAATCAAACAACAAACAAACCATTTGTGAAGTGGATGCCTCTATTTATGAATATGATCTTTCTAAAGAAATTGGATCTATTTCTGAATTTCATATGAATATAGATAAAATCTTTGCTGTGAATTCTGCAAGAGATGAAATTGCAATTTTTGAATATCAACGTTCAAACACTGTAGAAATTAAGGTTTTACGATTGTTTCCAGAGAATTATAAATATTATGACAAGAAAGAGCCAAATTCTGAAAGGGATTTCATCAAATCGTTTATTACAGGTCCATTATCCACACATTATGTTGTCCTTTCTCAAAAAGGAAAAATTTTTGTGAACGGGGAGGAATTGAAAGATCGACCTGAGGATACCATCATTGGTGGATCTTGTTGTGGAAGTGGAGTCATTTTGGCCTCGTCTTCTGCCTTGTACTGTCGAGGTGCAGATACTTTTAATGTCTTTGGAGGACATTCATTCGACCAATTTGATCGATTTGCATTTAATTTGGGAGCCTCCATTGTTGATGTGAAATGTGGATTTTATCACACACTCGTCTTGTTGAGTAATGGAACAGTCTACAGTTGTGGATACAATGTACTTCATCAGACTACTTTTAGTAGTACAGGCACAGGAGATGTTCTATCAAAAATTAACATGAATTTTGGTTTTGCTGTAGAAATTGGATGCTCCTCTCGTGGCTCATGGGTCAGAAACAGTAAGTCTGCCTTGATGCATTTATCATTCTTCTCAAACTTTGAAAATTATTGCATGTATCATTCTTCTCAAATGGTTATTTTCTTTGAAAATGCAATATTGTGCAATATTAATCAAATGATAATTCCATCAATCTATCAAAAAAGATGATGACGATGTATTCATGGTGGGTGAAGTTATTGAAAATTTCCTGCCCAAGTTTTGCATTCAAAAGAATCCAAAAATTTACAAATTTAATTACAAGACTCAATTTAAGAATTTCAGACATTCGCCAAATGACATTGCAAGTGCTGGATGGCAGTACATCATTTATCACAATTCCACTCGAAATGATCCATTGAAATCTGTTTTAAGATTTAGAGAATTGTTATTGAAAACAGTTTCACATCCTGAAGGAGGTTATAGTGATTGTGTGATTTTATGTGAAAGCTTGTGTGCTGCGGATGAATGATGATTTTCGAGAAAAGAGTGAATGATTGCGAATCTCTCCAAAAGACCATTTCGAATTATTCTTTTTGAATTTTCGATGACTGGAGAAAGGAATTGTAAGGTGGTGAATAAGGAGGTCAGTAAACAGAAGTTGAAGTGAATTATATCATGAAATCAGTAACAGTTACTACTCACTGTTATCTCTTCGTATCAATTGTGATCTCTTCTTCTTGTTTGAATATCACTAGTGGTACTGTCAAACGCCATCAACTCAAAAAGGAAATTGAAAACAATTGTTCGATTTTTTTAAAAGACCTAAAGGAGGTATTTCGTCGTCCGTAGTTGGAATTTCGGCAGATACTGTATCGGTATACTTCAGCTGCCGTTCAATTCACGAGGGAAGAAACATACTCATCAACATGTTGTGACAGCACACAACAACAAAAAAACCTTTTGTTTTCAGTGTTCACTTTTATTACCAAAGCGTCGTCTTTGCTCTTTCATGTTTCCCTATTAATTTCCCTGTAAAAAGTATTCACTCTTCTGCCAAACATGGACCTATTGCTGAGGTTATTTCATCTTCTCGATCGTTGCAAAGACGATCCACAACATCCAAAAGATCCTCCCCATTCTTCCTCTCCTTCTCACTGTTTTTCTCTAATTTCTCTCTTCTCATTTCCTTCTTCCCTTTTGAACACAAACAGGACTTGAGTCGTGCACCAAGTTTCAGAAAGTCAACCTCAATACGCAACAGTGGCCACATGTGTCACATCAAAACCGAGGAAAAGAATAAAAAGTCGACTGAGTCGAAACTTTTCATCCACTCAACACAAGGATGATGATGACTTGTCTCGTCACCATCCATGGCAGATGACCAATTCCGTCATCATTGATCCATCATTGATCCATTATTTCAATACGGAGCATGGAAATGGTCTTGTCCATAAAATAGAAGATTCAATGAATGAAAGAAAATCTTCTAATCCTTGTCCTCTTCTTGCTCATCAACCATTTCTGGAGAAATTTCAAAGCACAAGTCACCAATCATCCTCATCACCACCACTAACTCTCATCCATACGACGACTACTACTTATAATATCATCCCCACCACCACCACCACTCCCACTTCTCCACAATCTAAAAAGAAATCCTTTCCAAGGTCAGAAACCTTCCTCATGTTGAATGAATTCATTCATCAAGTCAATTCTTGTGGTTTTCCAGTGTTGGTTTTCAATCGTCATTTTATGATCGAATTCTTAAATAAGGAAGCTGAGGAATTATTTGGAGTTTATTCCTTTGCAGTGATGGGAGAATATTTGAGCGAATTATTAGTAATGGATTCTTTAAATGAAATTCGAAATGCCATTGAGAATTATCTTGGTGAGGATCATCACACTCATCGTCACCCATGTGACATGATGCAACATGATCAAGTGGAAGAGACAAATCATCCCTATGAAATTATGAAACCTTCTACTTCAGAAAGCAACATGGAAGATTCAATGAATGATGATGAGGAAAGTGAATTTGACGATCGAAGAACGTCCATCACTTCGTGGCAGTCTTGTCATTCTTTTAATTTGCAATTACCAAATATTGAACACATTGAGAGGATCTCCACAGAGGAAAGGAAAGCTAGGAAACAAGATTTGATGAACACTCGATCATTGACAGGTCGAGCATCCACACTCAAGAAAATATTTCCAATGAAAGTTCGATTGTTACCACTGCACAAGACAGATCAAACACATTTTGCAGCCTACATTCAAGAGGTGAAACAAAGTGATGAAGATTCGAAGCATTTGCATGGAGTTCAGTTTGGTGAAGCAGTGACGGAACTCTCTGTCATTCCAATTATTGCAATTAATAAGAAAGGGATTATTCAATTTTTCAACTCTGCAGCTTGTTCTGCCTTTAAATATTCAAAGGTAAGTTGGAATTGAGTGCATTCGAAAAGAGTGAACATGGCGAACATGGCACTTCTTTCACATGAATGCTAAATGACATATCAGCAAGAAATTGTGGGAAAGAATGTGAAAATTCTGTGTCCCCCTAAAATTCGAGCGCAACACGACAAGTATCTCGAGAGGTACTTAAAAACTGGAGAGAAACATGTGGTAGACTCTGTTCGTATGGTGAAAGGAGTCGTCAATGGAGGAAAGATCATTCGAATGGAATTAAGGGTTTCTGAAATTTTTGATCCTGTCACTAATGAGTCATCCTTTGTGGCGTTCGTTCGAGATTGCACCTCAATGGCAACACGTGAGGAGCATTTGACGAATATTGCAGAGCGAATTTTTCCAAAGAATATTGCTCAGCGATTGACTCTGGGACAACAAGTGATCGATTCTCTGCAAAAGTGCAGCATGTTGTTTTGTGACATTGTTGGATTTACGGATTTTTCTTCCAATCAACCTGCTTCAACAGTGGTGAAAATTCTACATCAAATGTTCACGTCATTTGATGAAATTTCAACTTGTTACCATTTGGAAAAAATTAAAACCATTGGCGACTCGTATTTTGCAGCAACTGGAATTGTCAAAGAGACAGATCAAGATGCAGAGAATTGTGTGAGAGCTGCTCTTGAAATGATACGATCCATACAGGAAATTGAAATGACAAGACCTGAGAACATCACAAATGGATTGTCAAATATTCAAGTGAGGATTGGAATTCACACAGGAAACAGTGGAGATGTTACTGCTGCCGTCGTGGGAAGACTTAAAAAGACGTATGATCTATTTGGAACTGGAGTGACAACCACACAGCTCATGGAAGCAACAGGTAAAGCTAATCAAATTCACATCAGTGAAAACACTTACCGAGAGATTGAATCTGACTCTCTGAAAGCATTATTTGTTCCGTATTTTCAAGCTAAAGAGGAAGTTTATCTTCCAGACAAGTTGGGTATGAAAAGTATTCCATTTCAAACCTTTATCACAGATATTTAGGTGTTAAATACTGAGTGAATGCGTCAAATTGGTGTGTTCTCATAAAAGTATAAATTGCTTTTGTTGATTTAAAACGTGTTGTTGTCATCTTTATTCCTCCAAATTTCTGGAATTACAGCAATAAATATCATCAGCAAAGCAATGACGACAACAACAACCAGCTCCACATCATCATCCTCATGTCGACTACTTTTTCTTTTTCTTCGGGACTTGTTTTTTCTTGCTGAAATCAACATCGGACCTAAACTTTTTCCTCATATCGAGAGCATCCTCTTTATCTGCATAATATTCCTTCTCTATATCGTGCTCTTCAAATCCTAAAGTATTATGATACAACGATATGGCTGCACTATTGCTCTTTCGTACGTGAAGGCTTGCATAGGCAGCATCAAAACTCTCTTGCATGGATGATTGAGCAAGATTCATCAATCGTTTGGCCATACCTAACTTTCTATGCGATCGGAGCACAGAAAGACTTGTAATATGTCCATGAGGATAATCCGTTTGTTCATCATATTCCTCTTCCATTTTAGCAAGAACATATCCGACCAAATGACCTGGACGATCCTCTGCAATAAACTCACATTGAGGCCATGAAAGAGCATGATACAAATAATATTTCATTTGGTAATTTTCGGGAAGACAACTCAAGTTGCAATTTTGCATTAAAAACAAATCGGAAATGTTTGCCCTTCGTACATTCATTTTTTTTAAAACAATTTTGATGAAATTTATTTTATTCTGAATTCAGAATATTGAATATTTAAATATTTAAGAGCATTTCGTGGAGATTTTCTGCAAATGTTGTCAATTAACTTATTAAATTATAATAATAGAAATATTTGGTTAGTTCAATAAAATCCCTGTTGTTAAATATTTGTTGACTTTTTTATGATTGAACTATTGTTCTTCTTTGAAAAGATTGCGATCTTTGGGTATGGTGAATGTGTATTCCTTTTGACGGTAATGTCTGAAAATGAAATGAGTGCAAACTTTGATGATTCGTGAAATTAAGAAGAGGTTGAAAAAGGTTTCAAAGAGTGTAAGATGTTGCTCGATAAAACAACCCCAATACCATGCTATCATGCACTTGATAGGATATCCATAAAATGTAAGTAAATCTAGAGCTGAAAAAAGAGCCATCGAAAGGTTTGAAAAATTATGTCTTTGATAGAATTCTCTACTAAAGGACCAGTTCAATAAAGAATTTCGTGAATTTAAAAAAATAAAAAAGTGAATAAATAGCTATTAGATGAATAGTTTAGAAAATAAGGGTAGATGGATAGACTTGCGCAGTGATTTGGTTTGTAAAAGATGAGCATGAACACACAATATTGTCAATTGAGCTCAGAGGATCTATGCGATCGTGTAGTCCCAAATATCTGGTCAATTTTGAGAAAATATTGATGATTGGTCTGAACAACGAACTTCGAAAACTGAAAGAAAACCATCGATGAGAAGGTGTGTCTTCCGTAAGCTCCATAATGTTGGACATCAAATTTGACTTTCGTTGTAAATCACAAACTATGGCTGAGTTTGGGTGATAGCATGGAAACCAATAGTGCTGCAAGAGTGACTCTGCATTGACAAAGAATAACATCCTACTGAAGTTTTTAGTAGGTCCATAAATTGATAGAAGGCAACAGACGGAAGTGTGATACTCTGTCCGTTGCACTTTACATCCTTTTCTCGAAGGTCTTCAATTATTATCTTGTTATTGCGCATTGAAAGTTGTCCATGTATTCGTTTTGGTGTCGAATATCTATCTGTCTTCAAAATTTTAAAGATACTTGTTTTGGATAATCTTCCATCATCACAAAAGCACCAATCTAGCTCAAACGGTAAATACACTTTTGAGAGTTGTTGTTTGACAGACACTTGCATCTTGTGTGTCTGTGCTGTATTTAGTAAATAAATAAAGTTGTTTTGTGTAATAAATTCGAATATTTCCTTCAATCTTGAACATGGTAATTTTGCCCATAAACCTGTTCCTGGTGTTGAAATGTGGATAATCCCAAAAAGGTATAAGTGGAAGCTTGCAGAAAACGACAAACGTTAGTCATGCTTGCAGAAAGGGAGTGCATTTGGGATGGATGAAGGAAATATCCAAGATTTTGAGATGTCGATCGAAATATTGTACACAATATATCAATCAATGATACAGGTCTTTCCGTTGAATGAGCGTTGAATTGTTTGATCACAATATTCCTTAACTGAAATTCAATAAAGTCCGAATCAAAATCATTATTGTCATTCTTAAAGGCATATCTCAAAAGTATCATCCATGTATCGCTCAATAAGACTCTCTATGATAAATACTCGCAAATTTCAGCCATCATTTCTGGAGGAAGATTTTTCAAATTTCCACGATCATACTTTTCTTTCATCATGGACTCGCTGTGGTTGGGATCGGAATTCCTCAATACTGAAGTATCATGATGGGAAAAATTCATTCTAGTGGATGGATTGATAATTTTTCAATAGTGATCACTATCTGAATTCAATAGTTTGATCTAATTCAAAAAAGGAATAATGTGATGCTGTTTCAATAAAAGATGATGTGGTGATGGCTCTGGAATTAATTTCAGTATTTTTGTTTTGAAAAAAAATGCAAAACTCAGCCAACAAGCAAAGCCTCGCTCTGGCCAACACGGTCAAAGAAAAACTCGCCTCTCGGGAAGTCATGGTTCAGAGGCAAGCCATTCTTGGGTTGTACAATGAGATTAAAAATCCAAATACACCTCCATCAATGGCAAATGATATTGTTCAATTGTTGGTTTCTAATGTTAAGAGTAAAAAGTCAAATCGGACTGTGGCTACTTGCTCGCTGGATGTTTTGGTGAAAATATTTACGGAATTGGACGTAAAGAGTCATCATCACATTAAGGACATTCCCGTTCAAAATGCTGTTGAGCAGTTATTGAAGTTTGCTATTCAAATTCATCCTGCTTTAGTTCCACATTTAACACGATCGGTGGTGGCAATTTATTTAGGCAAATTCATGACCGAACATCACAACGACAGCCATCATTCAAAGACATCAAAGGAAGTCACACGGCTCTGTATGAATTTAACTTCGGGTACATCAGGCTCTCCGTTGGTAATGCTCATTCAAAATCGTAATGAATGTCTTGTTGAAATTTTGAACCAATTATTCTCATATTTGACCAACTCGGAATACCAATTTGCTAAATTATTTAGATTTTTCTCTCCCCTGTTTTGCCATATCCTCACAAATAGACACTTATTTCATTCTGTGGAGACAAATGAAATTCGCCACGAACAATATGAAGAAGATGAGAGCTTACCCTCTGATAAGTCCATTCCAAGAAATATAATGGGAAGTGGAACAATGTTGCGAACAGATACTATGAGCTCAACCCATTTAAAGTTGAAGCTTTTGACTGAATTGAGAGCGGTAATTCTTTTCAAAACTCAGAAAGCGCTGTCCTTTGATGCAGAAACTGATGAAGAGAAAAAGCTCAAAGCTGGCTTATTGAAGCAAGCCTACTCTATAGTATTATATTTGGTCCACTTTTTACCTGCATTTGGAGTTGATGTTAATTCTGATGTTGTAACAACATGTCTTTCACCTCTGAAAACTGTACTTGATCTAGTGTTACAATTTGATTCGATCTTTGCATCGCTTGAAGCAGAAGATCCAGATTTTTGTGAAACCTATCTCAATACTCTTGGAAATGAATTTGAACAAATTTCTGTTATTAGATCTATAGTTTATAGACATTTTATGTCTTTGTATATTGAGATGAATCATCACCAGGTGGATATAGAAATGTATTTTAATTATTTATTTGATATTGTCAAGAATAGCTTGGAACACTTTGTTGAGTTTATCCCAATGATCTGTAATTCTATAGTTAATGCTGAAACTGAAATCGAAATTAATTCATGGATGAAAATTCTGAAAGAGCTTGTAACTTTACTTACAGAAAATTTAGATGATTTCGAAGAATTTTTCAACAGTTTAAACACTAGTCATCGAAATACTTCCTTCGGAGGATGCTCATTTAACGTGATTGTTACAACCAATTTGCTATACCCAATGGTTGTGTTATTACATACAGCAACAAGTGGCACTGAAGCAAATCGAGCGATTTCTTTTAGATGTATTCAGAAAATTGAGTCCTTCATCAAAGGAAAGTTTTCTGTTGACCTAATTCGAGCAGAAAATCCAACTGATAACGACGATGACCAACAAACCCAAACCGATAGCATTTTATCCAAACTTGGTGACATCTTACCAGTGTTTCAACGTTATGAGATTGCCATGTTATCATGCCACTACAGATTAATGGCCAAAATGATGCATCAAAGCAATGAACAGATTAATGTCAATGAAGAGTTCCTTGTTCAGTGGCTGTATTCTGTGATTAGCCTTATTCCAAGAAATTCTGAAGCCATTGACAACGCTACCTATGTTTGCAGCACGATTGGCATGCTATTCTTGTTATCAAGACGAGAATTTTGCAACAGAGAGTATATTCGAATGCAAATCGTGAAAGCCATTGAATCACTGACATCTGAGATAATAACGCTAAAGGGAGGCCTATTATTGCAACCATTAGTATTTTATGAATTACCCAAAGAAACAAACACATCGTCAACCATTGCTCTGATGAAGCTACTACCAAAGCTAGGCACCAAAAACGATGTTAATGTTACTCCAATCGTGAAAATTCTAAGTAATATGATGTACAATAAGGATCTATTGCCCAGAGTCATTAGGTTGTTCACCGAGTTGTGGAAACAAAATGAGAAATTTTTCACCAAGCTGAAAGGATTTTTATTTTCCTTTTCCAAGTACATCCAAAGTGATTCCAATAACCAGATCGTACAGATTGAAAATTATGACCACTTATCAAACTTTGACATTGAAACACGATTAGCCTTAGCTTGCTCTGCCTACGAAGTTTGTACTTTGAAGATTGATAAGGGAGCAGAATTGCTGCCTTTAATTACTAGAATGCTATGCCAAGAGAACAACGCAACAGTTCTTGGTTATGCGCTTAAGGCAATAACAATTCTTTGTCAGAACCATGTTGTAGACTTTTACACCGTTTGGTATAAAGTCATTCAACAAAATGTATTGGCAAATGCTGAACACAGTTTTGAGGTGAGGAGGGACATGTGCCAATTCTTCCAATGCTCTGTTGAGCCTATTTCATTTGATAACATGACTGAAAATCAAAAGAAGGCAAGAGAAGATGACGAGTTCAATTTATTTGTTGACTATGACTCGCCACACAAGCATGAAGTCAAAGAAATTATTGATATTTTATGGACTCATACTTGTGACGACAATGAACAAGTAAGATTAGCTGCATTTAAAACTTTGAGCATGTATCCTTTGCATGTGATGCTTTATGCTATGAAAACTGAAGAGAGTGACGATGAAGATACACCTCAACAAATAGGATCTGAAGTTCTAGAGCAACGTGAAGAAAGCATCTTTGCAAAGCAAGAAATTAGACGCGGTTGGCTGTTAAATCTGTGTGCTGTCTTAATAGAGAGGCTGCAAGTTGAAACTTCGAAAGATGTCATGCTCGCTGCAACTCCAATGATTCAGCATGTGCTTAAGGCAGAATTAAGAAAACCAAAAAACACTTCAATCGTTTCGAAGGACAAAAAGGCCAGCACTCAATCCATTGGACTCACATCATTTGAGAAATTTGATTCATTGGCTGACTTTGTAGTGAAGCAATATGAAAGTAAGAAGAATATGCAAGTCACAGCTCCCGCTGTATTATGGCAAGGAAATTTGGCAAAGGCCAAACCTCCAATTCCTGAGACAGAGGCATTCAAAAGACTGCTGAGCGAACTTGCGATGGATATTGTGGTTGGCAGCAGTCCAGAGGACTTCTTTTCCCAGCTCATTCTTACTCAAGGCTTCTTCTCCATGTCTCGTGACTATTTCTTTACGGCTGTAGAGTCTTTCAGAGACAAAGATTCACAAACTCATTTTGATGATGCTTTTGCAGCAGTCTTTTCTAACCTTAAAACCAGCATTGACCAGAGCACAGTTCCTTCAACCACTGGAAATTATATTTTGGCTCTTGCTGGATTGTGTTTGGCTCTTCCAATTAATGCTCACCATCATGTGTTGAAGATTATAGAACTTGTTACAAAGAAATTATCATCTTCTAATGAAACACAGGAAGACATCAAATACGCTTGTAATATGGTCCTCGCAAGTGCGTCCTTTGAAATTCACATTTTTTCTCAGTTGTACGATTTAACCAAAATTTTACTGTCACAACTTCATGGAATGGTAAACGAAAACTCTAATCAAGACATTTCATCAGCATCACCTGCGATAGCATTAGGTATTATTGTCAAAAATCTTTGCTTATCCAAGTCAGACAATTATGAAAAAGGGTTGCATCTCTTGCATTACATTGCTAACAACTTGTTCAGTTTATGCTTTAACGATAGTAGACAATTATTTGTACCTCAATCAGAAGATGAGAAGCAGAAACACACTGAAGCTTTTAAACACATTAAGAGTTTCAACTTTAACTGGAAGCAAAAATCAAACTTATTGTTCGGAATGGCACAAGTAACAGATACTCTCATTCGTGTAGGGGAAATTGAAGCAGCAAATACCATTCTTAATGAGTTAAAAAAAGAACAACAAGTTGTCGAAAAATTCATTTCTGATCCAAAGAGCGTGGATTCCAATTTGTTGGAAATTTGCATTCCAAGCTGTATGGTACTATCACAAATTGTACTTTCTCTTTACCATTGTAATGAGATGAATTCCGAACAAGTTGGAGAATATCTCGACATGTATGATGTTTTGCTTCAAAAACTCGAGGGTAAGAACCTCTCATCCTATCTTCGACTGTACATGTATGTCAGTGCTGGTTATGGATCATTATTATTTGGTGCCTTATGTGAAACTGTAAGAAGAGGAGAAGAAGATCAAGAATCTGGCAAGCATTTCAGAAGATTGTATCTAGAAAAATTTACCAATGCCATTACGCAATATGAAGACGTATATTCGCAAGGAGATTCATCACCTTATCAAATAGGTAGTTTGCTATTCCTTGCATGCATGCTTGGTGTTGATTTATTCTCACCAATTTCCAAATCAAAATCAGATGACAGTGACGTGTTTGGATTACAATCTTCAGAGAAAAGGCCACTCTCCATTTCAACTTACAGAAGTATCTTCTTTAATAAGATTTTATTACCAAAAAATTCTATCAAGAAATTAGCAAGTAGAGCTATCGATATTTTCAGAAGTTCAAGTACAGAGCCAAAACTTTCTATTAAGGTCAGAAAATATTCGTCACTCTTTGCTGGAATATTTTCAAGTATTTACAAGACTGAAGATCATGTGTTAGAGAATGCAGATAGAATTCCTGTTAAATATTTAAGCGAGAGTGGTTTGGTTGTGTACTTTGTGCAACAATTGACATTGTTAGAAAAAGAAGAATCGTTGCAAACCAAACTTCAAGAAAATTCAGCTCTTCATAATTTGTTATGGACTGAAAAACTTCCCAAGCTTACTTGGTCAAAAGTAATCCTTGATGTTTTCAGAAGATCTACTTCATCGAATGGTGATGAAATTTCTCAAGACATACAAAAGAACTGCATTAGGTTCTTCTGTAAGGACGCACAAGGAACAACATCCTCTTCTAACAGCATTTCAGCAATGTCAAGTTTGTGTGAGCCTCAATCTTTCCTTTCTTTAGCTAAACCTGTACAGCTTGAAATTGCAAATATTTTCCCACAGCTTATTGCCATGTTTCCACCTTCTAGAACTTGCTCATTAATTTATGACTGGATTAATCTGACTTTTGTGACCAAACAAATCGATGAATCGATTATTTTCAACGCCTTGAAGAAGTTACATCAGTGTGAAGTGAAAAGTAACTTGGCTAGCGTGCGAAAATATGTTGAGGACGAAGTGCTTGCAATTATTGAAGACAAGATTGCCAATTTGGTATCCGATCGATCTCTGGAATTGTTGAATGTCAAAAGCAACCCTTCGAATTCGCTGAAAAATCCATTTTCAATTTCCATTTCAGTCCAAGTTGGAGATAGAGCAATGAAAATGATCGAACAGTTTGCTCAAGTATTGATTTGCAACAATTTAACAAGTCACACCCTCATTACTCATTCACACATTTATGAGAATAGCGACAAACTGCTCGTTAATTTATTATTGAGATGTCAATATGCCAAATTAACCGATGATATTTCTCCATTGAAACTTTTAAGACAAGCCGCAGTGAATGGCTACCAAACAGAGTCACAACAATCTGTGAATAACATGCTAACATCTATTCTCACTTGGATCACTTCAGAAGTTTTGGACTCACACATTTCATATTCCAACAGAAGAAAATTTGTACAAGACACCATTGCCATGCTTTCCTTTGTGTTTAATGATTTAGAGTCGGCCTATTTTAACACGTATGCTTCCTCCATCCCAATTCCATTTGCTTTGGAGAACTTACAGAGATCACTACTATTCTTGTCTAGTATTTCACTCATTCTTGGTGTTGGTGACATTTTTGCATTCCAACATGCGCATGATACCCTGTTGAACAACAGAACTGTGACCATTGAAACATCAAATTTGGATTTGCGTTTGCTCGTTCATGGACTTGCAACCTCTTTTAAAAACAAACAACTCGATTCAAGCACTGAGCACAGTCTCATGTCACGAATGTACTCCCTTCTAGCAAACTTCTCAGTGGCGTCACACGCAACAAATGTGAGTGTCGATCAAAAATCCAGCAAACAAACATCTTCCAGCAAGAACCAAAAATACGAATCGGCCAAAGAAGCTCTTGAGAAAATTTTGTTCGATTTTATTGTACCCTTGCTGGCCCAAATAAGAATGCTAAGAGATGACCAACAAGTTTCCTTGAATCAAATTGGGGGCCTTTTGGAAAATCATGCTCTTAAAATGTGCAGCAAGCTTCAAAAATAAAACGCGAGAGACTGATGAACATTCATTGTTAATCTTGCAAATCTCTCTGATTTGCTTAAACAAACAAAACAACGTTTTTCTTGACATTTTTCTTCCATGTTTCTTTGTCAAAACTGCTATACTTTAACACAATATCTTCCTTAAGTCTGGCAACTCCAGTTTTGGATCTAGCACTCACAAAAATCATTCGATAGTCCTTTGTGGTCTCATCTTTGGCATGATAATTGAGCGTAAAGCCTTTTCGAAGGGGATCTAGTTTGAAAACCTTGAATGCCATGCGTGCCAAGTCATCCACAAACGTCAAATCACACTTTGTAAGAACAATTTGGAAGGGCACTTTGTTCTGTTCCAAGAATTTTATCATATCGACGTCTCTCTTCTTCAGACCGAGGCGAGAATCAATTAGCATGAAAACCATTTTCAAATCTGAACCACTATTCACAAAATATGATTTCATCAACTCCAACCACTTTTGTGTGACAAAACTATCCTTAGTAAAAGCAAATCCATAACCAGGCATGTCAATTAAACAAAAAGCCTTTCCAAATCGGTGGAAATTTAAATCCTTAGTTTCTCCAGGGCGTTCTGAGGCCTTCAAGTTATTTCGTCCTGTAATTGCATTGATGAGTGAACTCTTTCCAACATTAGATCTTCCAATAAATGCAATTTGAGGAATTCCTTTAGTTTTTTCGATCATTCTTTCCATGGTATAGAGTTTTCTCTTAAAGTTATTCGTTGTATTTTCTGGCTCATTTTCCTTGGTTGTTTTCTGTTCATTATTCTCCTCTTGTTCTTCATTGGCCGCTTGTTCATAATACTTCTTATAAAGCTCATAAATATTTTCTTCTTTTTCAAGAAGAGTATTCAATTCTTCTTTTGACATTGATTCCAAGTCTTCCGTTGTTAATTGACTTATTTGAGAGTTTTCTTTTGGGGTTTCATCTTCTTCATCATTTTCTTCTTGCTTTAATTGATTTTTCTCAAACTCTTCCATAACTCTTTTTTCATCTTCCTCAGAGAGACCAACAGATCCTATATATTTCATTCTATTATTCTTAAATATCCAATTGACACATTCTTCGTTAACTTGCATATCTGCTCTGAATTCAGCTTGATTGTAAATGGTATTGGTTTTGTTTGTTCTTTTCACTATTTGTTGACGTTTGAGCTGAGCTTCAATGACCCTATTTTGATTCACCATTTCTTCGAGCTCCTTTTTTGAGGCTTCTGAAATTTCTGCTTTTCCTTCTTTGCCTCCTATCAAATATGTTAAATAATCAAACTGTTTCATTCCCTTTCTTGCAAGTCCACAAAGAAATATTTCCTTAAGTATCGAGTCGACAACAGGTAATGTTCTAAACTTCCTATTGCTTGACACTCCTGGTTTGTTAAACATTTGTACATAGGAGTTCAATTTTTCCTTTGAAACAATGTCAATCACCTCAACTTGTTCTTCGTTGACAGATTTGTGTGAAGTCTTTTTGCCCTTACTTTTTGATTTCTCGTCCTCGAATTCTTCTAATTCCTCATCATAATCTCCAATTTCATAATCATCCTCGTCATGGTCATTGAATTTGCTTTCTTTCTTCTTTCTATAAGATTCTTCCTTTGTTGAGTTCATAGAAAACTCAACGTTTGGTAAATTCTTTGCAGATTTAGTGTCATCCTTGTGGCTGGCTGGCGATGCAGCTCCTTTTTCAACTCTTTCTCTCGTTTGGTTTTGTTTGTTATTTACAGCTTTTCTTTTTGTATCATGTTTTTGAAATTCATTTTGATGGTTTGGATTTCGTAGAGTTGTTTGAGAGTCTTGTTGTTTAAGGGTTCTAGAAGAATAGACTTTCTCCACTCTATTTGAATTATTGTTGTTCTTTCCATTAGCAGTACTAGTAGCATGCAATTTACTGGATAATTTCTTGGAGTTATTTTGTGTATGCTTCTTCTTATTGTTTACCTCCCGATGGATTTCTTGATTTTTTGTTTTAAACGCACGATGATGTTTCATTTCCATCGAATCTGCATCGGACGATTGGGCCATTGATGAAGATTTCCATCGTTGCCATCCTTGCTCCGAGAATTGAACATTCCCAACATTCCGATTCATAAATCCCTCATCCTGATAACCACTCGGAATGGTTGCAACAAGGAGTGGATTCCATTTATTTTTCAACAACAACAATCGTGTGCCATCCATTCCACTACTACTAAAAGTCAACAACCGTTTCAACATTTTTTTTGTAATTGTCATAAACAACAAGACACTCCATTCAAAAGACTATTGACTTGTCCATTGAACTGGAATGGATTCCCTTGCCGTAGTAGTGGTGATGGTGAACCCTGTGAAGATTTCTTTTTAGAAATTCAATAAAATCTCTTCGTATCATTTGAGACCAATTTCTTGGCGCGAACTTTTTTTGGAGAAACAATCAAAAAAAATCATCACATTCTCGTTTTGGTGGTGAATTAATAGAATTTAAAAAAAGTTTTCACATGATGCCTGCATATGGGTGATCTCTTTCTCAATACTTTCAACTTGTTCTCTTTCTCTATGAATTTCTTGTGTGGCAATTAGAGATTCCTCCTTTATGTCAACATTCGAAGAGTGTCGCGTTGGGAATTGCCACTCACAATGCCAATATCTTGTCGGGATGGATCAATTCCTTTCCACATTTGTTTGCTGCTTGTTTCATTCATCGATCCAAAGTGTGGAGAGTGATTTATGTGTTGTTTTTGAGTATCTTTTTGGTGATGCAAACCTTGTATTGGTGGGTGCCTTATTTCTTTGATTGTTGTTCCGTTTGGCATCGTCAGGGAGAAGAGGGATTCAAAAAGTATGAGTTGCTGTTTGGAACGAGTTGGAGAGTGTTGCCAAATTTGGGTACTCATATTGTGCCAGACTTGGAGCACACCATTTTAACACCTCTCACACTTGTGACATGGATATTGACTCTTAAGAATGTTCTATTGGGTGATTATTCCAAAACGAAGGTTGAATAAAAAGTAGATCATAAAATATTATATATCGTTCAAGTAAATTAATTCAAAACTTTGGATGGCTTGCCATTGGTTAGATTCACTTTCCTTAAAAAATCAAAACATTCTTGGCCAAATTTTAAATCAAAATGTTCTCATGTTTCGTTCGAATGAACCTATTCATGTGAGAACACTTTTCATTTTACTTTTTGAAATGGCTAAGAATGTTATCAAGCTCCCACTCTTTCATGCTTCCAAAATAATCATCGTCATAATCAAATTCATCCATATATTCATTTCCATTCTCATTCAAACCATTGTCATAGTAATCAAATGCTTGATCCATATCATATTTGCGCTGAGAGGGATTCGCATTGGTAATAAATGTCACATTGGGAAGTGGCTGGTTCACTATCTTTGTGTTCGTTTGCTCATCTCTGGACTTACTGAGCACATGTGCAACTCCTGCCGAAGTGGCATGCTTACCAGTGTTGGATAACATGGCCTTTCTCTCGATTGCACGTGGGCTTTTTACTGGTTGTCTCAAAACCTCATCAGCTTTTTCGATCTTCTTTTTGGTAGTCTTCTTGTTAGATGGTTTTTGATCTTGGAATTCTTCCCATTCGTCTATGTCTTGCTCAATTTCAGAACGTCGCTTTGATTTAGAACTTTGAGATTCCTTGGAGAAATCTTTGCTTTGTGAAAACTTCTTGCTTTCAGATATTGATCCACGAGGAAATCGACTCTTTTCCATTCGAGGAGCATTTTCTTCAAATGATCTTTTCTTTGGAGCATCATCAAACTCTCTCTTAGTCCTTTCTCCCCTGGCAGGTCTGAAACTTGTTTTAAATATTTTGTCATCATCAGATCTTGGTTTGGATGGTGATCTAGTTCTGCCAAATTTGTCTCCTCCTCTAAATTTATCTCTATCTTCTCTTTCTGTTCTAAAGGATGGCTTTCGTTCAAATCTATTCTCATATCTATCCTCTCTTGGTTTTCTTTCAACTCTACTCTCATCTCTGGATCTTTCTTCTCTGAATGAGGGGTTTCGTTCAAATCTGTTGTTCTCATCTCTATTTTCTCTGAAAGTTGGCTTTCGTTCAAATCTGTTGTTCTTCTCTTCGAATTTTGATGATGATTTGAAATCTTTCCTGCTCTCACCACTGAACGAGGCTCTTCGACCGCTTTCTTCTCTAAATTTATTGCTGGCTGGCTTTGCATCTTCATACTCAGAATAACGTGAACTTCTTCTTGGTGGAGCAAGGGCTTCCTCTCCCCAATCATCTCTTCTGGAATCACGGAATGAGCTTCTTCGCTCAACAGGCTTCCTGCTCTCAAAAGAAGAAGGCTTGGATGTTGTCTTGTCCTCTTTTACGGCTGACTTTTTTCTATCTGTCCATCGTTCTGCTGGAGCTGGTTTGGAGTAACCACTACTAACACCTTTACCTTCTCCGAGCTGATCAACGTATTTTGATCTATCCAATCGGCCGCCATCTTGTTTTCTTTTTGATGAAGAAGAGACTTTAGAATCTTTGTCCCATGATGATGAAAATGATTTGAATCGTTCTTGATTTTCTCCTCCCGAAATTGAGAATTTAATCATGACACCACGACTCAGCACCACGGATGATGATAAATTACCGTAAGGAGCAAAGAATTTTCCACTCCATTTCAACAAGTTCTGTGATGATGTCGAAACTCGAAACATTTTTTTTTGAGCTTTTATTCTTTTGGCTAACACTTTGATTGACCAAGAATTTCCATACCTTCAAATTATTCTTTGCATGATGAAACAAAAGCCCACAAAATTGTAAATGTTCCTTTGATAAGAGGAATATCTCTTATTATGATCCATTTGAGCAATTTCCATTCATGGTATGGTCGTTTAACCTTAAATCCAACACTTAACCGAATTTTTCCAAACAAAATGTCTCACTCCCACGCACATTCATCTTCTTCTTCTTCCTCTCTTCAACCAGCCACTCTCAAAGAATTTAATAATAACGTACATGTTCTCGAGAGAGGACACATCTTCTTCTTTTATCGTCCCAAAGTGATGAAAGAACACGTTCAAGAGATGAATGAGGTTCAAAAACTCTTGATCGTCTTGAAACCACATCGAATCGTTTCTGGAGGAGGACATGCACAAAGATTAGAGGAAGAACCTACACGGGTATTGATCGTTCCAAAGAAGACTCTCCCAGATATGGGAGAGAAACGTTTGGCCATTGTTTCTCAAGTGGATTCCGATGTGGATGAAATCGTCAAGAAGAGTCTCTCCGAGGAACATTATGAAACCTTCACTCGTGGTGAACGAGAATTGGGTGCTTGTCGGTTACTTGGAGAAGGACTCTATGAGCTCCTTGAACATCGAGAGAACCATACACACTTGTCCTATGTGTTGGAGTTTCCCAAGACTTGGGAACCTAATAGTGTTCAAGCTGAGTTTGGCATTCAAAGAGAGGACACTTTGATTTTGAGTGCAAAGAATCCTCAAACGTATATGGCCAGTAGTGGATCATCAGCAACAGAAGGTCCTAGTGTCTCGTCTCGTAGTGGTGGTGTCTCAAGCAGTGCATTTTCTAAAAAAGGTCATAAGGAAATTCCACAATCCGTCATTGACCTATTTCATGGAAAAACCTTTACGAAGATTAATCCACCTTCCCTCTTGAGTCATGAGGGTTTACAGTTATTATTGATTGGTGCTGTCGAGTATGATGAAAGAGGAGTAGCCATTGTCGAGGAGGATTTAAAGAGAGAACATGAAAAATTGGAATGGGAAGCACGTGTGGAAGAGTCACATTTAAATCCCTCAAATCCACCCATGTCTCTTCTTGAAAAGGAGTTGCATGTGAAGCCAAGCGAGAGTGAGCAAAATGAAAATGTAAATATGGACGTTATGGAGACTGGGGAGTTTCAGTAAATGTTGTGTGCGGCTTGGTGAATGTTTCTCAGAACCAAAATAATATCCTTTTGTGTACAAGCAAGTGTTAGTATTAAATGATTCTTATTTATAATCAAGGAATGTCGTCGTAGACGTCATCTGGTACCACCATTGTGGTGGAGATGATGAGTTGGAAAATGTTTTTGCATTTTCCCTGATGGTTTGTTTAAATCGTAAAGAATCTTGAGACGGATTGTCACATTGCTGGCTCAACTCTTTAGCCAATTTCGAACCTCTCGCTTTCCAAAATGATTCATACAACAGATCTGAGTTGAGGAATGGTAAGGAAAAATCGGCAGCTAGTAAGTGACACACTCGTGTCATGTCTTCACCTAATTTGTAAAAGATGAAAAACCCTAAACAAGGCATGAAGCTCAATGATGAATGATGTTCATCCAAGCATGCAATCGATCGAAATGCAAACATGGACATGGTATGTCCATCGCCGACTGAGGTTGCAACTGCTGGAAAGGTTCTTTTTTTCACACATGGAATGTGCATGTCCATATGAAAATCACATTTTTGAATGCAAAAGGGAGAACAATCACTTGCTGGTAATAACAAAGGAGAGCTAGGTGAAAGAATGTCCAAATCTGAGATAGGAGTTTCTCCAACCTGGCATGCGCCATCTATATTCGTTGGTCGTAGATAATCTCGAAGGATGACTTCTTCTTGATGTTCCAAATATGAAATCCATGCGTTCACTACGTTCTCGAAAGATTGTGGTATTTCAAGGTCACATTTGAGAAATTTCATTGAACGTTTCATAGTTGTTGTTGATTCGTCCATTCCCATGATTGGTAGAGTAGTTCTCTCGGAGGTGAAAAGACGCATTTTCACGTGGTCGTTCTTCGTCACTTTTTCATGAATCAGTTTCCAATGATTGAGACCTTCCTGTGCTAAACGTAAACCAAAAGTTAACACTTGTTTAGAAATGGAATTACTTCTTGATGCATCTAAAACAAGCAAGGGTGGGATGGAATCGTGGCTAACACATGGAGAATTTGTGGCATGTCGCAAAAAGTATTCTTCTCCTTTTTCTTTCACCAAATTCAAAAACAATTCACTTCGTACAAATCGAGGAAATAACTCAGATTTCAAATCTTGATGAACAGTTTGTACAAGTTTCGCAAATAACACCTCTGGATCCATCTGTTGAAGAAGAGTGCTAACAGCATGTTCAATGGAATGCATTTCATAAGAGGAATTCACGAGGTGTGAAAAATTGCCATAAATGGTCGAAAACATGTCCAAAACCACTAATTGATGAGATCCAATATTCAGTTCATGCCTAGCACCATTGCGGATGTAATTTTCAATGATTTTTTGGAGTTTGTCGAAAATTTGCGTTAACTCTTTGAATAACCTTTTGGAATGTGTTTTGAGAGACTTTCTTTTGGTGTGTAAAGTTGGAGAGAAATTTGTAGGAGGAATTGGAATATCAATACTTGTTGAACCCACTTCGAGAAAGGGCGAATTGTGTACATGAACACTGTGACTATGTACACCATCATCTATGAATATTGAGCTCGAGTTATTAAAGCTGCTTTTAGAACTACAAGAACTTGACAAGGAGTCCACGGATAAACTCGATGAAATGGACAATCGGTTCAATTTCACAGATTTTCTAGCAGTAATTTTCAAGGATGAGGACCTTACACGGTTTGAATCTCTTGTTGATGACGATTGAAAAATCAACTGTTCATACTCATGTTGATACTCTTCCAAATCGTTCAAAAAGAGTAATGGTTCTTCTGTTCGATGAAATTTAAGAAATTCATGAAATAACCTTCGACTCTCTTGATCAGAAAGCACTTGTTCGAAACGAATGATGAGAGAAATGTCGTTACTATGATGCATCATGATTGGACCAGCACGTTCAGAATTTGAATTTTGTTCCACAACACAGCTCTGAACATTGAGACTTTCCGAACCACTGCTGTTCTGTTTCTTGCGAATAGTACTACTGGAGGATCGTGGAGAATCCATCCATCGTGGAAGGTGTGCGTTCATTTTGTTTTTGTGTGTTTCCTATTTGCACCCCAATTTGATAGATGTGGATATGTCCTCTCACCATCTCACCTGGGTGGTGGTGATTCTGAATCGAGAGTGAGTGGTGGTGGTCATCTTCTTGGATGAGAACAATTTTTTCAGGGATGATGAAAACAATTGTTCGGAACTTGAAAACGGCTATTGCTCTTTCTGAAAAAGTTTTGAATGTCGCTATTCAGGTCGATATTCCTGAATGAAAGGTCATGAATATGTACAAATTTTAAATATATGTATATATTGAAATGTATATATTTCAAGCAACAACATTCGATTCTTTGAAAGTCTTGTGGTTTCATTGTAAAATCATCCCAAAGAAAGTGTTACAAAAAAATGCCTCCCAAACAAAAATCCTCTCAATCACCCTCTCCGTTGGAAAAATGTTCTGGGACAACAACAAAGTCCAAATTCCTCGTTGGAAAGTTTTGGAACGAACGCAAATTGGCCAACTTGGTTCACCAGAAATGGTTTTGAGAGAGTTGATGAATGCTGAGAGGACCTATGAAAACAATTGATTTTTCTGTTTATTATTGGGGAGGAGAAGAGGCAAAGGCTCGTGAGGAGGAACAAAATCGTATCAAGAGAGTTTATGACTATGGAGCGAAATTGCTAAATTTGATTAAAAACAGCCTACCAGAGATTCCGAACGACAAAATAGAAAACGAGGAAACTCAACAGCAATATGTCGAGGAAATGTTGAAAAAGAATAATTTGTGGGATGGCCAAATGACACTCTTGCAAAAGGCCTTCCAATCTGATGTGCATCTAGACAAATTTATTGATTTTATGATCGATCTTTGGCCTGAACCAACTGCATCAAAGCTCATTTATTTGTTGAACATTCTCACCAATAACGATTTTGTGAAAACAAATATTCGTAGAAGACACATCATCAGAATTTGTAACTTTATCATGTATGAAGAGAGTTTTGAGACTGTGTGTAATTTCAGTCTCCACAAATTTCTGTTCAGCCATTTAGAAATTTCGTGGAATGTGCTGGAAACTTAGCTCATGGATGAATTGAGAACATCAAAACGGAAGCTGAGCAGCAAAGAAAAGAAAAAGCAAGGAGCACAGTACCTGTTCGAAATCAGATGTATAGAGTTTTTGTCCACCTTTTGTCAAAAAAAGGGTCAAGAGTTATACATGAAATCTCTGATCAAGATATACAAACAAGTTCTTGAGAATTGCGAAGATGAATATTTAAATTCAATAATTATTCTGGACCTCAAAGAAATGAAAGTGAACTCGAAATCTGTTTTTGAGATTGTTGAAGAAGTGTTTGAAAGAGAAATGGTATTGGAAGAAATTTCAGGCTCGTTTTATGAATTCTGTAAAGCCACAGGTACAGAAGAATTGGTAACTAAGCCCTACCTTCTTGGAAAAGACTCAAAAGAGGAATATAGAAAGAAGAGAAACCTCGAACATGAACGAAGACTTCATATTTTGAGTATTATGCGTAAAGGAACTGAAATGCCAGTTGGAAAGTATCCAAATATGAAAAACAAATTTACTATCAATCCCGAAATTTTTACCCCATCTGACATGAAACACAAGTTACAAAACTCTCTTCCTAATATTGAGCCAAAGAATCGTTGGCTATCATTGGAAAAGTTGCATGGAGATAAATTTGAACAAGTTCAAAAACAAGAGTTGATACGTTTTGCGACATTAGTGAATAGAGTAGGTATTTTTTGTAATCCAACATTATTGGTAACTGTGTTAAATAATTTCAGTTCAGGATATTATCTCTTAGACGTTCACGACCACTATCCCAACATCACAGAATCCATGACATTGTACAAATTAACGATGTAAAGGAGTATATTCAAGAGACTTTGGATGAACATTGCGTAAAGGCTGATTTTGTTGAATTCATTCAGCCTGATATTCAACCTTTCATTGATTACATTCAGAATGATAACAGCTTGCGCATGGATGATGCATTATTCTTCTTGGCCCAATGTAATACTGAAAATATTATGATTGTTGAGAAAATCGCACATCAAGCTTTTTCAATGAAACCACTGTATACCTATCTTATTGATCAAGATGGCTTTATTTCGAGAATTGAACAGCTATTATTTGACAATGTTCTTGGAGTTAGCACAGAAACGGAAGTAGAGAAAGAGATGAGATTGCAAGTGGTCCATGATTGTATTTGGCTCATCCAGGAGATGTTTTCGGCAATGACCCGTCACTCAGAAATTGCTCGAATCAGGTACATCCTTAATGAGACGAAATTGATAGAATCGATGATGTATTGCTGGATGATTGGCAGGAATGAGTTAATGATTAGTGAAGGATTTGCTGAGTGCTTTAAAGTGATGATCAAATGTAATGAAGCTGTTCCAATGGCTTTGGTGTTTAAAAAACAATTCCTAGCACTCATGATTGATAACTTATCGTTAGCTAAAACCTTGCCTGACAGAGAAGAGAATAAGTTAGATTTCAGCACGCTTGCTCGAACTGTATCCACCTTACTTTATCATGTTTCCATACCATCTGAAATCGATCATACTACAGGACTATTCCCAAAAAAGCAAAGAAAATTGTTAACTGCGATTGAAGAATGTAAAATTTTGTTGGATCTCTTGGAACTGTTAGAACAAAAGAAGTACTTAATTGAAGAACTATTTTCTTGGAAACTTTCACAACAACGACAGTACTATCATGACTGGATACCCTCATTTGCTACCCTATTTTCTCAAATGGTGAGACAACCTTCGTTGAGAGAGTACTTTTATAAGGACAACTTTAAATACTCTGAATTTATTTTGAAAGAAATAGTTTTTCCTTTAAGTGACACTTTGAGCGGATTTGGTGCCAAAAACTTGCCCGAGGCAAACACACCTGTGTGTTATGCGTTTATCAATTATTTATCTGTCATTAACCATTTATTATTTGATCCAGAGCAGAGAGAGAAATTTTTCTCAGATCCGATGAATCGAACATCGAAGAAAGGCCAAAAATTAGAGCATATGTGCTTCTATTGGATGGTAGAAATGCTGAAACTGTTTTCAAGTTCAAAAGCAGAGTTAACACAAGCACAACAATTTATATGGGGTAGAACCGCTTTTTGTGTTTGTTCTATGGTTTTGCATGACTCATTCCGAAAATATTTAGTGAAAGACACATATTTTGTGGAAATATTAATGGACTTTTTAAAGTCGAGAACAACTAGATTATTTCGTGATATTAAAAACGCATGCTGTAGAATTTTACAAGCAATCTTGAGAGATGAGGAGGTCAAAAACAAGATGGATGTGAATGCATTGTTGAAGTTCATTGACTCGGAGATGAACTTTGGTTTCCAATCTCCATATGAGAACAGAACATTGACGCCGCCATTAGTTACAAGTCTTTTACGATTTAATTGGTTCACAATTTGGAGAAGAAGCAGAGAAACTTGTGAAATCTAAATACCCACTCCTCAAGATACCTTTAAAGGAGGCTAAACGTCCACTTCCTAAATGTTTGTGTTGTGGAAAGGAAAGCACTCACAACAGTGAAACCTTAAAGAAATGTGGAGCATGTAGAGAAGCCACCTATTGCAGTGTGGAATGTCAACGAAAAGATTGGCCAAGACATAAATTAGAATGTGGAAAACAGCAACATGATTCTGCGGAAATTGTGGCAACCACAGAACCCACAAGTACTTCTGGCAAATCCACAAAGAGTAAAAAGAAGTAACAACGTGCGTGAATCTAATAGAATAGAATACAATTAGAATTTTTCATGGTGGAAGTTAATGAATCATACAATGCAATATTATTTATTTGAAACAAATCAGTTGAAATATTCCCTCTTACTCATCAGTCTATACAACAACCACCAAAATATGTTTCTACATTCACAATCGTCCTTTCTTGGAATTGCTTTTCCTCTCACTTGTCAAACGCCAAAATGCGCAATCTAAAAAAAACCTTGCCATATTTTTCTCTGCCCATCCCCAAAATTTCGAGAAAAAAAATGTCCAAATACACTCGAGAGGACTTTGACTTTATTAAAGAGCTGGGCAAAGGAGCCTACTCTGAAGTCTTTCTCACTAAATTCAAGAAAACCGGAACCTTCTATGCAACCAAAGTCATCAAAAAGGATTTTGTGATCAAGGAAAAGAAAATCAATACTGTGAAAATGGAAAAGGAAGTGTTAAACATTTTGGAACATCCGAATATTATTTCTTTATTTTGTACTTTCCAAGATAAGGATCATTTATGTAAGTGGGTGTGTGAATGGTTGTGAATGGTTGTGAATGGTTGTGAATGGTTGTGTGTGAATTTTAATGATGATGGGAAAATGAATGAATACACAAAAACATTGAAAACGGAACTCATTTATGTTGTTAACAACATTTTAATCGGTCATTATGTTTCAATAATTGTTATTCCTGATTTTTTTAAATGTTGAACATCTTTGTCCATGCCACTTGTCTTGTGATGCTTCTAAATCCAATAACACGCGACGTCATCGCCCATCACCCTTCACATTCATCATTATTATCAACATTATCCATTCATCATGGTCATCATCATCAACAACATTATCATCATCATGATAATTCTTCATGTGGACATATGATAATCATTTTAGATTTTGTTCTCGAATTGGCACCTGGTGGTGAATTGGGTTCCGTCATTGAAAAGTATGGACCTCTCTCGTTGGAAGCTGCTCGTTTCTATATGGCAGAACTCGTCAATGGATTGGAATTTATTCACAGCAAGGGAATTCTTCACAGAGATTTGAAGGTAAGTGAATTTGGAATTGGTTCGGGATGAAAGGATGATGTGTGAAATTGAATTATTTGTTCCATTCGTGATGATGATGGCACTTGTTTTCACATTCTTGTGGTCACATTCTTACCGTCACTTCAATGACAACAACAACAGCCTGAAAATTTAATTCTTAGTGAAACATTACATTTAAAAATCACCGATTTCGGTACTGCCAAAATTCTCAAAACCACAAAACCATTGACTTCTGACGGTGAAGAATTTGAAGAACCAGTTCTCTATGTGAAAGGAACCTTTGTAGGCACTGCTCACTACGTCTCACCTGAAATTCTAAAAGATCTTCCACAATCGGAATGTTCTGACATTTGGGCTCTCGGTTGCATTCTCTATCATTTTCTGACTGGACGACAATTATTTGACGGAGAGTCACAATATTTAATTTTCCAAAAAATCACAGCCGTTCAAGAAGAAGGTCTTTTCATTGAAGATGAAGAAGATTTGGATTCAGATGCTGTCGATTTCATTCGACAAGTGTGTCAATTCGATGCAGAGAAAAGACTAGGAAGTAGACAACGAGGAGGAATGAGTGAACTTAAAAAACATCCCTTCTTTAAGGGAATTGATTTTTCACAATTGGGACAAGAGACTCCTCCACTCATCAATTCAAAATATCCAGGTCCTAATTTGTCACATTTGAATGGAGCTTCGAATCATCTTCTTCACATTAACAATGGTAATAATGGATCATCTTCACTCACCATCACCACCACACCTTCCTCACCCAATAGTCCATTTAGAAGAACCAATGGTCACATTCGTTCACTGAGTTCTTCATCTGAATCTTCTTCTTCAACTGGTTCGTCCTCTTCGGGACAAATTGTCATTGATGGATATTTGAGACGTACCGTTTCAGGTGGTTCTGAATTAACAGAATCTCTCAATGATCGATGGAGTAAATTCTTGATGAAGAATGAAAATGTGGTCTATACAGCTCTTGTGATTAAGAGAAGAAGATTTACTGCAAAAAAGAGACAATTAATACTCACGGATAAACCAAGAATTTTATATATTGATCCAGAGAAGATGTTACTGAAAGGAATTATACCGTGGAGTAATGAATTGTATGTGGTGAAGAAGAATTCGAGAGAATTTACCATTCAGACAGTAAGTACTAGTTGGATTATCATGATCGAGTGGAAATATTTTGTTATGAATGGAATTCATGGATTGAAATTTCGTTATGAATGGAATTCAATATTTGTTGGAAATTTGTTGGAATTTATTGAATTTTGTGAATTTGTGAAAAAATTTGAAATCTATTATGAATTTTTTAAATTTTTCGGATTGCGAAATTTAATACATGTTAAACAGCCTGGAAGAAATTATCAACTCGAAGATTTAAGTAATGGTGTAGATGCTTGGTATGACCATATTGAAGGAATTAAGGAACAAATGAAATCCAACAAGTGATGACAACTGACAATTCCCTCATGCCATACACAAGATTTGTAAAATTAAATTTGAAGTCCAAATCATTAATCAAATCTCGCCCTCTCATTTCTTTCTGCCTTCTCCACAATTTCTCGAATTCTCTTCTCTCTTGTTTCTTGACGTTTGGCATCGCACAACCAACTTAAAATTCCCTTTTTCACATAAGGTGGAAATGCTTCAAAATTTTGTTTCGCCTCTTCACCTTGTTCTTCGAATGCGTCCAATAAATCAGGAGGACACACCAAATCGTGGGCATCTTTCAAAAAGTCCCACATTCCATTTTCTTTGGCTAATTGGATGGCAGAAAGTCCATGAGCGGTCATTTTACCTTCTTGGATCAATACAGAAACACGATTCTTATTCTTGTTGCTCCATTTACTTTTAGCAGGGTGACGTTTGCAAAAGTATTGCATTCGGGAGTGGGCATCGACTTTGCGGACCGTACTGTCAATCCAACCAAAACACAAAGCTTCGTCCAGTGCTTGCTCGTACGTGACGGATGGCGTGCCAGAGTTCTTGTTGTAGAGGAGGAGCCAAATGTTTTGTTTCGTTTGAGAGTGAGTGGAAAGCCACTCTCTCCATTCGGCTTGAGTTTTTGCGTGGAAGGTTTCGACAAGAGCTGATTGGAGAGCTTTTTTCATCTTGTGTTGTTTTTGAACTCCTTTAGAGGATTTGGAAGTGGGTTGCTTGTTGTTTGCAGATTTTCTTGATGATGATGGTTCGATGACATCTGGATCCTCGGAGGATTTCGATGATCTCTTTGGCATTGTTGTGTGTGATTTTTTGCTCTTGGGATGTTTCGAAGATAATCACAGGAGCGTACGAATTTTATTTGAAAATAGTGATGATGAAATAAATTTTAACGAGGACGCATTCAAAAAGTTCTTGTGTTAGCTCGAACTTCAACTACACCAGTGACATTTTGTAGGAATAATCTGGTCTTGCAATATAGGGATTTACCATTTGTGTGGAGTTTGAAAGGAGGACCATCAAATTTTCTATGGTCATTCGTTCTCCAAAATACTCAGAATTTTCCATCTGACTAATCAGTTTGGTACTTGCTTCTTGAATTTGCTTTTCAGAATTGGGATTTTTCTCTTTGTATCTTCGCCATGCCCTCTGTATGATGGCTGCGCTCTCTTGCCTTGTTTGTTCTCCATGTTTAATTCGTTTGATGCTTGCTTGAATAGAATTTACAATTTTTTGGGAATGCTCTTTCATCTCGCTTTGGTTGGTCATTTCTTGTCTCTTCTTCCTCAGGTCACTTAGTTCAATTTGGTTTGCTTCATATTCAGCCTTATTCTTTGCCTCTTCCACCCGCCGTTTCATGTATTTTCTTCTCACTAGGAATCCTTTCACAGCTTTTTGCAAAATGGTCGCTGCCATCGTTTCCTTCTTTTCTCGTTCATCCACAGTATGAATACTTTCTGGAAGTGTCTGATGAAACATTTCAAGGAATACTTTTTGATGTGATTTCTTAATTCCGAGTGGGCTCATCATTTTAGTAGTGAGATGGTTTCTTCTACTGGGAGAAGCAATGATCGTGCTGAACTCTTCCTCATGGTTATAGCTATCATCATCATCGGAACGAAGTGATTGCGAGCCTCCTTCTTTATTCTCGCCACGACTCTCGATATATCGTTTCATACGTTCCCTTAATTCTTCATCCGGATCTTCAAGCGACTGTTCATCATGAGTTGCCAACACTTCTTCTTGTTGTTGTTGTTCTTGATTAAGGGTTTCTTCTTGAACACCATCGCGGTTTCTCCCTTCATCGGATAATGACAATGAGGATGTTGAGCCTTGATGATGATCGTTGGAGGAGGAATTTTGATCTTCCATGAAAACTACTGGTTGTGTATTTTTTTCAATATTTAAATATTATTAAATTTGGAAACTGTAAATGAAACCTTCAATGTCCTTAATACTTGTTGCATGTGCTAGCTGCACGTTTTCATTTCCTAACATGGAAAAAATCTTCTTTAACACTCTTCGTCATTCGATTATAGAAGATCAATTCTCTAACACATTCCAAGCTTTGAAGCTCTTCTTGAATCATAAATTCCATAAAAACAAATTCATCAATTAACCAACCAACTACACATGTCTTGGGACAAAGATCAAGATTATCGAGGTGATAATATCAATGATGACATCATGGATCCTCAACAACAAGGCGGAGTCTTCCAGGGAAATCAAGGTCGAGATTTCAATGATGATCAATTCAATCCCAATTACAATAGTCCAGGCAGTTTGGACAGATCTGCCATGGATGAAGGTGGCTATGAGGAAGGAGGTGTTGGAGGTATCAAAGACTATGTGAAGGACAAGATTAAGAGTAAGATCTTTGGCAGTAGATACAACGAAGGAAAACGAGATTTCGGTGAGGATGAGCAAGGTTATAGAGAAGGAGGTAGTGGCAACCGAGATGATGAATATTAAATCTCTATGAAAACATTAACGATTCACTCCATACTTGTTCGTCCGTGATCGGGAGTGATAGATTCACTCGTCAAGTGTTCACTTCATGAATAATAAACCAAAACGAATACATCCAATGAAGTTTGCTTCTTCTCACTATTACTTCAACTGTCTTGATGTACCTCGCAAAGCTTGAAGATCATATTATCAACCATTCATGGTAATTCTCTAAATTAGGTTCGAGCTCATCATCAATTAAGGACGACTACATAATAATTGACCATTCCATTTTCCCTATAACGAGTAATTTCCTATTCCCAAATTTCCTATTCCATCCATCCAGCAAAAACAAACATGCAGCGTTGTACACTTCAACAGAAAATGTCTCAAAAAGCAGAACAGGTCCTTCAATTAACCAACTCTGGCAATATTATGAATGATGAATCTCATCTTTCCCAAACCTTACAGAATAAAAACACCTCGGAAAATAACATCTTCTATGAACGTAATGATCAACTTCATACCGATCGTGTGATGAGTGAGAGTGGTGAAGGAGGAGGAACCCGAGACTACGTAAAGGAACGTTTAAAGAGCCACATCTTTGGAAATCCAAATTCTAGTGAGGATCAATATGGACAACGAATGCAAAGTACTCTGATTCCACCTCCCGCAGGAGAAGCACCTATTGAAACTGTAACCACCTCCGATCCTAATGTTTAAATTTGCTGCAAAATGGCGATAGTGGCACTGCTCATCATTTCAATCATGATAATGTGGCCACTAATGCCGATGAGTGCTTGATTCCAATCAATTTAAAAAAGTGAAAAAATTCGACAAAAGAGTCATTGTTGCAGTAAACATTCAAATTTCGTTCATCATGAATCTCTGTATCGGGTTAAATAATCTTGAATTCAAAATCGTTATTTCACAGATGAATAACTACCACCATCGAGTTAGAATTTTTTTTCAAAACTTCAAAAAATGACTTCACTCCCTCGCAAAGTAACCGTTGCAAAGAATTTTCTTTTTTCTTCGGAGGAGAGAGAACACATTTGGAGAGAGTTATTGGCGTGGTATGATTTGAATAAGAAGGATTTGCCATGGAGAAAAGCAAGTACAATCATTGGTCCATCCTCCGATGAATCCAATCCGGGTGATGATGAACTATTGAAAGAAATGAAAATTCATCAACGAGCCTATGAAGTATTGGTGAGCGAATTAATGTTACAACAAACGCAAGTGGAAACGGTGAAGAATTATTTCGTGAAATGGATGAAGAGATTTCCAACGATAAAGGATTTGAGTGATGCCTCCGATGATGATGTACATGGTGCTTGGTCGGGATTGGGTATGTACACACATGTAATTCTATTGAATTACTCATTTCCGTTGATTGATTTGTTTGTTCCTCGATTATTGTTATGATTTTTATTAATTATTTTTAATTTGTCACTCAATATGAACTATTTCAACTGAAAATTGAATGATTATCATCGTTTAATAATGTTATCCCTAATAGGTTATTACAAAAGAGCAAGAAATTTACATGCTGCTGCGAAATACGTCGTTCAAGAGTACAACAAACCTATTCATTACAAGGACAACAGTTTAACTCACAATATTATTTACAAATTACCTGATAATGCGAAAGAATTAATGAACTTGAAAGGAGTGGGAAAATACACAGCTGGTGCCGTGGCTAGCATTGCATTTGGAAAATGTGCCAGTATTGTTGACGGAAATGTATTTCGTGTATTTGCTCGTTTAAAACAAATTGAGGAAGATATTGCTGTTCAAAAAACAGCAACGTCAATATTTTGGCCAATGGCCGACAATTTAATATCTCATTTTAGAGACATTGAAGATTTGTGTGACGACGATGAAGAAATTTCCTCTTCTTCTATTAAAACTCGATATGGTGATTTGAATCAGGCAATTATGGAACTAGGAAGAACTATTTGCATTCCAAGGTGAGTGAAGCTTTTACCATTGATACACATCACTTACACAATGACATTCATTCATACCCAACTCGTCATGACTCTTTCTAGAAATCCAAAATGTGGTGAATGTCCCATTGCAGATGTATGTTCTGCATTTAAAGCAGTAGAGCAAGATCAAATTAACTCCGTTGAAATTTATCCAGTTAAAAAAAAGAAGACAAAGAAACGAACTCAAATTGTATCTTGTTGCATATTTTACAAGGATGACGACAATGATAGTTGTCTCTATGAAAAACAGCGGCACGAGCAGCTTCTAGGAGGAACATGGCATTTTCCACTTGTGGTCGTTTTTGATGAAAAGAGCCCTTCAGAAGAGGAAGACGATACTTCTGAAAATCTACAAGAAGAGTCACAGTCATCAAAGAAGAAAAAGAAATCAAAAAATAGCAGTTCAGGAAAATCAGGTGCGAGCTCTTCAGACTCGGATTTACATTTAAGCAAATTACAAAAATTCCTTATTGATGAAGGTTTCATTGATGCCAATAATAGTTCGATATGCTTCGAATATCATTCCACTGTGAATCATGTTTTCTCACACATTAATCAAACAAATCATATTTACAGTTGCAGTAGCAAGTATCTTATTAAGGATTTACAATCAAAGTCAAATGCTGACCAATGGAAATGGTTTGATCAATCAGCAAGAGAATCTCAAGGCATTTCTGAGGTTGCGAAGAAGATATTTCGACAATTCAAAAAAACTTTGAAAAATCATGAAGCATCACCTGTGTCGCCTCCCAAAGTGAAGTTCAAAACCAAGCCACCATTCAGCACGGAGAATGTTGGCGATGGATGTGCACAAAAGATGGCAGATGAAGAGGATACTGTTGTTGCAGAAGAACCAAACAAGTCGTCGGACAGCAGTCAAGAATCAACAACAGACCTCGCTGAGGAGAAGGGAATCACCGAAATAAGCAAAAAGTCAAAATCCACTCCACCCAAAGTTAAGGTTGTTAAAAAGTCAGAACAGTCCACAGAGTCCAAGAAAAAACGAAAAAAACAAAGCGAAGGAAATGAGGACTCTAAAAAGCCAGAGTCAACTACGTCTACCACGCCAACCAAGAAGCGAAAGCAAACCACGCTTACAGCCTTCTTGACGAAACATTGAGACCTTAATCAAGCTTTGTCTTTAATATATTTATAAAATAATTAAAATAATCGTGTTTTACATTTGAAATGGGCCAATGCATCCCATTGTGAAAAATCCTGATCCTGAGCATTTCTTCGCATTACCAAGCATCATCAAGAGCAACTCTTTCGAAATTTCTTCTTCAGGTTCATCATCTGGCTCTACCATTTCAAATATCCTCTCAATAATGGTAGGATATGATTGACGCTGCTTGAAAGATACGTGATGACCATAAAGTGCATCATCGAATATTTCTCCTTCATTGTAACGATCACAATCTGGAGTGACAAAGCACAGCGGTAGTCTTTCCTCAATAAAGCGCAAAATACAATGTTGATGACTCACAAGACCAAGAATTTGCCATGTGGGATTAGCTTCATCGTCCTTTTCTTGGTCATATTTCTGGCCTTCCCTTTCTGCTTTTCGTTTTCTACCTTCTTCTTCCTCGGTTTCATTGAATAGTTTTTTCACTCGATTGGCTTCTGATCGTTCAATCTTTGAAATCACAAATTTCACACAAGTATCTGGGAAAATATATTGGTATCTTCGTTGTTTCTTTTCGTTGGGAGACAACATCTTGAGTTCTGTTAAATTTGAGAGTAGCTCTTGTTCTGTCATTTTAAAAACTCCAACCGGTTTCATAAATGATTTTTCTGTAATTTCTTCCATTTGCTTTTTTGATAACTTGGTCACTCCTTCAACATATAATACTGGAGAAGCATTTTGAGGTGCACATTTGCAAATTCTATCCGAGTGTCCTGTGCAGCACTTTCTGTAGAGGTCATGCTGAGAAATATCTGAAAAATGAAGATACTTGCAATTCTTGCCATTGGGACATGGCTGAACGGAGCTATGTTTCACACATACTTCTATCTTTTTTTGAGGAACAAGCTCTACAACTTCTTGAGACGTGTCTTTTTTCTTTGATTTTGTTTGTGGAAGAGGAGGAAATTCATCAGGATGCTCTTGTTGATACTTGATGTAGAATGATCGATCATGAGAGTATGGACAAATTCCAGATCCAAATTTGCACTTTCCTTTAAAATGATCCTTACATGGTTTGTTATAGTCTTCAGTGTTCGTTTTTTTGGTTGATGAATTTGTCGTGACGACTGCCTGTGTGGTCTCTGTTTGAGGTTTTTCGATTGTTGACTCAGGAGAGGATGGAGTCGGATTTGAAGCATCTTCTTTGTGAGCACTATTTTCCGCTGTCTCTTGAATTTTAGAATCTTCGTTTGCGTGGCTGTTCGTTGTTGCATCCACCCCAGTGTTAGTTACAGCTTCATTTACCGTAGACTTTTTCTTTTTCTTTGATTTTTTGGATGTTTTCGATGTTGATGCTTGTTGGGGCTGTGTTGTTGATTTTTTTGAGGTCTTACTGTTGTTGTGATTGACTTCCAAAGCATCAGTGGGAGGACTGCTTTCTAAAACGCTGAAAAAATTACTCGATGAAGCAGAAGAAGTAGCAGTTGTTTTCTTATCTTCAGTAGTTGTGTCAGCACTCAGTTCGCTTCCTTTCTTCTTTTTGGATGTAGATACAAAAGAACCCTTGTTTCTATTCGAATTAGAGCTAGTGTCCAAACTCCTCAAGTACTCCATTTCAAATTCTCGTTGTAGTTTTCTAGCAAGTTCTTCATCTAGCTTTTCTTGCTCAGTTTTCTCTGTGTCTTTGGTTGTATCAGTTGTTGATTGTCGAGTAGCAGTTTTCTCTGGAATTTCTATTATTTTGTTTTTCTGCTTTTTAGCAGCGGATTTTGGAGGCATCTTCTCTTCTTTGTTTGAGTTAGAGATTGGAGCTCTTGTTTGTTTCGTCGTGACAACGTTTTTAGTTTCCTCAATGTTTTTCATTTCGTTTTTTTGCTTTGCAATTTCGTCTGCTGAAGAAATAGGTGAAATTTTGGATACATTAATATTTTGATTTTGCGAATTTTGTTGAGGAGGCACAACGCCAGGAGTGACGGATGGTTGTTGAGACAACGAGTAAGAGTTTTCCGAGTTATTTGGTTGTTGTAATGGTTTTGAAATTGACTCGACCGATGATATCTGAGCAACTTGCTGATTTCCATTCAATAATTGAGATGGCTGGTGAGATGTATTTAAAAAGCCACTGTTCCCATTCATTGGAACAAACCCCATTGGTTGATTAGTAACGACATAAGGGCTAATTCCAATATTGGGCATAATTTGTGGACCTAAATTTGTTTGAGGTGGCATCACATTCACAAACATAACATTTTGAAAATTTCCAAACATGGTTTGTTGATGAAATGCATTAGGAGGAAATGCAGAACTCGTAGGCAGAAAATTCATCTGTCCTCCTGCATTATTAAATGATTTTTGTGACACATTACCATTTCCAATAATTGTCGTCGATGATCCCATTACTCGATTATGATATTCTGGCGTAGATGATAAAAATTGAGGAGGTGGTGGAGAAGGTGTTGTCGTATTTTCATTGCTATAGCTGATGCTGTTTCCAGGAGATGTTCTTTCCGAAATACTTGAAGGAGATGGTGAGACACCATGTGATGGGGTTGTGTTTTGATTTGACAAAACTGAAGTGGAAAATAATGTAGAGCTTGATGATGAAACGATATTCCTCCCTAAATATTGCTGTGATTGTTGAACAGAGTCTTCATAAAGTGGATTTGCAGTTCCCATAAACTTATCGTCATCATCATCAGCCAATGAAAGGGTCGATGTGAGGTACGATAGTCTTGATGACGCCACATTACTGCTCTTGCTATTTCTTGTGGTCACACCGCTAGGAAATATTGACGAATGTTGCTGCTGAAAGTTGGAGGAGGTCGAACTTTGAAAGGGATTTTGAGCTGTTGTATTTGGAAAGAATTCACTCGAAGATGATGGTTGCTGAGTTGAGAACGGAGAATAAAAGGGAGAGCCCGAACCCCAACTATTCATTGAATTTACACTGCTATTCAATCCTCCTTCTTGAATATTTCCCGTTGTGGATGTCTCTGTGATGATTGTGTGCTGCATCAAAGGATTCATGTTAAGTGATGATCCAGGTGCTCTATTGGTTCCTTGTTGATTCATCGGAAAGCCTTTCACCAATTCAGTTTGACTTGGCGTTGAACTAAATAAATTGTTATTATTTTGAATCCTCGTGGAAAATGATGATGAATGGAAATTATTAAAACTACCGTGTTGATGAGATCCTCCTGCTGTAGTATTAATCCCGCCACCAATTAATGGCGTTAGTCCGAAGGTAGATTTGTTATTACTATTACTGATATTATGAAAATTACTATTGCCAACACTACTACTGATGGTGGAAGAGTTTGATCGATTGAATAACTGATGTGATGATGAGCCACTATGCGAGCTGAACAAGGAATTGTCTTCATCTTCTTGTCCTAACAACAGCATTGTGTGCTGATGATGCATTTGGTGTTGCTGTTTCGGAATACTATTACTACTTCCTCTCAACAAGCCTTGTTGATTGCTTGTATGGTTTGGAGGTCCTATCAAAGGATTGAAAGTACTACCACTATTCGTGCTGGTAGTGGTGGTGATGTGTTGCGTGGGAGTTGAATGTTGGAACATTTTTTTGTAAATCCTTTCGATGAATATTAAATATGTAATTTAATGGAGAAAAAAGTTTTTCTGCTATTCCAATTCATCAAAGAGATCATTGTCTCCCATTTTCTCATCTTCAACTTCTTCTTGGACAGGTGCAGCAAGAACAGCTTGAGTGAGGAAATTCTTTGCTTCTTCTTCTGTCACCTCACTTTCGTCACACTCGTCTTGAGTGATGAGTGAAATCTTGTTGCCAACGATGTAATTTTTCCAGAATTCTTCCCTCTTTCCTTTTGAATATTGTTGTTTGAGTATTTTCATAAAGTGATTAAATAATTCTGGTTCAGATTCTCTGATGCAACCTTCACGTAGAACTCTCACACAACTCAACACTTTTTCGTAATATTGGTCTTCAATAGAGTCGTTGATTAATTTGAAGATAACATTTTGCATTTCCTTAATTGCCTTATCAACCAAGTCGACATCTTTTCTATTGAGCATGTCATTAAAGTCTTTCGTTGGATTTGTAGTTTTAACACTATTTGCTTGTTCAGCGAATAAATTGTTAAGACCAACACGTTGTTGAATTTCGTTGAACTGTTCATCGCCCATTCCATCTTTAAGACGTTTAACAGTTTGGCCAATGTGATCCTCGGCCACCAATTCATTGGCATTCTCAACAGTTGGCTCTAGATTATATGACTCTAGGGTGATCTCATTGTTATTTTGCATGGCAAACCAGTATTTTCTTTTTCCTAGTTTGGTTTCTTGCTCAACTTCTTTAGCAGGAAAGAGTGACTTAAATTTAATCCTCTTGTCTCTCGTCTTTCTAATTAATTTTCTATAGAATGAATCTTCGTTCATTTCTGGATAACAATATTTGGTAATTAGTGGATCAACTGGAGGTAATGGATCATTTGGTTTGAGTGCTCTTGTGTGAAGACAATCATAAAAGTGTTGTACAAGTGGGTTGAAAGTTTTGGTTGGTCTAAGAGCTTCCTTCTTTCCATCTTCTCCTTCTTCGTCAGCCTCCATTAAGTCCATTGCATTGATCAAGTCTTCGGCTGCTTGAAGTTGCTCTTCGGTATGTTTAACAGTGCTAAATGATTTGAATGGATACGACCTTAAATCTTCAGCATATGGAAGAGAAGTGAAATAAAAACATTCATAATTTGCACTAATATAGGGATAGAGAAGACCTAACTTTGGTTCAGCATCATCACGGAACACATATGTGATAATCATGACTTGCTGCAATTCTGAGAGTGCTCTAATAAAAGCAGAGAGAGCTGTCTGAGCAAAAGGATCATCAGGCTTTGCAATAAATGAGTAAACTTCTGCCATAAAGTGATGTCTTGGGATATTCTTCTCATCTGTGAACCCCAGAACTGAAATACCTTTCACAGACTTGTATTTTAAGGCTTTCTCGTTCACTACGTTGAATGGAACGAAGTTTTTTCCGTATTTGTATGCCCTAACTGTTTTTTCCTTATCAACCTGATTGTCTGGATCATCATATTGATAGTAACATTTTTCAATTTTGACTTCTCCGTCACCAGAAGTATTGTTTTTTCTGGAAACAAGGGATAATCTTTTAGCTGTTGGAAGAGATGTCTTCTCAGTCTTTTTGTAAACCCAAACTGGAATTTTGATTGTTTCACCAATGTCCAAAACACCTCTGAATGCAGTTCTCGAGAGAACTTTCTTACTTCTGAAAAGTAGCAATGTATCAATGGCTTGTTCAATTGGAAGAACCATTCCACCCGCCGTTTGACACAAATCGCAAAGGAATGTCTCATTTCTGTATTTAGGTGTGTTTGCGATTGTGTTGCTTGTGGAGGAGGAACCAACATTGTTGTCTTCATCTTTTACACTAACGCTCGTCTTACTAAAATCAATACCAATCACACTGACAAGAACATTATTAGTTTTGAGACCTGCAAAGATGCCTTCTTTTGTGTCGTCATCTACAGAAATTTCCAATCCGCCTGCATCAGTCACAACAAATATTCGTTTCATGTATTTTCGTTTTCCACATCTCACTTTAATCATATCAGTTGCAACGATAATGGCATCCAAAAGATCGCCTTGAGAAGACATGCCAATTGTATCAATATTTAAACTATCCACAATTTTGAAAAGATTCAATGAAACAGTATCAATAGGTTGTTCCACAGTAATGTGTTTGTATTCATCTTCGTGTTCTTCATTTAAGTGATTTTTCGTGTGCTTGGTTCCTACTAGAATCAATCCGACTTCATCTTTTGGATTGTATCTCATCTATGCAGTTGAGTGAAATAAAAATTGAAATATGAAATCATCATCATGATGGCGTTTATAAAAATTTATATAATAAAATATTATTACTACATAACACAATTAATCGGAACAATCACACACCTTCATTTTGATCAACAAGGAAACAGCGCGTTTCGCTCTCTCAAAATCTTCCCTAGGTCTCGTTCCCAAGGATTTGCCCACATCAAAAATCACCACGAGAGCTTCTTTAGCAGGAGGAGGTGAAACATCAATTTTTCGTGAAGACATTTTTTTTGAAATGAAAAAATTGGCGGTTGGGTTTTTCCATCATTTACTGGATTTGTCTCAAACCTTCGAATATAATTATTACATGAACAAACAATTCTTCTTTTGTGAAGAATTATTTCGAGAATTGTGTCTATGAAAGGGAGCATGTACTGGATTATGTGGATTATGACTGCCATGCAGAATGGTTTGAATCATGTCCATATCGTCATCGTCGTATTCATTGACGAGATGTTGACGATGTTCATTATCGAGTAAACTTTCTGCGGCCTCTTGTTGTTCACGCATGTAGTTAAATACTGCTTCCTCATTGGCTGATTGACTTTCTGCAGCTTTTCTATATTCTCGGTGAAGAGTTTCAATTTCTTCCATGAGTGATGGATCCAAATCACGTTCGAGATCCTCCCTTTGATAGGTCTTGAAATGTTTGGCGATCAAGTGCATGCAACACTTTTTGACATTGAGGGCTTGACACATATCTGCCACGCTACACATGGGCACCACATTGGATGGAGTTAAGAATCGAATAATTTTTCTTTCTGCTGCCAATTTCACAGTCTCAACGTTAAATCGAGTGGCCAATTCTAATAAAGGAACACTTTGTTCAGCAGTGATGGTCTCTTCAGATATCTCTTCTCCTGTATAAATAAATTTTAGTAAAATTTCAAAAACGTCTTTGGGTGTGTGATCGAGATGAATCACTTTTTGAGAACTCTCCAAAAATTGACCAATAGAGAACATGGCTCTAAAGTATTCAGATCTGCAACAAAGAATGGCCTTATGTGAATGGATCCATGTGGTATCATCGTCGAGTTGGAACAAAACGTCGCTCATCCTTGTGAAAACAGATAATTGTTTACAATCCACAAGCTCAGTCGTGGTAGAGTACAAGTTGACAAGATCTCTCGAATATTCTGGAATGGAGCCAGATGCACATTTTGAAAATGTTTTCAATGTCTCGTGAGTCATTTGATTCTTAATAAAATCAATTAAGATCTGTGCTTGAAGTTTGTTCTCCTCCTCCAAGTTGGTGAGCGATTTCAAAATTTCAATACTCTTCTCTGTGTTGAATAAATACGAGTTAAAAATGTCATCAAACTTTTTTGGATGCATAATGTTGTTCGAAAGATTGGTATAGAGAAAATCAAGAATTTGCAATAATTGGTTACGATCTTCCACAAAATCCAAGGTTAAAGCATTATCAATTTCCTCTTTTAGCTTGTCACTGGAGAATTTGGCAGAGGATGTGGAGAGTTGATTCTTGTTGACATGGTTTTTGAACAAGAGCGCGGGAAGGTAAGGACTTCTAGCACTCACAATACATGAGTGACAAACTTGCTCATCACCATTACTTGCCCTTAATTTACAATCTGCAAAATACGAGTTTTCATGTAAAAGTCTGGAATAATCAGTCGTTGCCGACAAACCACAAGAGATGAAAACATTATAAGCACCCATAAATACATCATTGATGGCCACAGCACTCAAAGATTCCACAAGAGTTGGTTGCTGAACAAATTTGTTGTGTCCATGTCCTAAATTGTAATGCAAATTGTAACCCCATGTGTGGCATTTACCGTCTTGAGTGAGAATGGCAAATGAGCTATATCCGGACATGATTTTCTTCACCTTAGAACTGGAATGAGATAAATGAACGAGTGTGGGTCCTTTCACATCTCCAGACATGGATATCACTCCATCCTTAATGAATCCCCAAATGTATACATTTCCCAAATGATCCAACGCAATGGTTTGTTTGAGTCCACAACTGACTTGAGTCCAATAATATCCTTCTCCAAGAGGATGCTTAATCTCCTCAATACTTTCCTCACTGATGAATCCTGTAGTTGAGATTCCATTCACTTGTCCATCATCGTTTTTTCCATATCCAAATAATTTTCCAGTTGCTGTCAGTGCGATCCCATGATACGCTCCACACACGACTTGAACAAAAAATTCATCATCAATTGCTTTGCTCTTGACCATGACAGGTTTGATTCTGTTGGCAAGTCCCCAAGTAAAAAGTTTGCCATCTTCTGTCACAGCAGCACTGTGTCCTGATGGTATGAACATTTGTTCATATCAAGGAGTGTCGATGAGTCATGAAATCATGTGTTTCACGTCACATCAATAGTTAATAAATTCCTTAATACTGGTGTCATATTATTGAGAAAAAACACAAACCTTCACCTGCAGAACAATCCACCACTCGATAGGAAAATAAATATTGCACAGGTTCTGGAACTCCTGTTAATGTCGTGTGTCCATGTCCACAAGCAATACCAAATCCAAAAGAAAATAAAGTTCCATCGTCGGTCAATGCAATCGAATGTGTTTTTCCTGCACATGCTTTTATGACTTTTACTTCTTTGGGCAATTGAACTTCCACTGGTAATGTGTAATTTAATTGATCCAAAGATTCAGGCTCTCCAATACCCAAGGCACCATATCTGTTTCTACCGACTATATCATGAAGCATTGAGTCATGCATATTACAGTCATTCATTCATTCATTCATTCATTCGTATTGGTCATTCAAAGATGTTATCAAGTTACCAAATTCGTGTATATAAATGTATGATCCATTTCAACCATACAAAAACATGATCTCATCACTCTCATTCTCCCAGAAACACCTACCTCCAAATAACTTTCCATTATTTGTAACAATCATCGAGTGCCATAAACCAACCGAAATGTGTCTAACATTGATCAAGGACAAGGCCGAGGACTCTTTAGGCTCCGTTTGAGTGTGTAATTGATTCAAAGCCAAGCCTCCGAAGCCTCCAAAACCGACTATTCATGAACGGTGATACATGGTAACATGGAACGTAACATCGTTACGGCCGTGAGTGTTGTTGAAATTGAATCATCTGAGATTGCTATCTGTTGACACTTACCAGACAAAATGGTAGACATGTTGAATTTTTTTTTAAAGTTCTTGGTTCACCTTTAGGATGAGAGGAGTCTGGATTCAGATAAACCACCACTTCTTGAGCTCAAGTTTATGTCCACAAACATCTTTTGTCTTGTTTTTTGACTCCTCTTGCAATCAAACTTGTTTCTCAAGCTAAATATTTGAATACTGAAGCTAGTCGTGTTGAACTTTCGTCATTTTCAAAACCCATTTAAAAAAAAAATGAGCCAGAATCATAATCCTTTTTATTTCCTAAATCCGTACGTTGTGGTGTGGGAACTGACGGAAGATAACTATATGGATGATCCCAATCCAATGTATTATGCCTCATCAGGTGGTGGATTGGTTGGCTCGCCATCCATCACGATAAATCTTTCGGGAGGAGGAGGTACTTTGAGTGCCAATACAGGTGGATCAAATTTGAATGTACAACCATCATCATCATCGGCTTCATCATCACCTGGAACATCATCGTCGCTCTCTTCTCAAACTACGAGGGTGAAAAGATCCATCTCATCAAATTCCCTGACCAATGTAAATTTACAACAGCAACAACAACAATCATCATCCATTGTCAACGGAAAATATGCGATATGGAATCGTCAAATCAAACGATTGTGTGTTAATAATCAACAGTTTCAATCAACAGCACTTTCTACGTTACAAATACAGAAAGGAAAGTTGCAAAAGTTGTTAACTAAACCAAAGCAAACAACAGGAGGTGTTGCTCTATCTTCTGAACCTACAGTTCCCACAACCATGAACCTGTATATTCCAATCATTAATCAATATCGGGTTGATTTCTATACATCAAACGACTCTAGAATCAAGGACTGCAATAGTAGACATTGGTCTGCTTGGTATCGTAATCCCTACTTTCACCTATTTATTGTTCAAACGGAAGACTTGGACATTTACAAAAATCACATCAAACCAAAGCTCAGAAAGTGGGTTGATTATATGATCGAAAGAGAATACGAATATCTAATTTGTTATGTGTCAAGCTCAACATCATCAGGAGATTTGTTTAAAAAATTTTCGCTCTTCGGAAAGGTTTATGACAAGCTGAAGAGTGACTTTGCCAAACCTACTTTATCAACAGGGACAACAAGTTCTAGTGTCATTACCTCGTCAGTAGGAAGTAGAGTTATCAAACTTGGACTGCAACATGCCTTGTCAGGTAACAATAAGGGCACACAGGACGATAGCATGGTTTCAACAGGATCAACGAGCGCTGCTGTAAAGGAAATGTATCAGAGAATTCATGAGGGCATTCTAAACGAGTTCACAAGACGATCTGCCAAGTACGAAGATGAAACCAAAAAGACTGAACAAAACATGAATCTTCCTGGCTGGCAATTTTCTCAATACTTTATTCAGAAAGAAGGTCTTTCTTTCCTTCTTGAACAATTTGGATTATTTGTCAACTCTCTAGGAATTTACAATCAAATTCTTGGGTTTGCTTCATCAGAGCGCAATTTAATTAATTATACAAACTTTTTGAACGCATCAAACTTGAAAATTACGAATATTTTGGATGACCTTTATGAAAACTTTAGAGAAGAAATAAGATCATCAAGAATATCAGAGTTCGAATTTTTGAATTACGTATTTTCACGACAAATGCATCTATACTTAAAACTGAATTCGCCTGATCAAGTTGCTCGTCTTGGAGCCCTTCATGTCACGTCCATGTTGAGACGGCTCGAACAAGAATTATTAGGAAACACAGATAGAGAGGCCAAAAAGTGGACAAATGAGCAATTGTATTATTACATGTACATGCATGCATGGGCTTATTCTAGTGCCTTTTGTATCTCCGAAGAATGTAGCAAGTATCTAAATTCTAATGACATGAAAGACGAAGCAAAGAGAAATCTCTATCGACTCTGTGGAGACATTTATTTATATTGCAGATACGAATTTCAGTTATTGGGAACAGTTTTTAATGCAGATGTGTTGTGGGACAATCTTTTCATATCAGGAGAAGGAAAACACTTTGACCTCAGTCTCAAGCATATTGACTCAACTGACGATCTTTTTGCTGGTTTTCCTATCATTTCAAGCTTAGAATACTCTAAATTAGCACTTGCACAATCTGGACTTGTTGATGAGGAAGCAAAAGCTGTTGAATCAGAAAAATTTATTCTTCGCTACAAATCCAACTATTTGCCTGCCATAATTTTAAAAACTTCGTTGCTTTCTCAAAAAGATTTTGATGATAGATTTTTAGAGATCACAACACTTGTGGCAGACTGCTATAACAACGGTTTGCGGAATCGTTTCTATCAAAAGCTGAACGGTGACATTGCAGCCATCCATTTCAGACAAGGGCGATACATGGAAGCTTTAAATTATTTACAAGGTCAATTTTCCATGTATTTGAGCGATGGCTGGTTAGGAATTGCGACTGATGTATTGATTAAGATGGCTGAATGTTCTAAACAAATGCAAGCTCATCAATCCTACGTCTCCTCATGCATTGACCTCATATCATCAAGTTACACTACGGCAGAACAAAAGAAATTCTATTGGAATGAAATGATAGAGACTCTAAACTCGTCATCAGAGAATATTATCAAGAGATTGGACGACTCTTCAGCTTCTTTATACTACACCTGTATAACACAGAATGGGCAAAACGAAGCGTACCTAGAGTTGGGAAAAATGCTAAATTTGAAAGTTACTGTTGTAAATGAGTCTCTTATTGATGGATTTATTGCCCAAAAACTTACACTGACATTTGTGTTAGTGGAGGAAACCTCTCACAGACTTTTCATTTCAAGAGATATTGGTAATGTTCCCATCAAAAGAGGTAAAAACACTTTTGAAATTGAAGAATTAATGCTCAAGTTGGGAACTTACCGATTGGAAAACATCAAATTAAGAATTGGAGAAAAGCTAGATCTCATACTTCTTCCAAAGAAAAAGGAAGAAGAGCTTGTCTATAATAGACCATTTGTTACACTTTCCTCAGAAAAGACAAAACGAAAAAAGTCAGAGTCAACGATGTCAAAATCAACAAAATCCAGCAATACAGATACTTCTTCCGATGTTGGCGATCAAATGGATCAGCTGATGGATGACGAAACCTCTTCCTTCACAACCACCACAATCACAACAAAGAAAGATAGCTTAAAATCAGCCTTCCTTTTGCTAGTACTTGATTCAAGACCAGCTCTCACAATCGAAACACTGAAAGAACAACTCTTTCTTCTCAACTCCAACCATTACTTCTCTATAACAGTTGACACAAAAACTGATCTTGTAGAAAAAGGTTACATGGCTATTCATTCTCTTTCTCCAAATTTAAAAGTCTGTCCCGAAAAGAAGGGATTAATCATTGTGGACAATCAACCAGAGCAAGAAATCAATATTAATGACTGCTCCATTTTAATTCCTAAACTAGGATATGGACGTCGCATCACGTACAAAATTCCTATTAAGGCAGAGAGCACCAATAGCAATATACAATCAAAGGCTCCAGAAGTATTTAACATGAGCTTTCAAGCTAAATATGAAAAACAGGTCACCAATGAGACTTTTACACTTTCCAAAACTTTTGAAATCAGCTTTTTCCAACCATTCATATGTAAATGCCACACCACCAAACTTTCTCCTGGCATTTACATGCTACAACTTGTAGCGACATGTATCACACCAAAACCTCTCCAAATTTCTAAATATTCTATCACTCCTACAGATACATTCAAGATTTTGAAAGATTATAATGAACATCTTTTCTCTCCCATCAAACCAATGGAAGTATTCAGTGAGGATGCAGTTTCATTCACATTTAAGGTGGAAGTGCCGAACCCCAAGTCGTACACTCCTCCTTCTATGGAAATTACTTTCAGCATTCCAACCCAAGATGCCACTGCTTTTTATCATTACACTGTCCCATGTTTGTGCATTGAGGATGAAATTGAACCAGAGTACTCGATTGATATTCGATGTTTTCCTCATTATAAGAATGAATCTCTTTCTCCAAAGTTGGATAAAGGTGACGATGATGACGAAGAAATTGAACTCATTTCATCAAAGAAATCAAGCTGTCAAATCGTTGTGGGTCGATCTTGCATTATGGAACTCGAAGTCGACAAATTGAAAACCTACAGTAGCAATTCGACATTGGACAGCGGAAAGGACACAATTCTTTTATTGGACATTTCTGCCAATCCAGATCATTGGGTCATCTCTGGTTCCAATCGAATTGCACTCAACCGAAATTGGACGAAACCTGTGCGTGCCGAAGTGACGCTCATTCCTTCATCGAGTGGTCATGTCACTCTTCCAACAGTGGATATTATTCGAAAATCGATATCAACTGGAGTCGAAGAGAGTCTGTCATCACTCATTCAAAGATCTTATATTGGAATGGAAAATAAGGGAAGAGTGTTGGTACTTCCTCCTTCAACCAAAGATGTCATGTTTGGCCCAATTTTCCCAATTAATTTCCCAAACATTGATCTTTCATTACTTAATATGGTGAATGTACAAAGCCCATCCTCTCTTTTTCCAACCGCGAGTTCAAGCTCATTAAGTGGTGGAAATTCTTCGCTTAATGGAGAATCAGCGATAGACATTAAGCCAATCCCACTTAGAACAGTTGTGAACAGTAGTGGCAGCAAGAAAGGAGAGGGAGCCACAACACCACACTCAGCCTCTGGTATGATGCCTCAAGGTGGTTCCTCCTCGAACATCAGCAAGGACGATGATGTGGATAATGGTTCAACATGGAATGAAGGACCACTTGGGAGACAAGCTCAAGATCTTAATGCAGTTGAGTATGAACAGTTTGTGACACCAAATATTGTTGACTCGTCCTCAGAAAGCAATTCTGCTGCTGTAAATCCAGTAGCCATTCCAATCTCTAAAATTGCATCACCACCTCCTCACCTCAAGGCAAGTGAACGTTTAAAATTGTTGCCAAATTCTCCAAGACCTACTCCTCGAACAGCGATGATTCATATGCGACGAAGAGGAAGCAATGTTCGTCACTCACGAACCAAGTCAGAGTATCTTTCGTTCAACTCGGAAATGGATGATGGACCAAAAACCGATATTCCAGTGGCAGGCAACGACAATACAACGACACAACACGAGGCGCAGCCAACCCTTAATGCTCCTTTTTTGAGCGAAGGTGAAGTTTCAGAAGGCGAGCCAGAAGATGTTTCTGATGAGGAAACTCCTTCGAATTAAGCCACAGAATGTATGATCTACGAACAATAAATTATATTGTTAATTTATTTGCCTGAGGTGTCGCAATAACTAAGATTGATCGCATGAGGTCTCATTTTCACAAAACGTCATCGTCGTCATCAATGGACAAGATGATATTCCCTGACGCATCCACGACCTCATTGATCGCTATTGGTTTTGACGAAGAAGGTGCAAAGAAGGATAGAATGCTTGATTGAGGTGACGTCGAAGAGGATGAAGGAGGAGAGGGTTTAGACTTTTTGGTCTCACTTGAGGAACCAGAGGGTGTTGATTTCCTCTTGAGTTTGAGTTTTGACTTTTGATTATTGTTGAAAGGGGGAGTGGTGGAGGAAGCTGATGATATTGTTGTTGAGGTTTTTGAGTTTTTGAGGAAAGGGTTTGAAGATTTGGGCACTGGATTAAGTGTCACGTCATCCTCTTGGCTGTCAATGCAAATTGGTGAAAAATCCACAGTCATGGGTGAACTTTCAAACAGCATGACAAATTGGCTTCCATCTCTAAAATCATCATCAACAACAATCGGTTCAATATCTAGTGACGGCATACTCCTGCTTGTGTTTGAGAGTGGTGTAGCAGAGAGTGACATTGGAGAAGCCGATACAGATGGAGAAGGTTTTTGAGCAGAACCATCAATGCTCTCAGCGATTTGATCGTCATCCATTATTTCTTCCAAATCATCAAAATCAAAATCATCGAGATCGAGAGTATACTCTTGTTTTTGGGGTGTAGAGGATGATGGTGTCGAAACTACAGCATTCAGCACGTCGGCGCTGATAGGTTTCACTTCTTTTTTCATCTTGGCTTTGAAAAAGAGTGAAATTGGTTTCTGTTTTTCGTCCTTCTTTGGAACTTCTTTCTTTTTACCTCTCTTTGGTGTTGAGGACTTGGATGACGAAGAAACGTTTTTTTCCATTAATACAACTTCTGGTAATGTAAATTTCACAGTGATAGGTGTATATTTGAAATCATCAGATAACATTTCAATAATTCTTGCCTTATGATGTGGATCCGTGTAGACCGTAGGAACCAAGTTGGTAAAGTTGAACGTCTCAACACAATCTCGCAGTTCTGTAAAACTGGAATGCTCACTATAGGGTACTTCGACGAGTGTGATGTTGTTGTTTCGAGTTGCCTTCACTGGAACCTCTGGAATGGATCCGTCGAGTGGCATGGATGTTGGAATGTCCATCTCTTTGAAACACCATGCACTGGGCTTGATGGCAACAATTCTTTTCGTGAGAGTTGGTGACAATTTAACATGACACAAAATGTGTGAATTTAAAGTGTACTTACTCGTCAACATTCTTATTGGAAGCTCGTATTTGAAAAAGCCTCTTCCATGAGATATCTTTCATATTTACAACGTGGATATTGGTTTGTGAAATGTCCATGGTAAAAATGTTCATGTAAGGTAGAGCTAGACATTCTAACGTTTTGAACTTTTCAAAAGTCACAAATATTTTCTTTCCTGTTTTCTTACTAATACCTTCAGCTATTCTTTCCTTTCCTATTAAATAGGTTCCGATTAAAATGAGATAAGACTTGGATGTGTTGTTCAATTTCATTGCAACGAGATCAGAAATAAAGTCAATGGCTTCAGCTTGTTTTGGAAACGTATAATATGGATCACAGTAGGTTGTATCAATGAATATCGAGTCAAGAAACTTTTTTGGGGGTCGAGAAGAAGAGCTAGCTCCATTACTGTTTTGTTCAACCATGTCTAGTATTTCATCTCTCATGTAGGGTCGCAATTCTTCACAATTCAACATTTTGGATCGATCAAAACGCATGTCACCTGTATGCAAATAAGCTTTTCCAGTTTCCTGAACTTGAAAAAGAATAAGACTGCTACCAGGGCAATGATTGGCATCCAGGAAAGTAAACTTGACATCCTTGTGTTCATAGGTTTTGTTAAATTCACAAGGTCGAAGATACTTGTCAGCAATTGAGAATTGTTTCTTGACAAGATTACATGTTGGAATGGTACAAAATATAATTCCATGCGACCACGTTTTAATCAGACCAGCATACTGCATTGTTGTGCATTCGAATCAAAATGTTTAAAATTGAAACACAATTCAAATTTTTTACAGTTACGTTTTTTTCATCATTGATTTCAATTCGAAAAGTTTCGAAAAACAGGACCATCCAATATTCCCATTTGAACTATTGAAAGAATTTTGAAACTACTTACGTGGTCCGAGTGAAAGTGAGTGAGAAAGAAAGTACTATATTTATGTTTGTACTTAAATCCGTCCACTACAAATTCTGTACCCGGAATGATTTTAATATCTTCATCATTGGAAGCCATCTTTTATGTTAATATCTAATATTCATTAAAATCACCCATACAAACAGAAAGGTGTTCTGGTTGGAGATGAAAGGACTCCTGATCCGATTCCGAAGCCTTTTTGATGATGATTGTTTTAAACTACACGGAAGGTCGAATAAACAATCCACTAATTAACAAAAGGCTTGATCTGTATAATGATAATTTTCAACTAGTTCTTCAACTCGGATATTAATATCAAACAACAACAAGACAAAAACACAATTCAGTCAGGCCTGAACACCAAGATACCGGTGTGTTCAACAATATAGGACGACTAGACGAATGATGATGAATTTCTTTTTTTTTTGAATTTTATTTTCGAGCTGTTGGTGGCGGTTGAAGTTTGGGTCATTGAAAAAAAAATGGTTCTTGCATTTTCTCGAAGTGAATTTAAAATCGAATATCTTTAATTCAAAAAAACTTGAATAAAAGGAACAATAAACCAAACACAATGAAAAATCATTTTCTTTTTTGAACTCTTTGTTTCCCTCTTTTCTGAAAGAATGGACAGGGAAACAAGACAACCAAGAATTAAAACCTTTCATATTAGGATGTAGTTCTAAAAAAAAACTATAACATGACATCACATCTTTATCAAACATTACATTAATGAACATTTTTAATGGAGCTTTTTCATTTAGGAGCAAACATGATGAAAGAATAAGGCACCACAACAATCGAATCCTCCTCGAGTGCACAATACGTCAGCTGTCAGGTCATGCCAAAAAAATGTCAGTGCCACAACCATCCGAAAAAAAAATGACGAAAATGAACCTAACGAGACAAAATACTTTCAACATGTTGACGTTTTTTCGATCATCCTCCTCCTCTCTGGTTCTCTTTCTTGCCATCCTCTTCATCGTTGTGTTGCAACTCTCACAACTCTTCGTCTTGGCAGGTGGCATGGATGAGAAAACCGAACAACGTCAACCAGGACTCACTCCCGCCGCTCTCGTTTCCCGCGTTGTAGATTCTTCTACGACGGTTTTTCAAGCAGCAACAAATTCTCAAGAAGATGCGTTGGTGGAGAGAGCAGCAGCACCAGCGACCACCACCACTAGCGCATCTTCATCCTTCTCGACAAGGAGTCTTTCGCATGAGGAGGATTGGATGATGATGAATGGAGAATTGGAAAATGGAAACCATCACCACGACGTCATGATGAATTTTGGATCGATACTGAACGAAGAGGAATCGATTCAAGAACATGGAGCATCAAGCAGCACTGAATTGGATATTTCAAACGTGTTGAGCCACTTGATGGAACAACAAGACCTCATGACGGAAACATCATCATCAATGGAAGCATCATCACTTGGGGAGGAAGTCGAGGAAGAAGCCATTGCTGAATTGGAAGGATCCAGCAGCATGGCCGAAGAGAATGATGAATTGATGGAAAATTTGCAAGAGTCATCCGGACTCATGGGAGCTGAAATTGAAGAAGCCAATAGTAATGCTCATGAAGGATTTACGTTGGATGAAGTTTTGGATTCGAGTGGAGTCTCTACTCTCTCAACAAAGAGCGAACAACAATTGGATCATAAACGATACTTGACTCGCTCACAACAACATGCCAAGCTTAACGAATTTAATTGTAATCCATTGTGTTTAAAACGAAGAGGATTTATTGGACTCGTTAAAAAGACATCCAAGACACGTACTTTGATCAAGTTCTTGAGAAGGAGAAGATCATTGATCAATAGAAAATTATATCCTTTACAACAACTTCAAATCAAGGCGAGAAGAACGTTGGAGGAGACCAAAGATCCAGAACAACAAGCAGAGGCTCAACATAACAAGATCAAGACTGAGAGAGAAATTTCACGTCTATTGAGATTGAAAAAGATGAATAATGAGAAATTGAAGAATGCGCTCAATAATCTCAAAAAGCTCAAAGCTCGTAAAGCAAAGGCCTACTTGATTTTGAAGAAGGCCATTGCTCTTCATATTGCTAAATTGCTGAAACGATACAAGAGAGCTCTCATTAGAAAGAATAACGCTGTTCAAGTTCGAAAGGCACAAAAGGAAAAGTTTGGAAAGAAGAAATTTGTTCCACCTTACCTTGTCAATTATGCCAAATTGGACGTCTTGATTGCAAAGAAGAAGTATTTCAATGCTCTCTACTTTTTATTCAAGAGACAACTCTTTGTATTGAATCATTTAATTCATCACCGTTCCAAATTGTTGAATTTACTCACTTATGAAAATCGTCGTGCTAAACTCTTCGCCTTAAAGTCACAACAAGTCAAGGAGGAGTATGAAAAGTTGGAGAAGCAACTTGATGCATCCAAGAGCGAGGTGGAAAAGGCCAAGATCAAAGGACAAATCGAAGTGAACAAACTCAAATTGGTTCAATACAAGAAGCACGTGGCTACCTGCACCATTTTAATTAAGAGAGCACAAAAAGCCCTCACATCTATTGCTAACAAGTTGAAGGAAGCAAGCAAAGTGTTGTCATCGCGCAAGGTTGATCTTCCTAGTGATTTGAAAAAATTGTTGCGAGACCAATACAACGCCGAACAAACTGCAGTTGACAAGAGAAGAGCGATCAATGAAGCTGCTGTGAACAAGGATGAGCTCAATGCTGCCTTACCAAAACCAATTGATTACTCATCTAAGGACTACTTTATTTTACCACTCAAGAAGAACAACAAGCCATACGTGTGCACGACCAACGAAAAGCCAGATCCAAAGGAAGTTCTTGACGGTGTTTCGATCACCAAGGATGTGTTATTGAAGCCTCTCATTTGTTTCCACAAATCTAAGATTCGAGTGAAGGTCACCTACAACATTGGACAAGACACTCTTTTCATTGCTAAATATCATTCGACATGGATTCGCCAAAATTTGAGACTCTATCTCAATAAGAAGGGCAAATTAGGAATTCAAAAGAAGGGTTACAAACAATTGAAGAAGCCTGCTTCTCCTGCATTCAAAAAGAGAAAGGTCTTCTCAGATCGTGTCAAGTATATTCAAACACATCCATCCACTTCAAGAGCTGTGATCAAATCGTTTGTCATGAAGTATTATTCATTGCCAGAAGAAGACTTTAGTTTGTCATTTTCGATTGGACGTGGCTTGGCAGGAAAACCTTTTGTCAAGAAATCACCACGAAAATCTCCAAAGAAATTGACAACTCACTCAAACCATCAACCAACTGCTCGACCAATAAACTGATTAGTATCACATGTACTTTATTTGTTTGAATTGATATTTGTGTTTGACGCTACAATTATCTCATTCAAGACTCTGAACACGATCGATTGTTGTTCCTCTTTTGATTCGTTCGATTATCATCATCTGATTGAAGGCCTCATGGGACATAAGGTTTGAATGATTCTCTACTTGTCGCAGAAAAGTGTTAGTGATTGTAGAATTGGTTAAAAGATCTATGCAAGAATCCTTAAACCGACATTCCTTGAGCTGATTATTGGGGGTTACTATCCTTGTCGATCAACACTTTTCCGATGAAATTTGGCTTCTAAAAGAATACCGTTCAAATCGCCTTTGAATACTATTAAAATTAAGCTTTACTATTGAGAAGTTTGTCAAACTTTGGTGAAAATCAGATATTCATAAAATGGACTATGGCCTTTTATTGATGTTACAATGAATAAATATTGGGATATTACATGACCAAATCATTTCCCAACCGAAAACGAATGAGAAATGTTGAACTCTTTTAAAGCAGCCATAAGCTCATCCAATGTGAACTGACCAATACATGGTTGAGCACCCACTTTCAATTCATTTTGTGCAATCTTTCGGGCGAGAATGACTGCTGGTGTTGAAGGAATTTGTGGTCCATCTCCTTTCAGGGCTATTAAATCGAATTGAACAATTTTCTCATTGTGTTGACGATCCTTTCCTGTCATTATCATTTGCATTCCTCCAGAATCAGTTCCCATGTTATAAAACCATTCACTGATCTTTTTGAGAAGAGGTGCTTTGCTTGCCCAATCATTCACAATTCCCATTCGAGTCAAATAAGACATTCCTAACAAACCAAATTGAAAAATTCCCAATTCTAATCCAGCTCTGAATTTGTATTCTTTTAAATGAGGATAATATTCTGGAAAGAGATCAATATCAGGAACGTCACAATAGGAGACATATCGTGTTGATGAAAGGCCCTTCAATTGAATTTGCTTCAAGCCCTGCCATCCAATCACATTAATTTTCGTATTATTTTCAACCATAGGAATTGGCTTCCCACAATAGCTTAACACAGCTCTCATGGTAGATTCTCCTCTTGGAGCTCTGTTTCCAGGGCTTACACTGCATTCTACTTTGTGAATTTCTGTAAAACCAAATTCATTGTGTTCTCGTGAGCAATAATCAATCACTGAGGAGGAAATTCCAGGAACTGTGCTTACTCCAGAGATGGCCACAACATTATGTTTCAATGCTTTTTCATTCAAATGTTTTGAAAATTGAGATACAAATTCTCTGGAATCTGCCAAATCCAAATAATGAACTCCATTCTCAATACACTCTTCAGCAACATGATAATTTTGTCCCTGAAATGGTCCACAAGTATGAATGACAAGATTTGGTTGCAATTCCCGTAGAGTCTTTTTGAAATGTTGTTCATTGTGAATATCCACTGAAATTCCAGAAGCAGATGCTGTAAATGGTGATGAATGGCCATTATTGATTGGCTTGGCCGCATTCAGCCGATGAGCAAACTCTTGAGCATTCTGCAAATTTCTTCCTCCAATAATAATATCAAAATTTGTTCCAACGTTTGTCTTGTTGGAGAAATGTGGTATTTTCATCAATTCCGAAGTTAATCGCTTCCCGAATACACCATACCCTCCTAGAATTAGAATTTTAAATTTGTCTTTGTTATTCCAAACATCTTTAAATGTTTCTCTCGAGAATTGTCAATCGTTTACTTACTTACGGAGGATGACATTTTTTCTGTGCGAGAAAATATATAAGTTTCAAAGGTCAAGCAGCACTGTTGTTATTCAGAGTTAGTGGAGGTGTCGATTGTCGGTTCTTGTTCATACAGAGAGAGCTCCATTTTGAGGTTCATGAGAGCTTGTTTTTCTAATTTTTCTTTTGCTTCTGTTGTGTAAAATAGTTGGTCAGGATTGTCCAGCATTTTACGAAGGAATGCACTTCTTCCTTTTGCGAATTCCTGATCACTCAAATGGCCATATTCCTTTCTCACATTTTCAACATAGTGTTTCATAAAACTACTGTCTAAAAATTCTTCCTTATTTTTCCATTCCACAAGAATATCTTTGAAAAAGTGAATTTCCTGCTTTGGCGTATTCATGGCCAACACAGCTAAATCAAAATCCAAAAATGTAAACAATAATTGATCCTTCTTGTCTTTGTGAGATAAATGGTTAGCTGTACATTCAATAAACATGACAATTCTTTGCACATCTTCATTTCTCAACATTTCTGGTCTCGTTTCATTCACGAATTTCATAAATACACGAGCGCTTGCCTCTTCATTATCTTTTCGTTTGGCATCATAAATAATATCATGAAAGAAAATAGCAAGCCGAATGATGATGAAATCCGTCATGGACAATTGTTTGGAACCACCAAATCGGGCATCCTTTTCAAAGAAATCTCTACATTGTGAAAGTAAATGAAATAAATGTGTGGTCGTATGATAGAAGCGAGAGTTAGGCTGATCATATTCCTCCCGAATGTGCTTCCACCATTTAGAAATGGTTGAAAATTCCCGAATACCAATCTGAGAACAGAGATCAAACCACTCTCGTTCAACCATGCTCGTCATAAAGTTCGGGCTCTCTGATGATTGGCTTGTCGAGGATAACGATGAAGAAGGAGGAAAGAACATTTTTTTGAATTCTTATTCGTAATGATGATTCTCCAAACCTTATTGGGGTGTTTCGATTGAATCCAAATTTCAATTCGATTCGTCCATGTCTTGCGTATGGTGTTGTTGGTTTTGCAGATCATCATCAATGTGTTCTTGAATATTCACTCATTCCTCTCTGAAATCAAATGGGACGCATTAGAAAAGTTTAAAAAAGGAGAAAAAAAATGCTTTCAAAGGCTTTTGGTGTCTGGTCCAAGCAAAAAACAGTGTGTTCCGAATTTTTGGTCTCATCATCAAAAAGTAGTTTGAAAAAGGCCATCCTTGAAGAATGTTCAAGTTCTCGGAATAGAAGTTTTCATCATCAAGAAATTCATCAAGCAAAACAGATATCGAATATTTCTGTGGATAGTTCGAAATTTCGACAGAATTATTCTTCAAGTCCTTCTTCTCCTATGGATGAGGAAACAAAATCTCGAGCTGCTCAAACCCAAATTCCTCTCATTGACATACCCTTCCGTATATCGGAACAATACAATATTCCTCCAGATATCTCAAACGCAATTTTATACAAACTCAATTCGTATCAAAGAAAGCATGATGTAAAGATTTTACACTGTGTTGAAACAGGAAGTAGAAGTTATGGATACAGTTGTGATGCAACATCAGATTTTGATATTAGACTAATTTTTGTGGGTCGGACATTGGACTATTTGAAATTGAAAAACAATTTTCCAGAATTTAGATCCAACAGAGACGAAAGAATACCAGAGGCATTACAGCACATATTTAGATGCGATTCAAACACTGTGAGAAGTATAGATATTGTTGGTTGGGAACTCAGAAAGGCTTTAGCCATGACACGAAAAGCGAATCCATCCATAATAGACGTACTAGCATCCAAGCATGTTCTTGCCGTTCAAACCTCATTGTTGGACAAATGGAAGTCTATTGCTGCCCAAGTCATTCACAACAGACCTCACCTATTTGCCTATTCGAAGCTTTCAACCGCAAAAAAGAATTATTTCACACTCACTCAGCCAAAAGTCCCAAATACCAACAGATACTTGGATGTCAAAAAAACCCTCATGATCATTCATCTAATACTGAATGTGAACATTCTTGAATGGATATATTTGATCAATTCAACTCAAACAAATGTAGTTCATCCACTTGACGATTTAGCAGGAGTTAATTTTCATGAACTATTTAGCAAATTGAGGAAATTGAGAACACTGGAGATTGAAAAAGAAATTGAAGAGCTCGTAGCTTTGAGGCAACAAGCCCCATCAACTCCTTTGTCTAATATGCTTTCTGGAAAGCGTATTGACTCGTGGATGCAGTATGAATTATCTCGTCTTGAGATTGTAGCCAATCAACTAAGAGAATTCTTCACTTATGATGAACAACCCATTATCGAGGCATTGGACACTCTTTTCTTGGAAATTTTAGCTGAATCCGAACCATCCTCTCAATTGGGAGCAACAGTAAAGTAATATGTGAATGATGATCAAACACTTTAGTTAATTATAAGGCAATGTTGGGAATAGATCCAATTTGTAAGAAGTGGTTTAATTAATTAATTGGATCGAACTTCCTGTCAGACATCATCAGAAAAAAATATGCCAAACATCTCTAGTTTTGGAGACATTTTCAGTGGAGGAGGGAGTCTCTTCTTCAACAATTCATCGTCCAAGAATTATTGGCCAACCTATGAACATACTTTCGGAATCGGTATGTATTTCAGTGTCATGATGTCTCATGAACGTCATCTTTTTCATCTCTTCTGTGGTGGATCTGACCATCATCATCATTATCTAAACACAACAACAACTAATGATTTCATCATGTATTATACTCATTGAATGGCACATTGGTTCACCATGATATTGATTCGATTTTGGATTGAAAAATGTTTTCAAATGGCGGATGACTCGGTTGTAACGGTAACTTAATCAATTTCTTTAAAAAAAATTGATTCGGAAATGACGCACCATTATTATTATTATGATGATGATGATGATCAACACAATCTACAACAACCTCAACCACCTTTAAACTTGAATTTTGATTTCATGAAAATTTGGAACCATTTTAGCCATTCAATCATTTGATCCACCCTCTCCTCTATCGGATTATTGTATTCGTCTCTCTGTTGGAGACTTGGTCATTATTAGGGGAGAATTTGAGGGATGGTACAAGGGAGAACGATTTCCCTCAACAACATCCATACTTTCCACAGTTTCATCAAATTCTCCTCAAGGATTTAAATCTAAAGCATCGGGAATGAAAAAGTTTTTGCAGTCCTCGGGAGATTCAGATCAACACTTGTCCATTCTAACAACAAATGCATTAACAGGAGGAGCTCTAACAAGTAGTAACAATTCGAGTGGTGGTGTTGGTGGTGGGTTGGGATCACCTCCCGCATCTCCAACCGCAATAGGAATGTCAATGGAATCAACAACGAACTCTCTCTCAACCACTCACCATTCAAGAGCATCCAGGAAATTTTCTGAAAACGAAAGTATGGAAAAAGTCATTGTATCATCGAAAGGCTTTTTTCCAGCAACACACATTATACGATTTGATGGTAGCCCTAATAATCCATTCTCTTTGAATTATCAACTTGCCACTGGAGTGAGCGAGCAAAATCAAAATCGCAACAGCTCACATGAAGGTTCATCCAATAATAATGGCTCTCAACAACAAATGGCTGTCATTTCTGCCAATAATTCTAATGTCCCAGGAAATCTTCCTCTAGTTTTACTCTCTCCAAGAAAATCTAATGCTTCAGATATGAAATTTGGAACTTTTCCAAATAATGACGACCAAGGAGGATCTTGCGGAACTTTTCCAAATAATGACGACCAAGGAGGATCTTGCATGTCACAGCCAACCTTGAATTCAAATGTTCTTGAAAATCCACCAATTACAATCTCCTCGTCGTCTAATTCATCTCTACCACCCGTGGATCATAGTGGAGAAATCAGTAATAACTCTCCAAACGAGCAAAACGATTTTATCACTACCGCACCAGTTTCTGCATCACCCGCTCTTTCGAGTATCATTGGATCAGTAACCACATCCAACACTGGTGTCATCAATCCTCAATCTTCTCTAAAAAACAACACGTTTAGCATCTCTGATAACAGCATTCTAGGCTCATCTCCATCATTGGAGATAAAAAAAACCAATACTAATCAAGGAACTTCCAGCTCTCAAACCCCAATCAGTGCGAATAGGACAAAATCTTTTCGTAGAGGCGTTCTCAATAGCTTTCATGCCACGAAACAAAAAATTGAGCACATGATAAATAAGCCAGAAGGAAAAAAGAATATGACACCAAACAGTGAAAAAAGGCAGAGCATTATAAACGAGTCACAAAAATCAAAAAGGACAAGTTTGAACCTTTCTGGCATGAATTTGTCAAACATTTTCAGTAACAGCCGTGATGAATTTGCAGTGAATCAGCGAGCAATATCTTTCTCAGATACCTTCTTTACAGACCATGAAAAGATGCTCTCTCCATCTGCCGCAAAATCTCACGAAAGAAAAAGAAGTCAAAGTATTTCTGCGAATACTGCCTTTCTTACTTCTTCCAAAAACACAAATGCAATCATTTCAACAGCTCTTACGGCGATTGGTAATGTATATCCAGAACAAATCTATGCTCAATCTAGCTATCTCGGAGGAACAGTAGAAATATTTCCAAACGTTGCGCAACATTTTCAGAGAGAAATAATTCCATTCTTGGAATTGGATTGGTTTGCACCATTTTTAAATATACCAATTTGCAAAACAATTATTGAGACAGTTTTTGATTGGAATATGAAACACTTTAAATCTTTAACAACACATGAGGATAATCGAGAAAGACTGATGAGAGTTTTTGAAATTGAGTGCAAAATGATTAATTCAATGATTGATTATTATTCTTATCAGCACCGTAATGATAGTGAAAACTACAAGCCAAGAATGAAAGAAATTCTAAAAAACCAAGCTTACTTATTAGAGGAAGGAGCATCCTTATTTAATGAAGACATCACAATCAAGAAAAATGGAGAACTCCTGACGCCCATGAATACTTTATTATTTGATTTGTATCAAATGTATTGGGAGGTTATAGATAAGGAAAAGAGTCAAATTACTGGATCGTTGAAATTACAAAGTTCTTTCGACAGATTGCCTGAAGGTAACTTTCAACTCTTGATGGAAATTTCTGGGTGTTCTTACTTTGACAGGGTTGAATGGAGGTTTTGTCTGTATGACATTGGATCAAAGTCCATTATGTCTGAAGATCTAGTCATTGTCACTTCAAGAAAGAATGAATATAGGGTGAGCGTGACCTCACCTGAAAATAATTTGGATGAGTCACAAGATGACATTATTCAGCAAGAGGAGGATGATCCTACCGAAATGAGACGTCAAGATATTTATGCAGTATTCAAAGATGTCTCGAAGTTGTATTTGGAAGGAGAACAGCTGGTGGTTCTTGTTAGAGCATACAGACTCGAAAAAATTAAGGTGGACCCACCGATTAACCACAAGCATACCTTAGATTGCCGAGTTCCTTTGGCAATTGCTCTCTCTCCAAAATTATCACGTTCAGTGGTCACAGAACTCGCCAATGATGGCTACCTGAGATGCGAGTTGAATTTCTTTAATTTTAAAAGTAATGACAGCCTCGAAATGATACTGGATGACATTCTCAACGACAAGCAAGATTTGGAACGAGATGCGCTTGTGGGTGTTGAGCTTTCACTAAGCATGGTTACAGGTGATTATCACAAAGCTTTTAAACAGTACCCCCAATTAACTCATCTACCACTTGTACCAATGACTCGATTTAGTAGCTCCATTCTTTCTGATGACATTCGGAACGATATTTACATTTCTCTACATTCTTTGCTTAATAAGAGCATTGATACCCTCTACGTCGAAGCTAAGATGTACATAAAAGACAAAGAGGGTCACACCATCCAGTGTGACATTAATCGAAAGCAAAGAGTGTACAGATCTCCCATTTTAAGAATGAAAAATCCAACATGGGATGAGATCATTCTTGTGAATGTAAACTCGCATCAGTTACAGTCCGCTATCATTATTTTTGACTTTTACACTGTTAATAGCAAGAAGAATAACTATGAAGTGACACATAAGTTTTTTGCATATTTACCAATTGATGACGCAACGCGAACACTCACCTTGGGAGTGGAAACCTATATTGAACCTCTCACATGTTACAAAATTTCTAAGGGCTACACATTCCAAGATTTTATGAATAATGAATCAATAAGGACTAAATTTGCGAAAAAGTCCAGGCTGACCATTTCCTTGAACGTGGTTTCCACCTCTATTGCTATCAACCCTAACTTAAGAGATTTCTTAAAGTGGGATTCCATGGATGAAACAAATATTCAGTCCGTCATCAAGGATATCGACTTTAAAACGGTAGATACAGCAATATGTTTTAGGGAAATTGTGAGCTCTCTATTTGGTATTGCAAACAAATATGGAAAGGCAAGAAACAACATAGATTTTGTCGAAAGTCAGCTCTTGCAAAAAGTGTAAGTTTTTGTTGTGTTTTTAGAGTTAGGAGAGACATGTTTCTAACTGTGTTAATCAGATTTGAGAAGATTTGTACTATAGTGTCAACGTTATCAGAAGATTCAGAAAGATTTAACTCCGTTATTGACGATTACAGCAAATCATTTCCATATCATACCAGCCATAGATTTATTCTTCATTATTTGAGCAAGTATTTTGACTTGTTTAAAGCTGAAGATATGACTATTGGAACCAAGGAAAAGCTTGTTAGAGCTCTAGTATCGTTTGTGTTCTTTGTGAAAATTATTGAGAAATCTCTTTCCTCTTTCAAGACAAAGTTACCCGATTTGTATCAAGAAGAACTCACTTTTGTACAGAACGAGATCACCATAATTTATTCTAAACTCAATCTGTTAGCTCAAAAATCAGATGCAACACATTCCACCTTTAAAAACATCAAATCTGCCTTTTTTGACTCGCTCAATCCCAGCTACTATGACACATTGTTATCACTTTTTGATGAAGTGACGATTAGCAGACAAATTGAATCATTCATGATCTCTCTACCTGAAGAAGAAGTTCATAGAAAATTAGCTCATATTGACATTGTAGTTTCATCCAATGTTTTTGAGATGCGTGCTGTAAATTCATACCTTTTACCAAAATTTGTGGACATTTTGGAAAACTTTGGTGAATGTTTTTTAGAAAACAAATCTATCTCCATTATGAACAAGCTCATCCAATATTTAAAAAAGCAACTCTCTCCCAACAAACCTAAATTAACTCCAGGCATGACCAAATCATGTTCTACTGACTCTCTAGAAGAACGAAGAGGTTTAGTATTATCAATTGAAGACGCAGAAGGTCTTGCGATCGATGAAAATGATGTCTGCACCTATTGTGTTTCTTGTTTGAAAGAGTTATTAGGTCTTGTTGGATTGTTAAAGGAGGCATTTGAGACATCACTCGAAAGAACGGAGGAATTGGAAGCAGAATATGCTGCCGCTCGAGAACGAATCGAACAAGAAGGTACACTCAGCATCAACAACTCTCAAAATGTTAACCAATCGTCAAGACAAACTGCCTCCAATGTCATGAGCAAATACGAATCAGATATTAATCAATCTAAGCGTGTCAGTTGTGACGTTGTCATTACAATTGTTAACTTTTTGGATGTGTTAACGTACAAAGATGTGTTGGATTGTTTACTGTCAATGTTATCTGAATATTCCTCATGTGCTGAACTCGATACTATTGAACTCATCTTGGATCTCATTTCAATGTTGCTCTCAAAGAAGAATCCGCTTCCAAAAAATTGGACTCAGATGAATATTTATCAATACGGAACGATTTCAACTATTATTCTAATGAACGCAATGAAGGTGAAAAAATATATGGTTTTACTTGAAGGACCATCAATTACATCAGTTAGTACTTTCTCTGGAAATTTCTCAAGAGAAGCAATTATCCTCAACAAACCTATCGTAGATGTCAATGTCAACAGAATTACGAAAGTGTCTCAATTACTCATCAAATATTTATTCGATACAGTCTTCTCATTTGAGCCAGAAAAGATGAGAACATTTGATAGAAATCAATTTTTAAGCCAAAATGATCAAAGAGCCAAAATTTTAACCGTCTTTTATGAGGATATTTGGTCTTTTTGTCCTTTGCAGTTACAAGAAAGTTGCTTGTTAGAACTCATTGACAAATCGATCAGATTATTCAAAATTAATATTTCGGAGGTCATTGAGGTCGCCAAAAATTTATTCTTTGACCTACTTAAGATTGAATACGAAAGTAGACATTCAGTTTCGCTCTGTGAGGCTGGCTCAGAGAGATTTTTCAGCGAAGTGACAGGTCTTGAAGGTGTAAGACACAAGTTCATTAATTGTATTGAATCCAAGTTGCACAAATACAAGCGATTGTCACAAGAATTGTCATCGAGCATAGATGAGCAGGCAAATGATCAATTCCCTGTACATGTCGAACAACTTCTCAATTCTCTACATCACTTGCTCAGCCAAATTCGTGAGATTGAAGCAGCAAGTACAAACGACCCAAATACCATGAACTTCCAATCCCAAGAGAAATCTTTCAAGAATGCTCTCAAGTCATTTAAAAAGAACAACAACATGCAGCTCTATTTCAAATATCTTCATTTGTTGGCAAGTATGCAAAAGAGTAGAAAGCGATACATTGAAGCTGGGTTGGCTATTTATGTGCATGCCTCCAAGCTCGATATCAATAGCCAGAATGAGTTACCATACTTTTCTGATTTTTATCCAGAAGAAGTCGAAAGTAAGAGAAAGATCAAACTCTATATGGAGATTATTGATCTCTTCGAGAAAGGTAAAGATTGGGAAAGAGCTATCAAGCTTCATGAAGAGTTAAGAGAACACTACAAGAAAAATATGAATTATCTTGAGCTATCGACTATTCATTTAGAGGAGGGAAAGCTCTACAAGAAAATTGTTTCCTCTATTCGAGAGTACAACAAGTATTATTTTGTTGGCTTTTATGGAAAGGCGCTTTCAAATACCAACTATATTTTCAATGCTCATCATCAAAAATTGGCCGATTTTGTGAATTTTATCAAAATGAAATTTAAGGGAGCTGTCATTAAGAGAGAGATACCTACCTCTTTCGATGAAACCAAATTCAGAACGAGTGAGCAACAAGTCATATTTTTGGCCCCTCTTGAACCTTCATGTATGAACGAAATGGAATCATACTCATCAGAGAAACACTTTGAGAAGAGTTGCTTCCAATTGCTCGATTCAAAAGTCTCTCCAAAAATTCAACAATATCACAAGAGTCACAATGTCAATGTTTTCAAGCGTATTAAAGTCAAAAGAGAAGAAAAGAAGGAGGATAATCATCATGCGACCACTGAATCAAGTTTAACAAGCACCACTCTCCAACAACCTTCAGAAGCAAAAACGTGTACCATCAACTTGGAAGATGCCGATGGAATTATCTCCTTTTTCACAATCAAACATCCATTCCCAAACATGTATACCATTCAAGAAGTTCTCGAAAAGAAGGTCATCAAATTGAACACTTTGGAAGTGGCCATCTATTATATTGAACAAAAGATTCACTTCCTTCAAGAACTTGTCATTAGTCACAAACTGAATGAGAGTAATTTATTAACTGCCTCACTAGATTCTGAACTTACTGGACTTATCGATCCAAGAATTCACGGTGGCATTTATGTTGAAGTTGAAAAATACTTGTCACCAAGTGCATTAGAAACTCTCTACGAAGAAAACAAGTATCTTGTTGCCATTTACAAACAACGGTTGTCACAACTTGCATATCTACTGAAGGAAGGTCTTGTTCAGAGACGAAAACATGTCAGCAAACAAAATCTTCAAATGAGCGTCTATCTCGAAAAGAAATTCAAAAACGATCTCATTCCGTTACTAGAACGCTACAACATTCGAATTCCTTGAGCTCATTTCACATCTCCATAATAACATTAGATCATTCCAGAAAATACACCATCAAACATGATGAATGCACAATATGGTTTACCGACCACAGATCCAAAATCAATTGGATCAGTAACTCAAGAATTGACAACCAAGAATTGAATTAAATGAATTGACAACAACCCATGAATTTAATTTTCCTAATGTACGCGATCGAAAGATCTTTTTTACAAAAAAAATGTCCTTCTCACAATCAGCAGCACCTCTCATTCATATCCGTCCTCAACACTTGTTCAATGTTGAAGCCTTTGCTAAATATTTACAGGAACATGCGACAGAGTTGTTGTCGATCAACAACAATTATCATTCCAACAAAAACAACAACGGAAGTGTTCAACTCGCATTGAAAAGTATTCAACAGTTTTCCGATGGACAATCCAATCCTTCCTTCAAGGTGGTGTGTACGATCAGTCTTCCTCAACTACACAAGGATCGATCGGGAGGAGCTTCATCGTCGGTACTCACCAAGGAATTGGTGTTGAGAAAGAAGCCTCCTGGAAAACTCTTACCATCGGCTCATGATATTTATCGGGAATATGCCATCATGAAGGTATGGAGTGACCATATTTAGAATATATTATTTAATTTGAAATTGATTCATGATGGTTTCAATGTCAAACACAAAACCATGACCTGAACTGCGTGGTGTGCATTATTCATATTTTGATCATGCATGATTTAATTTTATAAATCTTTGATCATCATGCACCAAATGAACACACAGTCTCTTCATTCCATTCAATTCCCAGTTCCTTATCCTTATTTTTATTGTCGAGATGAGAAAATTATTGGTACTGAATTCTATGTGATGGAATTCATTCAGGGAAGAATCTTTAAAGATGGAACTTTTGCAGAAATGCACAAATCTTCAGTAGAATTGTTAAAGAATCATGAATTAACAATGACAGGACCAGAAAAACTTACACCTCAAGATCGAAGAGAAATGATGACTGATTTTATTAGAACATTGTCACGATTGCATCGAGTAGATTTTATGCAATTTGAATTGTTGAGACCCTTGTTTGCATCCAGTCAAAGGAATAAGGCAACAAAGGAATCCACCTCTCGAGAAGAAACTGCACAGAAACAACACGATTCTTCTAACACGAAAAATACTTATTATGAAAGACAAATTGCAACATGGACTCGTCAATATCTTGCTTCTGAAACTCATGAAAATGACTCAATGAATCGTCTCATGAAATGGTTGCCAAAAAATATTCCTAAGGAGACAGAAAGTGACAAATTAACAATTGTGCATGGGGATTACAAATTTGATAATGTTATTTACCATCCTACTGAGAATAGAATTATTGCTGTATTAGACTGGGAGTTATCAACTTTAGGTCATCCAATTGCGGATTTGTCATATTCATGCATGTATTATCATTTTCCCAGAATTCCTGGATTTTCTGGCTTGAGAGGAACTAATTTCCAACAATCAGGTGTCTTGACAGAAAAAGAGTGTCTTGACTTGTACACTTCATTCACACAACGATCCAAGATTGACAAGTGGCACTTTTATTTGACATTCTCCATCTTTAGACTGGTTGGCATCACACAAGGAGTTTACAAGCGATACAAACAAGGAAATGCAAGCAGTGATTACGCATTACATATTGGAATGCTTGCTGGAACCTTATCTGACGTTGCTTGGGAGCTTATTGTCAATGCTGAAGGTGACAATCTCACCATTTGTGAAGGAGGTATTCAATTTGGTCTTTCTCCAAAGGCACTCAGACTTAAAACAAAACTCGAAAAATTCATGAAAGAGCATGTATATCCTGCAGAAGTAATATTTCAAGAACAACATCACAAACAATCGGATCGATGGCAAATTCCTCCAATTATTGAAGAGTTGAAGCAAAAAGCCAAGGAACAAGGATTATGGAACTTTTTCTTGTGTCAGCATAATGAAAAGGAACCCATCTCCACTGTGGAGTATGCTATTCTTGCAGAGGTTATGGGAAGAAGTTTTATAGCATCAGAAGGTATGTGAATTTATTTCTTGTTCGATGAGTAATGGATTTATTTTGAAACACTTCAAATGACAATTGTTTTTTATCACAAACTATGATGCAGTTTTTAATTGTAATGCTCCTGATACTGGGAATATGGAAGTTTTAATGAAATTTGGAACTCCAGAACAAAAAGAACAGTATTTGAAACCTCTCCTCAATGGTGACATTCGATCCTGTTTTTCAATGACAGAATATGGAGTCTCCTCAAGTGATGCCACAAATGTTAGCTCAACCATTAAAAAGTCTGAAGATGGCAAACACTATATTATTAATGGTGTGAAATGGTTTATCACTGGCGCCGGTGATCCACGATGTAAATTTACAATCTTTATGGGAGCAACCAATCCTAATCATCCAAATCCACATCAAAGACAATCCATGGTTTTGATTCCTATGGATGCTCCTGGCGTGAAATTAGAAAAACCTGCTTCGACATTTGGTCTCGACGATGCACCCTCTGGTCACTGGTCTATTTCTTTCACCAATGTTAAAGTTCCAGTTTCTAATTTAATATTTGAAGAAGGACAAGGTTTTAATATTGCTCAAGCTCGTTTAGGTCCAGGACGTGTTCACCATTGCATGAGATTAATTGGATTATCTGAACGAGTGTTTGAGCTCATGGTCCAAAGAGCCAAACAAAGAAAGACATTTGGCAAAAACTTGTCACAACATGCCATCATTCAACAATACATTGCCGAATCAAGAATTGAAATCGAACAAGCAAGATTACTTGTTCTCAAAGCAGCTTACATGTTAGATCAAGTCGGTGCCAAGCATGCTCGCTCAGAAATTGCCATGATCAAAATTGCAGTTCCTAGAGCATGTAAAAATGTCGCTGATCGTGCCATTCAAGTATTTGGAGCCGAAGGATTATTGACATCATCTTCTGACATCAAGTCACCACTCAATGAAGTTGCATTTTCCATTGCTCGAGTTTGGATTGGAGCTCGTCAATTGCAAATTGCAGACGGTCCTGATGAAGTGCACATGATTAATTTAGCGAAACATCAACTCTCTAAAATGTAATGCCTTTTTTCACATCATGGAACACAAGATGCTTGTTATTGTTTTGTACTATGACAATCAATTGCACAATGAATTATTAATTTTATGATTCATATATGCACAATAATGGAAAAGTATAAGAACATGTTAGAATTTTGGAAGATATATCTTTCACATGAAATTCACTTTCCGCGCACATTATTTCAACAGGGCGCACTTTTTTTTTGGAAGCAAGTGAAATTTTGTAAACCCTGTCTCCTGATGAGAGAACTATCAACTGGAAAGATTCTCACATGCATGAATTCTGAACTCGAAAAAACAAACTGAAAATGACACTCATCATTCGACAACATGCAACTGCTTGTTTGCTGGCACTCACTGTTGCCATTCTTTTCAGCTTGTCCACACAATGGTGTGTGAACGCTCAAGATGTTCGTTCCAACGTGACACAACTCATTCAATATTGGGGCTATCCTGTGGAACAACATGATGTCACGACTCCGGATGGATATATTTTATCCGTGTAAGTAGCATGTCCTGATGATGATGGTGTAGGACGTCATCTTTTTGAACTGTGATGATTCCACTACTGTGATTTGAACTGTGATAACTCCACTGTCATCTTCATTCGGATAGTCAAAGAATTCCACATGGTCGTTTCAATCGTCATGGCGGATCTACTCCTAGAAAAGTTGTCTTTTTACAACATGGATTTTTAGATTGTAGTGCCACATGGGTCAATAACTTGCCGTATCAATCGTTGGGATTTATTTTGGCAGATGCTGGTTATGGTAAGTAGAAGATGAGGATGGCGTTTATGATGAGGTGTTTTATGGTGGTGCAATGATTAAATAACATTCTAATAATGATTCATTTGAAACAATTTCACTTTCTGTTGCGTAATGCATAATGAATGTTGTAACTATCTATTAATGAATCTCTGAATGACTTTTTGAATAACTTTTAGATGTATGGCTTGGAAATGTTCGTGGAAATGAATATTCCAATCGTAATCTCTACTTTCCAACACAGTCCAAACAATTTTGGGAATTGGGAATTCACTTGGGATGACATGGCTGCGATCGATTTGCCTTCCATGGTGAATTATGCTCTCAAAGTGAGTGGTCAGCCAAAATTGGCCTATGTTGGACATTCACAAGGATGCAAAATGGCTTTGGAATGTTTCACAAGTATGGCCCCAAATAGTAGAAATTTGAAATATGCCGCATGTCCTCGCGATTTCACGGATAAAATTTCCATTTTTATCGCGTTGGCTCCTGTGTCGTATTTGAATCATCCAGGAAGTGAAATGGTGAAAATTTTGGCTCGTCTCCATGTTGATGAAGTATTGGAAGGTTTAGGCGTGAATGAATTTTTACCATCGACTAAGCAAATTCAGAAATGGGAACCTCGCATCTGTTCCAATAGCATTCTCGAAAAGGAAATTTGCATGAATACCTATTGTTTACTGAATGGATGCCATGGATTGAAAGCAAAAGCCAACGAAACAAGACTTCCTCTCTATATGGATCGATTACCAGCAGGAACTTCAACATTAAATGCAGGTCATTGGGCTCAATTGGTTCGATCTGGAAATTTCCAAATGTTTGATTATGGAATGATTGAAAATTATGCACGCTATCACCAATTGTCTCCACCTCAAATTGAATTGAGAAATTTGCATGTGGATATTGCAGTGTATCATGGTGGTTTGGACGTTTTGGCTGATGTGAGAGATGTACAACGATTTTTAAGTGAAATTCCTTCTTCACGTGTAAAGAATGTCATGTATTTGGAAGATTATGGACATATTGATTTTGTGTGGGGAATTGAGAATTATAGATCCATTTATGTGGATGTGTTGAAGAGAATTGCAGATTCATTTAAATAAACCAATGGTCGTGTTGATGGCACACGTTGTATGACCTTTAGCAGGCAATTTGATGTGTACCCAACCATGCATCGTCAGTCAAGTCCCATTCATGCATGGTGGCATACAATGAATGATGAAGTTCGAGACGAACGTTGGCTGGATATCTCGTTTCTGAACTTGTTTTTTATGGAAACGAAAAATGTATTAGGCAAATCCTTAATGTGTCAAATCCTCGGTGCACCATGATCCAGTCAGTGATAGGGGTCACCAAGGTTGCCGTTTATCACATATACATGAATTTATAAAGGAAGTTACAGGTGACACAAACACCAAGGATGAACCTTTCACTTCCTGTCATGATGATGAACGTTTGCTTTACCGCCATAAGTTCAAAACTCACCTACAACTTCCCATTAGGCCTCGTAAAAACTCAAAATACAATTTCATCTTTTTATGAGCAAAATATCGCGTGGATAACAACCTCTATCTCGTATCGTTGTCTCTGAAATACAAAATTGTTCAAAAAAAAAGTTATCCTTCTGACAATCTCGCTCCTTATCACAACGCTGTTTGGTGCATTATCTCACACATTGTGGTTCTTGTTTCTGTAAATACATCCTCCTCTTTGCAAAACTCTCAAGTTCTGCTTGCGTTCGGAAACCCCGAAAATGATCCTCTTTCAGATTTCCAGAGACGTCAAAGCTGCCTCTGCAAGTACCACTCATCATCCACATTCCCAAGAACCAGCTGTTAAAAAGGTTTTCACATCATCTCCCTTTCTAAAGTTGCCAACTCTTCCCCCTTTCAAAGCATTTTGGTTTCTTATTGGCACTGCACTCATTACAACCTTCCTAACTGTACTCGTACTAACATTATCATCTGCAAACAAATTTAGATCATTTTCATTGAGGAGCCTCACTTCTCGATACAAACAAGTCGTTCAAGGACAAACAACCCCATTACCATCATCACTCATCATTGAGGAGAGTGATTATGAACCTATTGCCACTTCAGAAATGTGGAGCTCCACTTCCTTGATGCAGCAACTCTCTCAAAATAAAGCCATCTCCCACACCAAGCTGAGCAAATACTCTCCCACTCTGAAACCCCTACTCGGACATCATCGATGCAATCGATATGGTCGTTTGGAAGAACCTCGCATCCTCATTCCTGATGGATTTCCCAATGTGTACAGCACCGATACCTACATGGCTTCATGTAAATTTGAAAATCTCTGCATGACTTCGAGTGGAGAGTTTGTTCTCTTTGAACCCTCTCAACGAATCACTGGTGGTGATCGCTTTGCTCAAATTCTCAACTCTCGTCCGTGGGTCTACACGCAAGGTTCAACCGTTCATTCGGATCGAGGTAATTTTTTTGGCGCCATCGTAGATGGTGATTTGGTATTGCAAATGAATAAGGAGGAGGAGAGCCAAGTGGAGAATGCGTTTGTGAAAAAAACGAGACAAGTTTCATGTCAGGGTTTGTTGATGGCATGGAATGGAACGAGGCATGGGGTGGCAATAAGCGATGATGTAGAGAATAGTGAAAGGTCTACTGCTTTTGAAAATTCGAAAATCATTGAAGAAATTCGTGCCCGAGTGGGCAAAGATCCAAATGCTTTGTGTCATGAAAATTATTATGCTCCCATTGCACTTTCCAAAGATTTTCAAATCATTGAAAAGCCTATATATGCTTTGAAACGTTATGCGGCTGGAAATGCTGGACATTTTCTCTCACAATCGTTGGGAATGATTATGGGTTTGATGATGAATTTTCAATCGGAATCTGTGGGATCAGCAACATCTGCGGCCTTCACATCATCATCGTCTTCTTCTCAATGGCAAGATAATCATATTTTGTATTTGGATGATTTGGAAAGCAAGGAAGGATTTGATTGGATGGGTTTATTCGGGTACGATCTCGAGTTGGGCAATAAGTTTTCATTAACGGGTGGGCAATTGTTGAGTCAAAATCCAATTCTTCAACGATGTTTTGTGGGTGGGCGATGGAGAGTGATGCCAGCTCCATGTCGAAATGATTCATTGTCTATTCCTACAACTAGCCCAGCTTCATCAAATCGAATGGAGTTGCAAACTTGTTTTACCAATTTCTTTGCTGGTCACACCACCAATAACTTGGTCATCTATCCATACGGAAAGGAATATACCTATATGAAAATTCGAGAGCTCACCTACAAGAACTTGCGAATACTTCCCTTCGATGGAACATTTACCACAACTCAACAAAAACAACGACTTGAAGCATTCCTCAAAAAGAAGGACATTCTAATTTCAATTAACCGAAAGGAAATGTCTGATCGCCATCTTCAAGCCATCTTCAATGTAGATCAACTTGCTGACTATTTGCGCAAACATTTACCTCAAGATCCATTTATACAAGAGTTGCTGACCAACAAGGACGGCTCCAAACGAAAACTGATCATTGAAGACATTGATTTGTACAAATTTCCAAGCATTCCATCACAAGTGAGATACTTCTCTGATGTGGATATTTACATTTCAGACCCTGGGTCAGCAGCCTATTATTCCATGTTTCTAAGGGATGAAACCACTGTGATTTTACCTCCAACTTGTGAGAATCCTTCAAAATGCAAAACCTCGCACGGAGTTCACGTGTTACAAGCACTTCCAAATATTCAAATTGCCGACCTACTCGAGTTGAACAACGGCATACCGCCTCCATGTATTCCCAGACCTGGAGTATTGAGCCAGATTAATTGTGATGTAGTGTTCCCTCCTGACTTGGTTTTGAAAAGTATTGTGAGAGCCTTTAAAAAAAGATTCACAAAATACCTGACAAGGAAGGACTTGGTGTTATAAGGTAACCCTTAATCGAACATGAAAGTTTTCTAAACGAAACTGTACAACTCTCGAAGGTTTCTGTCACAACAACGATCATTATAGCCAGCTCCTCTTCTACACTGAAAGGAGGTGAACCTATTTTCTCCTGCTTCGTATAACTGTAGAACATAATACTTGCTTAATCAAGTCAACCCTTTTTGGTTGGCGTGATCGCCTTCCTCAAATGTTTTTAAAAACAATTTCAGTGATTTTTTCCGTTCACTTTGGTCAGTGAGAGCTTCAAGAAAAACTAAATTCTGCAAACTTGGCGTGTCTCCATCTTCCACCTTTAACCAAAGCGAAACTTTTGCGTCAAAATCATTTTCTTGTTTTGCGATTTTAGCAAAGACTGCCTTTTCTTTTCAATAAAAGATGAAAAGAAATAAAAAATTGCTTCATACGTTAAGAAACATGTCACCTGCTAATATCAGGATCTATTTCTCATCGACACTGCACTTCTATTGAATGGTTTTCAAAGATATGAATACTGTGGTCAAACGATTGAGTATTTTATATTGTCTTGCTTATTTCTGGAGATAGTGGTATTTTGAATCGCAGGTCCCTTTTCGCAGCCAAAATCACAAGATCTAAGCGGCTGCCAAAAGTCGCGACGTTGACACAAAGACACAAGTCCAAACATTTTTTTGAACGAACGTGTCAACAGTCACTTTTTCTTTATCAAAAAACGATTTCAAAAGACACATTCAGTAAAACCTGAAAATTTTCATTCATTTTACTGCAAGCCTTTGCTTGTTTCCTGAACTCCCTACAACAACACACTCACCTCTCATCTTCTTTTCCTTCCAATTAATCGATATCGATTGGAGTGATAGGAAAGAGTGAATTCATCACACTGAGTGTGCGTTTACAATAACAATTACAACAACAAATAATCACCCGAACATCCGAGAGAGTTTTCTCGTTTGAAAAGAACACACACTATTTTCATCATCCGTCTAAAGGAAGCCATCGTTGTTGGAAATGACGGAGGAAGAGGATCAAGTAGTACTACGACCAGAGGCCTCTTCTTCTTCTTCATCATCATCATTAGTAATAACGACTCACACGAACAATAACCAAAGGAACAATGATCACCACAACGAGTCTTCTTCTTTAACGCCTCCGCTCGCAAATTCGGTGGAATCTCAACAAGTACCACTTACATCATCATCATCCTCATGGAATTGTCCTCCTCCTCCTTCTCTTTTACCGATCCTAACGAATAGTTCTTCTTCATCATTGCTGGGAATTGATAACCACAAGAACAAAAGCAAACGGCCGTCCTCATCCTTGCAAAGAGAAGGAATGATGACCTCTCCTGTTCTTCTGGATTGCTCTCCTCCACTCAACTTCTCTCAAGCCTTTTCTTCTTCCATCAACCGACGCGATGATGATCCATGCCAACAAGAACAACAACACCACCACCATCACAACCTCCATACGAAGAACATTTCCTCCATAACAACAACAACAACCTCTCAGCACGAGTCCTGTTTTGAAATCCTCTCGAACAGATCTTGCGGATCTTGTTCCGTGTCTTCACCTCCTCTTCCACCATCGACATCATCACTGATGGAGGATCAGCTCGATACCAGCACAACAGAACAACAACAACAACAGAAACATCAACACAATGAAACGACGAGTTCAGAAGACCAGTCATCCACCATGACAACAACCTCAATCAACCCAACGAAACCTCACACGAGAGTTCCTTCTCATTCCACTTCTTCTCTAGTGGAGTTGACGACATCGTTATTGAATGATCTCTCTGAATTGGATGAACGACAATGTCATAGAACAATAAGCAACTCCGATGTGTCACAACAAGTTGAAGCAACAACAGTAACATCATTTTCACCAATGGCTCTCTCATTTCCTCACCATGAAAACCCTACAAGAACTGTGGTAGTTGCGAGCCACAAAACTACCCACATTCATCACAAAACGACAATTCATGAAAACAGTGACTTGTCACCTTTAGTGTTGTCAGAAGAGACAACAACGCCCACAACAAACAATTCTTCCTCTTTTTTCGAAGATATTCCTCAATTCATTCAATCCAAATCAAGTACAAAATTGACACAACTCGAAGATGACATGCTGGGATTGATTCTTACTTTTTGCGATATTTCTCAATTTGAAAGTTTGGCAACGACATGTCGTTTGTTTTACCACAAGTTTTCTATGAGCTACATGTTTAAAGACGTTTTCTCGAAAGTGAAAAAACCTTCAAGGCGAGATCTTTCATCGATTCCTTCAGACCTTACTCATATAAGCCCATTTCTAAAGCAAGCTCTCCGTCAAATGTATCATCCGGTCGTATTTGTTCCCCTTCGATGCATGCAGTTCAATGCATACACTCTCTTTAAGGATGCCATTATTGATTATTGGGTTAAAGAGTATGGCTTTAGACGCCTAAATGAAGCAGAAGTCGAGGTAGATGTGGACTTTTCTAGGCCAGTTCCTTGGATCGATGAATTGGAAAAGATTATTCACAGACCTCAATCACTTGCTTCTCAGCAACAGAATGAATCCACAGTCGACATTGAGACCGCAGGCAACAGTAGTAGTGGCGTAATCAAAGCTTCCATTACCAAGACAATGCCATTTGTGAACGTTCTGGAACCTTCACAACCGGTGGCAGGAGTAAGACGAGGAAGTCAGCAACGTACTGCTGCTAATAGTACTAGTGATCATAGGATAAACCCCACAACTAACACTCCCAATGAATCCACCGCAAATATCCTTCTCGAACGTTTAATGACCATTCTTGAAGTCAAAAACTCTGCGCCGCTCTTCAAGTGTCAAACCGTGAGCAATAAGTTTACAGATCCCAATGAAATCAATGCCACAGATGCTCAGAGAAATGCTCTCAATAACGGTACTCGAAATCTCGTTGTGGTCAACCATTGGAGGGCGTTTGATAAGTTCACACTCCATATTGACTTTCAATTTCCCACTCATGAACGCAATTTCAGCTTTGTGGAAATGCCTGAAATCACTCTCTATTATCATAACTTTAGATCAATGGATGGTAATCCAAGAAAGGACCTTATTGAGATATCTTCAGGTTCTATTTTCAAGGATGGTGTGAATGGAAAGGTGTATCAATTTGATGCTTCGAAAGAGTCATCATCTTTGTCCACTCACCAACCTTCCACCACTTCTCTCGAATGCAACAAGAATCAGTCATTGACCAGCAACACCTCTCTCAATAATGGTTCAAAGTCTCGTTCCAATATTCCGTTAAATAACAACAAACCATCCTCAGCATCTCTTCATTCAACTACTACCATTTCCAATACTACTACCATCTCCCGTACAACAGTCACTTCTCCTTCTCCTGCCACTACTTCCAATAATCTAAGCAATTCCAATCCCCAGAAATCTGTGCCACCAACCAGCAATCAATCCCGAAAGTCATCACTACTCCGTTGGTCTTTGAAATCTGCAAACGCTAATAATCTCACTGCCACAGGTGCTACGAACTCTAATCCCACTAACGCGATCGACAGCTATAAAAGAGATTTGGAAATGAGGAATGAGATTGCTCAAATTATTATGAACTCTTATGAAACCTCGCAGCAATTTGATTATGACGTCTCAAAGGTTTCTCGTGCACTACTCTATTTCATTCTGCATGATTTCACCCCAAGATTCTTTTCTGATTACTTTTCTCCCAAGATTGCAGCACTAGAATCCAAAACACAGCAAGCAAAATTGCAACATCTGATGGATCATTATGAAAAAACAGATCCAGAGCTTGCAGTGGATTTTGTAACTATCAACAAGAATCAACTCAAGAGCTATCGAAATAAGATGGTAAAGAGGCATACTTGCAGAGTGGCTAAACAGCACACTGTTAAAGATAATTGTATTTCATTCGTGCGAAATCTTACCAAACTTATGCCCTACGTGAACTACAATCGATTGAGTTTGCAGCAAAGAGAAGCCATTCTGAGAACCTTTCTTCTCAATCATGTCAACCCAAATGATCTTCTTGCTACGAGTGACCAACTATTCATGAGTAGCTCCTTCTCTGGACTTCCATCGCTCACAACCGAAAAACCTTTCCATATTCAAGTCATGAGAAGAACATGTCGAATGCGAGACGACAACCAAGCTCTTCCTTTCTCTAGATATCTTGCAAACTTTATTGATTTAGAGGAATTTCAGAAAATGGGAGCGATGAATGCACCTCCAGAAATGCCTTTCTCTGTTTTCCACATTTATTTCGATGTTCTTTTTAATGAGAAAGTTGCTCACCATTCAATTGGTTCTGATATGCCTCATCATCCTGTCAACACAGACAAGATTGTTATTCAGAGGCATATCTTAGAGATACCAACAGAGTTTTCATTGCGATGGACTACCTATCAAACACCCAAAGAATCCAAAGATACCTCTAATACGAGCACTGTATCGAATTCGAGATCGATGTGGAATCCTTTGTGGAAATTCATCTCCCTTTTCACATTTTGCTCTTGCACTTCCGCTTGATAACACACGAATCAATGACCTGCTCAAAGTTGCAACTTGACTTTGAAATAAACAGATGAAAGGTTGCAAAGAAGTGAGGATTTTTAATCTCCCAAATCGATTTCGAAATCTTCCATTTTGAAAAAATCGCAATTTCCAAAAAAATATTCAAAATGCAGCATGACTTTTTACAGTTGTTCTTCACGCAATGTTATTGAAGTGAGAATATCTCACAACTCTAATTGTATTGTAGCTTTAAGCAGTGATTATACGTTTTTCTGTTTTGATTCGAAAACTCATGAACCCATCTGCCACGTCCTGATGGGTTAGAATTTGACATTCTTTCAAAAAATATTCTTGTGTGTGACAGTGAGAAGCATGGCATTGGCGTTTTTAAAGAAAATGGACAGTTTGTAAAGTTTTATGGAAAAGAACAAGGAGAAGGTCCAAACCAATTCAATAATCCAACAGGTTTGTGTTTGGACGAGGATACAGAATTGCTCCATTTCGCAGATTCTGGCAATCACAGAATTCAAATTTTCAAATGAAAAAGAATAAAGTTGCATTTCAGCATCAATTTGTGATGGGAACCCCTTTGAACTGTTCTTGAACTTGGCGGAAATCAACGTTGTTCCTTGGATCACACCACAATCTTTTTTTAGGCCAGGCTTTTGATTGTTGATGAGCTTTTCTTGGACAACACACGATCAATTTGGGCAAATTATCGGATAATTTTGTCCATAAAAAAAACAAAAGCAAAGCTCTTTTTGTTCCTTCCGTGTTTTATTGCATCACACGAAATTGAGGCAAAAGAATCATCCTCTCGTCAGCTTCAATAGTGCACTAGTTCTCATCAGTTTGTTTGGGGCTCTCACTCCAGATTAAGAGAATATTATTCCTTGCAAATAACAAGAACAACAACTTTCTCTTGCAATTTTTTCATATTTATCGACTGAACCCTGTCAGTGCTTCTCTTCTTCGGTTATTGAAATTTATATTTTCGGGAAGAGTCCATAGTTTCACTACTTTTGCATCCTAAATTAAATCATCATTACATTATATATATAACCATTTGCATTAAGCAAAAAGAAAGAATCACATATTGAAATTATATTCAAGCTCGTAATGAATGAGAAAGAAACGACGACCACTAACCAACACACTCACACTCCTCCTCACTCGGATTCATTCATTCCGATAAATCAACCACCACCACATGATGGTAGCATTCAGAAATACATCATCACCTCAGAAGGGACAAACCCGTTTGGTGGTTCTCTTTCATCCCGTCGTCAGGTGGAGACCTTGATGATGAAACAGGCCAATCGTTATGATTTTCATGAACCCTATGCCATTTGGGGCAGCAGTAGTGAGGATGAAGAGGAGGAAGGGACATTCAGTAGTAGTACTACCAGCAACAGCAGCAGTACTAGTACCTCCAACAACTATATTCAAACGGTTGAAGGGTGCTGTAGCTGCTTGGATGAAGGCACCCATGGCATGGATGATGAACATTCTCCAGATTTGGCATCCTCGAGCATCTCCGAGAGAGATAAGGGAAATAATGGCAGGGATCATTCACATACACCACTCTCACAACAAAATCTCAAAAGAAATAGTCCAACGACCAACCCTACAACTGGTTCAGCAACTGAAAAGAAAATTTGCCGAGCACACAAACCGTCGTCATCCATGACATTACCCAAGTCTCAATCGCTGAATTCCAAGTCGTTGTTGACATCGGGCAATGATGAAAACAGCAATAGTGTTGTTCTCTCAGAAGTGGTGATCCAACGACGAAGCAATTCCATTGATGAGACGCAACTGTTTGCATCTAACAAGTCCAAATGCAAACAACAAAAAACGAAAAGGAGAAGAAAGAGTTCAAGGAAGATACAATCATGCTCATCAATGTCATCATATTCGTCGACGTTTGTGCCTGAGATGGTCTGCTCTCCAGTCAAGTCATCTCTCTATGAGCTGCATGGCGAGTCAGAGCAAATCTCTATCAATATTCATCACATGGAAGAGGCGTTTGAATCCATACTGCAAATTGCTCCCTCAATGGCGAGCATGAGAGAAATGAAACGAGAGCTATTTCTCTCAGCCTATTCCGTCTACTTGTTTTTGTATGATCGTTTGCTGGATCCCAATCTCGATATGAGTGGAGAAAATCATGAAGCTCAAATGGAGAGATTGAACTTGGTGAGAATTACAAAACTAATGATGAGACTAGTGATGAAAAATTTTGTCAACCTGGTTGTTTCGAACGAACAAGATGAAACTAACATTGGACTGGAATTGAACATTTTCAACGAATGCTCAGCTCCAACAAACATCAAAAAACAAACTGAGGAGTTTCTGGAAAACCCTCTCGAATCGTCAAATATTATTAATTTCCAACTACTTGCCACATCATCAGATAAAACAATAAGGGAGAAAATATTGAACACAATATTTAGAAATTTAAAACAGACAGGTAGGTTATTGAATTTTTTGGTTTGACATGTGACAACTTCAACAAATTTCCTTCGTATTTCATCGTTTTCGATCAATCATTCTCCATTCAACTCATAACAAATCATCAGGTTTTGTTGCATGTCTAAGGCTAGGTCCTGATGTTGTGGGTATCGATTATTTCATTTTTGCTTTTTACCTTGTAGAACACCTCTTCTACACTAGAGACATTAATCATTTGGAATCATTCTCAGAAGAATTACTCGAATGTATTCGACTTTTTGAGATTATGACAAACAAGAATTCTATCTCGCTTCCAAATTACCATCAAGAAGGTATTCGGACGGAGGAAGGATTGCATGCTAAGGATTTTTTTGGAAATTCCAATGATAATATTATTTTAACATTCAAGGATTGGGAGACAGGCGTGGAGCTTTCTCTCAATGCTTGCATGACACTTGTACAGTCAATGTTGCTCTATTTGTTTGATCAGGATCGAAGACATGAAGCATTTTTGTTAGCTCTTCATGCTGTCGACATGGATCCTAACAATATTTATGCTCTTCTCTTTTTGTATTATTACATGACAGAAGATGGATTTACGGGCAACAGCACACCATCTTCACCACCAACTTCTCCCAAGATGCATGTTTCTCAGCAGCCATCGTACATGAAAGGTATTGACATAATCGAACGTATTGAAATGATTATTAAGGAACATGGCCAGTTGTCTTGCGAACATCCACACTTTTTCCCATTATTGGAAGTCAAAGAACATGCACGATTGTTATGGAATAAAAAGTCGAGTGGATGTTAGTTGCGTGTGAAAGACTTCTCCTCATATTATTTGATACTGAGATACTGAACCACTTGTTCAATTCTTTCTCATAAAAAGGCATCGATACGAAAGCATTTAATTTTGGGCCACGTTACAACAATCGCTGCAATGCCTTTGTGATTAATTCTCGATACAAACCCTCAGGATCAATTCTTTCGTGGCAATCTCCATAAGGCTGCGTGTGTGCTTGAGCCTTCACTTTAAATCCTTCCTCCTCATCAGAATTTCCTTTCACACACTCCAACAAATGAGCATAATGCACCAGTGAAATAATTTTCACATTAGTCGCCAAGGTTTCATGAATTTTCAAGTTGTAATCCGAACATGTCAAAGAGTTTCTGAAACACATGGGTACGTACAACATCACTGCATTTGGTTTCGTCATGAACAGTGACATGTACGAAGCAGCTCCCTGAGACGACACATAAACATCCAAATCACCAAAGAATTCTACCTGTTCCTCAAAAGTCATCTTCTCCAATTTCAAATTAACAATTTCAACGCGTTCATATTTTGGTTCCTTTTCAGATCGAGCTTGATTCGCAAGTTCCAACATTTCACTCTCAGAAATATTTGTCGTTAAGTAACGGACAATCTTATCGACATTAATAATTGCGTCTCGATTGATCGAATTCAAAGGTTTGTTCTGAATGGCAATTCTAAAAGTTTTTGAGAATGGTCGTGAATTCTCGAGCTCTTTCATTTGTCTCAACAAAAACTTTCTAAAAAGTGCCACCACCGACTCACGTCCTTCAATAAAGCCATACATGGTTCCAGTCGATCCTACCACCAAGCTCGAAAAACAAGTATCCACCTCACCAGCTTTTTCATTCTCTGGATTTCGAATATGAGCAACTTGACAAGGAGCTTTTTTAATAAATGCTCCTTCTTCAGCATTCAAACATTGTTGTAAAGTTTCGAGATTGGTCATTCTTTGAGCCCATTCGATCGAAGTGTTTGTTGCAATGTCACCATGCAATTGAATCAATTCTGGCGTTCGAGTGTCTCCTGCAAAATTTGGATACATGTCATCCATGAATAAAATGTGACTGTCAGGACTCACATAATCGAAATTAAGCATTGAATTAAAAACGAGTGCAAAATTATCTAAAATTGCATGTCCCACATTGGCAGTGGCATGTCTCGAAGTTCCAAACGTTGGTTTTTCAATCCATTTAAAATTTTTTGACAAGATCATGATTGAATCTGTTGCATGATTTGTGTCAAATATTCCATTAACTCCTCGAAATAATAAATCACGAGGAGGATCCAATACTTTGACACGAACTCGATGAATGTCACCTGTCAAGAAAGTATACGGATAGGTCTGTACCCAAACTTGTCCACTTTTATCTTTGGCTTGTTGTGACTTGGAATATAAAATCCATTCTCCTCTTCGATTGAAACAAATATTTTCAAAAAGACATGTTGTGAAAAGTGGTGAATTTTGTCTTCGTTCCAAATCGAGTCGATATCGAATGCATCGATGTGTTGAGGAAAAGAGAACGTCTCGATTTTGGTGATAAAAACCTTCTTGATATTTCTTCTTGTTGTGAACGTTTGGTGATTGTTGTTTCTCTTCAAAATTATTTGTCTCAAAATGTTGTTGTGGTTGTTGTTCATCCTTATCATCATCATGATTGATTTGAAAGGAAAGATCCACAGCGGTCTTGACAAATATTTGAAATATCTTTGGAACAGAAGGAGGTTGATATTCATTCAAATAAGGAAATCCTTTGAAAGCAGGAAAAGAATTCGTCGATGAAATATTGTCATGATGATGATGATGTGCGAGATGATTCGTCATCACGGACGAGGAGGAGAGCAACATTTGCGATCGATTTCGAATTTGGCCAAGAAGTAAAACATTCAAACTCACCACACAGACCGCAACCACTGAAATCAACAAGAAACATTTCATGAATCGAATCGAAGAAGACTTTGTCTTTTCTTTCAATGAAAGGATTATTTCATGAATGAATGAAAAAGTCGTTGTTGACGTCGAGGAGGAGGAGGTTGTCATTGTCGGGATGTTGTTGTTGTTGGATGTGAAGGAACATGTGCATAATAAACGAAGGAGATGGTTGAAAAATTGAGAAAGGGAATGAAACATGGATTGTAGGAGAAGGAAGGCGGAGGAAGGGTGATGGTGGTTGTATATTGCTCGAAAATGCTGGTGATGACTGTGAGAGGTGTTTGGTGGCAGAATTGGGTTTGTATTAGTATTGGGAAGGAGGAGAGGTGTGTTTGAATGTTCGTTTTTAAAAAGATGAAGAGAGCAGATCGCCTGCAAAAATGGTCGAGCTGTCATCCATCTAAATATTAATAAATAAAGAAAGAAACAATTGTTGGGTTGTCTCTTATTTACTTTCATTCTCGATAAACAAATTCCCTCGTTCGAGTTGTAATCGTTCAATGGCATCGAAGAGTGCTTTGATGTTTCCCTTGCCGAATCCACTGTTTCCTCTTCGTGAAATTATTTCGAAATAGAAGGTTGGTCTGTCTTCGATGGGTTTTGTAAAAGTTTGTAAGAGATATCTGAAATTATTGTTGTTCGAAGAAGTGTTTTCTGCAGTGTCTTCCAAATCTTGATCTTTCGGGAAGACAATTCCATCCACAAGAATTCTATTCTCTTCCAGAAGAGCCCAATCTTCAGCAACCATGTTATACAACTCTGTCTTCTTTTCTCTCCAAGTCTTGTAATAAGTGGAAGGAACAGAGATGTACTCAATTCCAACCTTTCTTGATTTTGACACTGCATTGATAATGTCTTCTGTGTGAACTGCCAAATGTGCCACACCAGGTCCATCATGATAATCCAAAAACTCTTGAATTTGACTCTTTGAATGTTTGGTATTCACTGGTTCGATTAACACAAATTTAATCATTTTCTTCATCACCTTTGATGCAATGAGTTCTCTTCGTTCATGTAACTCTTTCTCACTAATAATGGAATTTCTGTCTCCATCTTCTCCAAGTCCATGAAGTTCTATATGTCTATTAAGGGAAGAAAGTAATGAGGGTGCCACAACCATGGTGGTTAAGCCTCCCAAATCTTTCTCTGAACTCTCAATTTGAATTCCTTTCTGCTGATCCTCGTCATCATTATTGTAAAATCTTTCAAATCCTAAAGCTTGTGAATACCATCCAATCAATTCCACTAACGTTCCCTTAGGAATGGCAATTGCAAAATGATCCAAATATTCCAAATAGTTGCCAATACTTGCAGTGTTTCGTTTGGGATGTGTTTGAGAAACGTTCTTAAAGGAAGGTAAAAAGACAACTTGACGATTCGAATGACCATTTCCATTATTACATTCATGTTTCTGAGAGAATGGTGATGCTTTTTGATGATCTCTATTGATGAGAGTATGAATCCAAGCCTTCTCTCCGAACTGAGTCGCAACACAAGCCAGTTCTATATAATCTGTTGTATCATCCATGGAAGGACTGCAATAAATTCGTGTAGGAGGAGAGAGCGGAATGGTTTTTGGATGTTGGCAAGCTTGTTCATAGGCTTTCTGAACATTGCTCACTAATAAGGCTAAATCATGAGCATGATTACTTCCATGAGATTGGATGGATTCATAGAATTTGTAAATTGGATCGTTTTGTAAATCAATTGCTGTTTGTGGAGGAGTGATTGGATGGTGATGATGATTCGAGTTGTTGCTGATAGGATGATGATGGCAATTACTCAAATTTGTATATAAATAGGGATGTAATTGGGTGTTCAATTCCAATCTACAGGGAGCCTTATGAAGAGCCGATGTAAAGGCTAGAATAATTTCATTCTGTCGTACGACATGAGTACAAAAGTCTTTGTTTCCAGTTTCAAGACCTTCATAGGCCATCGGAGTGAATCCGAGATGAGAGCAATAATAGGCCGAGGATTGAAGGGCATTGTCTACATGGAAACGAACGTGGTCCACTCCAATCACATAACTGTGGTGATGATGATTCGTTAAATTTCCGTTGTTCATAATATATTGATGTTTGTTTGGAGCTCGGCAATGTTGTTATGGATGAAGAAAAGCACAGCTGCTTTAATTTGTTTTTGCTCTTTAGTACACTAAACACTCGCGGAGAATATCAAATTTAATGAATGCTCCTCGAGTTTAGTGTTAGGAAGCTCTAATCAACACTACTACGACTCAAAAGTATGAATGAAATACAGGTACTTGTCTCTTCTAGTGTTACCACGCTCACAATTTTGATTGAACGTATGAAATTCAAGCTTGAAAATGTCTTTCGGATTGCGCTCAATTTTTTTCTTATGTTGTGACTAAAATTTGTCACGACTTCTACTTTTTGATATACCCCGAACGGGTCGTTTATTATTGAGTGATCGATGATGTGAGACTCTAATAGACTCTGAGACTCTCATGACTCAGTCAAAGTATTCATCTGCAGGTTTTTCTTCTTCAATGAGTGGCTTGGTGGTTTCTTTTCCTGCCTTAAGATGAGTAAGGTTCTTGAAGAAGGAATCTTTGATGGTATCTTTGATTCCGGTCAAACCTCCCGGGCTTAAACTGAATCGACTTGTTTTCTTGTTGTGCTCGGCAGTTTCTTGATCATGAGTGCCATTGTTGGATGGAGGTGGAGTGCTTGTGGTTGAAGAAGTGTTTGAAGCTGTGGTCGTACTGGAAACTCTATCAACACTCGTACGTGACGAGAGGTTCTTTTTCAAAATTTCAATAAATTCGAATTTTCTCTTCTTGTTTTGTTGACACACCATACTCAATTCAAACAACATGCACAAGTTTTGTAAAATTAATTGCTTCTCTGAAGAGCTGGTGGAGGTCTTGGCAAGTTGCTCATACGTGAATAATGGTTTAACGTTCAGCACGGTACAAAACTTCATATATTGTGCTACATTTTCAGATTCAATTTGCTTATTCACTGGTAACTTGAAAACACAAACTGGAGTGTTGTTGTTCGATGGGCTGGAATATTCTGGGAAGATGTAGTTGTTCACTATTTTACAAAACAACACACCATCCTTCAAATTATCATATAATGTCCAAGTGGTATCGTATTCTTCTTTACAAATATTTGATATCCATTTGCCAATAGCCTTCTCAGTGTAGTAATACAAATCTTTTGGATCTAAATCGCCAGGAATAGCTTGTTGAGCTCTTCTGAATAAAGCCATTACTGACTTGCCTTTCATGGTTTCCATGAGCTCAGAATAGTAAGGCTTTTCCTCAATTTTGAAACCTTCTTGTTTCATTCTGAGAAGGAATTGGATGGCTGGAGAGAGAGCAACAGGAGGTGTTGAAGTCGTTGCGGTAGAATTAGGTGTGGATGGAGTGTTTACATTTGGAGTGACAGGAGTGGAGATTTGTTTTGGAGGGGTCTCTGGAACATCATGGGTTGATGAAGTGTTTTTAGAAATTGGAGTTCCAATAGGGTTGAAAATATGCACGGAAGGTACTTCAGGAGTGGCAATGTTGGGTTTTGTTGTAGTGCCATTTGTTGTTGTTACGGGTTGCTTGTTGAGTTCTGATTGCATATTGCGCTTATCTTTAACGAGTTTTGTAACCTTTTCTTGGTACAACTTCTGCACCTTTGCGAGAGTCATTGATAATTCTTTGATTTTGTCGTCATATGCTTGAATCTTATTGTTGACTGTTGAATGAAGAGTTACCTCATGAGCATGATTGTTGTTGCTACTTGTGAGCAGCGACATTGCCTTCTTAACGTCGTTTTCGAGTTTACTCTTCTCGTTACTGAGCTTTACCTTTTCTTCACGTTCTTTGTCTAACAAGGACTTCAATCTTGTGACATTTCTTGATACTTCTTCGAGCTTTTCTTTCAATGAGTTTTCCTCCTTTTTGATCTTGCTTTCTTCTTTTGTAGCCATACTCTCTTTCTCAGTGTTGAGCTTGGAAATTTCCATATTCAACTTATTAATGGTGTCTTCCCGTTGGAGATCTTTTTCTTTTAGAGTCATTATTTCTGATCTGAGCTGTGAGATAATGTCATTAAGAGAGTCAACTTCCTTTTTATGTTCCTCTGCAAGTCTCTTATATTCTGTCTCCTTGTTGGTGATGGTATTTCTTAGATCGTTAATGATCTTATTTAAACCTTCAATATACGATGTGGCTTCCTCTTCTTTTTCGTGAAGACCTTCTTCCTTTTTGCTCAGAATATTTCTCATGTGATCGAGAGTGCTATTGAGCTCTGCAATTTCTTGAGATTTTTCTTGCTCTTTTCGAGACAGCTCCATTTCCTTCTTGGAAAGATTCTTCTTTAACTCTTCAATTTGGGAATACAGTGTATCCGTTTGTGACTCGAAGGAAACACGTTGACGTGACATTTCCATCTCTTTCTGTGACAAACCTTGAGTTAAGGAGTTAATGGAGAGTTGAAGTTCCTCTACTTTTTGGTGATGATCCTCACTAGCCTTTTGAATCTCTTGTTCTCTTTTCAGTATGGTATTTTGCAATTCTGATATAGTGTGCTCTAGATTTTCTTTCATAAAGTCGCTCTGCTCCTTTTGTAATTTAAGATTGTGTTCCTGTTCTGAGATACGACTATTCAATGCCTCTGTTGTTTGTTTCATATCGAGTAGGATTTGTTCCTTCTCTCTCTCCAATTCTTCAATATTCTTTTGTTTTTGAGAAATGTTGGATTGAAGAAGAGAAATTTCCTGTTCTTTAGCCTCTTGGAGAGTTTGCTTCGATTTTTCGAGACTTTCGAGCTGTGACTTTAAGTTGGAGACGTCTGTACTGAGAGATGATACTTCTTGTCTTAGAGAGTTTTCCAGAGCACGGAATTCACTTTCTTCCTTCTGTATTTGGCTTTCTTTTTGGAGCAGTGTCTCTCTGAGTTCTGATAGCGAGTTTTCTGATCGTTGAAGCTCAGATTCCTTATTTGTGAGAGTCTTTTGAATGGAGTTAAGTTGTTCTTGACTTTCTCGTAATTGTTTTGTGAGTGAAGCTACTGTTTGTTCCGTTGTTTCTAATTTACTCTTGGTTTGTGTGGATTCGTTTCTCAATCTAGATGCTTCAGACTGTGACATGGAGAGTTGGGAATTAATGCTAGAAATTTCTTCATTCTTTCCTTCTAACTGTTGAGTGACATTGTGTAAATCTTGGAGAGTAGAGTTATATGTTGACTGAAGAGAGGCATGTTCTTGTTGTGCTAGACTTAATTGGTGTTCCGTGTCAGAAATTTGCTTCATCAAATTTTCTTTTTCAGTGACAAAGGATAATTTCATTTCTCCCAGTTCTGCGTGAAGTGCGGCAGTTTGATGTTCCAATGTCTCAATTTCATGTTTGCTTGTTGTGATGGTTTCTTGAAGCTTTTCTTGTAGGGAGTGTATCTCAGAAATAAGTGACTCAATTTTCTTTTCCTTCTCAGAAATCTGTCTCTTTAGCTCTTCAATCGATTGCTCCAAGTCTTTCTTTACAATTGAATGTTGTTTGGTTTCAATGTCCATTCTAGATCTTAAATTCTCAATATCTCCATCTTTTTGTTTTATGAGCAATGCAAAATTTTGTTCCATAGTTTTGCCATCCTTAATAAGATTCTCAATTTTGTTGGTTAATTCTGTTTTCATTTGCTCCTGCTCGCGTTGTTGTGTTTGCAATTTTTGTTGCAAGACTCTGTACCTAGTTTGCAATTCCTCTTGATAGCTTTGTAGCGACTGTTTTTGTTTGACAAGTTCCAGATGGTCATTTCTTGCTTGTTTTTCGGTGCGTTGAAGTTGTCGTTTCGTTAAAACACTTTCCGTTTCGGAATTTTGAGATTGATTCTTGAGTGCGTGATAGGCATTCAAATGAAGTAAGAAATCCATGATGATGATGAGGTGTTGTTGGTTCGAAGAGGAAATGTGAGGTTCTTTGTTTTTAGGAGATGTTGTATTAACAATAAATTATTTTTGTCTTGGTGTGTATCAGGAATAAATATAGAAATAATAAGTTGAAAGGCTCTATAACCTCATCACTCAATAGCAATTCGTAATGATGATGATAACGATTGAATCAAAAAATCTCTCCTATACTACAGTAGGGCTAGATGTAATAATAACAATATGAGAGCTCGCTACTTTTGTTACCAGTATTACCATTCGGAGAATGAGAACAAGATGATAAAACAATCAAAATCAATATCATATTACAACGAATCAACCAAACACGATCATCGTCCACGAAGAAGAAGAAATGATTGAATCTCACGATTCTCACGTGCTGCTGAGACAAGTAGTTGATGACTTACCGTTCAAATTCGTTTGCTCAACGACGACGTCGTTGTGTAACGGTAAATTTTTGTTGTTGTTGCTTCTTGGGTTCCAATCAACCGCCGTTATTTCCTTTCGCAAGTTTTTTGGAGTTGAAATGGAATTTGGAAAACACACCAAAAACGAACAAATTCAATTTTTCACAAAATCACTTCATTATCCAAAATATAAATATGGTTGTGAAATGAGAGAGCCTTACAAATAAACAATACAGTCTGAAGCAAATTATGAGTTTTTCCATCTGGTGCAATCCAGTGTTGTTTATATTTATTCAAAGACGATCTGTGACGAAACCTTCGCTCCACAAAAAGAAGCATCGGTCAAGTATTTGATTTCTTTAGAAGTGATTGGAACGATGGTTGATTCCGCAATGGTTGGCTCCTTAATGAAACGCAAATTCTCAAAAACCATTTCATAGAAAGTAGAGGTGTGATAAGGTGACAGTTTGAACACTAATCTAGTGATATGAGCTTCGAGTTTGGAGGTTGTGGAAAGCTCTGCAAGTGGAACTCGAACTCTTGAAAAAACAGTATCGTCAATGACATAATGATCAATAGGCTTGGATTGAATTGTCAAACATAGCAAGACAAGCCAATAGACCCAGTTGCAGGATGGATTTGGCAATCCGGAATTGAAAAAAAATAAAATGTTTGGGACGCTACCATCTTGCAAGAACAATCGAAACAAAACAAATATAAACTGTTACCCTGATCAACCATCATCAGCACTTCTTGATCAGCATCATTCACAACCTCATCTACTTACCATCAACTTCATTGCTTCAACACCGATCACTGATCGCATCATCATTAACAGCAACAACACTCTCCAGCACAATGCCAAAAGAGCAATCAAAGAAGATCACACCTTCCCAACCTTCAAAGATATCAAGTACACCAAAAAGGCAGCGTCGTCGTTACAAATATCATCCATTGGAGGCCTTTGTTAAAGTGGATAAGATACCAATCACCATGCATCCAAGCCCTCTCAATTTAATCCATTTTACTCACAACTCCCATCGGAAACAAGCTGCTCATATGGAACTCAAGCTTTTCAACTTTTTGTGGGACATGAATTCTCCTTGCAACGGCCCAGCACGGACTCGATTGCCAATCGGTGAGTGTAAAGAATCCGTTTTTGATATGTATATGTGTAAGACTATGGGGCCCGAGAAGTATGTTCGTGCGGAGCAATATTCTCCTTGGATCAACCGAGAAGGTGACATTGAACGGACTCGTCACATCATTTACGAATTCAATTATCCAAACTTTCCTTCTTTCGGGGATGGGACTTGGGCAAAGAATTATATGAATGTCGACCAAAAGCATATAATTGACAGCCTTAGAAAGAGATTCAACAGGCCCATTCGCTCAGAACTTGAAACTGTTCAATATCGTTACATTGCATCCAAGTTGATCATTTCCTACGACACCTCATTCGAATTATATTATGCACATCTCAGTCATTGGGTACAGTCAAAGAATGGAGATTGTTGGATTGAAAGTTTTTGATTTCATTCATCATTGCTAGGACATCCTTTCCATTTCTTTTGTGACATTGTTGCAGTTACTCTTTCAGCGAAGGCATTGATGTCTGTATCTTTGGAAGTTTGCTTCTTCCTGTTCTCCTTGTCATTTTCTTGGATCTTTTGAATCATCATGTTCAAATTATCACGATCCGTAATTATGGTTGGGTCCACTAAAGAAGCATCATATTATTGATACAATTTCTTTTATGGTTTGACATGATTTGCATTCCAAGAATAAAGCTTTTTTAAACGTTTTTCATGCCAATATGTTTCTCCTATTTTTTCCTTCAAGTCAATTGCGACTAATACCTTTCGCCATTGCCACAATAGCAATTGTTTGGTTGGGTGTATTTGAATACGACCTCTTTCATTGTTAATAATTCGATTAAACACTGCATGGTGAAATAAATGAGACCGTTCGAATCCCTGGTTACTCAAAATCGAGAGTGATAATTTTTCTTTGAAAAGAGAGCTCATTATTGAGGGTACATGAATTATAAAATGGAAATAATGAGCTTTAATTCCTTGAGTCCATATTGAAAAACACGCAACTAAGAATTGCATTATCAGTTTATCCAATTCCGCAATCTTATTTGCTGTCAATACATTGTCATTATTTTCGTTATCTTGATGCATTTCAATAATAATGATAATATTTCGCAACAATTTCAGAATTTGTAAATATTTTTGTTTGGTGCTTGGTTCAATATTATCAATAACTTTCTCAATATTTTGTAAAATAGTGTTATAATGATCTCCCGACAGCATACATGACTTGGTTGATGATCGTGCTGAGGTTTGAGAAATTCCATAATTCGATACTCGTTCGTGGAACTCTTTCCAATTAAATGTTTCCAATCCATGTAATGTTTGTATATTTTTCTGAATCTCATATTTGTAAGTTGTTGATGCCATATAACCAATAACATTTTCTACTAGCCTCTGTTTGATATGAAAAGCACATAGTATTGTTTGTGAAGGAGAAAAAGGTAACTGGCCATCAAGAGAGTCGCGTGGAGTTGATGCAAAATCTACAATAGTTTGAGCCATACAATAGGGACATAAATCAAATGAGAACGTTATGCCTACATTATGCATGTCTGAAACATAAAAAAGGCAAACTTGATGCTTCCCAAAATATTGTTTTTGCAAAACACGCTCAATCTCATCGTGAAGCGTTCCAATTGTTTCTTTGATACTTTTTTTTGTTTCCTTCATCTGAAATAACCCAATATAAAACACAGAATAAACAGCCTGCGATGGAAACACATCTCTTAAATTGAGTGGAACCAATGCAATTGCAACTTGTTTAACTCCATTAATTTCTCTATCATCTACCCCAATTTTAAAAAATATTTTCTTGGGTAATTTTTTCCCTAATGACATACATAGCTTCAGAATATAAAATATGGCTTGATCTAAGTCTATAATATATCCAATGTAGTTTGAACTTGGACATCGTAATTTGAAAGTTTTCTCAACTTGTTCATTTAGTGATTGTTTCGATGTTGTCATCTCTTTCCTTGTCGGGAGTAATGTCATTAAATTGACTTCTTTTCGTAAGTTATGATATGTAACATCAGAAATCAAGTTATTATCTTGCCAATATTGCACAATAGTTACATCTTTCTTTTCAATTAGATATTCTTTCAGTTTTTGATAACGATGGCTGTATCTAATATTTTGCTCTAATTCTTGGATTACTGTTTTAATACCTTCATCAGTTTGAAGATAACATTCAAGCCATGCATGTACATCATGTCCTAAAGTACCTAACATTTTCTCAAATATAGACACTATTTCTTTTGCTCGATCTTTCGCTCCACGGTTGTAATTGTCTTGATTTGATTGAATATCAGGGTATTTGTGAGGACATGCTTGGACTTTTTGATGTTTACAACAAGCACATTCCCAATATTTCAATTCTACTTGTTGATCATTATCAGATTGTGCTTGAGAACGGTTGAATGAGTCACATGTATTGGATTGTAAAGCGGTATCAGTTGTATAACAATTTTCCCATTGTTCAATATTATATTGTTGAGTAAATTGGTTGTGTTGGGAATTGTTGAGGCTGTGATTGCTGTTGAGGCTTGAAATAGTTCCAAAGTGCAAATTGGGACAAATATGTCTCACAAGTCTGGTCTGCCAAAATGAATGGTTCGACATACTTAAGCCCAGAATATTGTATACAATTTTGAGAAGCGTTCCATTGATCGTTCCACTGTTGAGAAAGGTTAGGATCAGTGTTTGCTTTTTCCATACTATCTACTGTTTGAGAGTAATCTTGAGAGGTTATATTAAGTTCATGTTGCTGACTTGCATCATTAATTATATCAGAAGCTTCTACTATAATATTATTTTCATGAATATCATCATCATTTTCATTAGAGTTCTCGTCAACAAAATAGGATGCAGCATCAGCAACCAATTGATTGAAAGCTTCATCTTGGTCCTCGACTTGAGGCTGGTTGAAAATTTCTTCCATTGAATTATCAAATAATTCATCGTCATCCATACGTGTATCATAGTGATCACTGTTGTGATTGGGATGCGTTTGGAACAGGTGTTGAATTAATAAATCATGATGATCTTTCTTCGACAACTTTAACAGAGTTCCAATAACGGCTGCCAAGCTTAACAAAATTGCGGACTTTTTTACCTTTGGAAACCCAAGCTCTTGCTGTTGGCAATTATTGATCGTGATGTGTTTGCCATAGCTTCTTTCGATAATATTGCAGATTTTTTGATTTTTCTCCTTTTTAAAGAACGATCCAACAATTTCATCGGCAGAATAATATTGATCGCCTTCGTATTGATAGGTATGTAAAGAATGAAGTGCAGGAAGGTGTTCTTGAATCTCTAAAGTTTTACCCATCGCGATGAATTTTAATAATTTTTAATATATAAATGATGAACTCTACACGAATTCTAGGAAGCCAATTTTTGTAATATTGTCAACAACATGGCTGTAATATAACAATTCCGAAGTGTGATTCAAAAAGGAAATTACATGACGTGTTTTCGTTTTAGTTGAAGCATAAACTACAGTTTGATCAGGTGGTTAACATTACCCATTTTTTTGTCGAGTATGAAATCTTAATACTCGAATCCCAAAAGTTTGTTTCGCTGGCAGTTTTGCTATGGCAGGTAAATCGACGAGCACATTGTTCACAGTTTCAGACAGATACAACACCAATTTGACAGCCCCTGTCAATGACTTTACAATAAATTCCAAATACTTGTACTGTGTAAAATCCACTCTTGCAGCATTCTTATCCACTCGATTCATATAGAGATAGCCACGTTGGAATCCTACTCTCAACGAGGAAGTTCCACAATCTTCAGGAACCACATACGAAGTGTTCAAATAGGCCTTTGCTGAATCTTGTGGATGTTGGTAGACTCCGTAGGTCCACATGGATTTAGTTTTCTCAAAATCTGTGTAGATATCCATGGTTGAACTCGACACAGCACATCTATCGACTTTTGCAATTGGCTTTGGAAGAGAGCATCCATTCGCTTTTCCAAGATTGCACAACACTTGGGCTCTCAAATGCCCATCTGGGTTTGGAAGAGAGGAAACCTTGACAAACATTTCTCCTCTCAGAACGCTCAAATAATCGTTGTAGCTCAAATCGACAATGAATCGAACGACTGAGTGAGGAGAGATGTAGTAAGGTACTTTAAGGAATCGCTTTTCCTGACCTTCTTTGTCAAATCCAATCTCAATTTTTAAGGCAGTTCCCACCAAGTCGTGATGTACTGTGAAATCCATTTGTAATCGATCAGGTGATGTGAAGGCAAAGACAGCTCCACTTCCTTGTTTTGGAACAAATTTAACAGGAGAAATTGAGGATTGTTGACAGCTCTGAAGAATTCCTGCGTACCGCTCCTCCATATTGTAAAGCTTTTGGAAGAGATGTGAATTTGGTGAATGTTCGAATGAGGAGGGAGAACACTTGTCATTTGGACAGGAAGCATCAATCGTCACTTGAGAAAAATCAGAAATCGGATCTATTCATCACTGAAACCAAAGTTAGGTCGATATTAGGGTCAGCTATGAATTGGCATGTTAATAAAATCGTCAAAATATGCCATCAATAATTAATAATCCTCAAACCTACCTGTAAAATTCCAATTTTCTGTGTAATAGGATCCATAATTAGGTCGATTCTGCATCTTTATGAACAAGTGTTCTGACTCCTCATCAAAGAAGTACTGCATTGAATCATTCATGACATCTTCCATAGAGTTTCCTGGGTCTAATATAACCTCCAAATCTTGATTTGGTAATTGAGAAAATTGTTCCTTTTGGATATTGCAATGAAATGACCAACCAATCGTTCACAGCGGTTGACTGAAAGGCCACACGTAATAAATATTGAACAACAATGTTCAATTTTATCATTCGAACAAGAACAAAATACCTCAACACAAAGATGGCTCCGCACAAACTATTCCGCCGTTGCATGAACAATTTTTTGCGGATCATGGTTTTAGTGTTGGCCGCCGTGATGATGATCATGAGAGGAAAAACAACACTTGCAACATCATCATGTTTGTGGTCGTCAAAGGAACTGCCGAAGAATGATCCTTTATTGTCATCAAAATATAATTTATTAACTCTAAATTATTTTCAAATTTCAATGATCAACTCACAAGAACGTTCAATTTTGGTGCATGAGAAAATGATTTTATTAGAAAACAACAACTCATCGATGAATGGAACAAGTGATTCTTTTTTGGATGAATGGATGTGGCCAATGATTCAGTCTCTCTATTTCAATTCATTCATGAGTGGCTTATTTGCTGGAATTGTTGCAATTTTAGTGACGGTCATTATTGAAAAATTGGGACCTCAAATTGGTGGAGTGATTGGAACCTTACCAACCACCATTGTCCCAGCAGCTATTGGATTCATTATTGAAGCAAATAAGAGAAATTTAAAATGGGAGGAGAAGAAGCATGTGTTAATTCAACAATTTTTTGTCATTCCATTGGCACTGTTTTGTAATTGCTTATTCTTACTGGTGTGGAAAGTATTTCCTGACATGTTTGAGAAAATCAAATCAAGACTCTGGAAACGTCACAATATCTCGCAAAATGATTCGATGATTGAGGAAAAGAAAGAAAATCCTTCGAGAGAAGACGACTCGTCTGCGATTATGAATGAATCTTCAGTACGAGATGAAACCAGTCTTGAATCGACTTCTGTCGATAAAGAATCTCCTTATTCCTCCCTCTCAACAATGAAAGGAGTTGAAGAAGAATTATCTCGTGAGTCAACCAAAGAAAATTTATTATCACCCTCAATGGATCCAAGTCATGAAAATTCGCATCACGATTCTGTTGTTGAAAATAGTATGCCAGAAACGACAAATGCAACATCAGGAATGCAAAGTAGAAGATATATTATTTTGAAAATGTGTCTGGTGATATTTCTGTCCTTATTTGTTTGGTTTGTTCTTGCATCCATATTTGTCATCATTACTCGAACAGTCGCATTGTCAGATGAGGTATTAATAGGATTAGGTTGTGCGTTTTACATTCTCTTGCTGATTGTTAGCACTCCATGTAATTGGACGATCACCATTCCAAAAAACCCCACGCCTGCCAAAAAAAGCTGCATGGTGGATGATTCTTTCGAGGGGAATATTTACATTTATCATTATTGCAATTTCAGTCATTTTGAGTGGATTGAAGTTTAGTATTATTTCTGGGCTATTGACAGCATTTCCTGCGATTTTTCTAACTGCTATGGTGACACTATGGCTAACACAGGTATGTTGATGATCTTTTTCGGTGGAATGTTAAAAATTTGAAATCATTCTACAAGGGAGAGCAAGCGAGTGTAAGGGCTGCTCCTGCCATGATGTTAGGATCTTCTAGTATTCCACTATTTGCTATTTCAGTATGTGTAGCAAGTCTCTACATGAACATGTTTGTAGCAATAGTTGTTGCTTATTTATCTAGTGTGATATTTGGAAGTATTCCTGCCTATGCATTTTTGTGGTGGAGAAAGAGAGTTGCTGCTGCGAAATTACAACATGATTCCTTGATGCATCAAGTGTAAGAACATGTGGATTGTGTAAATTAAAAAGTTGAATTTGTGAAATCATTGAGAATGAGAATTTTGTAGATGTGATTCAACTAATCGCAGTGTGCTTGCCTGTTGGATGAGTCAATTATCTTTTTGAAAGAGCACTCAAGTAAAATTGATAATCAGAAACACGTTCAAGAAGCACACCATTTGCATGACCATTGTATTCACGATGAATCTCAGCCATCAACTTGCCATCTTCATTCATCCAAACTCTTTCAATATCTTGAAGCATGATATAATAAATATTATAACAATCGAACATGCTTTCAACAATGACAATTCTGTGATTGGTCACAAAATAATGCATTCCAAAGCACTTGAATTTGTAACGGTAGTACAGCATTGAAATGGCAACAGTCAACCCGGAAAATCCTATCACAAAACTAAACGACTTCAAAAAGAGAAACAATCCAAGAAAAAAAAATACACAAAAGCACAACAAGGAAATGACATGAAGAAAGGCGATTGGAAATAAGAAACGATCCTTGATTGAGTCTCTTGCAGTTTTGACGAAACTGTTCACCACTCGTTCATAGGACATGAGCTTTTCCTCATCTTTTGCATTGGAAAGGAAAACATCTGTCAAATGAGGTCCCAAAGCATGTGAAGGCACGCAACATTTGATCAATGAGCTTCTATTACCCACTGTGTCTCCATTTCTCTGTTCAGATGAAAATAATGTTTCTTCTTCCTCATCTTTCCTTAAGGTCTCAAAAGATTCATTGGTGGAAACTCTCAAAGAAGGATCAAATGTTTTCCACATATAGAAATCATCACTATTCGTTTGACTTGCTTTAAACCCACAACAACCAGCAACAACATATGTAGTTCTTCCTGAAACTCTCACAATGTAAAAGACGCAATAAGCAGTGGTGACAAACAACGCAATAATTGGCACAGCAACGAAAGACAATCTTCGACCCAAGTCCCTTAGTTTCAGAACATCCTCCTTCAGTAAAACTTGCAGATCTTGGTTCATGACCAATGGTTTCTTGACATTACTCTTCAACTGTTGATATTGTATGAGGTTGCTCAAATACACTTCGAATGAAGGTAATCCAAGAACAACTTTGATCTGATCGACGACATTTCTATTCCAACATTCCAAGGCATCTTTTTCAGAATGATATGACAAACAAAAGTCATTCCAAATCACATACGGAAAATCCACATTTGGAGGTAAAGAGATATAACCATGTCTGTAACGATCGTAGTATGTGTCAGTTTTCATAAGACTCGCCTTACTAATGTTGAAATAGTATTGAGTGAGAGAAGAACCTTCTTTTTGTTGGATGGTTCTGTTCTGTAAGGAAAAACAATTTATCATGAGGGAGGAGGAATTCTGATTGCAATTCTCCAGAAGAACGAGTTGGCGACTCTCATAAATTCCAAAACCTGAGAACAAATCTACCCAAGCCCCAGCAAGAAAAACAAAGAGTGAAATAAGGAAAAAAAGAAAATAATAGTTACAACATTGAACGTAAGGCTTAATCACTGTTCGGAAATGAATGAGTCCTTTCTTTGGAGAAGTAGCAGCTCTTGTACAAAAGGATGATGATGATGATGAACAAGTGGTTTTGGATTTGATGAGAAGCCTTTCATTTTCATTGAGGAAAAAGTATGGAAAGGTATGAATCCAATCGGAGAGAAGATGAGAGAGTTTCATGGCTATCCATGTAAAGGTATAAAACCAACAAAAGAGAAATCGCGAGAGTTTCATTGTGATTCTTCCGGAAAGGGAGTATTGTTGTTTTGTTGTTGATTTTTTTCAAGCTGGAATGTAAGGACTTGAAGACTCCAATGATCAGTTACCGATGAACAAACACTTAAGAAATAAAGGAATAATGAATGGAATGAACGCCCATCATGGAGATTGAGGTTTCAACCACCAATTACGGCTGTTTTTATCAATTCCTTCCGATCATTCTCTTGGAAAGCTTTAGGGATATATCACCTTAAAAAAGCAAACCTTAAAAAAGAGCATGTGTCTTTGAACCGATCCTTAGAAGGATTTATTGTATTCAATATAGAGGTAGAACTTTTGCAGGAGATACTTGTTGATTGAATAATCCAAACACGAAAAACTGATCGACATTAAAACTATCCTCAAAAACAACCATCTAAACAACAACAAACATATCAACTAAAAAACCCTCCTTCTCTTCTGATTTTAAATACGAATTTGTGAGCGCGTTATGTGCCATCAAATCAATGTGCTTATTTTGTATCATGGTAACACAAATTCTGATCACTCTGCCTTGAAAAGTAAAGTGTAGTAAATGTTTACCATTTTACCAAACACGTTTATAAAAGTACCATGATATGTTCTGAAAGAAGTGATGGGCATGAATGTTTCGATCGTAAACTTTGGTTGAGCAACGAAAAATATTTTCATGCTCAAAAAATTTTTGGCATATTCGTGCGTTTTGATTTGCTTAATGACTTCCCACCCATTTGCTTTCTTAAGCTTTTAAGGTGATTTGCGTGATGGTGTGTATAAAAGTGGAAAGTCTATGTCTGATATTTCATCCTTAAAAACTTCAATACAATAAGCAAATATCATGTAATGTTCGATATTGCTTTGAAATAACTCAATTCGTCCAATCCACGGACTCTTCAATGATAGAATGAAGGTGTTTTGATTTCATATAGTTTGTCTATCGTTCCTTTAGTAGTGGGAAAATTCTCAAGAATCTCAACTTACGAAATAAATAGCGTCAATGTTGTACTTATTTTTCAAATTGTTCAGCAATTTGGCACAGAGGCCTTCAAGTAAATTGTGTATCATATCACAAGCGATCTGTGAGGTCCATGTAAAGTATAGTAGTCTTACCAAGATTGACAAACCTTTAACATCATCAAATTGTTGAATCTCTCCCTTAACCATTAATTTGTAATTTTCAACAATTTCAGACCAAACATGTTCCTGTTCATTTCCACACGAGCTACAAATGGAAGAGTTTTTCATCACAATAGAGAAGAGCATGAGTGGATATACATTGATTAAATAAACAACCTCGGGCATCAAAAATTTTCTTTAAATTCGTCTTGGTTTTTGGAAATCAGCATGAAAATGAGGAATTTACTGATTTGACGACTGGCTTTATTTTTGACTGAATTTCATTTCCAATTTGCCGACTGATTTGGATTTTGGTACTTGAAAATTAGAGACGGTGGTGTTATTAAGGGTAAAAAAATATTTTGATGAGATGAAAAACGCTGCTCGCCATTTATTATTTGTGGTAAACAAGCCTCATCAACAACACCAACACTCTCTTTCTCTCGGTTTTTCAGAGGTGTAGTTTTTGATGTTGATATACTTGGGTCAAACTCTAACCTCTCGCTCCGGAAATTTTTGTCCAATCATCATCTTTCAAAGAACACACGCCGGTACGCTCTTTCCATTTATCTTCCTTGTTGGCAAAAGATGAAGTAACAACAAAAAGTCTTTCTTCTTCTAACGGCCCGGGAGGAAATGGAAGTGGTGCTGAGCACAACCATGTAGAACAACCAACTGCTTCTGATGATCCCAACCAAACATCAATCTATACAGCACCACAACCAACCGCTAATAACAACTCTCCCATTCAAGAAGTGTCCACAGTAGTTCTCTCCTTCAACAAATCGAAGAATGGACAAAGGAAGAAGTTGCTTCTATTCTTTGTATGAAGAAAGGTGAAGGTGGAACCTCATAGTCCGTTGACAAGCTAAAACCTTTACACAGTGCTGATTTTGTGGGACTTCTCTTGACAACATTGTAAGGGATATCAAGAGAAAAAATGTATATTTTGCTTTTAAATCTATGACTCGCAGCAAAGACTTTTCTAAGGTTTCTGAAAGTACTTGCAAGACAGTGGTACGTTGGATCAATGACGCATTGATGCCCAAACTTTTTAGTCTATGGAATGAAGAACAACCAAAGGCTGCATTATGCGAACTCAAATCAAAAGGAGGAGCCGGATTAACCATAGAACAAGCACAACCTTTGTACGATGCGAAATTTGATGGGAGATCTCTTTCAAAGATTGTCGAAGATATTATTAAGAAGAAAAATGAACATTTTTCCTTTGAATACGCCACCAATGTTATAACAAGCAATAAGGACCTTGCTTCAGTACCAGAATCCACTTGGAAAGCTGTTGCTGAATGGATTGTCGAGTTGATAAGAGGTAATTTTATTGAGATATCATCCGAATTGCTTGATCGTTGGAAGCATCGGTTAGAAGGCGAAATATCTGAACAATTAAGAAAGGAAAGAACAAATCCCAAATATGATTACCTCCGTAATTTACATGATCCAAACAACATGGAAAAACTGGAAAAACTAATTGGTACAAATATTCAACTCCCTATCTTTCAAGAATATGGCGATTTAGTTCCAAAAGACTTTGATCCAACAGCTAAATATGTTTTGACTCGTCAGCGGTTTGATATACTGAAAAAGGTTGTTGCTGGTGCAGAAGGATTTGTTTTCTCAGGTCCTCATGGGATTTCAAAATCATATACATTATATCTCATTGCTGCCTATGCCTTTGTGAATTCAATTCCAGTACTCTATGTTCCATCTTGTGGTACTTGGATACGCCGTTACATTATAGATAACATTCCTGGTGCCAACAATCAATCATTGAATAGTGATATTCTTTCTCGGGACGTTATTTCAAAATTGGAGAAATCAGGCGATATTGTTTCATATCTGAGCAAAAATGTTGCAGACGATCAACGAGTGTTCTATTTGTTTGACGAACATAATGAATTGTTCAAAACTGACGACAATGGCAAGACTTTTGCTAGTAAACCTTATTTCCATGATTTTACAAGATGGACATGCTCTACAAGAGGCACATTTTCAACGACCATATATTGTGGAAGTGCTCATAGTTCTTTTGAAGACCATTTCCTGAGGAGAGAGTTTAAAAATAGTTAGCATTGTTCCTCCAACAGTAAAAGAATTTAATACACTTGTTTCGGACTTTGGTTTAGATTCAAAGGATAAAAGAATAGACTATGTGACAGGAAGAATTCCAGGAGATTTGAGAAAATTGGCCTCCTTTCTGCAAGGTAAAAAGGGTACGGATGAAGATTTTAATCAATATATCACTTCAACGAAGGACGAATATTGCCGAAGATTGGATGTATTGGTTTCAAAGCTGGATGAGGAGGAAAAGAAACTCTTTCTCCAAACACTAGAAGGTCTTTTTTCGCTCGGTCTATAAGGGAAGACCTACTTATGTTGGAGGTATTTTTTACGACCAGGGTTTAATGTACAAAGATCATGATGGAAAACTTTTTATTGTGAAATTCAGCAATATTCCAAGGCGTATCATCCCTACAAATATCTCAGGATCAAAAAAGGATGCTGAACGGTGTTTGATCTACCAAGGATGCAACATTGAGGAAATTTAATTAGATCGGATTTTGGGATTGGATCGGATTGAAGGAACGTTTGAACAATACCTGTCTCGTCACAATTAAATATATGATTAGGTAATAGATGATTATGTTCAATGCATTCTTCTTATATGCTTGACCAAGGAAGTATTTTCACACTTTTTTCTCATCAAGGAAATGTGGTCTTGAAAGCATAACAACATATTCATGTCTTTCTCTAAATGTAACACTGAGATGACTTCTTGCGCTTCGACTTCCAGAACTTTGTAGAAATCCAGCACTGGTGGATGTTGGTGGTTATGGAAAGGATTTTATTGAAAGATCGTTCTTTATAAATTCTAATTGGAAAGAGCATTCAAATAAAATTGATGATCAGAAACACGTTCAAGAAGCACACCTTTCACAAAACCATGTTTTTCATCATGAATTTCAGCCATCAACTTGTCATCTTCATTCATCCAAACTCTTTCAATATCTTGAAGCATGATATAATAAATATTATAACAATCGCTCATACTTTCAACAATGACAAGTCTGTGATTTGTCACAAAATAATGCATTCCAGAGCACTCGAATTTGTAAAGAAAGTATAAAATTGAAAAGACCATAACCAATCCAAAAAGTCCAATGATTGTAAACAACATTGTTTTTAGAAGAGTCAATGCAAGAGTAAATATTATAATTGAGCTCGAAAAGGAAATGATTAGAAGTAAGGCGACTGGTAGCAAGAAACGAACCTTGAATGGGCCTCTGCCTGCGTTGACAAAACTATTCACAGCTCTTTCGTACAAAATTAGCTTTTCCTTATCGACTGGATTGGAAAGAAAAACATCTGTCAAATGAGGTCCCAATTCATGCGAAGGCAAGGAACACTTGATCACTAAGCTTCTGTTTTTCTCTTCGAATGAAAAGAATGATTCATCTTTCTTTTTGGACTGAAATGATTCATTGATGGAAATCCTGAAAGAAGGATCAAAAGTTTTCCACATTTCGAAATCTTCACAATTGGTACGGCTTGCTTTGAATCCGCAACAACAAGAAAAAACATGTGTAGTACTTCCTGAAATCCTTACAATGTAAAAGAGGCAATAAGCGATGGTGGCAAACAACGCAAGAATTGTCACAACAATGAAAGACAATTTTCGACCAAAATTCACTTTCTTTTGAACATCCTCTTTGAGTAAAACCCGTAGATCTTGATTCATGACCACTGCTTTCATTTCATTATTTTCATTCTTTCTCCAATAATTCTTTTTCAACTCTTGAAAATGCGTCTTGTGGTTCAGAAACACCGAAAATGAAGGAAATCCTTGAACAAGTTTGATGTGATCGACAACGGTTCGATTCCAACACTCGAATGCATCTTTTTCAGAATGATTCGACAAACAAAAATCATTCCAAACCACATACGGGAAATCCACCGTTGGAGGTAAAGAGATATAACCACTAGAACGATCATAGTATGAGTGAGTCTCCATAAGACTTGCATTATTGATGTTGAAATAGTATTGGATGAGAGAAAAACCTTCTTTTTGTTGGATGGTTCTGTTTTGTAAGGGAAGAAAACAATTCATCATGATGGAGGAGGAAATGGATGATGCAGAAGATGTGTTGTTGGAGAGATTGCAATTCTCAAGAAGAACGAATTGGCGACTCTCATAAATTCCAAAACCAAAAAACAAATCTATCCAAATCATTACAAGAAATAAGAAGAGTGCAAAAAGGAAATTCAGAAAGTTACAACACGGAATGAAAGGATGAATCACGGTTCGGAAATGAATGAGTCCTTTCTTTGGAGAATTTTCATATAAAGTATTCGAAGATGATGATGATGAATAAGTGGTGGTTTTGGACTTGATGAGAAGCCTTTCATTTTCATTCAGAAAAAAGTATGGAAAGGTTTGAAACCAATCGGAGAGAAGATGAAAGAGTCTCATGGTCGACATGTCTTTTGAAAACACCATGCAAAGAGTGTGTGGTCGTTTGTGTAACTAGTTGATTTTTTCACCTTTTCATGATTTGCAGGTCATTGAAGAAGCAGATCGCTTTAGAGGCTCATTAGATATAAATCTGAATCTCATCGTCGTGCCTGATTGGATATTGAACTTTGAATCATTTCCATTCAATGATTTAGATTGCATTTTACATTTGTCGTAAAAGTAAATCGAATCTTGCGTTATGAGACCGGCACTTTCCAAAAGAGGAAGGAGAAATTCTTCCTTTCAAGACATTGAGTTTTGTCTTCACACTGGCGTCCTTAGAACAGAGTGGAAAACACGGCAATAAACTCTTTTCCTTCAGAAGGAACATTTGGTTTCGAAATCCTTCTTCTGAATGCCTGATAGATGTTTCGTTCCAAGTACATGAGAGTGAGTTCTTTGGAGTTAGCTCCATAACCTGCTACGAGATTCCACTCCATTTCGAAGAGAGTTCGTTGATTTTGTTGAATAAGAGGAAAATAAGTTGGCCAACTACGAGATTGGAAGTATTTCGAAAGAGTAATTTATAAAATTCGTTGGAGGGAATTGAACTGTTTATTTAGATAGTAAGGCCTCGACTTACGTCTGTTTAAAATCAGAATCCAACGATAAAATCGTATTGTAAGAATTTGATTGGAATCATCTTTAAAAAATTAGCATCATTTACCACCAAGTGCGAGAAGATGGACATGATAATTAAGAGATTCCCAAGCAGACTGTTGGGCAAACTTCTCCCTCCCGCCCACCCTTTCCAGAGCAATTCAGATCGGAAGTAGTTTTGGAAAGTTCATAAGTTTTAGAAATGGAATTGGGCACTGGTGGGTAGTATCAGTGACGAGATGGAAAAAAAAATTAACTAAGGTTGTGGGATGATAGTTAGCTGTTACTCTTAGATACAACTACTGTATGCGCAATCAGTGGTTGGAGGCATTCAGAAGAGGGAATTACTTTCCCTTAATTTCAATTCCTTCTGAATGGGCAGAGTTTTTGGCGTCATGGGACGTGTTTTTCACTCTGTTCTTAGGGTAACAGTGTGAGGGCATTATTGTGGAGGAGAGTTGAGATTGGATCTAATGGGTTCGCATTTGTGGGACGCATATGGAAAGCCAAGTTAATCATTCTCGTGAAACTTTAATGTCTGTGACATGTTGCTTTTAATTAAGTCCTGTCACTGGGTGGCTTTGTTGGTTCCAAAAGTGTCAATGTTCAATGATTACTTAGGAACAGCAAACACTTGCAGAACATTGGTAGTTTTACCGGATGGTGGATTCCTGAAGGTGGTGCGGGGAAAGACCAATGTTATGACCTTAATTGTCGTTTTTGTTTCTAGTAGTAGCATATATAGGAGTTTATTCATGGCACTACTAGTATATTACACCAGAATGCGCCTGGTGAGAGAAATAGGAGTTGGTAGATTGATGCTAAGATGTTTGATGTATCCTACGTGCGTGTGGTAGAATAAACTCAGATTTCTCTAATCGATTTTAATCGTTGGATTACTTAAACCTCAATTATTTTTTTTGAAAAAGTTCGTAAACAATTAACACTAGGGCGGCCCTAAAATGAATGTTTTCTCGTAAAAAACGTCAAAAATCCCTATTAACGTTAAGAAAATGCGCTGTCAAATTAACCGTCTGAATTGACATCGATAATTTACGTTTCATCATCAATTATTACTGTTAATAGTTTTTTTCGTCATTAATTTTCTCCAAATCAATCTTCTATTCCACTTTCCCCTTTTTCACTTTTTCTATTTCTTCCACTACCTCATTTCACTCCACCAACTCCATCATAATATCTCCAAATCTTAAATCCCTATCCATGTCAACTAATTCGATTATTGTAAAAATAATTTGTACTTGCCTCAATCTTAATAAAATCATTAAGGATCCGTGTTTAAGTTTCTATTTAGTTGGGACTTTACAAAAGGACGAGGAGTGAGTGACGTACTCGATTATGTCGACAATCGGTGATGATTGGTCATGTAAACGCAAACCAGTTGTGGCTTTTCTGATTGATCATGATTTTGGGAACTAAGGATGGTTGATATTGATTGGCTGGAACTTCTCTGATTACTTTCACTATTGTGAATCTTTGAGGAGGTGTTTAAACTGGCACCCATTGGGTTGACGTTTTTTGTGTGTGGTGTTGGACACTTGATAAACCATATCAAATAATTGTCGATTGAATTGAGCTTCATATAGTATTTCTTAGCCTTGTAGTAGTTTATAATGTTCATCCTGTTGTGTAGCAGTAGAAATTCCATCTTACTTTCCAATAATGGACTTGATTGAAAAATTTCGAAATAAATTCTAATTGGAAAGAGCATTCAAATAAAATTGATGATCAGAAACACGTTCAAGAAGCACACCTTTCACAAAACCATGTTTTTCATCATGAATTTCAGCCATCAACTTGTCATCTTCATTCATCCAAACTCTTTCAATATCTTGAAGCATGAGGTAATAAATATTATAACAATCATTCATGCTTTCAACAATGACAAGTCTGTGATTTGTCACAAAATAATGCATTCCCATGCACTTGAATTTGTCATAATAATACAAGTTTGTATTGAGCACCACTGTACCGAAAATTCCAATCATTGAAAACAATGTTATTGGAAAAACAGTCATACCCAGAACCACCATTGTAACGGTGAACAAAAGGAATATGAAATTAAACAAGTCCACTGGCCACCCGAAACGACTCTTAAATGGGCGTCTGTCATCGTATACGAATTGTTTCACCACTCGTTCATAAGAAATTAGTTTTTCCTCATCTCTTGCATTGGAAAGAAAAACATTTGTCAAATGAGGTCCCAAATCATGCTGAGGTAAGCAACATTTGATCACTGAGTTTTCATTGCTCTTGTCAAACGAAAAGAATGCTTCATCATGTTTACCTTCAAATGATTCATTGACGGAAACTCTTAAAGAAGGATCAAAAGTTTTCCACATTTCGATATTTTCACAGTTAGTTTCCTCTCCACAACAATAATAATAAAAACAACAACAAAAACAACAACAACAATCCCAAGCGTTTTTCACTCTTCTTCCTAAATACTTCTTAATATAATAGACACAAGACAGGAGGAATACCAATATTGAAAGAATGGGAACCACAAGAAACGACCAGGTTCCGCCACCTCATGATAACAGAAATAAAAGTCCAAAGCAATAGCTCAACCAACACTCGCCAGAACCACAAGAAGAAAGAGAAAGTGATACAACGGAGCACTAGGATCCATCACGGGACAGAAATGAAAGAGTCCTCTCTTTGGAGGGTTTTCATGAATTGTAGAAGAAGAAGAAGAGGATGATGTTGGTGTTGATGGTGAATAAGTGGTGGTATTGGATTTGATGAGAAGCCTTTCCTGTTCATTGAGGAAAAAGTATGGAAAGGTTTGAAACCAATCGGTGAGAAGATGAAAGAGTTCATTACTGGTCATCCTTCTTGTGAGAACACCAAAGAGTTTGTTTCTTGTTTTTCTTGTGTTTAACGGTTGCAGCTTCTCTCAACAACAAGACACGCGGCACAAAAGAAGATCTTGTTCAAACTCGAGTCAAAGTATCATTTAATGGTGAAAGGAATTTTCAGTGGTGAGTTTTTGAATCAATTGTTTTAAGGAAACGACCCATTCGTCACGATCTTCCTTAGATGAAGCAGACATGTAATAAATCTTTCCAGGAATTTCCACTTTGAACACAAACCTTCTCTTGTTGCTGGATTTTTCGGGAGCAATTTCGGAGAGAGCCACTCGTAAATCGATCACACCTAAGGGTTTTGAGAGATCTTTGGAGTCATGGTAGTAATAAAGATGATGTCCATCCATTTTGAAGAATCTCTTTTTGAAAATGTTAATTTTTGGTCCCTTCTTATAGAGATATCCATTTTTGTCGAATTTTGGTTTTACATTTTCGGAAATGGTACCTTCGGTCAGTTGAGGATCATATTCAGCATTGTTGGGAGCATCATATTCTTCGTCATCTTCTTCGACATGTTTGACATCGTCTAGAGAATCCAATGAAGAAGTGGAAACTGCAGGAGACTTTGCTGACGATGGTGGATTCTTCAATAATTGAGCTTCCAATTCAGAACGAATCTGTTGCATGGCATTCTTGTTAATTCTTACAGAGATTCTTTTTGAATTCATTTCTTTTTGTTGTCGTTGCATTCTCTCTTTTTGCTGCTTTTCTGAATCATCATTGAGTTTTTTAGGTATCACTTCAGTTTCATTGTTGTTGACAGTTGTTGTTGTTGTGGAGTCATTGGGCATATTCGTCACTTGTTGTTGTGGCGATGACTTGGTTGGAGAAATGGATTGTGATCTCATCAAGGCCGAACTCGTATTGTTCAAAATTCCTTGTTTTTTCAATTCACGTTCCAATATTTCAATTCTCTCTTTCGCTTGAACGAGCTCATTCCTCAAAATTCCATTATTGTTTTCATGAACTTGTTGTAACACCATGACACTCTTTTTGCGATTGGCATTTTCTGTTTTGATGGTTTGTTCGAGGTCTTTCTTTTCCTTTTCGAGCTTTCTTAATTCATTTCGAAGCTTTTGATCACTTTCTTTGAGTGTGTTAATTTCCTTTTGAAGTTGATCAATTTCTTCTTTGAGTGAATTTTCTTTGGTTCCAAATTTTTGACGTAATTCTTCAATTTCATTTTCGAGATGAGTAATCTTTTGTTTGGAAGCCTTTTCACCCTCTTGCCATTTCATTCTTGCAATTTCCATTTCTGTTGCTTTCTTACGAGCTGCATTGAGTTTGTTGGTGAGGTCTGTCACCTTTTCTTTCAATTTTTGCATATTCAACTTTTCTTGTGGATTTAGAGAAAGATCGTCTTCGTCTGTATTGCAAGAAGCTTGTTGTGAATCAATAGCAGATGATTTGACTGTCTCAACAGAGGCTGAAGCATTAATAGATTGTCCACTGAATTGTGAAACCAATTGTTGATATTCTGAAATTTTCATTTCGAGTGTTTTCATGGAAGTTTCAGACACCTTCTCACGTGCTTTCAAATTTTCTCTCTTGGCAGCATTCAGTTGTTCCAATAAGAGTTTGTTTTTGGATTTCAACTTTTCAATAAGTTGATGAGAAGGATCGTCAGATTCGAGTGCTTTCTTTTCTGCTTCGACTAATTCTTCTTCAAGCTCAATATTCTTCTTTTCAACATGATCTAATTTGGAAGAGAGTTCTGTGTTGATGGATTTTAACTCTTCTAATTGTGCCTTCAAGTGTGAAATGGTTTCCTGTTCGACTTCTTCTGATTTTTTGTCAAGAGGAGTTGATCCAGATGATTTGACTTGTTTTTTAGATTTTTCTTTCAACTCTTGATTTTCCTTTTGAAGTTTGTGGATTTGTGACTTGTAATCTTCTTCAATGTTTTTTCCTAGTTGAGTGCTCTTTTCAAGTTCGGCTACTTTTTCAGCCAGTTCATCTCTATTAGATTCTTCATTGATTAATTTCTCCTTCAAGTGTTGCAACTCTTCTTGTGATTCTTTGACTTGTTTCTCGAATCGAGCTTTTTCTTTTTGAATTTGTTCCAGCAATGATTGGCTTTCCTTCAACTGCTTTTTAGTTTCCTTAGATTGTGACTCGTGTTGAAGGATCATTCTTTCAAGTTGTGAAGTTTTCTCTTCTTCATGTTCTAACTGCTCTTTCAAAGATGAAATTTGGGCCTTCAATGAAGGAACCTCTTCTTCTAAAAGCAATTTCTCATTCAATAATTTTTGATATTCCTCAGACTTTTTCACATCCAATGCAGTTGAAGATACAGGAGTCGTAATCACCACTGTTGGCAAAGATTCCTTAACCTCCCCGGAGAGATTTGATTGTTGTTGAGGAGGAGAATTGTCTGCATTCTTTGAAACTTGTTTGTTCAATTCTCTAGGTGTCTCCTCCTCTTGTGGAGTCCATTGTTTAGGTGGTTGAGGAGATGATTTTTGAGTTTCCTGTGCGGCAGGAATTAATTTTTCTTCGAGTACCATTTGTTTTTGAGGTTTTTCTTGAAGAAGAGTTTCTGGTTGTTTTTCTTGCATTGTTGTCTGAGGCGTTGGAGATTCTTGTTGTTGTGCTGGTTTTTGAGTTTCTTCTGTCAATGCATCGTGTTCTTGAATATAATTCACCATGACATCGCTCGACAACTCATTAATCTTGGATGCCAATTGCAAGAATGGAATGGTTTGGTCTTCCACGACATTGGTCAAGGGTGACAAGGTGACAAATGCAAAACTTGATGTGTTCACAAAAACTCTCGAAAAGAGTAAACACTTGAGCGTGGTTGAGAAATAATCGTAATCATCAGATTCGGAATACAGTGCTTCAGCAACATCTTTGAATACTTTACATCCATCTTGGCGAACATTTCGATGAGGATCGGAGGGTCTTTCTGCATCCAAATCAATGACAGTAAAACGACTTTCTTTGGTTAAATTCGTTTGAGTGTCGTGTTGTACAAATTTGATTTCAAAGAAGGCCGAACTGTGTTCTGTTGTTTTCAAGAATTGTTGAGAAATAATTTTGTTTGGATTGTTTCATGTGTGAATCAAACGATTGGGTGAGATGTTAAAAGAGTTGAATGAATGAATACAATCGTAACACACTTACTCTTTGATCGTTTCGCCAATGCAGAAGCTACAGATTCAAACAATTCAACGTCACTTGTCACAAAGACTTCGGTTAGTCCAATAATCTCAACAACGTTTGTGTCTTCTTCGACTAACACGTCCAGCTTGCTTTCAGCGGAAGAATTTTTCAATAAATCATTCATCAATGCATCAACTCCATTTTCCAATCCACAAATTTCAAAAGCATTCAACGAAACAGAAAACTCGATACTCTCAGGCGACTCATTCATAATATAATTAAAAATCAATCGAATAAATCGAGGAACAATTCCGTCAAACCTTTGAGGTTCACTTTCCGAAGCCCAACTTGAAGCTTTGGTTGTGTTTCCGAAAAGTGTGAACGTTTTACCCGATTGATAAGCGCCAAAAGAAAACAAGGTACAATTTTGACCCTTCAACACTCGCTGCATCATTTCATTTCCACACGTTGCAAATACATCTTCCTGATTGTTTGTTGTTTTTAAAATTCTTTCAAATGTAAATTCGACACTATTTGAAATGCCGTGCTGTTGTGTTGAATCATGAGAGAGTGGTGGTCAGAGACAATTCGTATATTTGGTGAGAGTGATGATGTTGTTGGTTTGTTGGTTTGATAGGATGATTGTGAACATGTTGCAATAAATGGTTGATGTCAATAGATTTTTGTAAACAGGTAACACGGTATCGGGTCATTCGATTAAAATTGTTGGTTTTCGGTGATGAGTTTCGAAAGAGACACCATGAGAATCAAGACTTACTTTGATCAAAACGTTTTTTCCGTTCTGTGATTGCAAAGACAAGCGTTTATGAGACACAATAAAACCTCAAAATGTGAGTCACATACTTTGTGAAAAGCTGCACAACACTTTGGTTTGTCACTCCCACAGCTCTCTACTTCTGACTTGAGGAATGGTCGAAATCGAACACCCACACGCATGGGACTCTCTTCCTTCTCAGGAGGGTTAAGTGCTGGTGATGACATTTTTTTGTGTTGAAAATGATGTGTGACAGTGGATCATCTTTCAAAATAAAAGTAAATTTGGCGAAAGGTAGCTTTTTTGAATTTCATAATTATAATGATGCTTGATTTAGACTTTAGTTGTGCTGAGCCAGACCTTTTGATTTTTCTGTGTGACCCACATGAGACTAACAAAAACAGTTTATGTCTCAAATCTCACAGAAGAATTCAAAGCATTATTGTACATAACATTTGAAAGAAACATCATCCTTTATGCTCCATACTTTGGGCTCTTCCGTAGCTTGTAGGCCACTTCAGCGAGAATAAAGTCAACAAGAATGGATGAATTTCCTGCATTTTCAATGCATGACTTTTCTGTGAGCTGCTCGTTGTGATCTCTTCTAGTTTCTTCTTCACAATATTGGATGCAAATCATTGATGGTTCATCAAATACGAGGTGTGAAATATTTTGCCCATTCTTTTGTTGATAGCTTTGCAATGGTTTGAAAAGGGATTTTGATTCCGTGTGTTGAGATTCCAAACAAATGGTGTCATTAAACGGGCAGCTCAAAAGCAAAACATGATAGATCTTTAAGGGAGGGGTTTGTTGTTGCATTTGTGAAAATTTAGCGGTAATTTTCTTGATCAATCGATCCATGTATTCGATTCTTAGAACTTTTTGAGATGATTCCAATTTCGATAGATTATCATGCAAAAGTAAAATGTCATTTTCCAACATGGCTGAAGCAGCACTCTCGACTAACGCATCCTCTTGTGCATTATTGTAAAGGTCATTCACCAATTTTACCTTGTCTTTTCTGTGATCAAAAATCGGTAAAACAGCTGCATTGGTGGTCCATGTTTGAACTTTCAATTTCTTGTATTTACAAAACAAACTTTGTTTTTCCAACCGGAGCTCGTTGTGTTTTTTCCATGCTTCCTCTTCTTCATCATCTTCAGGTTGTATAGGATCATAATAATCAAACAATTGCATCATGTAAGATGTATCAGCATTCATCAACAACGAATTACTATTCGTATTGGAATCGGAATTGACAAGCTTCCGTGTATGAATGAGCGTTGTTCCTCCCAATCTGCAAATACGATTCATCTCTTCGTGTTTGGATTGTTCCAAGACACTTGAAAGACCAGACGATGATGATGATGATGATGATGATGAACTGTTGTGGTGGCTTGAATCATCGTGATTCTTCATCAACACTCCTTCCATGAACACAAAGAGACACTTTGATGTTTGAGCCATTTTTATTTCTGGCTGCCAGAAGGAGCTCCACCATCATCACCAGTGCACTGGCTTTCGTATTCTTCTTCAATGGGTTCTCATGAATCCATCAAGATGGTTTCCCTCGCTTTCAATGATCAATAATAATAATAGAGAGTCAAGGCTTTTTTGTTGTGTGTTTCAGAGAGGTGGTAAAATACGCTGGGACTTCAACAGGCTCTTCTCTCTATTCTTACTCCTTCATGACCAAATCGAATTTTGAAATTAATTCTTGAACGGTTGCCGTGTTATTGGCAATGGTTTTCAAGAGTTGTTTCTTTTCTTCAATGTCCTTTTCTCGTTTGGAAGCCGCTTCTGGTGTACATTCTTGAGGAGAAACAAACACGGCATTCAACTCAAACCTATCAAAGACACCAGTCAAGGAGTAGAAGTGTTTTTGTATTTTGGCAAATTCAGCTTGTGCCTCCTCTTTTGAGAATGGTTCATCGAGAGAGTTTTCTCTGTGTGTGGACGCATGGTGATGATGAATCATGAGGTTGGAATTTGTTGATTGCCCGAAATTCAAACACTATTGATGATTATTCCCCATAATACCTACACTTTATCAAAATACTTTTCAAACATTTTCTCAAACATATCAAGGTTTTGACTCAAACTCTCTAACAACTTCTTTGGATGCATTTGAGCAGCCGACATGATGACAGAGATGGTGAGTCAGAGATGATGATCCAAATTTTTGAAATTAAATCGAAAAAATGTTAAACTCTGAACAACATCAACCTTCATCTCCTTCGTTGCTTCCTTCAAAGCGATTGAATTTGAATGATAATTCTTTTTCTCTTCTGAACACAAGTACTCTCCATTCTTTGGATGAATACATTCCGATTGATGAAATGAAACCTCATCATGATATTTTGCAAATGTTTCGGGATGCCAAGCAAAATAATACTTATTTGAGAGTACAAGCTCCGATGGTTCGGTATTCAAAATTAGCTTTTCGATTGTTGTGTTTGGAATATAATTGTGATGTTGTGTACACTCCAATGATTATGGCTGATAGTTTCAGTAAATCACAAAAGGCTAGAGACTCTGATTTTTCAACACACGTTCATGATAAACCTCTCGTTGTACAGTTTGCAGGTATGATTTTTATTTTGTTAGTTTTGTTCAATAATTGGAAAGCATTTTCCTTGCGTATTCTTTGACACAAACTTTTTCTATCTGTATTGAACATTCGTGAATTGTGAAATATTTACTTATAACTTCTTTGTTTTCTCTCCGCCTGTCTGTCTGTCTGTCTGTCTGTCACGAACAACAGCCAATAATCCAACAGATTTTAGTTTGGCTTGTCAATTTGCTGCTCCTTTTTGCGATGGATTTGACATCAACTGTGGCTGTCCCCAACCCTACGTCATGAAAGAAAATTTAGGAGCTGCTTTAGTGACCCAACCTCAAAAGATTTTTGACATGGTCCACGAAGCTAATAACAAATTTATTTCTGGACATTCTCGACCGATTGGTGTGAAAATTAGAATTCACCCAGATGACGACTCCTTGGAATTTAAAAAAACCATCGATTTAGCAAGACAAATTGAAAAAGCTGGAGCTAGTTGGGTCACTGTTCACGGACGAACTCACAAACAGAGAACAAAAAACACTAAGGTCAATCCTGATGGACCCAAGATTGTGAAACAAGCATTACAGATTCCTGTCATGCATAATGGAGATGTTTTTACATTGAAAGATGCAAATTATTTAGCTTCTTATACAGGATGCGATGGAATCATGAGCGCCCGAGGACTTTTAAGCAATCCTGCACTATTTTCTGGTTTCAATCAAGTTCCTTTTGAATGCATTGAAAGATACCTTCAAATTTCGATTCAAATTGGAGGTATTCCTTTCCAATTGCTTCACCATCATGTCATGTTTATGCTGTATTCGCATCACCAATTCCTTTCCAATGAAGTCATTGAATTTAGTAAGTGTGGCAGCATAGCCGCAATTTTGGACTTCTTTGAAAATAGAGGTCTTCGAATTTCACTATAATCATGGTTTGGTCGGCCGTTTTAATGTGCGTCTCATGCGAAGAAGTGTGAATGATTGGCCAAGATGATGATTATTCAGGATAATTGAGAGGATATTGTTTTATTGCCAACACATCAATGACTTGTCAGATGCTGGTGTATCATGCACACGAGTAACAAAACATTCGAATGGATGTGTAATTGTGTGAACTTTGTTTTGCTTGGGTCTCTATTTCACACTCCAATTTGGAAAGAAAAATTCAACGACTCGGACTTGGCGCATTTTTGTTCGGGACCAAACAAGACTCTCAAAATGTACTGCTTGTCGTGAATTCCTGTCCCATTGTGCGCTTGCAACCTGTCAATTTTTAAAAGAGGAACCAACGAAAAAATGTCAGTGTCTTCATCCTCGTCTTCCTCTTTTCAAAGCACGGAAGGATCCCTCAAGAATCACACAGGCCTGATCACGCTAATTGACAAGAATGGAAATGGTATACCTGCGGCTACAACAAATCTTGCCAGCACGTCAACAATACCACAACATCACCGTGAGACGGGTAATCACAAGCATAAGCATAGTAGTGGTAGTAATGCGAGTATTAAGTCCTTGAAAAAGCACCATGCTTCATTTCCACCTCTCACCAAGCAAGAATTTAACTTACAACAACTCAATGCAGAACATCATATACAGAATGATATTTTCCCACAAAAGCATCGCACGGTCTTGATAGCTATGAGAATTGTTGGTATATTGACGCTAGGAATACTCGACGTGGCTCTCAAAAACTGGGAAATTTCACTTCTTGTGGACAGTTTAAGAATTGGAAATCGTAAAATTTTATATAATTCGACCGATGGCCATCGAGTGAAACTAACCTACATGTGGAACCTTCTACTCTCGATATTAACATGTGGTATTTGGTATCTGATTGGCGGAATGCATACACATTTCTATAGCATGATTGATGCGAGACTTTCGTGGGGTGATGTTGACAGACCTCGAAAAATTCTACTCAAACATTCGAAGGCTGAGGTTTTTCCAATTCCTCTCAATGAGTTTGTCGTGTGGCAGCCTTATCCACATGATTACAAGGGAGAACTTCGAATTTTCAGCATTCATATGGGCTTCAAGAATGAACTCATTTATGCTCTGCTGAAACTTCTTTCCATTCTCACATTAGGAATGACAAGTCCTTTCGCTGATTACTTTTGGATGCACCATTACCTAGGAAAAATGTATCTAGGAAAAGGTAGATTTATGGTACTTCCTCCATCATTGGCACAATCCTTACTCGAAACCACAAAGAATAGTAACAGCAGCAACAGCTTTGTGAAATCACCAGAAGCAGCATTTTACCAATGTACCTATCCAGTTCTAGGTCAAGATGCCATTCAAGTAAGCACCGTCGACAGCAACAATACTGTAGCAGGAAAGGTCGTCAACGAATCTCAATTACCCCTCTATGAAATGAAATTGGCTTTTTCAGGCTCTTTCGGAAAACTATTCTACAAACATTGTGTACTGAATTGTTTCACATTGTCATCATGCGGAATTTCCTTCTTTTTCTGCCTGAATTCTTATCTATTGAATGGATATTACAACAAAAAGTGTGCAGTTCAATTGATGTCGAGTTGAAACAATATGTGAATATTGTCTTTTAATGCAAGTAAGACATTAAACAAATTATTAATCAATCAATTATAGTGAGAAAGCAAGAACTCAAAATAGTCAGTGGAATTTTAGAAATGAGTTCACAAATTTCTTCAATAATCATCGTCATTAGAGTCATCGCTTTCGCTTTCGAAATTTACAAAAATCCCAGCGCTAGCAACAAGCCCTTAATAAAACATCTCCAAAAAAAATTCTCAACCCGACTTCTTGAAGGTTCAATTCCAAATCGAAGTCATTCTTGAACTTGAATATTATTCTGGAACAGGTTCATCATCATCGTCATGTTGAACAGGACACTTAAAAAAATAGCTCATAGCAAATCATTGCTTCTTTTCCGAGGACCTTTTCGTCATCATCATCATTGGTTGATTGATCAAAATATAATTTTCAAAAAATCAGAAATGTCTTTTTCGTTGAGTCAAGTCAATAATGGTAGCGGATTCCAACAAGGATCATCATCATCGGGAGGATTTAGATCTAATAATCAAAGGAATGGATCATCAAATAATTCCAATTATAATAGATTCAGATCGGAAAAGCCAAAGAATACTGCAAGCAATAGCAGGTCGACTGGAACGCCATCATCCGCTGAAGAAGGGTTGGAGGCCTACAATAAGCAAGCCTTGGCAGAATTGGTAGAGATATTGGATGAAACACCAGATTTGGGATTTGTTGATACTCATGTCCATTTCGAATACATTTTACAAAGAATGTTTAATGCACAATTGGGTGAAGTTGCTTATAGTGAAAAGAAATTGATGGATACCTTGTGTTTTGAAACAAAGGATAAGAATCTCTATGAGAGAATTTTATCAAGAATGAATGCATTTGTTTGTGTACAATGTGATCCAACTTCATTCTCTAGTTTGGGATTGTGGAGAGATTTGCTAGAAATGAAGAATTTAAAGATTGGTGTGACATTTGGTTTGCACCCTCACAATGCATCTTACTATGATGAAAAGATGCAAGACAGAATTAATCAATGTATTGCTGAGGCAGGAGATAAGTGTGTTGCATATGGAGAATGTGGACTTGACTATCACTATAATAATTCTCCAAGAGAACAACAAATGTCATGTTTTGCCAAGCAATTGCAAAATGCAGTGGCTCTCTCACTTCCAGTTGTGATTCATGCAAGAGAGGCAGAAGAAGATGCTTTCAATATCATGATAGAAAATCTTCCAAAAGATTGGAAGATTCACGTTCACTGTTTCACAGACCGAGAGGAATTTGCTAAGAAACTCATCTCACATTTTCCAAACTTGTATATTGGATTTACTGGTGTTGTGACCTATGCCCCAAGAGGAAACTCAAACCATAAGGATCAAAATTTAGAAGGCGTCATTCGTTCTCTTCCATTGGAAAGAATTTTATTGGAAACGGATGGACCTTACATGCCTGTTCGTCTCTCTAAATCGGTCAACACAGGAAAGAAGAGACCAATTGCCCACTCTGGACACATTCCACTCATCGCTAAGGGAATAGCTCATATTAAGAAAGTTTCAATCAAGCAAGTGTTTCAACAATGTCGTCTCAACACAACGAACATGTACGGATTGTAATTAAGATATCTTTTTTCTCTCGAATATAAATTGAGAGAGTTAAAGACAAAACTTTCAAAACTAATGAAAGATAACCACCTTAATGAGATGTTTATGTATTAAAACTGAAAGATGTCGTTCTTGAAGATCGCACTACGACAAGCTCCAAACAGACTCAAAAAAAATGGTCACAACCACCTCTTCATTACTTCTCAACGATACTTATTTTTCATATTGGCTCACCTTTGTGGCTCTCTTCCGAGGCTTTTCAATCGTTACAGGATACATCCGACCTCAAATTATTACCAAGAACGTTTATTCTAAAAAGAAGGAACCACTTGATCCGTTATTTGGAAGAATGTTTGCGAATTGGACCGGTGGAAGTATTTGTGCTTGTTTAATATTGGCTTTATATCCACAATCACTTCCAATGCATTACATGAATTTGTGTGCATTTGCTATTGCTTTAGGACATGCTTTGTTGGAATTTGGATATTTCAAAACAATGTCCTTTGTGAATGCGAGTCCAATGTTCTTCTTTGCTGGATCATCATTGGCTTGGGTGATGAGTAGAGTCATGTCTGGAAAGTTAATGTAAATGATGTCAACTCATACAAAGAAGGAAACAAGGAAACATTAAATTCAATAACATAATTTATCAATTTAATATTTTGAACGGAATGATAAAAAATGTCTCGAGACTCGTTGTCATTACCTCCCGAACTCATTCACCATATATTGAGTTTTGTTTGGGACGTATCGTGCGTTAAAGACCGCCATTCACTTTCATTTTGTTGGCGTTTACGATGTGTATCACGAGATTTGTGTGAATATGTGAAATCTCAAGTGAAAAAATTAACAGTTGTTTCTTGCATTCGGAAATTATCAACACACAGTTTGGAATTCAAAAATAATGAATTACTGAGAGACCGTGTCAAAATTGAGCAGCTACAGAACATTTCGAATCACATTATTTCAATTATTAATTGTTTTCCGAATTTAGAAGTTTTAAATCTCGATGATTTGCACACTCTCACGAATGAAAATTTGGAAATCATTATAAATGGCCTTGAAAATTTGAAACAAATATCACTATGTGGATGTCCATTCATTACTCGATTTTCTTGTAGAAATACATCAATTTTTTCAAAATTTATGAATATTACAATTGATCCAAGTCTTGAATTAAGATGTTCTCTTTTACAAATGATTCGATCAGCGCATACAGTTACCTCATATTCGATCAGCAACAAGACTTGTGATGATTCAGTATCCACAACTAGTGAGAGTAATATTCCACAACAATTTCCAATTTTGAAAACCAAAGTTGGTCTATTTCAAGGCCTTGCCCCTGCTATTCGACCAATTGTTTCCACAACTTGCTATGAATTTGGACCATTAGTTATTCAAGTGATGGACACCATGCCAATCCTTATTAGAAATTCGGAAAATGAAATGTGTTACAAGTTGTTTGTGGCTCCTCATGACACGGCAGAAGATGTTAAAATCATGTTCCAAGCATTGACAGGAATTCCGTGTGATTCTCAACGATTGGAATTTTCTGGAAGAGAATTGCAGAATAATCGCATGCTCTACGAATGCAGTATTTGCAAATTATGTACCATGGATGTGATAGTGAGCAAACCAACCACATCATTAGAAAAGGAATGACCCTAACCTCTGTAATCCATGAATCCGTTCAAATTGGTTCTTTCAGAAAGTGGGTCTCAGAGTGTTGAGAGAATTCACAATTCCAACGGTGAGACACTGGGATAGCCATCAATCTTGAGGAATCACCTATCCACAATGTTCTTATTTTGGTACATTTATTTTGAGTTTTCAACGCTCGTTAAATTAAGTTAAAGAATCGATGGCCTCAACGATTAAGTTTACTGTTGAAGAAGTGTCAATACACTTATCCTCCTCGCAAAGAACAACCACATGAAATTACAAATCCTTATTCTCTTCAGGTGGCGAGTAATCAAAAAGCATATCACTCACCTTCCCATAGTCTATTATTGAAAACGACTTTGAGAATGCAATGTTTCATCATCAAGAAAATTTCCTTTGTGTTGCGCCCATGCTCGTTTAATATCTAGCACTGATGTGGAATCGGAAACTTCGATTGGAAATTTACCAGTGGTTGTTTGGAGGATGGCCTTTCGTGTGGGCGCTTTGAAGGAAGGTTCTTTGAGTGTGCTCGTAGGAGTGGAGTTTGTTGGGGATTGTTGCTTCATTGTGTATTTTCTTTGTGTCTTTTGAGAACGTAGTAAAGAAGCTGGTGAAATGATGTTATGTTTTCAATTTCAGAGTGGAATGTTGACATTGTCAAACTCAAAGTGAACTGCCTCACAAGTTACATTCATTGTTTTTTACATTAAATTATTGCTGTAAATATTTATATACAAGATGTGATCTACAATCATGTTGTAAGTAACATTTCGTCAGACACAAAATTAATTCTTGCATTTTTGGAGTTTGTTCAATCTTCTAATGAGCTTGACAATTACTCCTCCCTTGTTCTTAGTGGAAATTTTTCTGAGAACCTTCTTTGCTTGCTTCTTAACCTTCTTAGCCTTTCGGATGGTCTTCTTGGCCTTCTTGGTGATCGTATTGAGTCTCTTCACAGCCTTTTTGACCTTCTTATTCACCTTCTTCAACAACTTTCTTAACTTCTTAATGTTCTTTTGGCACTTCTTGACTACAACTCTCTTATTGCGACGAAGGGCCTTTCTCACCTTCTTGACAACTCGATCGAGCTTCTTTTCAACCTTTCTCTTGATCTTCTTGACCTTCTTAACGGCCTTCTTTGCATTCTTAACGGCCTTCTTTGCTCTCTTAACTGCCTTCTTTGCCTTCTTGATGGCCTTCTTAATGACCTTCTTCACGAGCTTCTTGCTACCCTTCTTGTTGATCAACTTCTTGGCCTTCTTAATAATGTTCTTGGCCTTTCTGACCGACTTCTTGGCCTTCTTTTCTTGCTTTTTAGCTTGCTTGGTGCACTTCTTTCCAACCTTCTTGACCTTCTTTGCAGTCTTTCTGGCCTTCTTTTCTTGCTTCTTCTTTTCAATCTTTCTCTTGATGGAGCACTTTCCTCTCACAATCTTCAACTTTCCAGCCAAAAGTTTAATCTTGTCTGGAACGGACTTGAGTGACCATTGCTTTCCTAACTTTTTCTTCAAAACCAACAACTTCTTCAAAACCTTGTTGAGTTTCTTAAATTGTCTTCTCTTGAGACTCAATTTACGAGCAGCCTTCTTTTGAATCTTCTTAACAGCCTTCTTGGCAGCCTTCTTCACTGCCTTCTTTGCCTTCTTTACTTGTTTCTTCAACTTTCTTGCCTTTCTTTGACACTTCTTGGCCTTTCTCTTCAAAGCTCTTGCCTTTGTTCTGTATTTCTTGGCAATAATTCCGCCCACTTTGCGGGTGAAACGACGAGCCTTCTTATATGCCGTCTTATACTTGGCAAAGAATCTCTTGGAGAGTCTCTTCCATGTCAACCACTTGGAGATGAGTTTCTTCAATACCTTCTTAGCCTTTTTGGTGGCTTTCTTTTGAGCCTTCTTGAGGGCCTTCTTTGCTTTCTTGGTTGCCTTCTTCACTTCCTTCTTAATCTTTCTGGAAGTCTTGTTGAAATTGTTGGTGAGACGAGCAACGGTCTTGTTCTTGAAAATCTTCCTGAATAGAGGTTTTGGAATATTGATCTTGACGGGTGGTTGAGATTTCTTGGCTCCTCCTTTCACTGCTTCCGTTTCAGCAGCAAATACAATTGCAGCACTGAATAATAATGCAAGCAATGAAACAAACAACAAGGATTTGAAGAGGTTCATTTGAGTTGTTTTTTTTGATGTTTTGAGTGTCACGTGGTGGGAGCAGATGATTTTAAAGAGATCTCACGGAATCACTAAAATGATGGGAGATAAACCTGTTGTATGTTGAAGCAATGAGACGGCGGGTACTTGATGAAGGTTGCATTCCGGGGCAAATGTGACATGATTGAATTTACAAATCGAAAATTGATGATTAATTGTGTTAAAGTGGATGGCATTTGACAGGATGTATTATTTAGAACTCTAATAATTGACGGAGTTGAGAATATCATTGTGAAGAAAATGACATTGATGAGTCGAGTTGTAGTTTCTAAGATTCCCATGTATCAGTTTGTCGTTTCGTGAAACAATGATGGCAAGTTCCACATGCTCAATGTGAGGCAATCATGGAGTTCCAGGTTCATTACACAGTTTGTGGTGACTGGACATTGTTCTTGCCACTGTCGATTGGTAGAAAGCAAAAACACAGCAAATGCTCAATCTGTCAACTTTCCGACTCAAACAAAATGAAAGCCAAAAATTAATTTGGACGATTTTTGCTTTCTACCAAAACCTTCGAAAAAACATTGTGGTGTAATTAAGAGGGAGTAATTGAGCTGCTGTACACTTTAGGTACCTCAATTACTCCCTCTTAACAATCATTGAACGATTAAAATAAATTGTGAGCAAAAAGTTTAATGAGTAAAAATAATAAATTAATACTTAATGTCGTAACCTTTCTTTACTGCAAATTCATTGAGCCATGTGGCAATTTCCTTGACTTCTAAGGCTCTGGCAATCTTGACACTTTGAGGATCCAAAGGATTGGAACTTCTTAAATCCAAATGGTGAGCTCCTTGTTCAATGTAAACTAAGTTAACTTTGCTATTTGTTTTGGTTGGTGCCAAGACACCTCCTGTATATTTGTGTGCAAAATGAGGTTTCATTCAATCAACCATGTAGTATCCAATATACATAATAATATTATGAGTCAACCATGTAGTATCAAAATTAACATAATGTTGAAATTATTTTCCGTAAATACCTCTACATACCTCCATGCCATGGATCCAAATCACCATTGGAAAAGACAATATTTGTAGCATCCAGGACTGCTCTTTTTCCACCATAATTTGTAATCACCCAATTAGTTCTTGGAGTTGTTTTCCACTTTTGTTGACAATAGGCAATAAATGCATCGAGATTCCATGGTGAAGAGATGAACATGTCAGTGGCAGGATATTGACCTATGGGCATGACCATTTCAGTACAAGTTTGGTATTCCCATGCATCATCTCCAAGTGATGGGCTATCTGGTTGAGTTAAATTATTACATTGTCCAGCACTTCCAGAATAATTGTAGTAAACAGATGCACCTTCAAGAATTGCTTTAAGATAACTATCAGTTGTGATGACAGCTTCCTTACTCATCAATGTGGCAATACGATTACAAATTTCATTGATTGGAAAACCAGGCAATGGTTGTAAAAAGCTATTAGGATAAGGATAATCCACCATAGGAAGGGTTTGATATGCTTGATTGAGCCATCCAATCAATTGGTTCACATCATTGGAAGTTCTAATACCTGGTGAACAGACTTTAAATTGCATTGTAAGCTTTTGTAACATGGTTGGAGTGTTATCTTGAGAAATCTTTTGCAAAGCATAAAATGCTGTCCTGATCACCGAGTCACAAGTCTCACGATAAACTGCTAAATTACTGGCCTTGTTGAAATCTTGAGTACAGATTTGGTTGTAAACATAAGGAGGAGTTAAACCAGTGAATTGGAAAATTGGAGCACTTGCTGCAATGGCACCATCAACAATGTGTGGATATTTGAATCGAATCCAAGCAGATAACATTCCACCATAAGAGCCACCAAATGCACTAAAATACAATTATTTACAATAAATATTCAAACATTTCACAGAGCAGCATGAAGTGAAGATAGTACTTACATGACAGGAGTGGTTCTCTTTTCATCCAATCCAAATGTTTCAGTAATGAAATAGGCATAATCAGCAAGTGCTTGCTCGCTGGTCAACCATTTAATTTTATCCGGTTTAAACGAGTCGACAGGTCCAAATGGATTACTGACACCATAATAACGGTGCTCAATAAATATAATTAATGCTTTAAATTGTGGTGCAATATCAAATATGAGTCCAGTATTTTCATAGAAATTCACAATATCTCCTTCATTTCCAGTATAGAGAAAAACGGGAGTATTTGGCTTGATTCCTCCACTTCCAACAAATTGATCACATACTAAATAACGTTGAGGAAAGGTTTTATCATTTGTAAAATCAAAATGATCCAATTTTTGTTGGAAGAATTTTGTGATATATGGAGGAAGAGAAGAGGATGATGATCTGATCTTGCCCGATGTTCGTGATGATGACGAATAGGCTGCAGGATCTCTCATTCTTCTCATAAAGGATCGTATCGTATTGAAGGATGCTGTGGATGGCGATTGTGCAAGTGCCAATCCATGATGATGATGACCTGTTCCTGTCATCATGAGCAATACGCTCATCATCATCACCAAGATGCCAAAACATGTGAACTTTACTCTGTGGGTTATATGCTTCTCGTTTTTCATCATTTTTTCAGATTTTTTCGGAGTTTCAAGAGTGGGTCCGTTCGTTGGTGTTTGTCCAATGATTTTTGGGACTGAACAAATGCTGTTTATCTTGTTCAACATTTTCTCTTTTCTATTGAACTCGGATTCTTCCTTTATCTCAACGTTATTGTTGCCTTTTAGAATTAGAAGTTCGAACTTTAACACAAATAAAAAATGAAAACCTCTGATCCTTCGGACGAGGAGATTCCAACGCCATCATCTTCACGGTTATTGATCAATGTGAGTTGGGATCGCACTGTTCCTGTACGAAAACATTCCAAAATTATTCAAGAGGATGAAAAAGAAATTTTAGTAAATAGTTCGATATTTCCTGATGACGTTATTTTGCAAATATTTAAATTTCTACGATCTGAGACGATTATTGGAGTGTGCATGAGAATTTCAAAACAATTTTATGCCAAAGCTATAGAGATTCCATTGAAGTTCAATTTTTATGGAAAGAAGATGAACCGTGACAATTTAAAATTGCTTCTATCGAGTGTACATTTGGCAAATTTGACATCACTTTGTTTGGAAAATAATAATATTGGAAAAGAAGGAGTCAAATGTTTCATGAATGCACAATATTTAAAAAATCTTAAAACGTTAAATTTGAAAGGAAATAATATTGGAATTGGTGTAAAATCTCTTGCTTCAAACATATTCATGAAGCAGCTGACGAAGCTGAATTTAAATAACAACCATATGGATAATGAGGCTGCAAGAGCGATAGCAACTAGTGAATTTTTAAAGGAATTAAAAGTGTTGAAATTGTGTCGCAACAACATTTCGAACAAAGGCATTCAATATATAGCGCATAGTGAATACTTGCATAACCTTACTATCCTAAAGTTGCATTATAATCCAATAACAAACTCAACAGCATGTTTGAGATCTGGATTTACTCATCATTTGACAGTGTTGGATGTTGGATCTTGCAACATTGGTTCTAACGACGCAAAAGCACTAAGTTTAAATGAATCTTTAATTAACTTAACAGAGCTTTATATTAATAACAATTCGTTGAATGAACAGTGTTTATTTGAGTAGTATTACAGTACTTGATATTTCAAAAAACAGAATTGATATGAGTGACCTTTTAACATGCACTTTTTTTAAGTTACAACATTTGGATTTAGAAGGTTGTTTCATAGACGCAATAGGATGTTCTTACTTGTCAAAAAGTAAGGTGGCCAATAATTTGACTTTTCTGAATATGGAAAACAATAATATAGGTTCTGTAGGAATTCAACGTCTAGCCTCAGGGATGTTTAAATGTCTTTCCCAGCTCAATTTGGCTAAGAATCAAATTTCTTCTATTGAGCCTCTTTTTACCAATATTGATCTCACAAAAAATTTAACAACACTCAAATTGCATTACAACTCGATTCCAAATCTTACAGAGCAAGATTTACGACAAAATTTTCCCAACCTCCTTCAAATAGCACTGTAATCATTCGACTCAAGTAAATTATCGCTCGACTTTCGAAATTCAAGCTACCCTTCAGAAACTCGAAGAGTTCTGCATTAAAATCACCATCAAAAAAATGTCGATGTTTCGGCACACCATCTGGTGATTAGGGTTCGCCATATCATTCACGTTGAAAATATAATTTGTAAACATTCTTCTCAATAGAGAGCTTATAATCGTTGAAAGAAATAAAATGAAATGAAATCGAAAATGTGTTTTCGTGTTTATAAGTTTCTTAAGAAATGAAATGAAATCGAAAATCTGAAGATGTTCGGAAAGCAAAATTAAAAAAAAATACACCATGCATTCCGCTTCCGATTCAGCAAGTCTGCTCTCCCAAATCACTCAATCATCAAGTCAGAGCTCCACAAAACAACACACAAATGAGCCAATGATTCCAATTCACTCGTTAGAATCATCTTCTAATGACAAAAAAGAGAAAAGCAACATTCAAACTGAATTAATAGATTATGATTACTCCGAAGAAAATAGTTGTGTCAGGATTCAAAACATCTATTAATTTTATCAAGAGAGCCTATTAGAACCAGGACTCCATGTAATAGCATCATCCTGAGCGATCCAGTGTCGTCTGTGATCCTGAGATAATGGGGTGACAAAAGCTCCTTGAGTGACTAATTTGTTCGACCTAATGTTATAATAATATTATCCCAATCTTAGATATTGTTATAACATCTTGACGATGGTCAGACCATTCTTAACTCCTTTCGAGACATCAAACCTCATACAGTTATTGTTTCCAATCACATCCCTATATTGCGGTTGTTTGTCATTGTGAAAGGCCACCACACCAGCACAATAAAATTTTATTTCCATTTCATTCTTAAGAAACTTATAAACACTCACACAAAAATTCAGGGATGGGTTTATTCGATGATAAACGTTGTTCGATGGTTTTATGTACATTATTTACAAGCCGAACGTAAGATACGTAGTGACTTCCTAGCAGGCACCCCGGAAGTAAAGGTGTTTAAACTGCTCACGATAACAGCAGCAACCCCTGGGATTCGAACGCTGGACCAGTTGGCTGCCACAGTTCCAGAAAAACCACTCGGCCATATGCGGGCAGCTAAACACTCACACAAAAATGAAATGAAATCAATTTTTAATTTCAATCGAAACAAAATCGTAGACTCATTTTGTTCCATATAAGCTCTCTAATGGGTACGAAACATTACATTGAAACGAACAAAACAATTTTTATTGACACAGCAAATTTATCCGTCGTCGGAATGAGCGTTTGAAATTATAATGAGATGTTTTGATGAGACCGATTGGACGGAAATTCAAATGGGCAATTTCAAGACTAGTGACTACACCATAGGTTGGGAGGAAAATTAATGGAGAAAAACTCTTGCAGAAAAATCAGATGATTTTGTTTGAAAAAAAAACAATGTTCGAAATGTCTCTCACTTCTCTTGCATCTAAAATTATGACACTCACACTCTTGGTGGTGGTCACCACCTGCACCATGAGCATGGCTCAAGCTGACAAAAAGAATTGGGAACGAAAAGCCAACATGTTAACAAAACGTAGCGATTTATCTGCTCAAACAATTGGAAATTTAATTTACTTGACAGGAGGTTGTGTTATCTCTCAACCCCTTTCTAAGGATTCTTCATGTCCGAGGTTTGTGTTTGTATGAATTTAGTGTTACAATTCAACTTTGAAATCTCAGCATTACAAACACAATGGAAATTTACAATCCTGCAACTAATACTTTTTCGTACGGGCCAGTGATGCCTCGAGCTAGATACAGACATACCACTGTTGCTATTGCTCAAAGATACATGTTTGTAATTGGTGGTAGAGACCTGCAAGATAACATTATTCAACCTGTGGACGTTTTTGATACAGTCACTTCAAAATGGAGCACTCATCCAAATGCCTCCTTAACTTCTGAATGTTGTTCTGATTCAATTGCATTTGTGTTGAAAGATACTGTCACTGGACTCGACAATATTTATCTTCCAGGTGGATACTTTGCTAATTACAGTACTTCTAATGAGGTTTTAATTTTGAAAACTAGGAACACAAATAATGAAGGAACATTTCAAAAGGGATTAGTGTCAAATATCATTACTAAGAGAGGAGATTCCATGTCTCTGACTTCCAGTAATAGAGGATATGTCATTGGTGGATTTTTAGAGACTGATTTTTGTAATCCAGTTGGAATGGTTGAAATGTATGACCCTTCTCAAAACAAATGGACCTCTCAAAAGCCTTTGGCTCATCCTAGAGCTGATGGAGCTGCAATCATGATTGATGCACATTTGTTTGTGCTTGGAGGAGAGACCAAAGATAAGTCATGCAACTTCTCTATTCCTGTTGCTGATGTTGAGAAGTTTGATTTTGTCACTTCATCTTGGAGTGACTTTGTTTCTTTGCCAACGGTAAGATTCAGACAAACAGGAGAGATTTATGGAGACGTCATGTATGTTTTTGGAGGTCAAATTGAGAACTCCACAGCTAAGGAATACTCGGTTCTTGACTGGGTTTATAGTTTTAATTTCACAAACGTCACCAATGCAAGAGTGAGTCAAGCAGCAAGTATGACCTCATCGCTCTGGTTTTTCACACTTGTGTTGTTGATGTTAGTTATGATTTTGTGAAGAACGGATTGCTAGGAAAGAATATTGGCATTTTAAATATTATGAATTAAAAATTGTTTTTAAGGGTAGACATGAATTTTTTGAATTTTTCCATGTTATGTTTTAATGATTTTCAACATGATCAAGTTTGGTGACTATGAAATATGTCCCATATTTTGATCAGATGCTGATGGTTGGAAAAGCTATGTGATTGAAACGACGCAAAGGAGGTCCAATAAAGGGTTTAGGGTTTGGGTTTGGGTTTGGGTTTGGGTTTGGGTTTGGGTTTGGGTTTGGGTTTGGGTTTGGGTTTGGGTTTGGGTTTGGGTTTGGGTTTGGGTTTGGGTTTGGGTTTGGGTTTGGGTTTGGGTTTGGGTTTGGGTTTGGGTTTGGGTTTGGGTTTGGGTTTGGGTTTGGGTTTGGGTTTGGGTTTGGGTTTGGGTTTGGGTTTGGGTTTGGGTTTGGGTTTGGGTTTGGGTTTGGGTTTGGGTTTGGGTTTGGGTTTGGGTTTGGGTTTGGGTTTGGGTTTGGGTTTGGGTTTGGGTTTGGGTTTGGGTTTGGGTTTGGGTTTGGGTTTGGGTTTGGGTTTGGGTTTGGGTTTGGGTTTGGGTTTGGGTTTGGGTTTGGGTTTGGGTTTGGGTTTGGGTTTGGGTTTGGGTTTGGGTTTGGGTTTGGGTTTGGGTTTGGGTTTGGGTTTGGGTTTGGGTTTGGGTTTGGGTTTGGGTTTGGGTTTGGGTTTGGGTTTGGGTTTGGGTTTGGGTTTGGGTTTGGGTTTGGGTTTGGGTTTGGGTTTGGGTTTGGGTTTGGGTTTGGGTTTGGGTTTGGGTTTGGGTTTGGGTTTGGGTTTGGGTTTGGGTTTGGGTTTGGGTTTGGGTTTGGGTTTGGGTTTGGGTTTGGGTTTGGGTTTGGGTTTGGGTTTGGGTTTGGGTTTGGGTTTGGGTTTGGGTTTGGGTTTGGGTTTGGGTTTGGGTTTGGGTTTGGGTTTGGGTTTGGGTTTGGGTTTGGGTTTGGGTTTGGGTTTGGGTTTGGGTTTGGGTTTGGGTTTGGGTTTGGGTTTGGGTTTGGGTTTGGGTTTGGGTTTGGGTTTGGGTTTGGGTTTGGGTTTGGGTTTGGGTTTGGGTTTGGGTTTGGGTTTGGGTTTGGGTTTGGGTTTGGGTTTGGGTTTGGGTTTGGGTTTGGGTTTGGGTTTGGGTTTGGGTTTGGGTTTGGGTTTGGGTTTGGGTTTGGGTTTGGGTTTGGGTTTGGGTTTGGGTTTGGGTTTGGGTTTGGGTTTGGGTTTGGGTTTGGGTTTGGGTTTGGGTTTGGGTTTGGGTTTGGGTTTGGGTTTGGGTTTGGGTTTGGGTTTGGGTTTGGGTTTGGGTTTGGGTTTGGGTTTGGGTTTGGGTTTGGGTTTGGGTTTGGGTTTGGGTTTGGGTTTGGGTTTGGGTTTGGGTTTGGGTTTGGGTTTGGGTTTGGGTTTGGGTTTGGGTTTGGGTTTGGGTTTGGGTTTGGGTTTGGGTTTGGGTTTGGGTTTGGGTTTGGGTTTGGGTTTGGGTTTGGGTTTGGGTTTGGGTTTGGGTTTGGGTTTGGGTTTGGGTTTGGGTTTGGGTTTGGGTTTGGGTTTGGGTTTGGGTTTGGGTTTGGGTTTGGGTTTGGGTTTGGGTTTGGGTTTGGGTTTGGGTTTGGGTTTGGGTTTGGGTTTGGGTTTGGGTTTGGGTTTGGGTTTGGGTTTGGGTTTGGGTTTGGGTTTGGGTTTGGGTTTGGGTTTGGGTTTGGGTTTGGGTTTGGGTTTGGGTTTGGGTTTGGGTTTGGGTTTGGGTTTGGGTTTGGGTTTGGGTTTGGGTTTGGGTTTGGGTTTGGGTTTGGGTTTGGGTTTGGGTTTGGGTTTGGGTTTGGGTTTGGGTTTGGGTTTGGGTTTGGGTTTGGGTTTGGGTTTGGGTTTGGGTTTGGGTTTGGGTTTGGGTTTGGGTTTGGGTTTGGGTTTGGGTTTGGGTTTGGGTTTGGGTTTGGGTTTGGGTTTGGGTTTGGGTTTGGGTTTGGGTTTGGGTTTGGGTTTGGGTTTGGGTTTGGGTTTGGGTTTGGGTTTGGGTTTGGGTTTGGGTTTGGGTTTGGGTTTGGGTTTGGGTTTGGGTTTGGGTTTGGGTTTGGGTTTGGGTTTGGGTTTGGGTTTGGGTTTGGGTTTGGGTTTGGGTTTGGGTTTGGGTTTGGGTTTGGGTTTGGGTTTGGGTTTGGGTTTGGGTTTGGGTTTGGGTTTGGGTTTGGGTTTGGGTTTGGGTTTGGGTTTGGGTTTGGGTTTAGGTTTGGAGTTTGGGTT